CATGATGGGGAGATCATAAAATTCAAGGCACACTTGGTTGCCCAGGGATTTGCTCAGATACCCAGAAGGGATTATGATGAAACTTTCTCACCAGTCATGAGGACTGATTCCTTTCGAATTCTACTTGCACTGGCAATGCAGTTGAACCTGGATATCCACCAGATGGATGTCGTTGGGGCTTACCTAAATGGTACACTAGAGGAGGAAATCTACATGCGCCAGATCCCGGAGTATGAGGACGGAACAAAAAGAGTTCTCAAATTACGAAAAACCCTCTATGGTTTGAAACAGGCAGGCCGAGTCTGGAATAGAAGACTACACGCAGCTCTCATCGACCTTGCCTATGCCCAGCTATTCACTGACTCATGTGTATATGTCCACTGCCAAGAACAGAACCTTTCCATCATTGCCTTCCACGTTGATGACTCCGCAATCTTTGCTACCGTGGGACACATGGAACAAGTGAAGGATGAACTCAAGGCAAAGTTTGACACCCGAGATCTTGGGGAGCTCAGTCATTTCGTCGGTATCAAAATCACTCGGAATCAGGACCGAAATGCCATCACAATCTCACAATCATCTTATATTAGCCAAATACTAGAACGTGCTGGGATGACAGATTGCAATACCGAATCACTACCAATGGCACCCAAGAAATGGCTTACCCCCTTCCCGGGTTCCCGTCCCAATTTCCCCTACCTCGAAATGGTTGGATCACTTATGTGGGCTGCGATCAACACACGTCCCGATATATCTTTTGCCACTCAACACCTTGCACAGTTCAACACCTCATATGGACCCGACCATATTAAGAGTGTCAAACGACTACTACGGTATTTAAAAGGATCTGCAGATCGCGGCATCACCTATGCCAAATGTACTTCCGGCCTTGCTGCCGAAGGCTTTGCTGATGCCAATTTCGCAGAGGGACATGACCGTCGATCTATCACAGGAGCCGTATTCTTGATGGCTGGAGGGCCGGTTGCTTGGACCTCAAAGAAACAAGGGACCATTGCCCTTTCCACCCTTGAGGCCGAGTACACGGCCATCAGTCATGCTGTCCGACACATTCTCTGGCATATTATGTTTATGGAGGAACTCGGATTTGAGGCACAACGCCCCTTCAAACTTTACAGTGATAATCACGGTGCTATCGAACTTTCACGGAACCCTCAGTTCCATGGCCGAAGCAAACATATTGACATCCGCCATCACTTTATCTGTGATCACATTGAACGCGGTAACATTTCTATTTCCCATGTTAGGTCGGAGGATAACCTTGCAGACTTATTTACTAAGCCTCTCCCCGATCCTTTATTTTCCAAATTCATTTCTGCTATTACGTAGAATACATGACTTGAGGAGTTGTGTTGGAATACAAGTCATAGTCGGGATCCCACATCTGACACTGTGCTGTTGACCGACATCCCACTACTCCGACACCGCCTCCCCGATGTGACCGTGCGTCCGTCGATCTATAGCATAGCCCCGATGTAGTATAAATACACAATTAGCTAGGCTTAATAAAGATTATCTTTTTTGGTCTTACCTCAGGTCCCTTCGTTATAGCACGAGTGTAGCCGCAAGCGCTACGTCACTAACTGACTAGTCTTTACAACAGGGACGCCTGTTGTGATCGGTTTGAGTTTGTCACGTTTACCGTCGAGACAGGCTGGGAGGCATGTGAATGCCAAAACGGTCCCGACAGGGTGCAGCCAGGTTTCCCAGCCAGTGGCGAGCGGAAGCGGGAACCTGAGATCAGCTGATGGTAGGTTGCTATCCCATGATTAGTCTCGTGAAATGGAGACATTAATCATGGTTTAATATCCTTATTTCACACGACTAATCACGATGGTATCTAGCGCTGAATGGTGCCGCATGGTCCTGTGTTTTTGCAGCGCTGATGGGACCTTGCGGGTGTTCACTAGTCTTCGCGTTTATTGTCTTCATGTGATTTTCACGTGTGTTGTCCCTTCTCCCCGCTCCCTCAGCGCTGCCTTCGCGTTTGCTCCATCGGGACTGGTAAGTCCTCACTTGGTTGCAACGGGGCCGGAAACTTACATGTGCGCTTCAGACAAGTTGTCTGCATTGAAGTTTCCCCTCAATCTTTTGTCGCGCTGTGCATCCTAGTGAGTTCATCTCACTTGTGCTTACTCCTTGCGGAGTCTTACTGCAGCACTCGTGCTGCCTCGTTTCTGCTTCTAGCGTTTATTCTTCTGTTTGTTGCGTCCACCCACCTCCTCCCCTTTTTCACCACCCCGATACTATGTATCTGTATTTGTATCTGTTTTCTCGATTTGTCATTGTTGACCAATCCTTTTGGCATCGTCGTATCTCTTTGTATATTACCAAGACAGGTCGCACGATGCCCGCGCGCGTCAATCCATAGGCCGGGACCAGCTCGGTTTCCGGCCGTTTTCACTAAGTGCTCATACCGTCTGATTAGACAACAAAATATTCCCGCTACTCCGTAGCGGGTCCTGGCTCCACACTGTGCACAGGGTCCTCTGTCCTCCTTTCCCATATGATAATATAACTAGGGAACGCCGCCTGAAGCGGCAGATCCCGCTACTCTAGCCCGAGATTTACTCTCGCTCTGTAAACCCACCGCATACTCTGATAAGTTCAGGACTACGTAATTTACACTGCAGCTATGCAGCAAGCGGAATAGAACTGTATGGGGCAGAGAATGGACCCTGTGCATAGGACAATTGAGTTTGGGAGAAAAAAACGTAGGACCCGCTACGGAGTAGCGGGAATATTTCGGCTCACTCCGCTACAATGCAGCTCATGCCATAAGACCACCGTCCGACTCTTTCTGTACACACTATGACTTCCTCTAACTTCACTGAGTCTCTGTGCATGTCCGATCCACCTCTAAACCATCAGATTTGCATTCATACTCATTTTTGAACGGTGCATTGAACCTCGATCCACCCACCATCACTCATTACGCATACTTTTATGGTACCTCGATTACGTTTAATGCCTCATATTCTGCACGCTCACTGCTACAACTCTCCATTTGTTGGGTGTGTTCAAGAGTCTACTCAGCTTCCGCCGATGGATGATCATCTCCAACAGCTCCATGATTTCCAATTCTCCTCCCTTGAACACCAAACCTTGATTTATGCCGCGCTCGGTGTTCAACGTGCCAATGAATCCGCAAATGAATATCCACACTTCCTACATGCCATTATCCGTCACTTTCAACAAATCCCCACTGCATTTCCTGATGTATTGACCATTCTTCGTCATCTGGATTGAATTAATCACCAAGACTTAGTGGCACTTTGTCGATTCCACCATCTCCATCGTCACATTCCAAAATTTCTCAATCGTGTCCAATTATGTTTGACCACATTGTCAGTGACTCTCCCTGTGATTTTGGTCGAATCCCACACTCCGAACAGCCTTTCTCGTTCTCGACGTCGACCACTGACACACACTCTCTCAGCCACAACGGGCTTACCATCTAGCAAACTTTTGTACTTAAATGTAGAAAGTGGGATTGGGAAATGCCTTTGAACCAAAGATTCGGTCTCCATACCAAAGATTTGGTCTGTATGCGAATGTGTGTCGCTGTGCACAAAGACCAAAGTTCGGGACAAATAGTGTGTTACTGCTCAATGGCGTTGGATCAATTGACGTATGACAACGTTCCACTGGCTTCTGACTCTCCGAGTCGCCGTGCAGTTGCGCCTGACTGTGTGGTGTTGCACCGACAATGTGGTTCCGACCAAGTCTTAGTATGGGGATCGGCGCGTGATGGCGTTTTACAGCGGTCTGACTGGTTCAAACAGAATCATTCATCGATCATGAGGAGAGTGGGGTGCCTCATATTCGTGTGTGCCTCCAATTAGCGTTTGATGACTGGGTTGCCCCTTGCGTTAGCGCACAGAAATGGATCTCGCCACAGAAATTGACATGGCCAATTCGCATTACGTTCCATTTCGGTCAGTTTGAGATTGGAACGCCTGTGCCAGAAACATGTGTGTTCATGGTGGGTGTCCGAGGCAAGAATCTGTGCGCTCGTTTCTCTGTACTTCGGAACTATGTACCTGTAGCTACACTCCGCGATTTCTGAGAAGTGGGATGCAAACAATTGGGGGATTTGCTGAGGTTCAAATTCAAGGCGAAATGAGTAGCGGGTACTTGCCGCGCCATGCAGCGTCCAACTGATCGCAGCGGAATCATGAGGTACAACGTGAATGGACGGATTTTATAACTAATTGACAAAGGTTGTACGGGGGGAGAAAGATGAAGGACCCTGGGTTATGCGAAATTTGAAATTCCCGCCACTGCGGAGCGGGTCCTGAAAATCTTTGTATGAAGAAACAGGAAGAAACAGGAAAAAGAAACCTGTTTCTTCATACTGAACGAAGCCTAAGATAACCCGGTTCCGGACCCTAACCTATACACCATCCCCCGTCCTGGGGAATGCGAGGTCCCAGGCTTAGTGACCTGCCTAACCTAGCCCATAGTTATGCAGGAGAGCGTTATGAAATGCGCTTCTGATATTATGTAATGTAATGTGCATCTCTTTCCAAGATCTCGTGTAAACATAAGATCACCGTCGAGCATTTGAAATGTATTATTACGTAATCACTGCGCCACCCCTTTTTGCTCATGCACGAACATGCACAAACTTCGGGTCCTTCCGACATCAGTGGGGGAACGCGGTGACTTTGCGGCGCTATTACAATATAATTCTACATAACTATATTGAAAGATGAAGTTGTGGGGTGATTTTCGCACGAATAACATAGTCATACCCCCTGTCACTTTATTCCCTTAAAAGGAAAGCACCTATTTCAAATTTCCTCTTTGGCCCTGCACTTTGCACCCGAACTTAGCTTCAGTCATACACAACCTCCAATCCGTTCATTCACGTGGTTGGTCCATCGATTCAATGATTTGAATTGAAATTGTATGTAAGCTTGGAGGTTTTTGGTGATTCCGGTGGCACGTCCCTTTGCTTCCACATCCTCTCGCCTCGTCGACGATCCAGATCGGCAGTAGCTCACCTCTTTGAACAACCTAACTCTTCTGTCGTTACACATCAGCAAAATCTGTCACCAGATCTTCGAAGTGTGAATGAGATCTACGTATTCAATTTCAATTCAGTTTTGTCATTTAAGTAAGTCAAGTGCCACAGAACTGGTTGGCTGGAATTCTCGAGGTTCGGGTGCGGGTACTTGGACAAGGCAAACCCCTAGCAGCCCTGAAGATCCTGCTGCCATCAATTGCAGCTGATCCACGATCGTCCCGTCCTACAGTAAGGTGAAAAGAAAAGGGAGTGAGGAAAGCCTACAACAAAAACAAGGTTGAAAAGGGAACTCAAACGTTCCCAATCGGAGGGTTGCGGGCACTTTTCGCAACGGGCGGACGCCCGTTATATGCAAGTTGAACGGTTGTAGTGCCTGGTTTCCCTCGTAACTTCTCTCCCCCCCCCCCAAGTGGCTTGCCCTACCCTTCACCTTGGCGTTTTGTCTGTCATGGTTCTTTTAAAGGGCCCCCTGGAAAATATCTTGGGTGGCACTTTAGTCGGGAATGTCGGCTCTACGTTGTAAGAATGCTTTTTTTTTTTCAGATCGAACCTATGCGCTTGAACCCAGGTATTCACACACTTGCACGATGGTTTCAGTCTCTTCGGGATACTCACCGTACAAGTTGTTCTTTACTACCAACGTTTCCCTAGGGATGGTAAATGGACGCGGGGAGTGGTACGTCCTCGAGTTGATTGTTGGCTCGAGTTGATCCTCCTGATGTGACAATACTAGGTTGGAAGTCTCTGGTTCGTTCATTCTCGCGGTTGTGCTTCGAGTGATCGGAAGATCGGTTTTTGATAACTTCCCCCCCCCCCCCTTCCTAAAGGGCTGCCATTGCCTTTCAGACGTAAGTGACATCGGTGGTTTGTTGAACATATCCGTCCCGACGTTGCCTGTGGTTCGCACTTTCGAGGGTCTTTATGACTAAAATGATTTGGTGGTGGTACATCCAAAATCATTTTAACCCCAAGGCATTGGAAAAGCCAAAATGGTAACGCAATCCCCCCGTGATCGATCGAGCTCCCCTTTTACTCAACGCTTTCCTCAAGGGAATTTTTCTCATACCACCTCACTACAACGGCGGGATCCCTAGTCGTCCAGACTTTCTTTGTGAATCGTATTTGGGGCCGTGAGTTCCTGTGGGAATCAACAAAGTTTTACCGTTCGTAACTTTGTCGCTAGTGTCTGGGAAGATTTATATCGCTGCTCCTCTGGTACGCTGATTGGCGCCTTAGCTACATCGATCACTTATCTGACCCATAAACACAGCAAGCCCTTGTTATCACGCAGTTTGGTAAGTTTCCCTACCTAGAACGTCCTACACCAGTACACTGAGGTCTGGTTTGCTTTGACAAGCTTTTGCCGCGGGTGGGTTCGGAGTTTTTACGTCCCTTCAAAGTCCTCATTAGTCGCGTAATTCATTCCCAGCACTTTTGATTCTGGAGTACGTGCCATCATCACGCTTTGCTGTTCGCAAATTCTGACCTGACGGATGACATGTCAGCGACGTATTATTGTCCTTCACTGAAATCGCCCACAAGTTGGATTGGTTAGCTACTGTTTGGCTAACGACACAGGTACGTATATGATTCTCATCTTCAACGGTAACTTCTACTTTATCCGTGAATCACCAGGCAACATGTGATGCTGTAATATCAATATTGATGACGCTCCTGCTCTGGAACCGGAAGACTGGTTTCAGAAAGTGGGTCAATGACTAAAGTGTTAGCATGTCAGGGCCAGACGGACTTTTCAATAGGACAGACAGGGCCATCAACACGATAATAATCTGGTCTGTAGCCACGGGCAGCGTCACCTGTGTTCAATCTCTTATTACGATCGGCATCGTAAGCATAGGCTAAAAAAAATTATCTCACTCAGTAGAATGCATTAGGCTGACGCCATGGTTTTAGTTTTCACGCCGTGGTTTCACATTTGGTACTCTCGTATTCGCAATCGTGAGTCCGTTCATACGAGTTCCTTCACAACGTTCGGGATATTTACCAGGAATGTTTTCAGCCCCTTAGTCCCATGTACCCCATATCCATGCTCACAAAGTGAAGCCCAGACAAATTTTCCTTTGAACACACTCACTGATAGGATTCTTTGTTGCCCCCTCCCGCTATATAGTTTACACATGCGGTCAACAGTACGAAAGCAGTTGGCAGCACCCACACTCACTGAAGACAGAAGAACTAACCTTTTGGAGGCATTACGATCTGTCACTCAGAGGAAGGTTATGGCTGCTCGTGCACGGAGAGAGCTCATGGAATTATCATCACGCCGTCCTGTGAGTTCATTGCGCCTGACTTATGCTTATGGCCAACGGAAAAGTGTATGGAAACTGACCCACCATCACCTTCCAGAGGGATTCAGCCATGGGAGATCTCGTGGTGAACATTCATCGCTCTATGCACGAAAACAGTCCCAGCAGTGTAAGCCCCTCCTTTCAATTCACATAACAAAGGTTGACAAGATGTTGCTTCGGGGGGGTGTCCTGTGAGAATAGAACGTCCACCGACTTGATCGAGATCAGTCAACTACCGATGCTCCGACGTTGCGCAGTTCCATTTACCCGGATGTCGAATGTAGCACCCCAAGTAATACCGTCTCCCATGCCATCACGATCCATGAACGGTGCTTTCAAAGCTAGCCGCTGTCAGTCTTTCATATTGTTTCCTTGGTTGCCATTCTCTCTCTGCTTTGCATAATTCCATCTCACGATCATTCACGGTTTAATAATTAATATACTACTTTTGCACGACCAATCGTGTCGGTGACGTGCGACTCTGAATGCGCGCGCTAACCCCCCGTTTTTTGCGGGGTGCGGCTGAATGTACATGCTGAGTCAAACTGAAGAGTTATGAATCGCGCTCTCGATCGGTTGTGTTGGCTCTGCGCATTCCTGTCCATTGCGCTCGCGCTGTGCTTGAACTAGTTTAATAGAGGCTGGTAACCTGCCTAGAACTGGTTGGCCATGACCTACTATCGCGACAGGGCCTTCAGGCATGCGACAGTCTGCATCTTTGCGATGTGCTATCGCATTTGCGCGCGCCTAATGAACCAACCACTCGCTTCGCTGTTGGGCTGTTTCCAGTTATTGCATTTGTACCTGTATCCGGATTACATGTATATTCCAAGGTGAGTCAAAAGACTGTACAAATGACTCTACGAGGTGTCGCTTCTGGTCTCCTCATTCGCTGGCTTTAGAGTGGACAATTCTCGCCCAACGACAATATTCCGACTGCGTTCACTTGCCTGCACATCCGTGGCGTCTACCTATATTACTCTCAAGCCTCACTCTCGCTCTGAGCGACCACTGCCTTTGTCCCTCACCCTCGAGCGGTATAAATATGCATCAGAGGCGGTGGTGAAGTTCATGACGGACCATGAACCGAACCGTGAACTGAACCAGGATGAACCAGAACCACGGTTCAGTTCAGCCTCGGTTCAGAGATGGTTCGGTTCGGGTTCTGTAAAATGTTGAAACTTTGTGAACCGGATTCGAACCGCCGAACCAGTAGCTAAGGATACTAACGGTCGCGATCGCTTGTTGCCTGGACGCCTCGGGCCAGATTCAGATTCCCAAGGCTAACTTGCTACGATCTCGGGACGCAAGGAAAGAGGTACTTAGAAATAGCTACCTAGGAGAAACTAGAGAAGTGCGACCCCAAAAGAGGCACCAAAGTGAAGTTTCACGTAGGTCCCATCGTAGCCTTAACTGTCACGACCACTTCCCCTGAGAGTGTCAATTCATTTCTAGCTGGAGGCGCGGATAGTGGCTCGGATTCTGCTGAGACGATCAGCGTCGTGTTTGTCTTCGGAGGCACATCGATCGTCTCTGCAGCTTCAAGAGAAGGTGGGCTCGTATGTACCTGGCCAATCTCTGAGAAAAATTCCCAGGCAAACAGACTATTGCCCTGATGCGAGCTTTAACAGCACACTAGCTCCGATGCACCTGTGGCCTCAGAAAGCGAAGCATCTAGCGTGCAAATATGTTAGTTTAGCATACTCTCCAGTATCTCTTTCTTTGGCACTTCGAACAATAGAACATTTTGGAGAGACGGTATAGTATCATACGTTGACGCAATGCTCATAAAGAGTGCTCCTCTGCTAGTCTAGATGCTTGTACAGATGAGCGTTGCAGGCCATGAAAGGGAACTTCTGAGGTGATTAAAAATAGCCCTTGCGCCACTGCACACACTCTGTCCGGACGCTCCGTTCTTTTGTTTCATGTGTTGGCAAACGGGCAGGCATCGTTCGTCATGCTGACGTCTATATCGGCAAGACACTAGGGATGAAGCCCTCCTTATTCGAAATCAACTAGTGTAGTAAGTTAGTGGTGCTAACTATGATCTGAACTCTCGATCAATCCAAACAGAAATAGCTGATGGATGAATGAGTCTGCCATCTCCAGTCCGTTCGCGACAAAAATACATTCCAATCATCCTATCTGCCTGAACGGTCTTCTGTAGTGCAACATCAACCTCTTTTCTCCTTTCGAAATTTGACCATTTCACTAGTCTACAGGCGGAATTGTGATGATATTGTCTGTTCTCTCAGTCCTAGGAACCCTTCCCCCTCCCTCAGACTGTGACATTGCGCTGCCTGGATTCTATGTTTGGCCACTGTACCATCACCTACCGAATCTTCAGCCCAGGATTAGAAAGGTGCGGTGCATTCATTGCTGGATCCCTATAGGATGGGAGCTTCCGCGGCGGCGTGGGAATTTGGCGCCAGGGTTCCGGACCAACTATAGAATATTCATCAGTACGGGTGCATAAGCGCCAGACTCTCGTAGAATTGTTCCCGTTGGCTTCCACAGCAACAACTCATGTTTAGCATCCGTTCTGGGCAGACCATGATCTTGTAGCGAACTAATAATAACAACGACAATTAAATATAGGACTCAATAGGTTCTGCCCATATATGGGGCGGAATGACATTAAGTAATGTACGAGTGTGTTGCTCATGACGACCTAAAAGTCGAACGAAAGCCAATTGCATGGACGCTGACACAGAGGTACTACACAGTGCTTCGGCTAGCATATATTGTCTCTGCAATAAATCCGGCTTAATTCCGTAAGATAGCACAACGTGTCTAATGCCCTGTTGTATGTAACGAAGCCGTCCTGGAAATACCACTTCAGGAAATCAACGGATTTTAGCGAGATAACGCCGACCGCGCGTGCAGACGAATCAGTTACAAGAACCCTCACACACATGCCCCCCTCATGGCCCAGCCGTGCCCCTCCCACAGTTGATCAGTGTGCAAAACTGCTGCTGGGGGGAACAATCAAACGGCACCTGCGTGTGGAAACACATGTAGAATAATCCGGTGGAATTTGATTTATGCACATATATCAACCTTCCCAATCCTGGGAATTTGCGCATTTGACATTGAGGGTGTCCGGGGGCAATCCCTGGCCTTTTCGTGTCTTATCACATAAATAGAGGTTACCACCCCACCCCCTCCAACTCTCTTCTTCTGTGTTCAGCTCTTTACACGCCAGCTCTCACTCAGCGATTCATCATGGTTGCTTTCTTCCGTTTCGTCGCTGTTCTCCTTCCTCTCGCAGCCACCTTCTTCTCTGTCTCCGCCCAGAATCTTCCTGCTTGTGCCCAGACCTGTGCCAACAGTGCCCTTTCAGGCACAAATTGCACCGCGTTGTAAGTCCTTCCATGATACCACGATTTTGGCAATTCCTGATCAGTCTTGGCTCTCTTGTCGAACAGGACTGACTTCCGCGTTCGTAAACATTCTTTCTCCTGTCGGTCCTGTTTCCGCTAACTCGCCTTCTACAAACGCAAACAGTGCGTTTGCAACAGGTAAGCGAACCTTCCCCTTGTCTTTTTTTTTTTGGATCCTTATGTACGAGACCCTGACACATCCTCATAGCGAGAAATTCTTTACCGCTGCCGCTGCCTGCGCCTTCAAGAGTTGTAACACTACCGAAATCGAGGAGGCCCTTGCTGCCATAAAACTGATTTGTGCACCCTGTACGTGGACAAACAAGCCCTGAGGAATTAATTTGTCACCTTGATTCACCACTGATCATTGTTTCTACAGACACCACCGTTTCCTTGACCCTCCCTGCCAGTCTCACCTCCACCCTCTCCTTCCCGACGCTTACCCCTGGGAACGGTACTACCAAGGGCGCCACTTCTACCCACAATGTCAACGCGACTTCCACCACCACTAGTCCCACCGGCTCTGGCTCGAGCACCACTAGTGCCGCTTCTACGAGCCGGTCTGGAGCCGCTGCACCTGGTGCCAAGGTCCTCTTTGGAAGCGATCCCGTTCTCGCTCTCGTTCTTGGAGGGGCCATGTTCGGAGCTTACGTAATTGGAATGTAGTTTACGACAATATTGTGTTCAACCACGAACTTGAATGAAACATCAGTGGTATGACTGTCTAACAGAATATTCGAGTTCGGTGACAAGGATGATCTCAAAGTCTTTGTGAAACAATGAGAAGCCTAATGGCATGAAGTATCGAACCGTGCATGGCTCGACCTTCTCAACACCTGCAGGCTCCCACAAATCAAGCTACCTTTTGTTAGGAGGGTTCCCCCTCAAACTGGATGGCCAAGTTTGCAGTGCCTTTGATGCTGTACTGCAAGCTCGGCCATCCCAGTTCGGGCAGAACCCACTAACAAACAGTGCAACTACAAGTCCAAATTGATTCATCGAACCCGGTTTGGTTGATGCCCATCTGCAATCTGGCGAGTTGGCAAGCAGCGGCTGAATCAGCTGTGGGTGCCTGGCTTGTCTTTCATCAATATTATGATGTATGCCTTGGCAATTGTTGCCCTGGTGCGTGACCGGTCGTTTGTGGGGCTTTGGGTCGGGGGGGGGGGGCATGTTTGAAATGGATGTGTGACCACCTCAAGTGTACTGTTTCTGTTGGAACATCAACGTCCATGCGCGTCACTCGTTGTACTTTATTCGAAATGACCGCCGCTGAACGACGCTTAATTACAGGTAGTTTCTCATTTTGATGCAAGACATCGCGACATCTATTAATTTTTGTCTTGATGTTACTAGTACTCTCATTGCCGGCTATAGCCAGCAGGCATCGCTATAAGTGGCATTGGTGCCAGTCGTATGAGATACGATGTAGTTCTCTTACTTGAGACTGAGAGAGCGCATCTAGCTTGAACTCTATTAGTACTACTGTCCCATTATGACCGTTGGTTCAGTCACATGTCACACGCAAATTGTGAACTGAACTAAAGTAGGTTTTGTCACATGTCACAACGAGACTTTGAACAGATGAATGTATTGACAATTAATTCCCACGGTATCCGGGAGTTGCCGGAAACAGCAAATTAATTCAGTTTTTATTCGGTTCAATATTTTCACGTGATGTGTGGCACATGTCACACTGAGGGATGAACACGCAAGAAGGAGCCGGCAATCCCCGAATCCCGTGGGAATGAACCTACGGTCGTAATGGGACAGTATTCCCACTGAGCATACAAGAGGACGGATTCGATTTTTGGAAGGCCTCACCCTCAGTTTTTTAAGTCGAGAAGGCTCAATCATTTCTAGATATTTTACGCGATATAACTCATGTATTACTCGTGTCGCAGCTAACGCAACATAGCCCTTAATTATTTGTGACCTGGTAATTGCACACGATAAATCAATTCATTTTGCAATGGAATGAATCACGGGCTCTGTGCCAACATGGCTTGAAGTGTCATTGGTGGCAGTGTCATGCTCGTTCCCATTTCCCGTTTAGGGATGCGTGCTTCTGAGTGACATGTGACACACAAGATTTGTCTAAAGGTGAAATCCAGAATGGAAATTGAACACGTTGGCAGAACTGGCATAATTTCACCAATTTCACCACGATGGAGTGCAGGCCAGGTCTATTGGAAAGTGGCGCTGCTGTGCAGGCAATAAGACGAGACACAGCCCGCTGCCCCTCTTCCTTTCCTCAGCGCCAGCTCTCAGCTCATCATGGTTGCTTTGTTTCGTTTCGTCGCTGTTCTCCTTCCTCTCGCCGCCACCTTCTTCTCTGTCTCCGCACAGCATTTTCCTCCTTGTGTCGAGTCTTGTGCTAACGATACCAGTATCCTTTCAGGCACGAATTGCACTTCACTGTGAGTCCTTCCCTGATACCACAACTCCGCCACTTCTGACAGTCCGGGGACTCTCTTGATGAACAGGAATGACTACCGCGTTCGTAAACATTCTTTCCCCTGTTGGTGCTTTGTTCCGCTAACTCGCTTTCCACAAACGCAAACAGTGCCTTTGCAACAGGTAAGCGCCCATGTTTTTTTGACCCTTATTATAGGGGGACCCTAACCCATTCTCATAGTGAGAAAATTTATCTCGCTGCCGCTGCTTGCATCTTCAAGAAATGTAACGCTACGGAAATTGAGGAAGCGATTGCTGGCGTGAAACAATTTTGTGCACCCTGTGCGTGAATCGAGGAATTAATTTGTCGCCTTGATTCACCACTGATCAATGTTTCCACAGTTAGCACCGTTTCCTTGACCCTCCCTGCCAGTCTCACCTCCACACTCTCTTTCCCGACGCTTACCACTGGGAACGGTACTACCAAGGGCGCCACTTCTACCCACAATGTCAACGTGACTTCCACCAGTGGTCCCACCGGCTCGGCCCCAGCTCCAGCTCCACTACTTCTACGCGCCGGTCTGGAGCCGCTGCACCTGGTGTGAAGGTCCTCTTTGGAAGCGATCCCGTTCTCGCTCTTGTTCTTGGAGGGGCCATGTTTGGAGCTTACGTAATTGGAATGTAGTTTACGATATGTGTTCACCACGACTTGGAATGAAATCAGTACTGGTATGACTATCTAACAGAATATTCGAGTTCGATGGTCTCTTTGTGCAACAATGAGAAGCCTAATCGCATGAAGTATCTCGCGAGATTGAACCCGGGCATGGCTCGACCTTGGCAAGGGTCCCACAAACCAGGCTGCTTTTTGTTAGCTGGATGGCCAAGTTTGCAGTGCCATTGGTGCTGTACTGCAAGCTCGGCCATCTCAGTTTGGGTAGAACCCTCTAACAAACAGTGCAACTACAAGTCCAAATCGATTCATCGACCCGGTTTGGTCGATGTCCATCTGCAATCTGGCGAGTTGGCAAGCAGTGGCTGAGTCAGCTGTGGGTGCCTGGCTTGTGTTTCACCAGTAGATTGGTTGTGTCAACAACCACTTATGATGTATGCTTGACCGGCCTTGCTTATTACATATTGCCCTGGTGCGTGGTTGTTTGTGGGGCTTCGGGTCGGGGGACATGTTTGAAATGGATGTGTGGCTACCTCAAGTGTGTTTCTGTTGGAAGATCAACGTCCATGCACGTCACTCATTCGAAATCACCGCCGCTGACGACGCTTATTTATCTACAGATAGTTTCTCAAACGCGGTATCGATGCAAGATATCGACGCATCACATTGGTGCCAGTCGTATAAGATACGATGTAACTTAGTTCTCTTACTTCTAGCTTGAATACTATTGTGTCCGACGATCTCGCCACTGAGCAATGATCGCGTATAAGAGGACGGATTTTTTTTGGAAGGCCTCACCCTCAGTTTTCTAAGTCGAGACTGAGGTGAGAGCAATCATTTTACGCGATAACTCATGTGTTACTCATATCGCAGCTGATGCAACATACTTAGGTCGAGACTGAGCTAACGCAACATAGTTAATAGAAGGTGACCTTGCAAGCAAGGTAGTGCACGCGACAAATTAATTCATTTGCAACGGAATGAATCAGTGCGGCTCTGTGGCCACATGCCTTGAGGGTGAGAAAACGACGAGTGTCATGCTCCCCATTTAAGAACTAGCACAGCTTTCGATCCGAGCAATATATTGTTATGAAGTCATAGAGGCTGGAGTCCTGCCTAGAACCAATCCGCACTATTTACATAGAACGCTATGGTACAGGAGATGAAGGTGTGGAGGGGTAGGTGCCACATTGTACACAGAGAGGGTACATGGCGTACAAAAGTTCTCTGAGTGCATGAAGATCAGTCACTCATGTATCAGACCAGAGCGGTGGATAGTGCTTACAGAGGGCACGTTTGGATGGAGATGCGGAAAGGTTTGGCAAGTCATCATGAGGTTTGGGTCCATCTCCGAGGTAACCGACACGAATGCTGCTCTGTCGAGGTGGGTGGTTGAATTAGCCATTAGATGCAAGGTTGATAATAACCACGAACCTGGACACAGACATGGACATCGCAAACGGTGATATGGGTGATTGCTGAGAAGAAACACCAACATCCAGTGGTGTCCAAGACATGAAGTCCCCTCCAAGTTGCGCTGTCGTCGAGTTGGAGAGGTATCGTGGACCTCAAATAGAAGAACTGGGCGAATCGACGATAATCCAACGAACGATGGAAGTTACTATGCGAAATGGAGATCAGAAAGTTATCCAAAGAAGATAGATGACGACGGATGTTGCTTACGCTTTATAGATTCAAGCGCAAACCATAGAATATCTATGGAACACCACAGAGAAGAACCCTTACGTGTACGTAACATAGTGCAAGGACATGCAAACGTGCGAGATTTCAAAGACACATTGCCCATGAAGTCACCGTTCGAAGCTCTCGAAAGATGAACGAAAAGACGAAACGAGAATGGCAGTTATGTAACACAAGACATGTGACACACAAGATTTGTCTACTGACACTAGTACTTACGTAAAGAATATAAAAGTCACTGCGTAAGGTGAATCCCAGATCGGAAATGGCATAATTTCACCAATTTCACCAGGATGGAGTGCAAGGGCAGGTCACCAGCCTCTATAATTATTGGAAAGTGACACTGCTGTGCAGGTAATACTTAAGACGAGACACAGCCAGCTGCCCCTCTTCCTTTCCTCAGCGCCAGCTCTCAGCTCATCATGGTTGCTTTGTTTCGTTTCGTCGCTGTTCTCCTTCCTCTCGCCGCCACCTTCTTCTCTGTCTCCGCACAGGATTTTCCTCCTTGTGTCGAGTCCTGTGCCAACAGCACTAGTGTCCTTGCAGGCACAAATTGCACTTCATCGTGAGTCCTTCCATGATACCACGACTCTGCAACTTTTCTGACAGTCCGGGCTCTCTTGATGAACAGGGATGACCTCCCTGTTCGTAAACATTCTTTCCCCTGTTGGTGCTTTTCCCGCTAACTCGTCTTCCACAAACGCAAACAGTGCCTTTGCAACAGGTAAGCGCCCATGCTTTTTTGACCCTTATTATAGGGGACCCTAACCCGTTCTCATAGTGAGAAATTTTATCTCGCTGCCGCTGCCTGCGTCTTCAAGAATTGTAATGCTACGGAAATTGAGGAGGCCATTGCTGGCGTGAAACAACTTTGTTTACCCTGTGCGTGAACTGACAAGCCCTGAGGAATTGATTTGTCGCCTGGATTCACCACTGACCACTGTTTCTACAGACTCCACCGTTTCCTTGACCCTCCCTGCCAGTCTCACCTCCACACTCTCTTTCCCGACGCTTACTCCTGGGAACGGTACTACCAAGGGCGCCACTTCTACCCACAATGTCAACGTGACTTCCACCAGTGGTCCCACCGGCTCGGGCCCCAGCTCCAGCCCCACTACTTCTACGCGCCGGTCTGGAGCCGCTGCACCTGGTGTGAAGGTCCTCTTTGGAAACGACCCTGTTCTCGCGTTCGTTCTTGGAGCAGCCATGTTTGGAGCTTACGTAATTGGAATGTAGTTACGATTGTGTGCTTACGTATTCTGAGCGACTTGAATGACATCACTGCACTTGTATGACTGTCAACAGAATATGAGTTCGGCGATCTCAGTCTTCTTTGTGCAACCCTACATAATGACATAAAGCATCTCACAAGATTGAACCGTGTATGGCTCAGCCTTCTCAACATACAAGATATATTCTTATGAGACGCAGTGTTTCAGATCGTCCTTAGAATGATAAGGTTGCGGGAGAATTGATCGGCACAACAACAGAGATAAAAGGAGAGGGGATGAAAGAAAGTGTAAAGGAAAGAGAGGCACGAAGTCGCTGGAAGTTTGCGTACTCTTCCATTCGGGACATTTAGCACTTAAAACCCGTTGAACCCACACACATCACAATCCAGCACCATAAGCACCGAACATGATACCTCCAAGAACGACGGCAAGGAGAGCGTTGCTGCTTCCAAAAAGGACCAGGGCCTTGGCGGTAGGTGCAGCGGCTCCAGACTTGTTCGCAGGGGAGACAGAGGTGGTGGAGCCCGGGGCGGGTTTGGTGGTAGTGGCATCGCCGCCACCAGGACCGATAGTACTAGAGTGAGTGGGCAAGAGACTGGTGGCCCCGCCAGGAATGGAGAAAGTAAGCGAGGTGTCTGTCAACGCAAGAAGTGTGTGACAATGATCAGCAAGGAATGTCGAATGAGTGTTGTCTGTCAATATTAACGCACGTCCAATACAAAGGGATCCCAGGTCAGCGAACGTCTGACCAAAGTCTTGTGTGCTGCAGGCCGTCAGGGCGCAAGCACCAACGGATTCGAAGAATGGCTCGCTGCAGAAAATGAGTCAGGGACTTTGTATTCCAAGTATGAAAAACCGGAAAATGGCGTGGAAGCTCTACCCCACCTGTTGCAAAGACACTGTTAGGGTTTCACGAAAAATCCAAATTCCAAAGTGTCAGTGAAACGAGAAAAGATGGAAGGAATATGATCACGAACGGAAAGATTGCTCCTGTTTACCACCAAAGAACCCCCACCGGTTCGTCAGAATGTGAATGATACAGAGGAGGGGGGAACACCCACAAAGTCTTGCAGCCTGTGCTCGAAAGAGCTTGTTGCACACAGGATCGGCTACAGGCAGGAACGTCTTGCGCAGAGACAGAGGAGAAAGCAGCGATCAGGGAAAGAATGGCAGCGACGAGACGGAGAAGAGAAAACATAGCGAGGAGACAGCTAACGTGTAGATGATGAGTGGGGAGGAGGGACAACGCGAAGGGAGTACTGGAACCGTTTTTTTTAAGGCACGAGAGGGGGTTCCTTCAATTCCAATGGGCCTTGGCAACGCAACTGAAGCGAGCACTTGGCATGACTTGCCTAATTTCAACTTTAGGCACCCCACAATATATATCATGTTCCTGGGCTGTGTGTACTCAAGTGCAAAGAAGGGGCCTATTCGGAAAGAGGCCTTTTTGCACCGGGGCAGCGGGCACGATGGGCGGGCAAGGGCTTGGACGCCATTACATAAGTCATACTCATCCACTGTGGATATAACCTTTCAGTAAGAGATACAATAGCTATGGGGTGTTATGTGTTGCGTTCACGACGGGGGTCCGCTTAGCCCAGCGTTCGTGCACTGAATTAGATCCATCACTTGGCTCCTACTATAACAGGCAAGCCATCAACATGTCTGTATCCGTGACAATTGACGCTGATCGCGTTCTTAGTACATACGGCACTTTCAGCTCTTGTCATCCAGAAGGTGAGGAACCTGATGGCATGGGAGCTTCTCATCACAAGATAAATTCATGGCAAGTAATATTTTGCGTAGTTTTCGAATGATCAAGTAACGTTGTAGAATACCTACGATGGATATTCGATTTCCGCGCTGGCGTTCTTGCGCAGGAACCGGAGCAACGAGAAGCCTAACGATATCAAGCATTTCACCAAGATCCAACCATGCAATGGCTTGGCCTTCGTCAACACATAAATTCCTGTCGCGCACGAAACGGAATGTTGTGGATAGTTCCGAGAGGAGAAAGGATCGATGCGGCAATAGGTATAAAAGGAAAGTGGCCTTGCTGAAGACTACGCTCCCTCCTTTCCCTCCGAGGATATTTGCGGTCCGTAAACCCACACGTATCATCACCGCAGTCCAGCAACGTGGGCGCCAAACACGATACCACCGAGAATGACAGCAAGGATGCCATTGCTTCCAGAGAAGACCTTGGCGCCGGGCACAGCGGCTCCAGACTTGTGCACAGGGGAAGAGGTCGGGCCGCCGAATTTGGTGGAAGTGATGCCACCAGGACTGGTGCTGGACCCAGGAGGTGACTCGAGTGAGGTGACCCCACCAGGATCCGTAGCACTAAGCGTGGTCGTGTCATCTGACAACGGGTGGGAAAAACGATCAGTCATATGAACCAAAAAGGTGTGCCGAAACAATGTGTTGATTGTTGGTAACGCACATCTGTCACAAAAGTTTAGCAGATAATAGGTATACTGGTCAAAGTCATTCGGGGTGCAGGACCCGACAGCGCAACTACTGCTGGTTTCTAGAAACGACGCGCTGTAGAAATAGGTCAAGAACCATTTACAAAAGACCCTGGGAGGTTTGTTGGCTCACTTGGTGCAAATGCACTGTTCGGTTCACGGAAGAACGACTGCTAGGTTAGCGAGAAAGAAGAAGGGTGTCGAATATCCTCACTGACAGAGGCGTCGTCCCTACACGTTGGTGAGCCCCAACTACAACTACGAGTCAGGCGAATTATAAAGGACAACTCACAAAGACTTGCAACCTGAGCCCGAAAGAGCCTGTTGCATACAGGTTCGGCCACAGGTGGGCATATTCTGTGCGGAGACAGAGGGAATCAAAACGGCTGCCAGAGGAAATAGAATGGTAGTGACGCGAGGGAAGGCAACCATAGCGAGTTGATAGTTGGTGTGCTTGTACGCACTGGCTAATGAGGGGGGTTGCACGAAGAGGGTTTCAACCGCTTTTTATATCGCAAGGCGGGAAGGGGAAGCGAGCACTGGTAGTTTTACCCAATGTCGACGCTAGGCGCTCAGGGCACCTAGGATATTTATAGGTCATGTTCCTGGCTGCGTATGTCCTCCCCTTTCTGTCATATCAAATGCTAAGATAGGGGGCCCACTCGGGAAGAAGTTTTTTTCGGTGGGGTGCCTAAGTAAACACCAGGGTTCCAGATCGAAGGTTTAGATGCCATCGAGTGCGTGGCACTTTCACATATTTCTTGTCATCCAGAAGGCGATGGCATGGGAGCTTCTACAAGATAGATTCATGGTAAGAAACTTGATTGTAAGGTCAAACGAATATTTTGCGTAGTTTTCGAATGATCGGCGTTCTTGCGCAGGAACCGGAGCAACGAAAAGCCTGACGGTATTAAGCATCTCACCAAGAACCAACCATGCAATGGTTAGGCCTTCGTCAATACATAAGATAGATCCCTAATACCCACGAAACGGAATGTTTTTCGACAGTTTTGAGAGAGGAGAAAGAATCGATGCGACAATATGTATAAAAGGAAAGGGGCCTTGCTGAAGTCTACGCCCCCTCCTTTCCATCCGAAGACATTTGGGGTCCGTGGACCCACACGGATCATCACCGCAGTCCAGCAACGTGGGCGCCGAACACTATACCACCGAGAATGATAGCGAAGACGCCATTGCTTCCGGAGAAGGCCTTGGCGCCAGGCACAGCGGCTCCAGACTTGTGCGCAGGGGAAGTAGGGGATATCGGGCCGCCGAATGTGGAAGAGATGCCAGGACTAGGAGGTGAATCGAGTGAGGTGGCCCCACCACCAACATCCGTACCACTAAGCGTGTTCATGTTATCTGACAAAGGGGAGAAAAAATGTAATAGCGATCAGAACCAAATAGGTGTGCCGAAATCAACAATGTGTTGATTGCTGGTTGAAACGCACATCCTGAACAAAAGTTTTGCATATAATTGGTATACTGCACAAAGTCATTCGAGCTACAGGACACGTAAGCGCAACTACTGCTGCCTTCTAAAAACCACGAGCTGTAGAAATAGGTTAAGAACCGTTTTCGAGAAAGTCAAATTTGTTGACTCACCTGGTGCAAATGCACTATTCGGTCCACGTAAGAACGAATGCTAGTTCAGCGAGAAAAAAAAAGGGTGTCGAATATTCTCACTGACAGAAACGTCGTCCCTGTACGTTGATGAGCCCCAACTATGAGAATTGTACGAGTCAGGCGAATTATAAAGGAACAACTCACACCGACTTGCAACCTGAGCCCGAAAGAGACTGTTCCATACAGGTTCGGCCGCAGGCGGGCACACCCGCCGCGGAGACGGAGGGGATCAAGACAGCTACCAGAGGAAATAGGATGGCAGTGACGAGACCGAAGAAGGCAACCATAGCGAGTTGATAGCCGGTGTGCTTGTACGCACAGGCTGATGGAGGGGCACGAAGAGGGTTTCAACCTCTTTTTATATCACAAAGCAGGACTGTCGACGTCAGGCACTCAAGGCACTCAAGGCACCTAGGATATATATAGGTCTTGGCTGTGTATGTGCTCCTTTTCTGTCATATCAAATGCTAAGAAAGGGGGGCCTATTCGGAAAGGGTTTTTTTTTTGGTGAGGCGCCTAAACACCAGGGTTCCAGAGCGGCGGGAAGGCTTGGATGCCATCGAGTGCGTGGTACCACTTCCGGTAAGGGTCTAAGTGGGCTCGGAGGCTCCACGACTACCGATCAGGACGCTTCAGCCCACCCTCACTGATGCCGTCGTTGGCTCTGATCTAGGGTCCATTGTGGGTACCGAACTAATGTTTGCTATAACAAGCTAATATGGTGACAACTGGGGCTGTGCAAGAACCGAGAGAAAAGGAAAACGCCATGGTTTCCACCGAGACACACTGGATTATTTTCGAATGATCAGGTTGTGGGAGAACAGGGGGTCCGTGGGCAGGCAATAGCTTGGATACCATCGGGTGCATACTCACGCAGCGTGGATATGGCTTTCAGGACTGTGAGGGATCCAACTACTTAATAGTCCAGATATCAGGTCCGCTGTGCGACCCTATTCCATCAAGTGGGCATCTACCATAATAAGCAAGTCATCAGCATGCTCCGTGTTCACGATCGCGACACGTTTGCAAGAACCAAAGAAAGGAGAATTAAAAGTCCAATGGTGTCAAGCTTCTCATCACATGAATTCATATTACGAAACATAATGTAAGGACAAGGATACTTTTCGAATGATAAGGTTATGGGAGAAAAATACGAAAGAGGTGGAAGGAAGAACAAAAATACTGGCGCCGAGAATCCGTAAGCCACACATCATCACTACAATCCAATTGCGTAAGCGCCGAACATGACACCTCCAAGAACGAGAGCGAGAACAAGGTCGCTTCCAAAGAGGACCTTCGCACCAGGTGCAGCGGCTCCAGACCGACTAGTTGAGTGGGCAGAGGCAGTGGTGCTCGAGCCTGAGCCGGTGCCAGGACTGGTGGTGGAAGTCACGTTAACATTGTGGGTGGAAGTCGCGCTGCCACTGAGGGTGGAGTTCCCAGGCTTGCTCGTCGGGAGAGAGATAGTGGAGGTGAGACTGGGAGGGAGGGAGAATGTAGTGGTGGCAACTGTAGAAACAATGATCAGTAGTAAACCAAGGCGGAGAATTAATAATGGCTTGATGGTTCACGCACAGTTTGTACAGAGTTGTTTTTGGGCAGCAGCAGCCAGAGCAACGTCCGTAGCATTACAATTCTCGAGGGTGCAAACGCCAGCGGAGTCGAAGAATTTTTCGCTATAAGAAGGGGTCAGGGACGCCTATATGAGGGCCAAAAAAACATGTGGAAGGGTTGGCTCACTTATTGCAAACGCACTGTTTGGGTTTGTGGAAGGCAAGTTAGCGGGAGAAGGATAGCGAAGGGAATGCTCACGAACGGTGAGGTCAGTCCTGTCCGTCAAAGGGAGTGAATTGTCAGCATTCCAGAGTCGTGAACCATGGAAAGACTCACAATGAAGTGCAATTTGAGCCCGAAAGGGCTTTGACAGCACAGTTCTGGGCGCAGCTAGGAATAGTCTGCGCGAAAACAGAGAAGAAGGTGGCAGCGAGCGGAAGGAGAACAGGGGCGAAATGGAAGAAGGCAACCATCGTGAGCTGGGAGCTGGCGTGTAGCTGCTGAGGAACAGTGCTAAGGATGGGCCGACTTCTATTTATATACTATCGCTAGGGCAAGAGAGGATTGCCCCCGGACACCCCTCTGATCATGTCAAATATGGAATCCCAAAATATCCCTCCCGATTATTTGTCACGGCAGCAAGCGCTGGACAAAGCTGTGCCTTCTTCGAGAAGTGTTTGCGAAAAATTAATTATCTAGCCTCGCAACTCGAGCGAGAGTGAAGTGAGCTCCGTCTGCCAGACTGTCGCACTATCCGTTTCTGTTTCTCGGCTTCCCTCATGCATGAGTGCCCGGCCCCCAATCATCAAGCCTGACAATACGACAACCATCATTTTTTTCCCCGACAATTCTGATGCACCTTGGATTTAGGCAGGATCCCAGCGCTTGGACTATGTAGTTAATGAAAGAACCCACGCATCAATTAAAGCCGTCATATCTGCACGAAATTACATGGACATCGCTAGTATAGGAAAATGCAGTGCTAGGGCTACTGCCTCGTCGCTCTCACCCCTTGCCGCATCCCTACGGTACTGTGGCGTAGGTAGGAGGGCCCCGGCCCCTGTATTACATCAACCGGGGGCGAATTGTCCCTACGACCGGGGGTGCAGACTAAATGGGTACAAACCAGGGGAATTGCCCATGCCGAATAACCGCTGCCTATACTACATCCTGAGGACTTCAACTTGTACAACAGCGCTGTGGCCATGATTGGAATGAAATTGTTTTTGTGTGCGATATGGCATGTCAGCGCCCGCCACGGTTATTACATGCCCCCATGCATGGGTCCCAAGTGCCAACAGGATCACAGCAATCTCTAATGCACTGGTCGAGACCTTCAATGTTATCCGGGAAATCCTGTACTCTGCAAATTTTTATTTGGCCTCATTTCTCTTCAATTGGAATCTTCGATTTCTACGGTCAACCTCGATTATCTTGCGATGTGCAGATACAAGATTCGTGGATGGACGTTTGGAAGGAGATGTTCGGGTTTTCGGCTGGCCGATTCTTGTTTTGCTCTCCCACAAAGGCTCAAAGGGCAACGAGAGATTTGGAACAGAGGAAAGAGCGAATTTTCTTATTCACTAGTTAATGTAGTCTAAATACGGAAAACACCAGTAGCTCTCTTTGGTGGGCAGCCTGACCTCGGAGCATTTTCGTGGCTCACGCTTGACTCTGTCATCCGGATAGGGTGAAATATCTGCGGGGAATTCCGGGATAGGAAACAGGCCTTCCATCTACGACGTTCAGCCACAGAGTATCACTGCAATCCAATTGCGTAAACACCGAGCACGGCGCCTCCAAGAACAACAGTCAAAACAGGGTTGCTTCCAAAGAAGACCTTTGCATCAGGTGCTGCGGCTCCAGACCGGCTCGTAGTGGGAGTAGATGCAGTGGAATTTGAGCCTGATGAGGAGGATGAAGATGATGAAGATGACGTCGATGAGAAGGAGGAGGATAGAGACGGGGATGAGGGCGAAGATGAGGATGGCAATGTTGATGGCAGTAGCGATGAGGATGAGGGTGAAGATGAGGATGGCAAGGGTAATGGCGGCAGCGATGAGGATGAAAATGGAGATGACAAAGATGATGACAACAGAGATGAGGGTGACGATGAAGATAAGGATGGCAATGGCAATGGCAATGATGATGGTAATGGTAATGGCGGTAGCAAGGAAAATGAAGATGACGATGAGAACAAGGGTGACGATCGCAATCGCGATGGCAACAGCAATGGTGGCAATGGCAGTGGCAATGGTAATGGTGGTGGTGATGAAGGGGTTGGGCTGGGTGATGATGATGACGACGACGAGAACGGGTTCATTCTAGAGTGCCAGCCCAAGCTTAACGATGATGCCGAATTGGTGGTGGACGTCACATTAATGCTGTGAGTGCCGTCCCCAGGTGTGCTGGTAGATGTCGGGATATAAAGAACAGAGGTGAGACTGGAAGCAAAGGTGAAAGTAGTGGTGGCGACTGTTGAAACAATGATCAGTGCTGAACCAAGATGACGAATTAATCCTGGCCACGCACAGCCTGCACAATATTTCACTGCAACAACATAAGCCTGGGTAATTTCCGGAGAGGTACAAGCCTTGTTGGCGCAAAGGCCCGTAGAGACGAAGAATGGTAAGCTAGAAGAAAGGTCAGTGTCCCACTTGTATTGGGGTAAAAAGTACAGGCGAGCTCACCTATTACAAACGCACTGTTTGGGTTCGTGGGACACGAGTTAGACGTAAAAGGACTGACGACAGGGCGGAACATTCACGAACGCGGAGGTCAGTCCTGTCCGTCAGGGGGGCCCGATTGTCAGAATTGCAGAGTGGTGGAATCATGGAGACTCACAGTGAGGAGCAACCCGCAACGAAAAGGGCATTCATAGCACAGTTCTGGGCACAGGCAGGAAGAGTCTGTGCGGAGACAGAGAAGAAGGTGGCAGCGAGTGGGAGGAGAGCAGCGGCAAACCGGAAGAAGGCAACCATGGTGACCATGGTGAGTTGGGAGCTGAAGTACGGCTGCTGAAGAAGCGTAGGAGGGGTGGAGTCTACCTCTATTTCTATGGTAAGGCTCAGAACAGTCGACAGGTAAAATTCCATTGGACTATTCTGCATTTACGGAAAATAAATCAGGATCTGCCATCGATCATCAAAGAAGACAGCGAAATAACGAAGAAGGGATTTAGAGTTGATACGCGACGCCAAGCTTCTTGACAGTGCAGCGAGAGTGCGTCTCATATAGGTCATATCCTAACATCCGTGCATATTTCTGCTGTGTAGAAGATTTTCTTGAGCTTCGCCCTGTTGGCAGGCGTTGGGAGTTATCATGCTTTCAGCAGGTCTCACTGTCGACACGGCCATCTGGACAAGATACGATCTCGCACATCAGCATACCATATTGTGTTGAGATGCTCAGCATTAGCAGAGTTTGTTGCAGAGATATATGCCAGGCTAAGCCGAGGACTTGCAACCGGAGAAGCACGCATACACAGAATGGCACCAAGTATGGCACCAAAAATGATTGTTCCGATAACGACGCGTCGGCGGTTGATTTGAGCGCTATGAGCCACAATCGAATGGCAGCACTCATAATATCGTTACGCCATGCGATCGGCCTATTTTATTTGCCATGACCGAGTGATGGCCATTTGATAAAGCCGCCCTGCATTAATGATCCATTGAGAGACCATGGTATGCTCAAGTTTGGCAGAAGGTCGGATGGTAGTCGACGGAGAGCATTCATGGGGGCGTTGATTCTATTCCGGTTAAATAGAGGTTGAGAACTTCCCGAGACACTGATGTGAGCGCACACATCACATTCGATCAGTGGATGGTCTGAGTCTGGGTTCGGTCGCGTCAGCACGCGCGGAACACTGGGGCTTGCTCGGCATCCTTCTAACTCGGAGCAAAGTTCTCACGCTGCCGCGGAAGCAAACCATTGCCAACACCTTGACGTGTCCTGGAACAAGGGACAATGGCCAAGTTTCTCCACCAGTTAAATAATGCACTTTTAGGGCCGGCCGGGAAGCCCCCGCCAGCTGCTCTTGATACGATTCAACGTATTACCGACCGATTGACACAATCCTCTCTCATAACGGACCGACGCGCCGCTGTGCTTTCACTCAAGGGACTCTCGCGTGATTGGAAAGCTGAAGTTGGGCAGCATTCTCTTGACGCTCTGCTTGCCGTGCTACAAATAAATGCTAAAGAAGATCCTGACATTGGGAAAGCCACTCTGGAAACTCTTGTCATTCTCTGTGACGCAGATGCCAATGACCCAGAAACTTTAAGACAACATTCTGCGTCCTCTAAGGACGACTTGGGGCTGAAACACACGGACGTGTTTCTATCAGTAAGTCCTCGCCTCCGCTGACAACCAAGTTGACATTAACGTTAATGTCACATGGCTCACCGAAATAGACGTCTGAGCCCACTCATACACTACTGTACCTCCTCACTAGAACAGAGTTCTATATTCGTTTCACTGCTGTCCAACTCCTCGCGATTCTTCTTCAAAACAGACCCCAACAGCTCCAGCAACACTTCCTGACCGATGCCGATGGCCCGTCATCTATCCTTGCCATCATTACCGAAAAGCGGGACATCATCCGTAATGAGGCCCTTCTATTAACCCAACAACTCATCGCCAATAATATCGATATTCAAAAAGCACTCGCGTTCGAAAGCATTTTTGAAAATCTCCTAAGTATCATAACGAAAGAAGGTGGAATAGAAGGCGGCATCCCCGCACAAGATTGCTTGATCATTGTCGATGGACTACTGGAAAATAATCCTTCGAATCAGTCTTACTTTAGGGAACTATCTTTACCGTCTACTTTGCCTTCGATAATGCTTTACCCATCACCGGTCCCTACACCTGATCAGTCCACTCCGCAGGAGTTTAGTCTACAGTTCTGGGATACCCAGAAGATTACGAATGCCACTGTGGCTATTTCGATTATGGGGACCTTGTCGAAAGGAAAGGGTGCTAGTCAGGTGCGTGACGTTGACTTCTTTTGTTCCGTAGATGTTGAACGTATACTTTGATAGAGATCTTTGGAACAAAGCGGAATGACACGGTGCTTGATCGACTTGGCTTTATCCAGTAACGCGCCTACTATGCTGAAGACTCAGGTACGGCTTCTGATCCAATCTTAAGTTACACAGCGTCGTTCCCACTCAAGTCCAATGCCATCATGATTGCAGGCATTGGCTGCATTATCCCCCAACACGAGCTTCTCGCAATTTATATCAGCTTATATCCCGGTTCCAGACACGAATGGAGAAGAATGGGATCGTTTGCCGGAAGAACCGGCACTAAGTGCACTGGTTGGGCTTGCCTTGGATGGCGAATATGGAGGCGTTCTTATTGGAGTCCCGGGTTCGACTCCCAAAGAAGCGGATGCATTGAATTTAAGAGTTGCCGCAGCGTCTCTGATCGACGTAAGTGATTCTTTTGTGCGGAGCAAAGTTCAGGGCAAGCAAAGGGGAAGAAGCTGATCTCATTACTTATTGGACTATCGTTTAGAATCATCTATCCTCCAATCAGGATGAACGATTAGCCCTTCTGAGAAATATGGAAGTCCGATCGCAGCCGCCCTCTCCTACGCCATCCGGTGAGAGAGAAATTTAATATTCTGTCACAAAAGGACGTTTTCCAACTCGTTCATCGATCTTCTTTCGCATCCTCTCAGATGAACTCTCCCCATCACTCCGAATCCTTCATGTCCTAGGCGAACCTCCTTCATCACCACTCTCTCCCAGCGCCGCTCAAAGGATCCTCTTTTCCACAATCCTTTTCACATCACTCATCAACGGCTCAGATAAATGCAAAATAGCGGCAATGGAAATTTTGCCCTCTGTGTCTCTATCAGGCCCCGAACCCGCAGATGAGGACCCGCCTCAGACATTTATCGCTACTGTTGCTGGCTCTGTAGCCCTAGCGTTTAGAGCTAAGGCTCAGTTGAGGGATCAAAGGTCTGCGGAGCCTGTTGGTGAGGCTGTGGAATGGGATAGAATCATCGTTTCGTACCTGTCCTTGTTGTCGATTTGGTGTTGGGATAACCCTACAGGTGTGAAGGAAATTCTGGAAGAAGGTGGTGTGTTAGGGGCGGTGAGTGATACAGAATTCGGGCAGGGAATATGGGGGAGTCCATTTTCTCATCCATTTCCTATTTTTAGATCGTGGAGCCGATAATGCAAACGTCGGGTGTGGATGTTCTTGTCCAGGGCTTGTGCGCGTTCCTGCTTGGGATCTGTTACGAGTTTAACAGGAACCCAGGTGAAATCACTCGGTATGTTGCCTCCTACCTGGCTGCCCGCCATCCATATACCTGATTTCTCCATCATCAGTGCAACCATCCACTCGATAATACATTCCCGGATAGGTCTAGACACCTTCACTTCCCGAACTTCGCGCGTTCGAGAGGATCCGAGGTTCAAATCTGTATCTATTGAATCACCGATTCTATTCTTTGATAGTGAAGGGTATGAAGTGCCATCTGATGCTCCCGACGCTCGGCCAACGATTTGGTTGAACGGGTCATTTGTGGAGTTTTGGAAGAGTAATGCTTGTAAGTAGCTGTCATTTCGTGGTTCGATGACTGAGTTCCGCTTTCAATAGATTCAGTACAGAAGTCGGTTGCTAATGATCCGAATGCAGTATCGGCCGCGAGAGGTGATTCGTTCCCCAATCCACCGCCATACTTTACCGCGTCCTGAAATTATAGCTTGTAGATTTAGACCCTGAAACGGAAGCTTTGATCACGTCTCTCAAGTCTATCATACGTTCACAAGCACTAGAGCTGGAGAAGATAAATGGAGCCCTCACCGAGGCTCATGAGCAAATTGAGCAATTGCAATCTCAGCCTCCACCCACTGAGGTGAATCGACATTATCGGCTCTCTTCAGGTTTCCGTTTCTAACTCTGTGCTTAGCAGGAAGCTAAGGTAGCCCCGTTGACTGAGGCCGCTAATGAGACATCAAATGCTCAGATCGCGCAGCTGTCAGAGCGCATTGACGCATTAGAGGCAGAGCTTGCGCAAGAGCGGAGCAGGAGACAGACTGTCGAGAAGGAGCAAGAAGATCTACTTGTGCTTCTTGATGAGCTGAACGCGAAACGGCGAAGCGATAAAACTAGAATGCTGGAGAAGGGGCTGGAGGTAAGCGAAGACGAAGAAGAAGAAGAAGAAGAGGATGAGGATGAGGATGAGGATGAGGACGGGGAAGGGGAAGGGGGAGATAAAGGGCACGAGGATTGAGTAGCGTCGACGTCGGTGACCTTCCGTTAATTTATCGTCATGTCATAAACTGGATATTGATGGTCCCGCCGAGCTCGCTGGATGTGAAATTAATTATATAATTTGACCTTTTGGGTGGGGCATTCAATTGATTTTTTGCCCGTGGGAAAATGCGTGGCCACTACTCTGGTCTGGGATGACAGTGGCCGCAAGCTCACCATTCAGTCTGAGGGGAACCCTGATATATAACAAATGTGGCTTGGTATTGAATCCAATGAAAGCAAGTGGATTCGGAATTTAGCGTAGCTCCCACTGGCTTGAGAACCACACTTGTCCCTTCTCACCTCCTCACATATAGCTTTGCCTCCCTCGAGCTTCTCACAACAACTATCAACCATCTAGGAACCAGGACGAGCATTGGCGTGATATTCTCTAGCTATTATGAGCACTGACGAGATCATACTTGTCGTCGGGGCAACCGGTTATACGGTATGCCGATTGTCGAGTGGGCTTGCGCTGAAATACCGTCTTTTCTCAACAAATTCCACGGGTGGTTTGACCATCATCAGGGCCGCCTCGTAGTAGAGAACCTTACAAAACATTCAAACCGGTCGTTCAAACTACAGCTTGGGGGTCGCTCGGCGTCGAAATTGAACGCGCTGGTCTCGGAACTGGGCCTTAAAGGGGTGGAAACTGTCGTTGTTGATACGTTGAAGGAGGATCAGGTCAACAAAGCTGTACAGGGCGCTTCTGTTGTCATCGCTTGTGCTGGTCCATTTCATCGCTGTGGAACCCTTGTCCTTGCGTGAGTTGTTTCCCCCGTTGCTGTCCCGAAGGAGGGGGTCTAACTGTATATTTGGAAATCAAGTGCATGCGCCCGTTATGGAAAGCATTATACTGATATCACAGGCGAGCCCTGGTGGATCGAGGAGATGATAAAGAAGTGAGATTCCTCTTCCTCGCCGCCCTTCTCTCATCCGAAATCCCATTATAAATGTTATCCAGATACGATTACCTTGCGTTCAAATCGGGTGCCACTATTGTCCCATCCGGAGCTTTCGACTCCGTTCCTTCTGATCTTCTCGCGTTTGTCGGAGTTCAGAAATTGAAGGAAGTCGCCGGACTGGACGTGAAAGTCGGAAAGAGTATTACTGGACACGCAGTGCAAGGCGGGGTTTCTGGGGGGACGTGGACTACACTTACAAGCGCTTTCGACGAAGTCCCTTCCTCAGTCATTGCCAAAGCAATTGAACCTTTCACACTGAGCCCTGGTGCGTCATTTTTTATGCCATAAGGGATTAGACTCGTTTTTATTTCTTTTCAGTCAAGGGGACTTCGACAGGCGGTCGAAAGTTATTCTTTTCCTTCCCCAAGGAACTCGGCCTTCGCACTCATGGGTCTTTGTTTTTCATGGCTTTTACGAACATTAGTATCGTTCAACGAACCTGGGGGTTATACGAGTCGGGACAGTACAGCGATAAACCAACAACGGAATTGAAGTATGGAGATTCCTTTGAGTACGAGGAATTCATGGTGCTCCCGGGTAGCAAAATCTTGAGCTACTTCTTTTCCATTTTCCTGCTGTGGGGACTCTTGCTCTTGTATACCTTCCCTCCAGTATGTCACATTCCATGCCGATATTGGAGCAATCGTTACTTATTTTCTAATACCCCTGAAAGGCGAGATGGCTTGCTCACCGCTGGGGACCGAAAGCGGGCTCGGGACCTTCCGAAGAGTGGGCAATTACGCTGTTTTGACACGATGTCGGTCGTGTGACTAATCGACCTCCAAATCCTAATATCTAGAGTGAGGAAAAATGGACGGTATCGTGGGACCAACATCACTTCCTCAATACCATCGCCTTCATCGCCTGTCACGCGATACGTGAAGTCAACATTCAAAGGAACGAATGATCCTGGATATGGATTAGGCGCTGGTACGTTCGCTATATTTACTCTCAAGTCAAAGATTTCTCATCTTTCAAAAAAAAAAAAAATCCACTCGCTGCCTCATATCTTAGTGATGGTATCAGAGATTGCGCTTGCGCTGCTTCCCTCCGCTCGTTCCAAACTTACTCCTATTGGACAAAAAGGTGGAGTTCTCACCCCGATGAGCGCTCTTGGCTTTACGTTGGTAGAGAGGTTGAATGCCACAGATCGGATTACGATCGAATCTGAAGAAATCGTTCCTAGCCGGACCCGAAAAACACAGTGAACAAGTACCAAAAGTTGGTTTGTTGGTCCAGTATTCTACTGTTTTCTTGATTGCTCTGCGCTGGCTGTGATTGTGCTTCCGAATGCTTGCTATTCTAGATGAACTACATTTAGAAAACGGATCTCTTGTGTTACGTGAGATTTGATATTGACAATATTGGTATATGTCGCATTCGTGAGCCACAACGCTTGGCTATGACTCTACCTTGGACCAATCGATGGTTCCACGCCTTCATCGATCAGATTCTGTGGGACATTGGGCGAATTTGTAGGTCGGAGCGATGTGCAGGTCTCTTCGTCCCGGGGGGGGGGGGGAGGGGATTTCGTGCTGAAGCAGTCAGCAGGTTAGGAACGACCAGATTGTGCGTATCCTTCTCCGAAAATGTCTAACCTGCGCAGGCACACCTTTGGTCAGAATCATACTTCGGAGGGTTCTGCCCGAGCTTGGCCGAGGATCCTGTCATTTTGTGGCCGATCTCAATTCGATCGGCTTGACAGGGGTTAAGGCCACAAAAACCCAATCCTGACTGGTCGTTTCCAACCTCATTTTCCCTCCAGTTTAAGCCTCAAATCGCGGCCGTCTGCTGCGACCATGATCAACGCACGGGTGACGGGATGAGCTGTGAAGATTTTATCATCGTTATCAGGGTAACAGCCCGGGTCTTTAGTCGATCCATTGAGCCTGCGACAATTTGAGTTCTCAACAGGCTCTGCGATGTTGGGTCACAAAGGCCGCCTTGGGAAAATATCTGAACCCAACGTCCAGGCTCCAGCTTGCTGGGCGTTCAGTGTCCAAGCTGCATGCAGTTATTTCGGAACTAGGCCGTAAAGAGGTGCAGCCTATCATTTCTGAACGTTCAAGGGAGACCGTACCAATTAAGGAGCTAGAGCTTCTTTTGGCTTGGCTGGGAAGTTTAGCGCATGTGCTCATCATAAAAAGGATTTTACTGATACCACGGGCGAGTGCTGGTGGATTAAGGGGATGGGTAACAAGTGAGTCTTTCCTGCGTCGTTGGATGCTAGCCAGGAACAGACATGGTGTCCAAGGAGGGTTCCTCTTCCCTCCGCTCGTTCTAAACTTATGCATATCGGGAAGGAGGTGAGATTGATTCTCACCCCAATGAGTGCCCTTGGGTTTGGTGGAAAGATTGAACATGATGGACTGAACTATGATTGAGTCTAGGGAAGTCGTCGCCCCGCGTGAGGGCTTAAAGACGACCCCTGACAAATTCAAATAGAGCCGCGTCTGTTGCAGGATGATTTCCCTCTCCGTTGCTTTCTGGCTGCTATTTGGATGCTACGTATATCTCAGAACTTGTTTAATGATTGGTGCGCTTCATACCACTTTGAGAACTTGGCCACATCTAAGCGCCGTCAATCGCCAGCTGCCGCGGACTATTCCGATCACGTTCGCGTGGCGCTAATTAGCTGTTGAGTACATTGAAACGTGGAGAAACGCGCCTCCAATGCGCGTCATCACGCTTCTCCTAAATTCCATCCTCCCAGGAACGATACTTTTATCTCATGCCTTCAAAGCACACGATTTTAAGACCTGTTCACAATCCGCATTTTGTCGACGTGGAAGGGCCTTAGCTCAACGTGCATCTGAAAATGCATCATGGTCATCCCCTTATCATATTGACGCAGAAACTGTTTCCTTTTCACCTTCTCAATCTTCACTGACTGCTCGAGTAACGTCCTTCCTCTACCCCGAAATTCACTTTCAACTTCAAGTGGATATTCTGAAAAATGGAGTTGTTCGAGTTCGCATGGACGAGATTGGCGGGTTGAGGAAACGCTATGATGAAGCTGCTTCTTGGGCACTTATCTCAGAACCTGCATTGAGGGATGATGACCTTAACTGGGTTGGATTTAAGAAGGGGAAGAAAGGTGGGGTTGTCAAAGCCGCTTACGGAGGGGTGGAGTTGGCTATTTCATATTCGCCTTTGAAGATCACCCTTCTTAGGAATGGTCGTGAGGAGGTGGTGCTGAACGGACGTGGATTGTTGCATATGGAACATTTCAGGAACAAGCCCAATCAAACCGATGAAGGCGAGGAGCGGCCATCAGAACTGGAAGGTGAAGGGGGGGAAGGGATTGAAGGGACTAGAGAGCAAACTGTGTTGAAGGAGCCAGCAAACGGTAATGCCTGGTTCGAGGGAGAGGAAAAGGATGGGTATTGGGAAGAAACCTTCTTGTCTTGGACGGACAGTAAGCCTAAAGGTAAGCAGCTTCAGTCTTTCACCAAATACAAATACGAGATCTCTCATCCCATATACAACGTGTAGGCCCCGAGTCTCTATCCCTCGATGTTGACTTCCCAAACCATGGTCATGTTTATGGTATCCCACAGCATGCTGCGTCCCTCTCGCTGCCTTCAACTATCGGTGCAAATCCGCACTTCTCAGACCCTTTCCGTCTTTACAACGGTGATGTATTTGAGTACGACGCCGATTCCCCCGTTTCGCTCTATGGCTCCATTCCTTTGATGCACGCTCACTCTGCTGAATCTACCGTCGGTATCTTTAATGCCCTGGCATCCGAAACGTGGATTGACATTCTTGGCTCTCCAACCAATACATCCATCGCAACCCATTGGATTTCAGAATCTGGAATTCTTGACTTATTCATCTTGCCCGGTCCCACGCCAGACGATGTTTTCGCTCAATATGCTTCTTTAACTGGGACGACTCCACTTCCTGCACATTTCGCCATTGCTCATCATCAGTGCCGATGGAACTATGTTTCCTCTGATGATGTGCGTACTGTCTCTAAGAGATTCGATGAAGATGATATGCCTGTGGATGTTATCTGGCTGGACATCGAATATTCTGAGGAACACAAGTACTTTATTTGGGATGAAAAGACGTTCCCTGATCCTGTTGAGATGGCTAATGACGTTGCCTCCGTTGGTAGGAAGGTTTGTTCCATCCTTTTGGTTGTGTTGCGACGACTAGAACTTCGAACGGATTAGATGGTAGTCATCATCGATCCCCATCTGAAGAGAACTTCAGACTATCCAGTCTTCGCTGAGGCAGAAGCCAAGAAGATTCTTGTGAAGAAAGCAAATGGGGAGGATTACGAAGGCTGGTGTTGGTCGGGAAGCTCAGCATGGGTTGATTTCTTTCATCCCGACAGTTGGGAGTGGTGGCATAAGCTTTTTAGTCTTACTGGGAAGACCGAAGGTTGGAGATGGGCGAAGAGTACAGATACGATCTTTATTTGGAATGATATGAATGAGGTAATGCAACTCAGATCCTAGCGCTGTTTCCCAGCTAACGCTGAAGTATTTTCGTTTAGCCTTCTGTCTTTAATGGTCCCGAGATTACGATGCCGAAAGATAGTATTCATTATGGTGGTTGGGAGCACCGTGATGTTCACAATATCAATGGAATGCTTTACGTGAGCTTCTTTCGCTTTAGAATGCGTAGTTGCATTCATTGTACGCTTCCCATTAGCATAATCAAACATCTCAAGCTGTAATGAGACGAGGAACGGAACTCAAGAGACCATTCGTGCTCTCTCGATCTTTCTTCGCTGGTTCACAACGCTTTGGCGCTATCTGGACTGGTGACAACTTGGGGACCTGGGAACATATGGCCGTCGGGATTCCAATGACCCTTAGTAACGGCATTGCTGGCATGACTTTCGCTGGGGGTACGCGGCCGATTCCTTGGCTCTTGAACCGCCTGACTTAGACTTTGTTTCTCTAGCGGACGTTGGTGGATTTTTCGGCAACCCTGACGTCGAGATGCTTGTGCGCTGGTACCAAGTTGGAGCCTTTGGTCCGTTCTTCCGCGCACATGCGCACATTGATACGAAGCGACGAGAGCCTTACCTCTACAATGAGCCTCACAAGTCAATGTTCCGGGATATTCTCCGACTTCGGTATTCGCTACTTCCTATGTGGTATACAGCTTTCCGAGAGACAAGCGTAACCGGGCTTCCTCTCCTACGGTATATTTCCCCCCAATAATCTCAGTACAATATACTAATGTTCACGGTCTGATAGCCCCCACTATGTGGTCTTTCCCAAGGACACTCGTGGTTTTGCGATCGATGATCAGTATTATGTTGGCAGTTCGGGTTTGCTTGTCAAGCCTGTGACCAGTCCAGGAGCAGAAACCGCCGACGTCTACCTCGCTGAAGATGAAGTATGAGTTGCGCGAGTTGGCATCCGGATCCTATAACTAATTACTACCCTGACTCACAGGTCTACTACGATTACTTCGATCGTCAGGTCTATCGGGGTGCCGCCTCTGGTACGACCGTGACCGTCCCTGCACCTCTTTCTAAAATTCCACTACTCCGCCGAGGTGGTTCGATTATCTCCACTCGTCAAAGACCCCGTCGCGCATCGCCTCTGATGAAGAACGATCCTTTCACTCTTACTATCGCTCTCGACAGGTCCGGGACCTCTGCCAAGGGCGACCTATACTTGGATGACGGCGAAACTTATGCATTTGAGAAAGGTGAACTCGCCTGGCGTGGATTCAGAATCAGCCCAGAACACAACAAGAAGAACTCTCCACTTGTTCTTCATAGCGAAGATCTCGTCACCCTTCACAAGGGCAATGACGTTGTTGATGGCGTCCAGATCAAATCCTGGGATCCCCGGAACGCCTTCGCACAGAGTATAGCTCGCGTATATGTGGAGAGGATTGCAGTGTTAGGATTAGAAAAGGAACCCAAGAGCGTAAATGTTGTCGGAGGGAAAGGCTTGGAATGGACTTTCTCGAAGGGGACTGGAGCGAAGGGGAAGAAAACTGGAGTAGCCAGTGCGCTGACAATCAAAGCACCTGGGGTGCTCGTCGTTGAGGATTGGCAAATCAGAATTGAGTTGTAGACTATATACAAAGCTAAGCGCTAATGGAGTTAGGTTCATTGCATTGCAAGAGGGCGGCGAGCATTGCTGGGAGCTAGTAGCCGGGCGCGCCCGGCCTCCCCAACGTACTTATATATGCAAGGAGCACAAATGGTCATGGAGATAAGGTATTTGGTATGCTCAAACTACCCATCGAGATAACACCAAAGTCCGTCCATTCGATTGCCCATACCGTCGTGAGTCGGGATTGCCTTGACATAGGCCCGATGAAGATAGGAATGCTTTATAATAGAAGTCCCAGGCCCAAATAGTCCGTTTGGGCATGCACAGAAGCATCAAGGAGGCTATCATTTTAGGTGCCACTGTCCACGGCGCCAGTGTCTGAGGGGCTACCGCGGTAGGACGGGCGATGAACTCAAAGATTACTATGACACGGATGCATAGCATAGGTTCTACGACGTCGCTGGACAGACTTGGGCTTCCTAGAAATAACTCTTATTCTCTGCTTTCTTTCGAATACGTGTCAGCTCCACTTGCACTAATATCTTCTCCTTTTACCCTTCACCGAATCGTGCCTTCATCATTCCCTCCCTTTGAACCATAATTGATTCGTGAACATAAGCATCGCATGCAGTGCGCGAAGCATGCCAAACACGCGCTTTAGTATCTACAGCGGACTGTGAGAAAAAAAGAACAGAGGCGGCATGCAGGCGAACATTTCTAACCGACGCTGCCGATGTTCGCCTTTCAGTGGCAATCACCAGGTAAGTTTAAGCGTGAACACATTGCAGATCTGAACAAATGCTGAGATACTCACAGATATCCACTGGTGTATCATAGCTGGGGGTCCCTTTCATCGCCTCTGGAATTGTCCCGCTCAAGGACGATCTGATACGAGCCTGGGAAACGTAAGAGGACGTAACGGCTGAATCGCAGGAAATCCGCTAAGGATTCTTCGAACGGTTGAGGGTTAGGAAGGGTGGGAACGCCTCCTACATAGTCGGGGCGTTCGGTCGAGCGGCTTTGCGCAGAAACGCTAGCAAGATCAGGAGCGCCAGACTGATTCTGCAACTCGATGGGGAACGTAGGAGCAAAGACCCCAAGGGAGGCTGCGAAGTTGGGTACGGTTGGCGTAGCTTGGACTTCATTGCTTAGAATTGGCGAGCTTCCGGTCAACACCCCATCGAATGCTACTGCTTGGGGGATATCAATCGAACTTGATTGATGGTGTGATGTTCCAATGGCCGATGCGGTGGCCGCTAATGAACACGCATATCGAAGTCCCCCGCACTCTGAGCAAATGTTGGCGTGACTCCCTGGTGTACAAGCCTGCCAATGTTGTTGAGAATGGCGACCGAATCAGAGATGATACGCTACCTTATGCCGCATTCGGCAACTGGTACATTTGAGTTTGCGAGAGCCAGGCATCCGGACTGAAAGTAAGGCAGGTAAGTAAACTAGTAAGGTACGAGCCAGTAGACGAGGCAAGTGAGACGCGGGCAGACTAGGTAAGTAGAAAATGAGTAAGTAGCAAACTAGTACAAGAGGTAAGTTAAGACCTCACGATTAAGGTGTACCAGGGTAATGAGTGATGAATGGACTATTCGTAAGTCTACTTATACAACCCAGACTTTATGTTTGTGGTGTGGCAGCGCGCAAGGTAACAATCAGTTTGCGCGTGGATGACACAAAGTAAGGCGCGCCGCGGAGCACGCAAAGCAAAACCATCACCGGTGACTGTACACAACAGCAAGGCAGTGCATGCTGCGCGCTTGGAATGGACTTTCTCGAAGGGGACTGGAGCGAAGGGGAAGAAAACTGGAGTCCTCGTTGAGGATTGGCAAATCAGAATTGAGTTGTAGATTATATACAAAGCTAAGCGCTGATGGAGCTGTTCATGGCGTTGCAAGAGGGCGAGGAGCATTATTGCTAGGGGCAGATTCGGTCATAAAGGGGCAAATATGCGCAGGCCCATCCGTCAGCATACATTTATAGGAACACATGGAGATGAGGTATTTGGCATGCTTATGTAAGCTGTTCATCGATAAAACACCAAAGTCCATTCGAACGCCCATATATATCCTGATTGTCTTGAGACTGGCCCGATGCAGATAGGGATGCTTTAGAAGTCCCCAAATAGTGCGTTGGGCACGCACAGAAGCATCAAGGAGACTATCATTCTAGGGGTTGTTCGGGCCCAAGAATGAGATAGCATGCGTGATGAATTCGAAGATGACTATGACACGGATACATTTTCGCATGCAGTGTCTCTGTATAACTTAGTCGCGTTCCCCGCTGACTCGTAAGTATCCCGTGTCCTCCCCCATTGCTCTAGCTTTGTCAGTCTGTTTCCAATTTGCATCCCCGCTGTTCGTATTTCGCTGACAATCACCAGGTAGGTTAAGCGTGAACACATTGTAGACCTAAACAATCGTTGAGATACTCACGGATATTCACAGGTAAATCATAGGTTCCTTCCATCACCTCTGAAGTTATCTCGCTCCAAGACGATTTGATACGATCCGGGAAAACGTAAGAGGACATAACGGGTGAACCGTAGGAAGTCCGCTAATGATTCTTCGTCTGACTGAGGACCAGGAAGGGTGGGGGCACCCCCTACATGGTCGAGGCGTTCAGTCATCCGGCCTTGCGCAGAAATGCCGGCAAAGTCAGGAGGGCCAGACTGATTCTGCAACTCGACGGGGAGCATAGGAGCGAAGGTCCCAAGGGAGGCTGCGAAGTCCGGTAAGGCTGATGTGGCTTGGACCCCATTGTTTAGACCTGGCGAATTTCCGGTCAACGCCCCGTCGAACGCTGCTGCACCAGAAACTTGGGGAATATGAATCGAACTTGATTGATGTAGTGATGTTCCAATGGTCGATGTGGTGGCTGCTAATGAACACGCATATTGCAGCCTCTCGCATTCGGCACAAATGTTGGTGTGACTTCCCGGGGTACACGCCTGCTGATGTTGTTGATAATAGCGACTGAATCAGAGATGATACGCTACCTTATGCCTCATGCGGCAATTACTACATCTGATTTTTTGAGAGACTGGCATCTGAGGCGCGAGTAGACGAGGTAAGTAGAAAATGAGGAAACAGAAAACTAGTGCAGAGACCCTTATATTTAGGGTGTTAGTGGTAGGGCAGCGGCCCAGGGTGGTGAGTGAGTTTACTTATAACGTAGACCTTATATTTATGGTGTGGCAGCAGCCAAGGTAACAGTCAGTTTGCGCGTAGAGAACCAAAGTAAGGCGCGCCGCGCGAGCGCGCAAGGAAAGCCATCACTGATGACTGTACACAATGGCAAGGCAATGCATGCTATGCTGGGCGCGAACCGAACGTATGGAATAGGCAATGCACAGCGCGCCGCGCAAATTGAAACTAGGGTAGCAACTACGCAAAGACGCAAGGAAATGTCGTGGTTGCGTGATTTTCTTGATGTGATCGGACACGTGTCAGCGCGGGTTTTCACAGGCCGCTATATTGCACCGGCAAAAAACCGCTCCTCATAGGCGCGGCGCGCGGCGCGCCAACCACGAGCCGATCAGGCCTTCGCGCGCCAGCGCTACGGACTGGACAGTTGTCATGCTTCACGAGCAATCGCGCTGTGTTGGAGAAAGCATGCATATAAAGCAGTTCCCCTCATCCATAAACCAACGTATCAACTTACCTATGGACCAAAGTATCAACTTGCCACCGCGTACCAACTTACCACTTCTGACTGGAGACAGCATGCCCCGCTGGCCAATGCTTGGCCGATGCGATGCTTGCGATGGATGTTCAAAATTGAGCCTGAGATGTGAACGCTGCCATGCATGTTTATTCACATAGTCCTGATTTATCTTCTGACTCCTTTGTCCATGCGTAGCAGGGAGACCATGTGCCTACCCACGCAGAACTTTACGTGGCCAGTAGAGGCGAAACAACTCAACACAATGTTCTACATCGCGGCGAAGGGCCCACACCCTTGCCCGCTTACGCTGGCATCGAAATCGTTGTGGATTGCGTTGTACGCGACCCTTCGGACCCCCCCATAATCCTCACCGAATATCCCAATTGCACGTTGAAATCCTTTAATACCACCCTTTCCTTGGACTTCCTTCAAGATCCGATGGTGAAGGAGTACATGGCTACCTTCTCCAAGCGCCACCCTACTCTGAGAAGGATCGTGATCAAGATGGACAATCAATTTGTTCCTTCTAACCAGACGACCCATCAGTCGCACGCCAGTGCCAAGGATGTGCGCAGTCATCTGTAGACTGGTGAGTCTTGTTTGACCGAATTGATTGGTGACTGACTGTCCCTAACGTCATAGCATCTGACTTTCCACAACAGGATGATACGTCATGCCTCGGATTGTGGCGGAGTTATTTGGCTTAATTGATTCCAACCTGTAAGGCGTTACCGCTCACATAACCCGTTTCTCTGTGTGTATAAGCCAAAAGACGAACTAGTTAGATAGCGAAAGAGCCCCTCTTGTACCTATTCTGACAACCAATCAAGTTCGTTGGCCAGTGACTGTTGGAATACAAGTCATAGTCGGGATCCCACATCTGACGCTGTGCTGTTGACCGACATCCCACTATTCCGACACCGCCTCCCCGATGTGACCGTGCGTCCGTCGATCTATAGCATAGCCCCGATGTAGTATAAATACACAATTAGCTAGGCTTAATAAAGATCATCTTTTGGTCTTACCTCAGGTCCCTTCGTTATAGCGCGAGTGTAGCTGCAAGCGCTACGTCACTAACTGACTAGTCTTTACAACAGTGACTTACCTGCGTGACCCAGTGAGTTCTAGCCTCCCTGCTCGATTGTCGGCATCGCCCGACCTGAAAAGCTCACACAACCGATACGTAATGAAAAATATACTTTGAGCGTTCATTTTGAGACGCCATTGATGCATATATGCCCAGCAGGCGGGTTAATCGGAGCGGGACGTCTTCAGTCTGGTTTGAAAAGAGACGAAGTCAAAGATATATATACAGTCATTCACGTGCCAATGGTTCACACCCCTCAATGGTTCATTTGCATGTAACATCCTTATTTCGCCCCGGGATTTTTTTATTTTTTGCACACTTATATATTATAACTATGGCTATGGCTACGCAAAAGTTTGACCAAATCGGACATGAAATGAAAGAGTGATAGCAGTTGTTCAACGAGTTAACGGTGCACACAAAAATTATGCATCTTGCACACTCCAAGAACATGACTATGACATCGCAGTGTGTCCTACAGCTTGGTGTGTTACCAAGGAACAGAAGGCCACTGGCGCATGTGCCCATGTTTGTTTGTTGTGGTGAATGAGCACTTGTCAGACTTGGGTTTACTGTACTCACACGACCAACAACCGGTTCCCACGGCCTCCGGCAATTGCCGGAGGCACCCAATCCAGTGTTGCACGGACATTGTCCCAAATGGTCACATGGTCCGAAATCCGAATGTCTGATTCAGTAGACGATGTTTTTCCCATGGTCCCATGGTCCGATCAGCATCCGTTGGCTGAAGCGTGTCAAGCACCCATTTTCCATGTAATGAATTTTTATAAGACTCCGATGTCCAAATGCTGCATTTGTCTATCTTTGCGGAATCAAGAACAACTTCCCATGCACATACCATGACGGTCTTTTGCTTCCAGCCCTAGTTCACCGCGTCGGGAGCATGCAATAAAAACCTAGGGTACAATCCTAAGTGTTTCATCTCTCTTTCTCACCCTGCTTGACACCTGGGATGGGCCGCAAAAGCCCCTTGCGTCAGTGGTTTCTCGACCTCGAGGAGAAGATTGGAAACAATAAAAGCCACACTATTCACAAATGCAATTTTTGCATAAATGCCCAAACGGCAAGACTGGAGGAGGAGAACTTCCGTGAGTTTACAGCTGGTTCAGCACCTCGTCACTCACTTAGTCAACTTCATATGAGAGGTAAACTCCCCATCCGTCCATGCACTTTGTGTGAATGCTAACATCAGACTCTAACAGCAATCCCTCTTTGCTCTGAGATACAGGGCTCTGTTGAACGGCTTGCACGTCATATTGAAACCTGTGAGCATGCAACCACAGATGCGCATGCAATGGGGAAAACTTGGCTTGATCAACATCTCCCTGGCCGACAACTTCGCCTCAACTTGCCTTTACTCCAAATTTCACCTGCCGCTAGTCCCTTGATATCTCCTCATTCACCTACATCCCATTCCCCCGGGCATTCACCATCTCCAACACATCTTACACCCCCTTTACAAATTGGCCGGCGCGGTAGCTATTCATCTTTGTCTGAGGGAATTTCCGATATCCCCCCGCTCCCCAAGAAGCAACAGGAGGATCTAGAAAGACAGTTTCTCCGCGTTATAATCTCTGCTGGGATATCATTCCGACTGCCTGACGACCCCGAAATGGTGAAGTTTGTGCACATGCTCAACCCTGCATTCAAGCTACCGCAACGAAACAAAGTTTCAGGACCTCTTCTCTCAGCGGAGTTCGAGTCTATTCAAAATTGCCTCACTGACATGATGTGCAGTGCCTATGCCACTGGCCAATGTGATGGCTGGCGTGACACATCTCGGAATCATCTCATCGCATTCATGGTTTCTGCAAACCATATGGTATATCCTCTCTTCACTGTGTAAAGGGTTAATTCACTCATATCTATACCCAGGTTCGGATGACACATGTCCATAACACATCCGGCTCGCGCAAGACTGCTGACAACCTCTTCAAGTTAATGCTTCAAGAGAAGACTTTTATCGAAGAGAAACTTGGGCTCAAACTCATTGGTTGGGTCTCTGATGCTTCGGGAGAGTCACGCGCAGCACGGAAAATGCTCAAACAAAATTTCCCTCGGCTAATCACAGTTGACTGTTATGCACACCAAGTCCGTCCCTACCTCTTCTACTATTTGAGTGTTAACAGTCCTCAATAGGTTCAGTTGGTGCTTGGTGATTACATCAAACAGTCTGATAGTGTCAAGTTGCGCATGGCACAAGCAAGTGAGATTGTGAACTGGTTTAATAACCATTCTCTTGCGCTTCATCTTCTGTACTCTGAGCAGAAGACTCTTCCGGAGTTCACTGGGACAGCAAAGACCCTCATCCGTGGGTGTATTACTCGGTGGTCTTCACATGTGATGTCACTCCAGCGATTATTGGACTTAAAGAGACCTCTCAAAAGTATCATTATCAAATCGAGTGATAACATACTGATGGCTGCGGGCACAAGGCGGGAAATGATCAACAAAGCACAACAGATCATTGATACAATCAATAATGAAAACTTTTGGAATGATATTCGACAGTAAGTGTTTGCGCGATTCTGACAATTTGTCTAATATAGAGTTCCACATTAGGATTACCGATGATATCACCCCCTTAGCCATTGCTGTGAATGTATGTCAGGCCTCAACAACGCGTGCCGATCAGGTTGCCTTGATCTTTGGACGACTGTATAAACATTACACGGATATAAACACTGCCCTAGATCTCCTTCCCCGCTCTATTGCACCAACTTCAACTGTCCATGCAGTCCTTAGGAGTCTTGAAACTCGATGGGCAAAAATAGATCATTCTTTCTTCATTGTTGCCGTCACTCTCAATCCCTTTGTGAAGCGAAGATTATTCAATCCAAACCTTTCTAATTTGCGGCTTGTCACTCTAATGGAAGAGGTTTACTGCCGAGTCTTTGAAACCAATGAAGCTGCAAGCAATCTTGGACCGCGCGCAATTGCATACTTGACATCAACTCACGATGTTTTTGGATACCCGGGTGGAGATTGGACTCGCAGTAACATATGTAAGCGGATCCCGGTTAGTTCTTGTATCTCAGCACTAGTGAAGTGCTCTTATCTCAGAATATTTTCATAGGATTTTAATCCTTTAATGGCATGGCTCAACGCTCCGCAAGATGATCCACTTGCGAAATTAGCCATTTTGGTTCTGTCGCTTGTTTGCAATTCCGCGGACACTGAGCGGTTCTTCTCAGTGACAGGTGACACAAAGGATCCTTCGCGTAATCGCCTCTCAGTAGAGAAGATGGTGATGTCCTCTGCCATCAAATTGGAATTAAATCGCCAGCATGCACTTCAAGGCACTTACCGAAGACACATGCGGCGCTCTTTTGGGCTGGCACCTTCAGATAGGGATCAAGACCCCACCGGATCCCGCTTAGACCCTGAGCTTTCATGTCCAACGGCCATCCCTCAGGAGGAGTATCACAGTTTTCACAATTTACAGGTTTCTCTGCTTTCAGACCTTTCGGCAGACTGTGATATTCAAGTTCCCAGCTTGTCCTCTGTGAGTTTCATAGCACATATTGCTAGGTATCATGTTTATGGAAAACTCCAGCAGGTAGCAAGCAGTAGTGTTAAGCTTCGCGATATCTTTAATTTGGCATTGGATGGTGAATGGGATCTCTATTGGTTCCAGGCAAAGGATAATTTGGCAGCTGAGATGGAGATTGAAGATTTGGTTACGAGGACATGTAATCAAGAATTAGATTCTAGTATAGCTGGCGTTGCGGGGTGGGAGGTTCAAGATGTGGCATAGTCCTATTGGTAAATCCGATAATGCCGGCTTACATCCGTATTTTGGACCTCCGAGACAATTGACCCAAGTCGGAAGCACCACGAGATTGCAAATGGTCTGATTCAATGTCTGATTGTGTCATGTGCAACACTGACCCAATCAATTCAGTTGTGTTGATTTTTAATTCAATCCAAAACCTTCGTGTGACGCGTGACCGGTTGTTGGTCGTGTTAGTACAGTACATCCGAGTTAATTTCCAAATTCAGTACCTCAAATTTATTGCTTTCTGTGCCTGCTGCTTTCACCAGAATCAGTAATGGCCCACTCCCTGAGAATAAAAGCAGCTCAAGCAGTAGAGCAAATATTCTGCAAACCCTTGCTTCATACCATATTACTGAATTATCGGTTCGGCATGTAATTGTCACACCATGTCACACTGAACCATTGAGCCGGGAAAGCACCATGCATTTCCTTGTCTGCTTTTATTCTCGTTCATTTTTCATCCATTTCTTTATATCTCTCGGTAATATGTACATACCCAGCCTGGCTACTATCCATCGTAAAAAATTTGTATTTGGTTTTGATCCAATGTCATAGTCTCAAAATTACAAAATGTGAACTGGGCCCGTGAATAACTGTATAGCAGGGACATATTGCAAAACTAGACTCGTGCTTGCTCACGACCATGGAAGCAGCGAAGTACGCAGGTATGGATGAGAGTTAAGTGAGAGCCTGGGCCCTCTGGATCTGGCTCTGCCATGGGGCAGCGCGAGTCGGAACGAGATTCCGACTCACAGTTGACTAGTATGCATGGTCGCTATTGTACGGGGCTACAAACGAGTGCTCAGTCATCAACCATTACGCTAAGCAAGATTTGTAGAGGATATGAAGGTCTGCAGATGACTGATTGAGATCTTGTGCTTCAACCCAAACGTGCAAGAGAACCACTAAGCGAGCAATTAAGCCTGAATGCCAACAACGCGCCAGGGAACTAACCTGCCCATCGCGACCCCCCCACTCAAGCGAGACAGGAGTAGCTTCGACACCTCTGCCAGGTCCGCCCCGGCCCGAGGACTTCGATTACAGAATCCAAGGTATGTTCAAGCGAACACCAGTGCTCCAACGTTTCAAAAAAGGTCCAACAAACCTAAAATAACGCTAGGGACTACGCCATTACCATCGTTCTGCTCTTCTCACCCCGAATGTAGATGATGCAACCATTTCACTGGATGGGCCTTCCCGCGCTCGTTGGACGCCCTGTTGCCCCGGCTGCGAAAGTCACTGACCACCCAGGGGAAGACCCCTTCCCCTGGGGCATTATGATCGCAGACCTAAGGTACCGCGAAGCAGCAACCTTCCTCTACCAGTTCTGGATTTCCAAGGCGTTCAGTTCTTACCCTGCGACGAACTTCATCTCCGACTGGATAGGCAACTGAGCCTTCGTGACCAACATGCCCGCCATCATTGAGTGCCTCAAAAAACCGGTATCGGCCAGTACCCAAGTAAAACGGTCCGAGTAACTTCGCGCTTCGCCGTCACCCCTCCGCTGTCCGACGTCGTTACCTTTGTCGTTGTTCCTTGCCCTTGCGCTGCCTGACGTCGTCACCATTTTATAAACAATGGACGTTGAATCCTACTGAATCTAACGATTATGTAGAGCACGTAACTGCAAGTAACTCACTTCCTTTCAATTCAGATGTGGACACTGTTATCAGGGCACGTACTGGAGTTCTAATACGCCCTGTCAACGTGAGAAAACACGGCAGTGAAGCCACGCAACCCTCGTGGTGACCAATGCCAGGCAGACCCGGAAATCGCAACCGGTGACCTCCGCATTCCCCCAAACATGGCTGTGGTTCGCCCCGAATTTCATTATCTCACCCTCCCCTTTGCTCATAATCCACTCTCTCAAACTTACTCTCGCCTATCTAGTTCTGATCTTGTGGATGACATTATCCTGCGCCTTCGCTCTCAGTTCCCTTTGTTGCGGAACCGACCTCGAAACATGTACTCGGCATTATTTGTGCCGACGATTCTATCTCAGGAGTCAAGCTACTAAGCCGGTTTTACATCCTCGCACATAATCAATCACCCAAGCCTTAATGAAAAGCGGGGATCAGGAGACCGTTCGTATTCTCCAGATCATTCTGTGTTGGTCCACAGCACTTTGGCAGCTTATTGGTGGCATGATTCTCTCAGGATGCGCGCATTTAATCCCTTAGTCCTTGAACCGACTGACGGACGCACTATTTTTCTGGCGGATGTTTTGGCAATGCGGATGTTGGGGTGTTTGTGGAGGAATCCAATTGGAGCCTTTGGTCCGTTCCTGCCACTTCGCCGTCTCGTCAAAGACATCGTCGCGCGTTTCTCATGAAGAACGTTCCCTTCACTCTTACTACTGCTCGGGTCCTCTGCCCCTGAGGGCGGCCTTTGCCTTGATGACGACGGAACTTAGGCATCGAGAAAGGCGAACTCGCCTGGTGGGGATTCAGCATGTCCATAACACAGCAGGAGGATTGTTCCACTTGTTCTGGGTGGCGAAGATCTCGTCACCTTTTGTAAGAGCAATAGCGTTGATGGCGTCCAGATCAAAGCCTGGAATCCTGAGAATCCATTCACATAGGGTATAGTAGAGAAAATCGTGGTCCCAGAATTCCAAGAGCATGTTTGTTGTTAAGACGGGACTGGGGCAAGGGGGAGGCCAGGCCGATGTACTCACAATCGCAGCACCTGGTGTACTCGTGAAAATTAGTGGATCAGAATTGAGCTGTGGATTATTATATATGGAGGCAAACCTCAGGGCTAGTGGAGCTACTCATCACGGTGCAATATAACAGAGAACATTGCTGGGGGCTGGTCCGGTCGTGAGGGGCCAGTACGACAAGTTGCACCACAGTACTGCGGGTGATGAAATATATATTCATAAGTACATTAAGGAATAGGTTCAAACAACTGTGAAGAAATGCGGAAGGATTAATTGCGGTGTTCAATCCATGTTCATCGCTTGTCCGTGCTGCAAGAAACATCGGAAAAGTGTGCAGAAGTGTGACTTGAGAGAGCCCTGATGGTTAGAGTTCCACGTCTTGACCACCTGGCAATCCATCCTACCCCCGAGATGCGCATTGCTCCAACCATCCACGGAATTCGTGTGCCTCCCCCCTCGACGTTGGGATTCATTGACTATACAGACATTCCCGGATTTGGCATCTTTCTTGAGCTGTCCATGGATATAAGATCAAAGTTCGTCCGGACGTTCATGTTGTAGGAAGATCCATACGCTAATGATAAATGGCATCGAAACATGGGGATTGCAACTCTAAGAGCAGGCCCGAATCTTTCGATGAGAAACGCGGGCGTTTGGCTAACGGCTTGACCATTCGGGCGGGTTGCGCAGAAGGGATGGTTGAGCTAGTAATAGAAGCTCCAGGAGGCGGGTTGGGACTGTCTCCAAATAGGATCTTCGACGACGATTGAGAAGCGAGGTGATATGCTTTAGACGCCCCAAGACAGTCCGTTTGGGCAGACACAGAAGCAATAAGGAAGCCATTGTTCCGGACATCCTGCGCGCCAGTGTCTGGGGATCTTAAGATAAGAGAATCGTTGTCGCCGTTGTCAGCAGGTGAGTTGCAGACCTCATGCCTATCCACGGACATATAAATACTACTTTTATCACCGTGCCCTGAAAATTGAGCAGACATTGAAGCACCAAGAAAAGGATTATTCTGGGTATGGTGATGAGCGCCAATGTCTGGAGAGCTTGAGATATGAGAAATGTTGTCATCCCTCCCAGTGAGTGCGTCAGAGATTTCGTGCATATCCACCGACATATCAATATTGTTTATGTCACCGCACGCCGGAGACTCCAAATCACCCAGAACTTCAGGTCGAGCAAGACAGAAATCGTAGGAGCCTCCAATAGATAAACCTGACATGCTTTTCTCTAACCCTGCGATAGTGTAAGCTTGTGGAGAATATGTAGATGTGCCAGAACTGAGAGAATAGTTAGAGTGGTACTGAGAGCTGAAGAGAGAAGACGTCGCGCTGAGGGATGTTGACAAGAAGGAAACGGAGCGATCCGCTGCGTGACCAATGTTGTCAGCGTACTGCACATCAAGATTTGGAGTAATTTCACCATTGGATTCCAATGGAGATGATGCACCTGCAGACCCTGTTGGAGGTGAATGGATAGCATGGCATCCCCCGACGAAATCTAGAGCGACTGAATTGGGCGAAGATGAAGGGATGACATCTCCGGTGTCCAGCGACTCTTCGTCCTGAGAGGAATACGCTCCTCCTAAATCATATGGATCAATCTCCCACTCATCTAAGGAGTGCGGAGGATCAGCGCCTCCGAAGCATGGTTGGACAAAGTAAAGTTCGTGAAAAGAGCCGTAATCGATGATGGCAAGATCCTCCGGAGTTTCCTCCCCCGTTATGAACAGATATCCATGAGAGAAGACGTCAACAAGATTGATCGGACGAGGGGTTTTCACGATCGCAGATGGCGTTTCACCATTTCCAAGATCTAAGCTGAATAGCATGTCATCTAGAGCGCTACTCGAAGATTTTCCTTCAGTACCAGGGCGTTAAGATGTAAATACAGAACATACCACTCGATATCTTTAAGAAAAAGAGACATTTGTATCGCAAATTCGAACTCAGGGGTCACCCGAGGACCTCGAAGAGAAAAGTAGTCCGTGACGAAGTCATGGTGCTGATGTTCAGTGTGGGTTTGGTCCATTGTGCGCGTAGCTGGGCGCGGTGTTGCAAGATGAAGAGGCTGGAGAGTAATTCGTGCTCAAGTACGCGTCGCGAAACCGCGTTGACGAGACACAGATCGTTTTGTTGGACTCCAGAAATGTGTTTGGGATGGCGACTCTGAAACAGCATCTCGGATCCAGAACGACGTCATAATATCTTCTGTCGAGAATCGACCCGAGACGTGGTAGGCTTTTTACATCATACATAGGCTAAGCACAAAGATTTTATAGCCTTGGACTCTCCTGTATGCAAATTAGAACAGTGCAGATACTAGCTAGGCGACTTTCTTTGAGCCTCGACACATGAGCCGAGTGAGATAGAGGATACCGTGAACTACTCCTGCACTCGAGCGAATGTGCAACCACCGACATACTCTGCCCACGCTTCAAGTTGAATCAGCGGCGTGACGGCTAGCCATAATCGAGTCTATCTCCGCCTTCAGCAGTTCAACGGACCACTGATGGTTTGATTCCACAAGTCGTCTGCCCCGTAAAGACTCCGAAACCTCGATCATCCAACGCAGATGCAACTCGAGCGCTTCGGAATACTGAACACAGTCACTCTCGTACAAGTGTCGGTAAAGCGTAAGAGCCCTCGTTGCTGGCTGCAACGCGAAATTGAGTTGACGATGCTTGGAGTAGTGAACCGCGAGATTACGCAAAGCATTTGCCAAAGGGAATCTCCATTGTTTGGGGATCTGTGCGAATTTTCCACGCATTTCTTCAACACCTTCAACAATTGATGCCTCCTCCAGAACAGAATCAGAGAACTTCGTGTCTTGCTGATCCTGGTTATGGGTGTCAGAGCCGACGCAAATAGATGCGACCCATCGGAGATGAGATATGTAAGCAGCACAATGAGACGTTGGATTATTGTGGTAAAGGCGGCGATAGAGCGTTAAGGCACGTAATCCGGGTCCCACTGCGTTCACATGTCCGTCGAGAGCTAGGTGACGGGCTTGAGATTCGAGGACATTCGCTAATCTGACGCGGTGAAGCTGGGGATCCAAAGTATAAAGGATTTGACACTGCTCAACGGCTTCCTGGCTGCAGTCTCGGGCTTCTTCAACCATAATCAATTGGCCACACAGCAGAGAGTGTTGTTGCAGTTGTGAGATGAGGTCCAAGTGGACAGCGGTGGGGTTCGAATTGAAAGCCTCCCGTGTCAAAAATAGGGCATCAGATGAATACGTAAAGGCGGAAGTTAAGTCGCCAAGCTCAATGTGAAGATCAGCCAGTGCCCGAAGTGTCCTGGCATAGTTGATAGAATGAGTATCACGCTGTTTCTCCATGAGAGACCTCCAGAGGGCCGAACTTTCTTCCAACCACTCTCTCCGCTCTTGTAAGCATTCAGACAACCCAAGCAAGTGGCTGGCACGCCAATGAAGGCTACATGCCAGACCGACGGCCGACTGGTCGTCACCATGCGCCCGGTGAGCGGCTTCAGAGATTGCAAGAAGCTCTCGATCAAGACGCTCCACTTCGTCACGGCGACCAAGCTTGAACAAAATCCCACTTAGCGCTTCTATCGCCACTGGAAGAATCGTGTCGACTTTGTGATTTCGCGCCACCCAAACTGAGTAGCGATAGGCATCAAGAGCCTCATCTAAGCGATTCAGGCCCTCCAGCGAGCGACCCAGGAGGAGTCGAAGGTGCGAATCCAGATAGAGTGCTTGCTTGGACCCACGCCTAATGTCACGAAGACGACTAAGGCTAGCGATGCACCTAGTACGGGCCAGTTCGGTACGATTGGCTTGGAGGAGGCTTTCTGCAACTCGCAGATCATTGCTGATGATGATCTCCCTGCCCTTCCGACTTCGTATTTGGCGCCCACCGAAGAAATCTTTGCGTAGGGCCTTCCGCATGAAGAGACTCGAGGACGCTGTCCCGGACCATATAACTCTGTAAGCCATCTGAAATTCTGTACAACGGTCCACAACATTGGCAACATTTCTGCGAGCAAAAAATCGACAGTTTTCAGATAAAAGTCGATATTTGTAACTCGTATATGAAATGGTTTTGAGGTGTTGTGCCAAGTCGTTCAACCACATACATTTGAGGGATGTCGCTGTTCCAGGACTAGGAATAATGGTGGCAAGCTCGTCCGCGGGGTCGAAGAGAAGACTTTCCTTCGAAAGTCCAAATGAAATCGATTCTCTCAGTAGAGCCCCCCAACAATCGGAGAAAATGAGTCATTTTGAGGCATGTACCATAAGCGCTTAAGCCTCGCCCCTCGCTCCACCCGAACGGCGGTCGTGAAATCAACACCACGCATGACAGAGCGGAAGCAGAAAACGGCGAACTCATGATGAAGCATGCCGTGTCCGCGGTATAAATGAACGCTTTGCAGAGGACCTGTGATGGATATGACGGACGATGACTGCGATGCATGTTGAAGACACTCAATGAAGTGATGAATAGGATAGGTTCGACTGCGATCAATCCTTCTTGTCTTAAGCATAAATTCTTCTGCGAAAGTGTACGTAGGAGCACTAGGTCCATCTATGGCCTAAAAAGACAGGGATCAGAGATTATCACATTCGTCGGATGGGCCCTGACACCTGCCACGACTTGTCCAGCTTCGACATCAGTGGTAGAGACATCATGAGTCCGGTTTGAAGGATATAGTGAGCTATCTATCTGACCCTGGTCCCATAGCAGGTAAGTGTGTCGAACTAATAATGAAGAATCACGGCGCACTTACTGGAGCTTCAAGCCACCAAGTATTTAATTCTGTCCGGAAATTTTCAAGCTGCACTCCCGTCACCTTCATCGACTGATCCATTGGATGGAAGGATGACTTAAATTTCGCTACGATTCTGTGGAGCAACCTCGCAAGGGACCCGATGAGATGTCAAGGGAAAGCTCACTGATCGATCCTTTCCAGCTCTGTTTGTATTTTCCATCTCCCCCGATTGGCCATCGATGGGTCTCCCCGAATCATCCTTTGGATCATCCGCATCTCTTCCATGACCCCCGACAACGATCCCAAAGTTTCATGGGCCATGTTACGGCGCGCGCGGCGCCCCAGTCGAGCACCGATCCCAGCGAGCCCTTTCGTAAACAGATCAAAAAGTACCCAATTGTAGATGGCTTTCTCGGTTTCGATAAATCTTCGATTGATCTTTTGTGCATAATCGAGCAGTTCTTGGCGTGTCTGTCGAATGATTGGTGTCAGTGCGCCTGACAAAGTTTCGTCCTCCATAACTTAAAGGTGGTCCAAAAGCCGAGAACAGAGAAGGGCTACAGGGTTGGACGAAGTGCTGAGTGTTCTGTCGCTCGCGCCTTAACAGAAAGCTGTGTTCCGATACTAGGGAACTAGGCGAGTGGCTGGCCGGCCATTTAATCCGAGCCTCGCGCTAAAGCCCTAGAATAGTCACAGGAAGCATCACTGCCGTGACAAGCAACGATGAGAGGCAATCCATAAACCGATCAAATTTCGGGTGGGGGCGAAGGATTCAATTCATTTGGGATTCTCCGGTCAGGTATATATTCTGCACCACCCTCGCCACACACAATTCCGATGAGCATCATTGCTCTGCCGCTGCCAGAAACGATTGAGTGCTGAAGATTGAGATTTGTTTGCCTCAAGCTTGTCAAGCTTGTGCCCCGATAGAGACTTGAACCCAATGCCACAATGTCGTGGAATCACTCCCCAGACCCGTCGGCACTTCAGTGTGTGTCATCTTTATTTGATATTTTGCTTCTGACCATTCGACACCATCTGGAAGTGGGCTCACTTGCATATCCTCCGACCCTCGAATTACGATAGAACAGTCTGATGAGTTCTCAACTAGCCGCAAGTCTCTCTGGAGCTTTGTCAGGTATCTGTTTCCATCTCAGGCTGCATCATCTCACGTTTGCGACATCCTCTTGGATAACTGGCATTACTTGGAACCTGTTATGCTCACAACATATATAAAATTGGGGTAGCGATGCAACATTGCTCTTGTCAGTTGGAAGCTCAGGTTTTCCAGCATGCGGAGTGAGCGAAAGAGGCCTCAAAGCCGAATTTGACGAACATCAAATACTTTTGGGGGTCTGGGGACAATTGGAGGCGTCACGGCTCGGAGAGTAACCATCTGAATCCAACGAAAGAGCGGGAATTACAAACTCTGTACCAGACATCGGACGGCACAGTTACGCGAGGGTTGCCTCGACACCGCGTCGACACTGAAAAAGACTTATAAATTCAGCATGGAAGCGGAGCGCACTTGTGGTGATAATAGTGCATTTGTCGACCGTCACGTCCAGCCATGGGATGTCCCAAGCTTAGTATTGCAGTCCTCGTCACTCACGCTTCAAAATCTAAATCTAGACGTGTCAAAGTGACGCTCCCATCAGGGGCGATGCGTTCTGCTCCAGGAGTAATGACTGTATAATCTATGTACTGATTCTGTTGCAAGCCCAGGCAACGAGTCTGCTCAAACTCGGGCTCGCACCATACTCTGTTATCAGTCTTGTTCCGGCGGTACCATGCTTTCCATCGCCATTGACTGGGCTTGTCCATAATTGCCACTTTGGAGACTTACCTACGACTATTCCATCACCGCTTCATATTGACCGATACAATGTAATCGTACGCCAAATCTCAGAAGGCGACATGTAGCGGGTACTTGCCGCAACAAGCGGTGCCACGCGGGTGATTTCGCAGGATCTATAGTCTCTGGATCTTGGTGGATGAATTGCCCCGTGCCCCCAATCTGTTTGACCCATTTGATCGGGTATCGATCATTGCAGCCGAACAGAAGTGGCCTTCAAGACTGCAAACTTGATCTCAATGTGTTTCGCCTTCTGGCGCATCACCTTGGTTTCCGGAGGATCGGCACTGCCGTCAATGGCGGAGGCGACTTTGCATCGCTGCCAGTGATTTGTGTTCGTGGAGGTGGCTGAATTTCTCTGTTTTTTTTTTTTTTTTTGCGTGGCCGACGACAATAGGAGACTCTGACGTAGCATTGTTCTCTGCCTGCGGTAACTGCGATCGCAGGGTACTGGGCCAACATAACCGCTTCCTGGGAAGACGGGTTCATTGCACCCATGGAGGACTCGGATGGCTCATTTTTCGACCCTCTTACGTGAAATCAGCAGCAATCTGTCGTGTTTCTCTGGAAGGTGATGCGTTAACCCGTGTTCCTCCGCCTGTTCGTCACCAGAAGCACCCCCCACTGGGCAGCGTTTGAAACGTCGCGGGTGGAACCATGAACCCCGTAGACGATAAATGTATGTTGTTCAAACAATAACTACCCTGAAAATGGAACCTAGTCTATACACGAATGTCATTAATGCAGGAATTGCGAAAAGATGTGCGTGATGATCTCGATAAAATAAGTATATGCTTCAAGAGGTCACACCGTCTGGTGAGTTCTCAAATAGAGTTAGCAGCCTCAAAACCCCGCTCCCTGCACCATCCCCGACGAACTCTACATGCTTGAACACGTGCCCTTGATCCTTCAAATGATCAATCACCATATCCCGAAATCCCTTCACACCAACAAGACTCCCACCAAAGCAAAGGATACTGTCCGACGCCTCTGGGCCACCTTCAACGATGGGGGCAAGATTTTGAGTGATGAGACGCGCAGTATGAAATGATGATGTGCGAAGAATGTCCAAAGCGGTGGGATCGCCGTCCGACAAGGCTGATTGGAAAACAATAGGGGTCAATGTCGAAACTCGTGCCTTGCGCTCCATTTCGAGGTAAAAGGGACGGGGTGACGTTCTCGGAGGTGTTGCCTTGTTGGACAGGGTTTTATGTCCACTTGGATATGATTTGGCAATCAGTGGCAGGGAGCCCACAGACGGATGAGCACGACTGTAGCTGTTGTAGGGAGGATCAGGGGCGTAAACAACGGTAAGAATGTCGGGGCCGGAACTGATGCCGAAGTGCTCGAAAATGCGGTGTTGCAAAGTAGGAGAACCGACAGGTTTCACACATGCGCTCTCCAATAACGTGAGGGAAGACGGTATGGGGCGGGAGGATGAAGTTGACGGCGAACTTTCAGAGGATAAAGAACGCATCCGTGCTGATCCCTGTGAAGGCGAGGACGAGACAGAAGGTGGGCTTGCTTGTTCATGGTCTGAATTGCCTAGAATGCGGCGCAAGGCCTCTCGACCAATATGATAACCACTTCCCTCATCCCCAAGGATCCAACCCCACCCTCCGGCGCGACTCACTCTCTGAAGGTGACCGCTTTCGCCCAGTCTGAAGGCTGTAGCTATGCATCCTGTCCCTGAGATAGCAATAATGGCTGTACGGACTTCAGGGAATTTGTATATTGGCGATGCCAGGAGTGTTGTGTCATTTTCGATGATGAGACGAGAGCCTGCAGGAATAGAAAGAAGCTTGGAAAAGAATGGTGTGAGGTCGAGGATGTCTTGCGGCCGATCCACTCCAGCTGCGCCAATCCACGCAGCCTTGAACAAGCAATCAGGATAGGACAAGGATAGTTTCTGGGTATGCTTGGGAATGCATTTGAATCTATCCGACGGCAAAAATGCTTCCGATGGCTTGGCATTGGTGGAAGAGTGAGGTCTATTGGCAATTGACTTAAGCCAAGAAGGCAGCCGGAAGACATTGGTAGGGGGAGTTGGGTTCGACGGTGGTGGCCTATCACCACTGATTGCCACGGTCGGCTCAATGGCCGCGAGGGCAGAGTCAACCGCGGTCCTGACCGAGGAGGAGAATATTGCAAATTCCGCATCTTTGAAGTTGGCTGGGCCGCCTGTCCCACGTCCTAGGATGTCACCCTTAGTGTTGGCGACAACGGCTGCGGCTTTGGTTCCCCCGCAATCGATGCAAAGGTAAAGCGCCATGAATGCGGAAATGCAGGGTTGTGGAAGAAACTTGCAGTTTCCTTTGATTTTAGTACGAGTGTGCAGGATACTTAGACGTGCCACATGGTCAGGTGAAAAGTGAAAGATCGTTGTCAAACCTGAGAAATGAAACCAGTTCGGAGGTGTGAGCGAAAGGTGACGGGATCGGCGACCAGGCCGCAGAGTGACTTGAACCCGGCAATTGCCCAACCTCTCGTCATACTTGTATTATGCAGCACCCCGTCCTAAATGCGCGCGTTTCTCGCGCATATGTTTCCTGTGAACCCTCCAGAGATGGCTGACGAAACCCTTGTCTGCTTCACAAACTGTCATCTCGCCCTCGACGACGGCTCGCAGGTCAAGCGTGACCTCTGGGTAGATTCCACCAAAGGAATCATTCTTAATGCTCAGGTGCATCCTGATTTGTCTCTGTCCCGTTCGAGCAGCTCGGCAAACAGCAAATCTCAATCTCCCCGTCCTTAGGAAGCTTTTTACACTACCAAGAAACGTCCTGGAAAAATCGTAGACCTGGGCGGGAATATTCTTAGGTCAGCCTGATCCAACCATGCGTGTTGCTAGGATTGAACCGCAAAATCTCCGTTCGCTAGCCCGGGGTTCATTGACATTCAGATCAATGGGGCATACGGTTTTGACTTCAGCATTCACGCGGATGATGAGTCCTACGTTGCTGGGCTGAAGATGGTAGCGGACAGGATCGTGGAAACTGGGGTAACTAGGTAAATAACTTTGCCAAATTACTGATGGTGTTCCATGCTTACCTGGGGCATTTTTCATTGCTGTGAGTCATTTAGTTTGTTGCCGACCATAATTGTGAGTGGCTTCGGCCGTGTTTTCGGTGATTAAATAGCGTTAGCTGGGCATATCTACAGACACAGAAACGAGCCCTTTACCCGAAATTGCTTCCGTTGCTCTCCCAGAGATCGTTTCCTGGTGCCGCCACCTTACTCGGTTGGCACTCCGAGGGACCTTTCCTTCAGCTAGCCAAACGCGGCGCCCATGCCGAGCCCCTTCTGGCAACCGCTCCGGATGGCATTCGATCCTTCGAAGACGTTTACGGCGCTGAGAATCTCGCCAAAGGCGTGGAGGGGGTACGCATGATAACTGCCGCTCCGGAATTGGATGGTGTTATGAACAGCATCAGTGAACTCTCCGAGAGGGGGGTAATCTTCTCCATTGGGCATAGGTGTGTATTTGAAGGTCCGATGCGCTTCCACTTTTGTGGTGCGCATAGCCATGCGATCTATTTCTGCTAACGACGGTATGATTTCAGTGTTGCATCGTCCAAAATAGCTACAGAAGCGATACTGAACGGTGCGAGAATGATTACGCATTTGTTTAATGCGATGCCTCAATTGCACCATCGGGATCCTGCAATTATCGGTTTACTCGGCGCTGGTGGCCCTTACTCAACACGAGCTGTGCCCTCAGCCAGCAAGACGGGCCATGCAACCCTTGCTGCCATCACTCCTTTATCGCTCGATCCTTCTCTTACGTTTAAACCCGCCTTCGGAGTGCCAACACCACCGTACGTGGGACATCCGCCAAAAGCACCCTCTATCTCTTCGCAGAAAGTCTCCGAGGCGCTGAATGAGATGGTCACTCCTCCTCAAACACCCGATGGTGCATCCCCATCTCTGAGTCCAATAGGAAAGGAGCGCAAGGGTTTGAAAGGCATGACCCTCGCTGAATTGGACGAATTTGAAAGGCCTTTCTATGGAATCATCGTGGATGGGATTCATTCTCATCCTAACAGCGTCAGAGTACGTTTCAGAGAAATGATTGAGCAAGGGGACGTCACCATTTGTGCATTTGCTTCCCTAGCTCGCGTATACCGCTCATCCAGAGGGTTGTATTCTCGTGACGGATGGTGGGTCATATTGAGGCTTAGAATCCAGAAGGAGACCGTAACTCTCTATTAGCTATGTCCTTTTTAGATCCTCATTTGCCTGATGGGCACCATGATTGGCGCGATGGTCGCCGTGTGGTCAAACATGGGGACAAGCTCTTTATCGAGGGCACAGACACTCTGGCCGGAAGGTAACGCTTATTTTCCACATCCATCATCTCATATGAACGATTTTTTCTCCAGTGTCGTAACCCTCGACACATGCGTTCGAAATTTCTCCCTCTTTACCTCACGCCCATTATCCTATGCCATTAAATGTGCCACGTATAACCCTGCCAAATGTCTTGGAATCGAAAGCACGAAAGGGACTCTCAGGCCTGGGGCTGATGCTGATCTTGTAGTACTCGACAAAAACGATGGAAGCGTCTTGAGTACTTGGGTGGCCGGCAAGAAGGTGTGGAATAGATGATAGGACAATCGCGTTTTGCAACACCTCATCAACACCGTATCCTTTACTCTGAGTCGTATATAATTGCCTCTGCCATGCTAATTGTAAAGTGGTTTTCGGGTGCATTTATGAGGGGCAGTGACACAATAAATTCGGCAACCGTGAGAAGGAATACAGTTATCGGTGTAGCTGCCTCGTGATGTGACTGACGTTTCTCCGAGTTCTCGGCTTGACACGCGACTGTCTGGCAGTCAATACGTAACACAAAATGTCTGCCCATAGCATGGTGCAAACATCATTTCTGACCCTAGTCCGGTGAGTTCCACTCGTTGTGCCATAGAGAGCTGAGATCGGCTTCTCGCGACTGATGTGGACACGGTCATTCAGAGTTGGGCTTTATCTCTCCTGCCATAGATATCTCCTTAGATCTCTTGTCCAAGACCTGCGACATTTGTCCATCCCGTTACATGCGCCTTTTTCAAGTGCTTCGAGGGCCGGTTTCGAGATCGACCCACCTGAATCACCACTCCGGCCAGGCGTTTTGCCACTGCATGTAGCTTCATCCGTCGTGCCCAAGTTTCCTGGTGAAGCAAAATCTCCTTGGCACTCGAAATGGTCGTACGCAGCATTTTCTTTGTGCTTCTCAGAAAGTTGCATCTTGTTCCTGCTAGTCGTCTTTCAAAGCATGGATATATTTTCTGAAAGGTGAGAACAGGAAGTTGTACTCCACTTCCCTGGTGAACGCGTCTTTTAGTGCCAGACTACTGAACTGGGAATTATCCCTATCGTTACTCGTGGCACTCATCCTGCTTGTCATACCACTTTTGCAGTGCCTACTTGTCCTGTATCCCTCATCTAAGCACTCAATAACCTCATTGAAAACGCTCAGACCTAGACATCTCGTCATCCCTGTATCCCTATACCTTGTGTATCTCTACTCCATAACCTACATCCCTTTGCCAGAGTCTCACAAAACTGCCGCGGGGGCTTCCAGCTCGTCTCTTTCCGTCTTGTACTCCATTGTCCTCGGCCGCTTGGTCGTTCTTGGTGTGTTTAGCCTTGGAGTGCTTTCCGGTTTTGGTGCTGCTAGGAATGTCAGTACTCTATGCGCGTTTTTGTGCCGGGGGGGCGATCGCTCCAGAAATAGTCGAACGGGGGGCCTCGAAGATATTGCCTCTGCCGAAAGAGGGTTGGCGAGAGTTGAGAGCGAACTCAGCGATAAACGAAGAGCATTGATGAGAGAGGAAGCAAGTGTGACTAAGCAGGTTCGATGCCTTCTCGTTCCGGGGTCTTTTCCCAGCCGAACCCTAACCCACCGTCATTGTCTATAGCCCCAGGGAACATGGCTTTCGCGTCTCTTTGGGAGCAATGGTTAGTTATGGGGAAAACTGGCATATCCTTGCGGTGTCGTTCAACCTTCCTTTCGCAGCACCTTTTGGTCTCCATGAAGAAATCTCTGCATTGGAAGCCCTTCGGGATCAGATGTCCTTACGGGTTCAGGGAACAAAAGCTCTTCGAGCCCAAGAAGCATTTGAGAGTTCAATCACTGGAAAAATTTGGAAAGCTGTCAACCTGGCGCTTGGGCTATATTGCGTGTACAGGATTCTAAGTGTAAGCCTTGGTGCTGGCCCGACCTACGTTCTTTGCTGAGAGTGGTTCTAGGCCATGACTTTGATATTCATGCCCTCTCTTCGATCGCCATCTTCCCAGTCTGGACTTTCCCCAACAGACCTAGCCGTCCAATGGCTATTCACTTTGTTCCCTTCTCTCAAGTCGAGAATCTCACCGGAACAGGCGGTTTCACTTACGAGGCAGTTATCATTGTTGATGGTCGGAGTCATAGTTTTAGGAAGTATTAGAGTCATTTTGACAGGTGTAAACAAGGTATCTTGTTCGATGATAGTAAATCTTCGTAACTGACCCGCTGACCCTCACGTGTCAGATGCTACGTATGACAAGCAAGAAAATCGCCGCATCTTTCATGCTTCTGACTCTTGCTCAGATCCTGGTGCGCTCGATTGTTTCGAAGGAATTGATGAAGAATTAAGATGAAATAATTCCTATAGGGGACATATTTATTATCAACTTTAATCCAACTCAGTACATCATTTCCCCCCTCGTCAGATGCGGCAGCCAAGTCCCTGTTCGCTACTCTCCCCGATTTTGAAGTCTTCGGTCCACTCTTCGATGCTTCGTTCCTGGTGTCTGTTTGCGTGAGCGCGTTGGTGAGGACATGGACGGCAGGTGTAAAGGGCCTGATCAATGATTACGACATGGTGCATCATGGTGAAGATGGCGATGTAGGCAACCGGGGTGATTGGGAGTTAATCAGTGTGGGGAGGAAAGGACCTTCATGATCTTGTTCAGGTGTGGTAATTTCTATGTTATTCCTAAATATTTAGGAACAAGGGGTTCGACAGATTTAATTAACAAATCCAATCAGTTTGGGGGTATGGATCACCAAAAGATTATTGCGGAGGCGAAGCCGCCGTCGGCGGGGATGGGCCATATTGCCAATATCCCAATGGACAACTCCGCTAAACTGGACAATACCTGCCCACGTGGCCAGAGTGGCGATGACGGCAAAATCGCCGATTGCGGGACTTTCTCTGCTTGCAGCCCTTCCTGTGATTACCGGGAATTGGATGGGATTAAGTCCTCACACAATATTATACCATTCTCTGTTTTCCTACGAGCCGTCACACCTCACGTTCCCCCCTCAACTTACAGTCCCAGCCTTTCGCGACTATGCGTGAGCGTAATTCCTGTGGCGTATTTATGACACTCGCCTGACAAATCCATCATTGCATCGTCTACCGTTGCCTCATGCATCAGGTTTTATCATTCGTGATGACCCTCAGTCTGTTGGCGCCTATATTGGTGATTATATTGCCAAACGGTGCGTTAGAGATGAAATTATCGCCCAGCGGGAAAATCTAATGCGAACATATATAGCATAAAGGCTTTTAATCCAACTCCAGAACACCCATTCGTACTGGGCTTGCCCGTGTGTCCTGATTGCTAACTCATGCAGCCAACATGAGCTAACGTAATGTGTTTCGTATCAAGACAGGATCGAGTCCCATCCCTACCTACAAATACCTCATCAACTTGGTCAAGAAAGGGGAAATAAGGCGGGTGCATTGTCCAACATCCCAATATTTTGCACATCCCCCTTTCCAACAGCTTCAAGGACGTCGTCACGTTCAACATGGACGAATATGTGAATCTCCCCAAGGAGCACCCAGAATCATACCACACGTTCATGTTTCGCGAATTTTTTTCGCACAGTAAGTGGATTGCTCCAATATAGTGAACACCGAACGTTGAGCGTGAGATCCCTGGTTTTTTTCCCCACGTCACACGTTCGCGCGGTCGAACCACTGATCCAGTTGATATTGATCCCTCGAACGTTCATATCCTCGACGGGAACGCCCAGAATCTCATAGAAGAGTGTCGGGGGTATGAGGCCGCGATCAAATCCTACGGGGGGATCGAACTTTTCCTCGCCGGCATCGGGGAAGATGGGCACATCGCGTTCAACGAGCCTGGTTCTTCGCTTTCATCCCGCACACGAATCAAGACCCTTGCATATGACACCATCCTAGCCAATTCTCGCTTCTTCGGTGGTGATTTAACCAAGGTGCCGAGAATGGCACTGACAGTTGGTGTAGCTACTGTTCTAGAAGCTCGAGAAGTTGTGGTCGTAGTCACTAGCCAAAGGAAGAGCTTGGCTCTTAGCAAGGCGATAGAGGAAGGAGTGAACCATATGACTACTCTTTCAGCACTCCAACTTCACCCGTGGGCCTTGATTGTAGCGGACGAGGACGCTACAGCTGGTAAGCCTTTTTGGTATCTTAGCAGAACGCAGATCATAACCCACGGATCTAACGTCCCCCGGGCAGAGTTGCGCGTAAAAACTGTCAAATACTTCAAATCTATCGAGCGCGTCCAAGAGGAAGTTGAGCAAGACCACCAAGATCTCAATGCTAGTCAGATAGGGATCGAATACATCGACAGAACTACCATGACATTGACTCAGCAGACCGTGTCCAGAAGGAACTCTGCCCACTCGTCTTGACCACCTCTAGTAGACCTCGTTTCTCCATTATCAAAACGCCCGTTGTCTCATTGTCGTAATCTCGAGTTACTAGTCTCCCATGTGCAACCCTGGATATATTCAGGGCCGAAAAGTCTGAAACAACCATGAGAGCGCTCGCCATGAAATGGGGCGAGTTATTGCTACAAGTGGGCAATGATTCGTATCAGATAAGTAATCAAGTAGGATCAACATTAGTGGCCCTCCCAGGCGACTGAAGATCTTGAGACGACCATGAAGCATGGTTAATGTGGAGACGCGGCAATTGGCGGTCTGGTTGCATCCGGAGCAGATGACCTTCACTTGAAGGCCAGTAAAACGTCCCCCGGCAGCATGATACAGCTCGTGAGGAAGACCCAGAAGTATCAATGGAGCAACTTGTCACCGTGTTCCAACGTGTTGTGAGTTCGCCGACTTTCCTGTAGTTGTGCTGCTTATATATTCCACTGACTATTACCGTGGGACATGGTGCTCTACGCATGAACGATGTTGTTATCATTCCAACAACATCAACCAAGGCGGCTATCATAGCATGACACTTCCTCGACTTCTAAGTGTCAATCCTCAGGCTCGAGACGTGCTTTACAAGCATTCCGGTCTACTCCTGGAATTAGCAGTAGTGCCCGCTCCCATTCAGGGCGGGCCTTTCCTCTTGCCTGTCGTTTTAGCGCCTGCCAATCATCTGTGGCTGCACTAGATAGCGACCACAGTCCAGAAATAATTCGATACCAGCTGACGGACCGCTCCTTGGTGTAAAGGGTCCCATCCAGTATCTGCAAGTCAATCGCTTGTCGTTTCACTACTGGGGTGACGAAATCATGTAACGTTATTTCTCAAGTTCCAGTGACAAGAAGTCGTTCAATGGTCATAGAACCAACACTGTTAGGCTGTGTAGTCCCAAGACTTCATTCTTGCGACCTGTGGCGCATATGCTCTTTGTTTAAGGACTATATTCGTCAAAACGTTATTACGCCTATGGCCTCCAGCGGTTCTTACATTCCGAATGGCTGAGTCTTCGTATTATCCATGAAAATAAGCCTAGAGTAAATGGGTACGCTGCACCGTTAGTGGCTCATTCGCTGGAAGATTTCGAACTTCACAGGCAGAAGCTTAGATACTAGGCTGAGTGCCTCAGTTCCGGGACCACATCTTTCTCTTTCCTAACCCTTCCAACCCTATAAATTCACCGGTTCTTGGGTATATCTACGCCATATGTGGGAGGAGTTCCATGAGATTAAGCGGTATATTAGGACTGTTCCCTTTGGTAGTGGAGCTCGGAAGCTTCAGAATGCATGCTCCACCTAAACTAGGGAATTTTCAGTGGGTTCCTGACAATATTATGACCTGCGCGCTGGAGTCACGAACAAGTTCTGCAGTGCATCAACGGCTGCAGGGGGAGGGATACAATGATGCTCAGGAAACCGTATTGCTGATTTGGGGGGCTGAAATTTCCAACGACCCGATCAACCTGGGCATAGCGTTGTGTGCTAGTAATCTCTCCCCATTCCCGCTTCCTGCCTTCGGGATTCTCGTTTCTGGAAGCGTTTGTGGGTCCCAGCGAAATGTGTTGGCGTGTGAATGCCAGGCCGGGATTACATTATATTATATTAGCAACTGCAGTCCACCAGAATCCCGGCCAAAGTTTCCCATCACCAGCTTCCTTAATCTGTTTTGTGTCTTCCTGCCAAAACGAGCTCTCTTCCAGGAAAAGGGAGAATGCGGTTGGAGTGTACGCGTAAGCGTAACGTTGTGTTCGACGGGTAACTGAGTTGGACATCATTCCTCATTGTTTTTTTGTGGACCGCTTTTTCTGTATATGCTTTACCTCCCACCTGAACATCCCTGAACGAATTGCAACACTTACATGGATATCCTCCGTTCGATTTTGAATATAAAGAATCAAAGTGTTCAAAGTGTCCTAAGCCCTTACACATATCTATGCCGGTGGAGCAGAGACTTCGCTACGCATCATGCATTGGATGTGTGAATATGAATGATTACATAATATAGCGGAACGGTTGTGCAACTCCAAGGTCATGCGCTGTAAGGCGAGTTCTACATCGCAAGCGACAAAGCATTCCCCCCTTGGCTACTATATTGGGGCGGGGCAGACTCAATCAGCAACGAAGTTGTTAGGGAAACCGGAAATTGTAGTGACGCACTTGTAAATCGGTGGTATCAGATGGAATTGAATGCCGATGAAGGCCATGAAGCGGTTGATGTTACCTTCCCGTAGTTCGTGTTCCACGAGGCCAAAGTCTTTAACCAACGCGCGGGCCTGATCCACTGCAGGAACAACTGAGACGAAGTGGCTACGGTGAAATCAGCAGAACACTCACGCTCGTATGAAAAGAGGAAGCGTAATGTTTTCGGCCACAAGACGCTTTCAGAGCCGTCTTTCTTGAGCACAGCAGAAAGGGGCTCGTCCAGGTTCGTCGACTTTACATGACTGTTATTACGTCGAGCCTCGCTACGAACGAAAAGGATCAAACTCGTGTGGAAGCGCGGACATCAAACTGTCGGAGACGAACCTGTTCTTTAGTTGCACGCGCACTTCCGTCAGTTGCTGCTGACTCTCCTGCGCTTGGACATGCAGTGGGATCGGTAAGTGTTCGGTTATTTGTGAATCGACTTCCGCTCTTGTCTGCATCGCAATCTCATTCTTAATCTGATCTTGGATTTGTTCCCTGTTGATGACCCAAAAGGCATCAATCAAACCAGTCGAAAACGAGGCTGGTTTATCTCACTTCATCAAATCCGCGATTTGCACTTTGAAATCATCCTTTACGAAGTCCCGAATGTCGGTAATACGAGCATCTTGATGCTGTGGGCGTGGAAGGGGAAAACGTCATGAAACCTGAAATCAGCACAAAATAGACATGATAGACTCTCACTTTTTCCTGGGCACGCATTTGCCGCCTCAGTTGATGGATCTGATGCGCAGAGTCCAGTGCAGGGCCTAGACTGGCAACTTTCGCACTTTGTTCCCCCAAACTGTCAAATGTTGCCCCGAGGGTATTTAGGGTCCCCTTCATCATGGTCAACAGCTCGTTGACCGCCTGTGTATTTGCAACAGGGTACGGCGTACCCGGCGTGCGTGGCGTTTTAGGTGATAGTGGCTCATTCTCGGCCATGTTGAAGGAGACGAATGCAGGTGTAAGAGGTCTGTGTGGGTAGCAGGGATGACGCCTAAGCAAGCCTTCACTGAGGGAGGAACGAGTTGAGGGCTAACGTTAAGCCGATTGCTGCACTATAAGCAAAATGTGCGTTAGATAAGTCCTGAACACGAGGCAACCATGCCTGCCAAACACGTTGCTTGCGCGCACTCAATTGGAATAAGTACTACTTAATGAAGGCTGTTCAGAGTAGTAGAAAATCGATCCGGCTCTTCGAAGCAATCCCGTTAGCAACATGCGAATGGCTTCATCCTTTAGGAACGGGGAAATCGCATGGTTATAATCCATTCACTTGCTGTAAATGGGTATCGTATCATGCATGCACCCCCAGTGAGGATGCCACCCGTCTCACTGGCGAAAGCAACGCAAGGTGAAGCAGCACAACGCGACAATGGCTGAAGTGCCCATCAATAGCAAATCGCGATACTGGCCGATGTTCCTCCACTGAATGAAATCTAGGCCTAAGATTGGCGGTGCGAAGCCATGGCGACGATTGTTGCGAAAATGTGCGGTTTTTGGGCGACCAGCCCGTGGGAGCAATCCCTTCCTGATAAAACGTGTGACTTCTTGCCGCGATAGCTTATCATTGCCCGGCGCCCTCAGGTCTAACGACGTTTGTAAAGCTTGGATGGTATTTCTTTAACATGCACAAGCGGCCTTATCCGATAGCTCTGCAGAATTCGTCGTCTTCCTCTGATGTGATCTCGCAACCGCCACCATCTCGTCAAAAGCGAGCGCTTAGTCATCTGAACATTCACATAATTAATGCAAAGTTTGATTCGGGGGAAATCGACGAGCTCCATAGCCTAGCGGAGCGCCTAGGCGCCAATAATCAAGGATCGATCGAGGCCGCTGATGTTATTGTTACGCGTATTCGAGTGGCAAAGAGACTGGAGCGGCACATTAATCTCGATTTAGCAGTACGTCTCTAAGATCCCCGACCTAGAAGTACAGCAGCTATTTACCACAACTCCAGTCACGGAAGATAGTTGTTGATCCCAATTGGCTGAGAGCTTGCGCCCAAACTAATGACTGCGCACCATTCCAGCCATACTCATCAATGTCCTTTCCTGCGTTGTCTGGGTCACCTCAACTGCAGAGGGCCTTCGGTGCGGCACCAAATCATGAACTAGAATATGCAGGCGAGACATCTTTTGAGACAACGTTATCTGAGGCAACGCCAGCAGTTCCTGATCCATCAATCTCGTACAAGGCTCGACTGTCGACGCATAGATTGTCGCCCCTAATTTGTCCGAATCAGGCCCTTGCACTAGAATTCGCTGTAATAATGAAATGGAGAGCCTTAGAAGGAGATGCAAGGAGCGAATTGAGCTATTCTCGAAGCATTGGCGTGAGTTACACGAGGATAAAATAGCGCTACTCTCATCCACTTCGCATAGACTATCAAAGGTAACCGGGAAGTTTGCATCGAGGTGCATCGATAGTCTTATTTCAATCGCCTTAGCATATCCCTTTAAGATCAAACGTGTGGAAGAAATTGCGGACCTACCATACATCGGGCCAAAGACTCGAAAGATGGTGAGTGAGACTGGGACAACGAGCCTCCATAGAACCTCAGTTCTTATCCCAAAACGCCGTAGACGGAGGAATTTCTCCGGACAGGGTGCATAGAGGAAGCTAGTGAGCTCTAAATCCCACTTTAGTAGATTTTGGGTAACATCCTCACAACCAGATCGCGCTCGGGCATCAAACCGGTTTTCGGTCTTATCAGAATTCATCACTATATATGGCATTGGGTCAAGCAAGGCCCGTGAGCTATATACCCAGGGACATCGCACTCTTGACGAGCTTCGTAGCCATTTTAACAACCAGGGAGGAAAGGCTATGAAGGAGAGCGGGTTACTGGAATCTTTGCGGCTGAGAGATGAGTTAGCAATAAAGTGGGCAAATCCCGAAGTCGTGGTGTCGTTGTACTTTCCTGGTGTCATTAGGATTCCCAGAGCAGAAGTCGAAGAAATGGCTAGCGTTGTCATGGCACACCTTGACCAGATTAAACCAGGCTTCCATCATACGATATGTGGAGGGTGGGAATATGCATCCTATCGGAGCTGTGATACATGTCAATATCGCGACTTTAGGTACCGACGAGGAAAGGAACTTTCTAACGACGTCGACATAGTATTCTCTGGCCCTGCGAGCAACCCAGACGAAGATAAAAGCATATGCAAAACCCTTGTTGGGAGGCTCCAAGATAGAGGTGTGTCCTAGTTTCAGTCGTGGTGGGTATGAAAGGACATAAAAGGAATATGCTCCCGCTGTCAGGTCTAGTCACCCATGTCATGTATGCCTCGTCGTTTAGTTCTCGACATGGTCGACTTGCGCGAACGAACCGACTGTAAGCCTACACTGATCCTCTTCGCCGATCATTCATATATATATTTCACCCACAGTGAAAGTGATTCAAACATGGATGTTCTGGATAAAGCCCTAACTGTGTTCAAATCGAACAAAGAAGGCAGTGTTCACCGGAGGCTAGATCTGATCTTCGCACCTTGGGAAGCTTATTGGACTGCAGTCGTGGGATGGTGTGTCAACGAACTTGAATATGATACTGCAAATTACCTGATATATCTACCTGGTGAATCTCAGGTCCGGCTCCAAGCAGTTTGAGAGGGACCTAAGGTTGTGGGCCAAAGAAAGGTGAGTGTATCATCCCCGACAAATGCTTGATGCTAGGCTACAAAGATCCTTCCTGTAGAGGATTGAAGTTTGATAGTGGTGGGATCACTATGCGAAACAACTCCAAGATGTTGGTTGCACACAGTGAACGCGAGGTTTTTGATATTCTAGGACTTCCTTGGATACCGCCCACCATGCGAAACGCCGATGTGTAGATATGCAGTTTCGGGGGGTTTGGGTCGTTATTGCACAATTTCGCTGTCGACGGTTATTTTACCGCCGACTGAATGCCATATCCTGTCCTTGATTGCCAATTTTTGGAGAACAAATTTGGAAAATTAAATTGGCGTTCTTCGACACGAAACCTTAATCACGTGTTGATTCCATCCCACGATTCAGCAACAGTACTTGGTTGAAACAACGCCGGCGTGTTAACGTTTACGCTGTCAGGGCGCAAAGGCGCTAATTGAAGCTGGAGTCATGGCGTCCCTCACCAATTTGATTCCCATGATCACGAATGTGCTCACAGGTGCGCGTTCTTCGGTCAAATCGTGTCTTGTCGCTTCCCCCTTTGACGCGCGTTTTAACTGGGCTTCTAATGGCCTCCGGATTTGATATATCACCCTTTTGGATAACTATGGTAGCTCCTGGCGTGGATTTGAATCAGATTAGCGCCAAGTCGGTGCGTAAGTCGATGCTCGCCGCCGATAAGAGTCTGGATCCGGAATGGGTGAAGGCGAATAAGAAGGGCATTGACGAATTGATTGCCCAAGTATTTAACACCGTCGCACAAAGCACTCAAATCCCTTCTGTTGCCGATCCCCCACCTTCTGTCGCTCCTAACAAACGAAAACACGAAGATGTGGAATCTAATGACCTTGCCCTTTCTACCTCACAAGATCACATATTATCTGGACCATCCACATCCGATACTGGGAAAAAGCAGAAGACGGAGCAAGAGCTTGCAGATGAAGAATATGCGCGGCAGCTTGCAGCTGAGATCAATGCTGGAAGCCGCACCACAAGGGGGTCCAGCTCTGGTACAGTAGTGACTCGCAAATCTGTCTCTGGGAAAGCAAAAGGAGGGAAAGGGTCAAAATCCAAGAGAAATGGTGCAGATTCTGATGGGGAGGATGATGATGGGCACAGTGGTGACGATCCAGGCACAAAAAAGAAACGGAAGAAAAAAGAGGGTGGTGAGGGTCGCCAGGCAAGAGGAGGGTTTGCAAAGACGTTTACGCTCAGCGAACCATTAGCTGAGCTTACCGGACATCGCGTCCTATCTCGTCCGCAAGTTGTAAAGGCGATATGGGGACATATCAAAGCTAATGACCTGCAGGATCCACGAGACAAGCGTGACATCATCTGCGATGACAAGGCGAGTCCGTCCGTTCATGCGTGTGCCAAAGCGACCCGAGCTTTTTTATTTTAGATGAGAGCAGTTTTCCGGAGCGATGTGATCAACATGTTCAAAATGACCAAGGAGATTGGGTCGTATGTGTCTTCGTTACTTGGCATATTGCTTGTCTTAATGTACTTGGCAGGCACCTGTACGAAGTTTCATAGCATCTAGACACGCAGACCTCGGCCACAACCACAATCGTCGGCAATCCATCTCGAATTTTTTCTCTTCTCTTCACACTGGCATTGCCATCTCGCTCTTTCATCACTTCGAATCATATAAACCACATGTTTTAATTGTTGTGTGCGCTCTTTACAACCCGGTCTCTGTGTGTTGTTAGTTTATCGCTCAATCCAGGTGTGATGGCTCACCTAGCATAATCGCATTATTATGTAATCGCTATATGTTCGAGGATACAATGTCGCTGGGATCTTTGAAGATATGCTGACGGTAAAAACGAAGCTCTAAAGGGCACAGACGTGGTCAATTAATTCTCATGGCAGCTCTGCGGAAATTTCACACCTTCAATTGATCCCAAAATGTCATCAAGTGCCCTATGGGATCACAGCTGGTGAATAGGCAGCTTTTCCAATGTCCGGACCGAAAGAAAAGCCGACCTATGCTTATTTTCCTTCTCCATGGGTTGCGTTCTTTTGGCTTCGGTCACTTCTGGATACCACCTGCGACATAGTTCCTAGGGCAGCAAAAATTCAACAATTGCGCAACGGTGGTTGGGTTAACTGAGGATCCTTCTAGCTCACCTTGATGGTGCTCACGTCTGTGTATTGAATCATGAACCTGCCTGCTAAGGGACAACAGCATGAAATATCGGCGCACCAATTATTCGATAATGTAGATGGTTAATTAAGCCGGGCATATATTTTGTCAGGAAAGCCCGATCCATGTGAACAGAATTGCCAGCTAACACGGCAACCCGTTCTCTTGGAATTCGGTCTTTCACGTATCGCAGAACGGAACGGGAAACATAATCGAAGGTATGTTTGGACGCTAGGCAAGCGGCAGTAAGGCCGGACTGATAGCACTGAGGAACAGGAGCGTTGACGGCCACGGATTCGCTCACCTCCCCATGATGCTTTATACACCATTCATTCATGTTATCCAAAACCTCTTTGTCCGTCTTGATAATAAACGATATCCCCTGCGGGTCGATGGGTGATAAATCACCATTCGTGATGATCAAAGCGATTTCCAAAAGTCTGTCCTTGTTGGGGTCAAGCCCTGTCATCTTCAACGCGATTCGCGCCCGTTAATCAATGCAGTGGATTCCAAAGTCATCTGTTTGTCATACCTCACAATCAATCCATATGATAGGGCCGTCGTCATAGTCCAATGGCCCCGTCCCACGTTCCTTTGCAGAAGAGCTTGGTTTGGGACCCATGAATCTCAGCCACCAGGAGGAAGAATTCAGAGACGTTCTAAGATTTTTGAATGATGGATGGTTGTATCTGTATGGGAAGATCGGGGCTTTGAGAGGGCGCACGGAAATCGCGGAGATAGGCGCTGCTCGCACACCGCGTCTTAGCATAAGCACAAGAACAAAGCGCTTATTTCCGGCGACCAATCGACGCGATTCAATGCGATAACTGCAATCCACTCCCTAGAAGTATCGTATAGAGGATGCAATACGTGAAGCCTTTAGCTCCCCCAAAATGTCCACGAAGTCGCACGCACTGAATTTCATGTTTCGATGAGTCACGACATTCTTTACCACTTTCAACTACGACTGACAATTGCTTCTTGTGTAACCGCAAGACTAGATGCACCTTGGGCCCTTGCCGTCATCATTCCTTCAGTTAGTGGACCGTCAGTTGTCGAAAGCAAATGCTCCGGGTATCCTTATGCGCTGAACTTTCATCCCAGTGAACGAAGTTACGGAACGCTGGCAGACAGATCTTCCTTACAGCTTTGATACGGAAGGAGGGTAAGGTAACGCTTAGACCTACTCTGCGTATTGTTTGCACGTGTAGTTATCTGACTGCGTTCCAAAACAAAGATGAAGTCGAGGCCCAAGAGCCCCTGTTGGATACTAGTGAGCTGAAGGAATACAGGGGTTCACCAGTGATATTATTTTTCAGTCCAAATTAGGGCGTAGATACTTGCACTTCAGAGAGCAGCGTAGGTCGCGCCACTACGCCGCACTCTCAACAAGGCGAGTAGTACAGCGGAAGTCGGTGATTCGACATCAAACATTTATGACACTCAACACGCGGTACTGATCCTCGAATAGAACAATAATATCATGTTATGTCAAAGATGAAGATGAAGGATATGAGTATACCGGAGCAGATAAATGATGAAATGAGGCTATTCCTAGCCCTGAGGTCTGCGTGAGCCCCACACCCCAAACAGTGCATAAGGGGATTCCTATGAAATGAGTTACTCCTGCAACACTTTGCAGACTTTGTCCACTCCTCACATAACAGATCCACCTTGCAGCGGAAGCTAGTTCTGAGGGTTCCACCCAAAAAAATGGGTAGCGAGCGGCGTGAAGCGGCGAGACATGCAACATATGAAACGGGTATAATTCTAGTGGAGGTCGTGAGGCCGTCATGACTTGTTCATCCAACGACAAGATGTTGACAAAATGACAATCATGGCAGCTGATAACACGCTCGGCTCCGAGAAACCAAATTAGGTTTCAGGTTCGACTCCCTATATATCTAGCTATTGCATCCCCCTTGGATCTTCGTGCAGTGATAGGACAACAGATGTTCGAAACAGAGCTCATTCTCGCCCCTAGATTCGAGACTCCATATACATGGTACAAATCCCGGCACGAAACGTCCCTAGAAGGGTTTCTGAACAAGGTCAGCCGTTCTCTTCAACGGGTGGTCTCTAATCTGAAACCAAATTATTATCCCATCTGGAAGTACAAGCCTTCGTTGGTGGTAGATGACGGTTCGAAGCCTGTAAGCTTTACCACTCCGCTCATATCGCGTTTCGCGTGTCCCTCAGACACGGCCGATCTGGTCACCTGTACGGACCAATACAGTGGATATGGGTACGACGTGAAATACTCGGAAATGAAGTGTCCAGATTGACGCCGGAGGCGTTGAAAGAGGCCACTGCGTGCCGTGAGCTCCTACCTGTTATTCAAGGTTCCCTGCCATTCACTCATAGTACCGTTCGAAGTCCAAGAAGTGACGAAGCGTGTCCAAGAAATCACGGTACGACGTCCATGCAATTTCACCCGGACATGTCATGGTCGACTGAAGTATATATATTAATCATAGGATGATGCCTCGATACCCGTCCGTTCAAATAAGAAGACAGGCGCCCGCAGCAAGAAGGAGTTAAGGGAGGAGGTGATGTATCTCACCAAACGGAGAAAATGAGATCTCAACCGGTGAAACAGATTCAAAACCGAGCCAAGGACCAATTAAAGGCTATTGCCACAGGAGCAGGTGGCGAGACGGTCGGGAAATGGTAACACCGTAGTGGAATTCCCTCTGATTAACAGTTCTTACTGTTGCTTCGTAAGGCTACTTTACGCAGGTCCCGAGAATGTCGACGGGTAGGCTACCCTTTTGATTCATTTGCAACTCTCCTCACATAAGATCAGCCTTTGGAAGACAGTGGCAACATCCGTAATTGCTGGTCCGCTATCACGGTCTCCCGCATTCGCTGCCAAAGTTTCTACCTCCCCAGCTAATCCATCGGGGAAAAGAGAGCACGTCATATGCATCTACCTTCAAAATATTTATGACAAGGGCGACGCCACTTCCGTTAGTGCCAAATAATCACATTGAACAGTTGGGCTAATGGCGCGGATTAGGTATTGAAGATTCTCATAGGAGATCATGGGATCCAAAAGGTTTCTGCAAAGTCAGATCTTTATACGCACCTCCAATTGGACAGTAAGCACCCGAGCGGAATACGCAGCACGGTGCGTGGATCTTGACTGTGTCTGGGTGTCCGACAAGAAACGAGTTAGATGATCCCAAATAGATCTGGCAGGTTCAAGAACTGCTATCACCCGACGAAGTATCGGTGCGCCCGTAGTTCGCTCGCCGCTTCTCAGTGCTTAGTATTATTATCAGAAACTGCTTAAGGCATATGAGCAGAAAATTGAAGTTACCAAAGCGGAAAAACGGCGCGCTACTGAGACCAAAACGAAACACCGGAGAGAGTCAACGGACAACGAGCAGCGCCAGAATCCGTGAGTTAATTTCGTCACATTTGCTTACCTATTCGATCCCAATTTCCCTTGTTCTGTCAGATTCGAGTCTTCGGATGACGAAGCTCCCCCGCCATCCAAGGTGGTCAAGGCATTTGAGAAGCAACCCAAAGCATCAACATCAACCCGTCCATTGAAGAAGCACAAACCGCCTGCACCACGAAATGAAGAGGATGACTGATAGGATCAATCACTGCCTTGTTGTCTTGTTAGCAAGCTACTCTTCTCTTCTGATCCCTCGGCAACCACGTCTGCTTAACTGCTTTGATTGGGGGTTGTGACTAAGCATGTCCAATTATCATGGAGCTCCAGCTCGTCGCTACAGAATTGACGTGCCAGAATATCCCATGAATACGTAATGTGGTGAATTGGGTGGCGAAGAGCAAAATATCCTAAACATGGGTCTGCTAAGCGTTTATGTCATATATCTGAATCTCAAGTCGCTATCGGCAATATCCTCGAGTCTAGGTGTGCCCTCCAGCTTCTGCCTCTCTTCACGAGGAAGGATTGCAAGAACCCGATCACGCTTCTTGTTGAGGTAGGCAAATTGGGTCCGGAGGATGAAGGCCGACGAGAATGTAAGTAACATGAAGCTGTATAGGATGCAGATTCAATGCTTAGACGGCAATTGCGTTGGGGAAAATGAGTTAAAGGAACCACATACCCTGCGAACATAGCGTGTGCTCTCCTGAAAGAATCCCCAGGGTCGAAATAAACTTGGGGAGCGGCACTGGAAGCAAAGTCAGACTTCCCCAAAAGGGACCAAGTTCTTCCAAACATACATGGTGGCAACATTGGAAAGGGAGACCATGAAAGCTGTCCCAACACCACGTTTCGGGGTAGGAGCCATGGTGTTGGCGGCCCAACTCCTAAACAATATCGCACGGCTATTATGAGACCGGATCCCACAAACGCCAGAAGTCTGTTCAACGCACATCACCAGTGGGAAGAAGCTATAAGTGCCAGCGACGACGAGGTACGTGGCAACGTAAGAAACACGATGGTTCTTCTGTTCGTAGATAGCAAGAATCACATAGCCAGAGAAGGCAACAAAAGAGGAACCCATGACGTGGAAGCCCCGGTCTTGGGTCTTGTCGCTGTGCCAAGCTTGGAACCAGACGAACAACATCCCAGAAACGTAGGGACCAGAAGTAAGAACTTGAGCTTGAATGGGAGTGAATCCAAACTGCTCGATAAGCTATGAAAGGAGATGAATAGGCAGTGTGTTGGGGAGCAGTGATGCAAGCCAGTATACGCACCGTAGGCAAGAAATAACTGATCGCAGCAATACAAACGTTCTACGAGAAGGCGAAAATGATGATGCTCAATATCAGTATCAGTTGACACTATTGTGTCAACGCAAGGAGTGAGGACACGCACGACTGAATGAGATGAGAACAATTGTTGAATCAGGGACGAAGCGGGATAGATGTTGTTCACTTACAGCTGGAGTAAAGAAGGGCGAAGCCCCATGAATGGGGATCCTTCACAACGAGTTTGAAAGCCTGCCACCCAGAAGTACCACCATGACTCTTTGGCCTGTGGTCCCTCAGTCTTGCAACAGCAATGGCTCTTTGCCTCTTGGTCAAGAATGGAGCGGCGAAAGGGAAAGGTGGGAGCCAAAGGAGAACAACAATAGCCATGACAAGGGAAGGAATCGCCTCGATGAGATAGAGGAATTGCCAACCAGAAAGGACAGGAGAATGAAGTCTAGCGAGACCATACGCCATGAATCCCTAGGAGAAGGCAAGTCTGAGGGCCGAGGCTTCCGGAATCATCGGATTAAGATTAAATGTATCTTACTCCCAACCAGCCAGGAATGGTACCTGTGCAACGATGGGGTTGAGCTGAAGAGTTCAAAAAGCCATTGACCCGAGTGGTCTTACCAGTCGTGCAAAGTGAGATACGGAATGCCAGCTCCCTGCGATTGTACCTGTGGATTGGCATGGAATAACTACACACACTGATCAGTAATAGGCGGGAAAGCGTACGTACCAGAAAGAGAGATAGTAAATCATTCCTGCGTAGAATCCTGCCTGCGCAACTGTAAGTTATGCATCTCCCACGCCTTCATAGCCGGGACATATTTTCACTATACCTCGCCAATACCCAGAAGGATCCTGTGTATTCATAACAAGCAATTCAGCCTTGAAGCCGAGTTGATGAATGGGTGGACGTACCGAAGAATGATGGCTACAATGTAACGCCGACCATACACGAAGCTTAAAGAGCTAAGACCCCACCAGGACAAGCTAAGGAAGAAGCTAAGAAAGCAAAATGGTGTGAGAAAGTCCCATTTCGCTTCACTGACGCTGCCTACGCACAAACGATTGGCACCGATGTGTCGCTGCAAAACTAGGGGACACGTCAGCATCCTCACGAAGTGAACGGGGGAAGGGAAAATACGATAACTAACTATTTGATGGAATCTCGAGAAGACAGTAGCCAATATAGAAAACGGAAAGGAGAAGAGTCCATTGTTGGTTAGTCTCGATTCCCTACATAACGACCGAAGGGAATAAGCGTGATGGTCTAAGTGATACAGGCTATGTAATTCTAACGTATTTCTTGTTGAATCCAGACAAAACGTGGGCATTTCCACTGTCACACGAAACGAATCAGTGTCCAGAAGCACTTGAGTATTGCGATAATGTACGTACATGTTGATACGATCTCAATGGTGAGCCGAAAGCAAAGATTAGCCACAATCGATAGAACGCCTTTCCCTGCACGATACGTACCCAATTGGTCGACTAGGAAAGTCAGAAAAATCTTTTCGGTAACAAAACGCTCATTGAAAAGACTCACAAATCCAACTGAGGTGAAGGGAATGTGAGGACACGCGCCACTGTATGCTTCACGCCTCAAAAACGATTGGCATACCTTATCAAAACGATGGGAAGAATGCGCAGGTCCAGCTTGCGCCTGACAACTGCTTCCTCCTCTTCAGTGAATGAAATGTTTGCAGCCAAACATTCAATTTCATCGGCGGCAGTCCGTTCGATACCACTGAAAAAACCAAGGATGCCCTAGAGTTATTCAGTGAAGTGAGTTTGATGATCGGTGGTGTGTACTTGGAAAATTTACCTCACGGTTATATTTCGTCGCGGGTGGTTCAGTATCATCCTCTTGGTATTTTTCGATTTCGGGGCTACCAACACAACGCATTCGGATGGCGGGTTCCATCCTCTCTTGAATGTCTCCGCGCTGGACCATGATGACACACTACTAGTTCGAGGGATTTGAAAGAGGGGTGTAGAGATCGCTGGAAAAGGTGCAATTGCGAAAAGGCTGGGTTCATTCGTTGGAATAATAAACAATACTAGGTCCCCAAGTTAAGGATCTTCCAGGCCCTAGCTCATACTTCAAATCATGATGATGGCAAACATCGCTGGTCTGTTGGGTCTGCGCTTGAACGAGTTAATATCCGCACATAATTACGCATCAAGCAATTTGATCAATTTCTGGGATTAGTCACCACAGAAATGAGTAGTTTTTTTGGTTGGGTTTACTCTTGCTGAATGCGCAGATACAGCAGCTGCTGACGGATGGGATTAACGATGTGACTTGAGACATCAGAAGCAACCGCCGCTAGGCATTGGTCATCCTGCATCTCATGGAAAAACCGAGGGACAAGGCGCCGACCCACTTCGAGACGGGTGTCTCGTATATAATGCAGGCTCCTCTAAGGATATTATTATAACAGGACACGGGGGATCTACAGATGAATCATGACTTCTTGGCAAAAGTCACAGAATTGATCAATCTATCTCGCATAGTTAGGGACCATTAACGCATCAATGTATGCTTCCTATAGGAGTATCCTTGTGACTATACGCTACCCAGACTGGTTCCCAGCCTAGATCATGGCCAATCCCCAGACTGTGTGCCGGCCTGAACGTGCTGCGTTGGGGCATCTCTAGAGCCAAGAACTCAAGGAAAAAGCGAGCACGCGAGAGTATTGGAGGAACACCACACACTAACTGGACGTGTGATTGTGCACGTGACATTCGTTACTAGAAAGGTTGCTTCGCAACCATGACCTTGCTTGCAGATCAGCAAATATTTGCAATGTTGCTCATCATGGGTTGCGACCAGACTCGTACCCAGTCTGAGGAGCCCCGTGGACGCGCAAAATAATAGCTTTTTTACTCAATGTAAATAAACGTTCTCACGCTAAATCGTTATTCTCACGTTCTGTACCCAATACAAAAAATCACATGGTACGGAGTTAAAGACATAGCCGATCACCTACTCCGAAGTGATCGGCTATGTCTTTAACTCCGTACCATGTGATTTTTTGTATCGAACATATCAAGAATAGGACTCTTCTTGTGAACATGTAAGTGACCATCTTGAGTTGAATCAAGGATGGGTTTGTTCACACAACACCGGACTTTTTGTGAACTCATCATGGCTTTCACTCTGTTACCCACCACCCTGCCTTCTTATCAGGTTGGATGGTGGTAATTAAAGTCAGGCCAGTGGTTTAGGAGTGGTTCCAAGTTTTGGGTCTACCAACTAAGGATTGGGGGGATCTTGAAGTCGGTGGAGCAAAAGCAGCTTCCTATTACAGGGGAACATGCTCTCACTGACTATTGTGTTCGTGTGCAAGGACAAACAATCAGCCATGTCATAATTGACCTGGTGCCACCTCTGATTGGAGCATTGACACCATTCAGTGTGTATGTGGTGCTTTCATGTAGCTCAGGCATTAAGACTGTCGCGAGACTTCGATGAATCGTTGTCCATGCGGCCTGTGTGCAAAGCCTTGAATGCACTAAATGCCACCGGAGAACTTCAGTCAGTTAAAGGTATGATGATGGTGATGACAACCATGTCATGACACAATTCATTGAATAGTCACATGCTATTGGAAATCACATGAGAAGTAAAAGTAATATAAACACATTTTTCCCACGCAATTGTGGGTTTGGAAGTGACCTTGCAAGCAAGGTAATTGTATGGTCACGTTCATTTTGAATTCTTCCTGAGTTCTCGCTCTGGAGACTGAGTCGCTCTTTTAGACATTTTATCAGAGAGAATCTCTGTGAGAGCTTGAGACCAAAGGCAGATCCGATAGCAATTTTGCGGATTGTATCTGGCATGCCCACGCGAGTCAACTGTGAGAGATCGAAACTGTGTTTACACTTGTTTGTGCCGATGATATGATCGTCTGGACTACCACACCATAGTACCTGAAACGGCACGTCACTGTGCCTAGAGCTTACGCCCTCATGACTCGCAACTTCCATACACCCATGACTATCCTGCGCTTAGAGAAGTCCTCCATATTTCACTTCGGAGAAGCATCTAAGCCATTTCTCAAGGGTGTGAGCTTAGAAATGCAGCAAAACCAGTCTTGGGCTATTCTAGGACTACAAAAAACATCGCTCCTCCGGGTTCGTTATTAGGAAAATCCTCTTGGATGATGATTGGCGCATCTCACTGATAGTGATACTAATGGCGGTATGAAGGCGTTTCTTGGACAACATCGAGTTGTTCCAGCGCTTCCATCAGGAATATGGCCATTCCTGTCAAATTTAGAGCCCCCAAAAGCTCCCGACTCAGGAATTGCATTTGTTTCTTTCGCTTACCAACAACGGAGGACAATCCCGACAGGAGGGGCGTTTTATGATTACTCCGCCCGTTATGGGGCAGTAAGAGAGGAGGATAAAGTCACGCTTCGAGAGAGTATCCCCATTTGTCACCCTAGGACTGGAGCAGCCTTGGATACGAATCTACTAGAAACTCTCGCAAAGAGTTTGGCGATTGATCATTTGCTGGATCTCCCATTAGTCGTATTAAGCAATGGTCAGACGAGGCGCGCAGCAATTATGCGGCAACTTCTGCTTGAGCCGGAAGTCCTTATTTTGGATGAGCCGTTAAGTTAGTCACATATTTCGATGTCAGTTGAACTCCGACACACGATAGTGATTATTTTAGCTGGCCTTGATATAAAGCAGAGGCCCTCGTTGCTGGAATTCTTGCATGGATTGCATCGGAGAAAAGATCCGTGGATTTTACTTGGTCTCAGACGTCAGGATCCTTTGCCCGATTGGGTGACACATGTTGCTTACGCCCAAGATAACAATGTCATCTCTGGTCACCGGACAAGTGATTCTGTACGCCCGTTTTTTAGAGCTGACCGGTCGTCGACCAAACGAGTGCCGGATGCCCTAGCACCGGAGCGTCCTACAAAACACTTTTCCCCTCCCGGTGCCGCTGTTACTGGGAATCCTCTTATTCAAATCCGCGGTCTGAACATACAATATGAAAACAGGAAGGTATGATGACAGACCCAAGCATCTCGTTTAATTTCGATCTCTAGACTGATTCGCCATCACTGTCACAGATCCTCAGTGAGCTTGACTGGACAATTAGAGAAGGTGAACGATGGCATCTCACGGGTCCTAATGGTTCGTGAATCTCTACTTTCCAGAAACCCAAAATCCCGTGACTATCCACAAAATCGATTATTCCCCCTTCCAACCACCTTGACCTTTTAGGCTCTGGAAAAACGACCCTCCTGTCGGTCCTCACAGGCGACCATCCACAGTCCTACACTCAAAAGAATCTGGTGCTCTTTGGCAAGCCTCGAAGGCAATTGGCCCTCTCCCAGATTCACAGCCGCATCGGGATCTGTTCCCCAGAAATTTTCAATGCTTTCCCTAGACGGTCGGGGCCAGAGGGTTTAACTGTCCGCGATGCCATCGGAACAGGGTTTGAAAGCATATTTTCATTTAGGCCGAGAACCCCCGAGCAAGAACGACGAATCGATGAAGTCCTGCAAAAATTCAAAGGCGCACTAAGCAACGATTTTGATGCTGATGTACACTTTGGTTCATTAAGCCATGGGGAACAGAGTTTCGTGCTTTTTTTAAGGGCAATCATTAATGAACCTCCACTCCTGATTTTGGACGAGGTGTTTTCTGGGATGCCGGGGGAAATGATCACCGTTACGAAAGAATTCCTTCGGACGGGGCTTAAACATGAACAGAGTGTGGTATTCGTCTCTCACTGGGATGAAGAGCTACCATGGCCGACGGAGGTTCGGCGGTTGGTTTTGGGGGATAATAATTGTGATCATCGCTAGGATACGTCAGCCCCTTTCCAGCTATGATCGATTGAATCCCTCTACCCTCATTCCCCCTTTCTTCTGACGTAACGTGATATCCTCACGGTACCTAGGATTACGTCGGGTTCAGGACATTGGTCACACGCGCTTCACCATAGCTGCGTAATTAAAAAATATTCTCCGAAATCTGCAGGCAGTTTGGCTCGAGGAACGACAAGATGCATCACGTAATGTTATCTCAACTATGATGTTGAGTCTGTCTCATCACCCCCAGGGGGATTCGGTGGTTGGGTGATCGGGGGAGGCTGGGTAGGTGTTTAGCTGTACAGTGACCCCAGGGACGCCTTTGGCAGAGCAATGTCGAAACAGAGAAAAGTTTTGAGTGGCCCCTCTTCCTCACCTGCTTCGAATCATTTCTGCATTCGGGCCGTCTTCGATCCTCGTGGTTGGTGCTCCCTCGGGTTACGTTTGTCCAGGTTATAATAGTTTTCAGGTGATAGTGACCTTAAATCAGTGCCTGCAGTTGGCTATGTTATATTGTAAACGAGCACAAGCAATTGCATGCAATGAGGGCGGCTGGCAGTGTGCTGCCGCGTCAAGCTTATCAATCATCTGCCTGCGGAAATGAAATCCTTGTCTCCGCCGTCCTAACGTTAGAACTCGCAGTATGCAGATAGACTTGAACTCGTAAACGAGGATCGAAAGGGCGGGGGACGTACGGTAACGTACAGGCTTCAGCTGTATGTAACGGAGCACAAGTGTCGGTCATGCCAACAATAAAACTTTATCAGCCAAAATTAAATGGAAAATTGGGATCGGCAGCAAGCCACTTGAGGCACACTGAATACATAAGCGGTCTGCCCACGGGAAGATCGTACCCTGAACTTCATATACCTGCTCCCTCTGCATCAAATGGCGCTCTCCCGACTCATGCATTGAAGCTAGCCAGTTTGCGGAAGAGAGTGGTACCGCCTAGGCATATATTTCCCAAAATTTAGTTATCCACGATGGAGCTGCGAGGTGGTTTGTATATCATAACCAAAGATTCATCACAGCACTCACGAATTATCCACTACAGCTCGTTCAATGTCCATGACAACATGCAAAATGGCATCACATTACATGACGATGCAATCGGTTTCTGGGATCTGAAAGCCCATTTCGCGTAGCTCTTCTTCAGTTGATTCACGTTCGTTCGCCTTCTGCTTTGCCTTCGCTTCGTCTGGGAACCATTGCATCATGAATCGCTTCAATGCAAGATCCACGTTGGCTAGAAGGAAAGGGGAGCCGTTAAGTACGTCACCGTGGGTACTTGTGCAAGTCACAAAAGGAAGAAGAAAACATACATTTATCTGCGAAGCCAACACAAGGCGAACGGCATAATGGACATTCGTCCTGTTGTCGTTTTTGCATCTGAAACATCCCATCAAGCTACTCTGGCGGTAGCAAGGGAGATATCCCAACCTTACCTTCGCTAAGCAACGAACGCAGAACAAGTGGCCGCATTGCAGCCGAATAGGAATGAAAGCGATTGAGGTGCAGATTAAGCACTCGTAATCTGGCCACGTGGAGGATAAAGGGTGAGTGATAGTTTCCCCTGCTCTAAGGGAGGATCACACCGTCAATAGTAGGTATCACCGGCAACAATGTGCTCGTGAGTTGCGTGAGAAGAATATGCGCAAGACTAATTCCATGGGGGCCAGATGCAGAATCTGCCATCAAGGCGCCTAGCATTGGGAACATCCTTCGCTGAGTCGATTGCGGCAACATGAGAGCCGTCCGTTTCTCGTGCTTCTTTAGGATTTTCCGGGCAGCTTCTGCGTTGGCATGTTGGAACTTGTAGATCAATAAATTAATTAGAGGTTGCTAGTACATCACTCGACGGACACGTACTTTCTTGATATCCAGTAAGAGCATATTGAGCTGCAGGAAACGATCTAAAGCCGCTCGGCTGTCTTTTCCTCTCCGTGAACGACGATCCTCAAGGTGTCTGGTTGCATTGGCGAAGGTTGCCAATCTTCGCTCAGCCTCTTCGGTGTCATGCTCCCCCCTATCCTTCTCGATTGTGCCTTCAAAGATCTGCGCCTCGACCCAAAGACGAAAGATCTCCCTCCAGGCATACAAGTTAGAGTGACCACGCGAAGAAGGGCCCGGAAGTTGAGATATGTCGTTACTTAGGGAGTCGACAGTATTAGTGAAGCTTTCTTGTGTACGGGCTTGATGCTCAGCAAAGGACCTAAGTTTGGCTGCAAAAAGTCCATAGAACTCCGTGTCAGCAGTGAGCTGTATGGTCACTTCTTTCAGTTTGCTATAATGTAGCAATAGTTTAGTTCTCTAGCGATATGCTAAGAAGCAGGACCAAAGCTAACAGTGTATGTGTACGCCCAACATGTGACGGAACTGGTTGCGTGGTCCCAGTGAGCGCGAAACCTTCGTCCTTCAGCGGGTCGGTCGGGGCATGAGACCTATCTGCGTGCGAAAAATTGTCCAAATCCGAGTCACTTGCGGCGCAGAACTCTGCATAACGTTTCTGAAGGGCCCAAAGGACGCCGTGCTTCAAACGGAATGTTCTCGTTGAAGCCTTTGTTGGCGCCTCATCTCCCTCCCCTGCCACAACGCTGTTGGTGACTTGGGATAACATCTGATCCTCTTCATCTATCTCCAAAAACTGCACCATACTCGGTGCAATTCGGACTCGGAGGTGGGGCGACGGGTTTCCATGCTCGTCTGAACATTTGTTAGTACGAGTTCATAATTTGGCGAGGAGTTTGGTATACCTGAGGGCTCGTACGTGACGAAAGAGCCGCGCTGTGCGCTTACGCTTGAATCATTTCCCTCGATATTCTCATCACTCCTGAGATGGTGACCGGCTTGATCGTCCTTACTCGCGGTGAGCTGAAAAATTATTTGAGTGCTCGACGGATCCTCCGGCTCCTCCACGGGGTGAAGGATTTGATGCAATGTATTAGGATCCAAGCCGATTTCCTCAAGCTCTTTGACCGTATTACCGATTATCTTCTTTAGCTGGAAAGAGGGCTAGATACAAAGCTAAGGACGTCCCCAAGGAGTTAGCACTCCTACCTTTATATATTCAATGGCGCTTTCTCGCCATGCTTCAGGCAATGAGGCTAACAGCGTAGTGTAGGTCTTTCCAAACTTCATTGTAGATGTGGCGAATAGGCGTCGTCTCGCGTTAATTGAAGGTGTGAGAGTTGGTCGGGTGGGATACGAGACAGACGAGCATAACACGCCAGACACATATGCAGGGGCCAAGAAAGACAGGAGAAAAGGGGTTTTGGCGTTCGTCGGGGTTACTTAAGTGCTTGGCTATTGAATTAATGCACAACTGACGAACTGAATTGTAATGATAACCAATTGAATCTTATTTGTTGCTCACACGAGCTGGAATAGCGGTTCCATCGGAGTAAAGCGATCAAGGGGCGTAACTATTGGCTATCGACGGGAAACTGTGGATGTTGATAATCTCCTGCATGTCCATGCCCACCTCTGCTAGGTTAGGAACGTGTCACACTTATACAGAAGCAAAGATCTCGTTCGTTCTGCGAAAATTGGCTTACAGCTTGGTATCAAAAAACCGCGCGCCTGATTTTGGGTCGTTTGGTCATCCAAACATACCAGACAATAAATGGTGAGCGCCCACCATTTTCCTAGATAGCCAATTAGCTGGCCGTTCGTCCAGATCGGGCGCGCGGTTTTTTGCTGTATGTCAGTGACTATCGTTCCGTACGAGCCTGTCCAGGGGAATGACACACAGCCATTTGTTTATCGTTTATCCAACAGCGGGATTAAAGCTTGATCGGGTAAGTTCAGCTTCAGTGCAATACATTATATAATGGATGAGTCCACGTACTGCTAGACGTGCTGCCCAACTGCCCAACGACTGGAAAATTCGCGCGCATCGCGCGTGGCTCTGCACCATCGATGAAGCGCATCAGCTAGCACTGGATTGGGGAGGATTCGGCTGGAAGTATGAACCTTCTGAAAATCTAGTCTCACGTTGGACCCCTTTTTACTGCAGTCCCAGAGCCTTGGATTCTTCGCTTGCTTTTAAATTTGTCCTCGCTGCTACTTGCCCGAGCGCCCCTTTTGATTCTCCCCAACCATTCAAACACGTCGTCAGATCAAAGGCCTTTGGGAAATGGGCCATTCATTGTGAGGGATCAGTTTGAGCCTTTTTCCCTTGTTGAGGGTTCGGATTCATTTGTGGACAGGTTAACATCTAGTTTCGCTGCGAGTTTCAAACTGGATCCCACCTAGGTGGGATATAGGCAAGTGACCAGCCTCTATAGTATAGAGGCTGGATACCGGTCTTCATGACTGGCCAACTACCTCTGCACATGTGTTGGTAGTCCGTGCATCCCAAATGGGAAGGAGGGTTATCGGAATTTAACGATAGGGATTAGGGCGGAGCAGCTGTAGCCACTTAGGTAAGGAAATTTCAATAGAGGCTGGTATCCTGCCTAGGTAAGGAACGCCAGCCAGGCTACCATGATTACCAGGTAAATGCTTCCAGTCGTCTTTGCTCAGGATCGAGTAGGGGTGGCATCACGATGGGGGAAGCGAAGGCATCATGTGTGTTGGGAATGCGAGTCACCGGACGCATGTGGAGAATAATGACAACGTGGAGGATTTTACTAAGCGCGCAGTCCGCACAGGAGTTGCCTTACGTAGATTTTCCTCTCGTTGTGCACATATACGCACGGACATTGGCCCTAAATCATTAGTTATATTTCTCCTCTATTTTACATCTACGCTACGAGTGAGCCGCTGGGAGATGGGTTGCCATACTTGGAATGCCGTTTACAACAATGTGGTGAACATGGTCAGGCCTAGGCAACGTGAGTGGAGTCCTTCGGTGGACCGCTTCTACGAATGAAAGTGATTTATAGCTTCTGTGATGCGAGGGACTCATGCCGGATGATCGCAGTATTCGCCACTCCGAGACCAAGGATCGATATCCAGTCAGAGCATAGGGGAAATCGGCTGGTCCTTTATTAACGCTAGAATCTCATATCCAGTGGCGCCAGGATCTTGGAACTGACATAAAGGGTGTCGTAACGTCAGAAGGATGAACTAGGTTGGCGAGGGCAAGTCGCGATTTTTTACGGTTTCCAAAGCGAGGTGGGATCGGTGACTGAGCACAAAGAGCCAATGGAGCGATTAACGAGCCGTTCTATTTATGGTTGTTTGTACAGTATGTATTTGTATGTACAGAACTGGAAATTGGGTGGAGAAGTTATCTGGGTCCACGAGTGTTGTTTCGCCGTGACGCCAAGCTGTGCGACTTGGACGCGACTCGACCAACGCGGACGCAGCGCTTTTGACACCATTTACGCTTCAAACAATGTGACATGCATGTTGAAAGGGTTGAGTGTTCCCACTTGTGACGAAACGTACGTCGCGTGCAGTGCAGTGGCGACGCACGCACTCTATCCTGGAGGAGAGCCTGAAAACTTTCATCCTCTATCACCCCTTATAACCACTAATAAAGGAACGCCAGGAACTTCCTTCATTAGACCCCCCCCCCGGCAGATAAGATCGTAGTTTCTCCCGCAACGCCTCCAATTCTGCGTCCTTCTGTGCCAATCGACTCCGGAACGAAGGTATGACCCGCCTCCGAAGCGAATGCATAAGCTCCGCAACGCGCCCCCATTCCACCTCAGAATCCCGAAAAGTGTTGTGATGTGGCCCATCCCAGATGAAATGGTCATAGAAATTAAACGCTGGTGCCATTATTGTTGGTGTGCGTTGGGCGTCCTGGAACATAGCGCACAGATACATTGCCACCTCGGAGTGATTCCGAACTTGGGACGGCGCAAAGCATAGTGTGGAAAGTGGATGATTCGAAGGAAGGGGAGGGTCGTCGAGGGAGAATTGGGAGCCCGAGACGTCCGTATCGATGTATAGTGAAGCACGCTCAAGACGAGGGCATACGTTCGCGATCGATCGTATCACTTCCAGCGTTAGACCCGGAGGATAATTATTATCTTCGAGGTGTATCTGAACCTCTGTCGGGATCAACCCCAAAACTTCAAGGTTGGGCATCTTAGAGCATAGATTCACCAAATCAGTATTGTTAATCGTCTCAACGCCGTCGGTGCAGACTACCAAATGGGTGAGATTAGGCGATAGTGGAAGTTTCAGCACAGGGAACTTGAGACCAGGGGTGACGAGGAGCAATCCATGTAAGCCTGTACACATTGTGACTATTTGGACCAGCGACTGCTCTGTTGACGGATCATCCTCGTCTGTCAGTAGCATCCTGAGAAAACGCACGCCACCCAAGGGATAATACCCTAGGACAATGACTGCTAACTGGGACGGAATCGCTATCTCGATAGTGTGAAGGGAGGGGAATGGAGTCTCCAATGTAGGGGGTTCGAAACCGTCCCAAGCCGAAGAACCGAATATGTCGAGGCGGAATCCCTTCTGGAGGAATGGTGAGTTGATTTCCCTTAAGCTAGGGAGTTGGGCAATGCATGTCCATACTATTGGGGTAAAAAGAAATTTCCAGTCTGCACTCAAGCAAACAAGGTTAACCAGCTGCTTCAATACGCTCGAAAAGCAATCATTGAAGGCTTCACTAAATCCTGAAGTTTCGCCGATGTGTAGACTGAGGGATGTCAAGGAGGCACCGTGATGATAAAGCGATCGGATGACTGGAAGATAGACGGCTTCGGTAGAGTCAAGGATCGATAGTGTGATGTTGGAAGGGCGTGTAACAAGCCAAACGCCGGAACTCCTGGTTGCATCTGGTCCATAGAGGACGCAATCCAAAGAAACGAGGTGCGGAAAAAGTGGCGAATGCAAAAACTGTACTGCCTGAGTAAACTCGCTGATCAGTCCAGGATGAATGCAGTGGGTTCGGACCCCGGTATGGACAACAATGGATTGAACAAATTTTGCATAAAATTGGAGCCTTGGTAGTGCCCTAAGATCCATGCTGGTGATCATGGTCTGCATATCAAAGTAGATACCGTTTATGCTCACTCATGAGCAGTGGTGTCACGAGACACTCACATAGGGACCTGATTACGGTGTTAATCTCCCCAACCCTCCCCAGCAGCCGAAGGAGAGGTAACGGAGTCTTGAGCTCTCGCCACAGGCTTCGCAGAGCAGGGAGGGATCCTCCATAATTTGCAAGTTCGCGCTGCCGATGCCAGAATTGCGTTAGGGCAACCGTCGAAGAAAACCGTCAAAATGTCCAAGAGCCGTAATGCACGAGGCATTACAGCCATTTGGCCCTCCTCCAATGGAGCACCGTGTGTCTCATAGGCGGCATTCATAGAAAAGCGGCCTATAGTAATCTAGTTGTTTAGATGTTTAGATCCAAGGTACGCCTGAAAGGGGTGCTCAGGTGGTGTTGTGCCCACAGCACCGTAGCCTCAAGGCTTGTCTTTCGAGGACGAGAGGTACTCTCGGGGCCAAAAAATTCTGACGCTAAGAAACGTGACTTTTTCCTTTAGACCGAGGTGCACCATTCCTTGTTAACTGCACCTCCGCTCACGGAGACGATGTTTCCTCCGTCCACCGATCGCAATTTATCCAAGCTATTCCCTCCATTTTTTCTGACGCTTCATCAATGCTGTTCTGGTCACACGAGTCAAATACCTACTTATTGAAATGGTTTCTTGGATACACCCCGATTCTGATTCATTGTGACTCTGTGACTATTCAGTTGTTTGAAACCAAAGGTTTGCTCCATACACTCTGCCCTCTCAAGTGGACGCATTTTAGCCTCACTTTCTTCATGATCAGTCTAACCTGTTGTAGTGAGTGTCGTGCGTGCCGTACAGGGTAGACCCTGTGAGCACTCTGGTTCAAACCCTGTGCTGTGGCAAACTGGCAGTACCGTTCAAGGGTTGCTACGCTGGGGACTTCGCTGTGTGTTTGATCCAGGTCAATTGCATTCCGATCCTAAACCGTAGGGACTCTCTCCTCCGGATGAGCGCTGTTCTTGCCGTTCCACTAGCCATTTGTCCGAGCAGACTCTTTCCATCGGAAAAATTCCCCCCATTTCCAAGTCGCGCTAGCCTCCATTTAACAGACTAGGGCTTTACATGCAAGTCAAAAGAGCCCTTCGCTGCAATTTCAGTCAACAATACTCCTACCGCTGCACAGGCTCCACAACTTTCACCATGCAGCAATACCTTGTTGCCATTGGTAACCCCATGTTCTCCACTTCTGGGTCAGTGCCTCCCGAGGATCCCTAACGGTGCTTTTTTCCCATCGAGTTCTTGGTCGCTGGACCAGGTGATTCTCAAGTAACATAGTTGAACGACGAAATCATATTAATCCAATAATTTGGCACTTATGTAAGGGCGGTGATACAAGAATGGTCATCCGAAACCTCCATTTATAAGCTTAGCTAGAGCATCTGTTGAGACCGGCACCACAGAACTGAGCAACTATGATATAAAGCAGCAACTGTAGAGGGTTCCATGATGCTTTCAGGCGATATCTATCACGGAAGTCAAGTTGATCCTCACCAATCCAACGAATATGCTGAGAGCCAAGATTCTCTGGTTTTTCCAAAACTCACGCCGACGGACATCCCTTGCCCTAAAACCCCTTGGATGCTTAGCGAGCACAAACCGATGATCGAGGCGCAGATTCCACCTACCCTCTTCTAAACGCCCACGCTTGACCGCTTAGGTTATCCGTCTTATCGACCAGCAACTCTATCCTCTCTCCACGACTCAAAATTTGCTCAACATTATGCACCATAATATCTCGGACCTGGTTCAACTCTTCTCGAGTTTGAGTAAGGACATCGGTAGGAGGGGATGTGGTAAACTGATGCATAAGCTCGCCAATTCGAGGGGAGAATTCATTTAACCCATACGGGGGGGCATCAAAAATAGTATCTTGCGAATAGGCCGCATTGAACTATGAGGTCGAAGTTAGAAGGGGCGTGGAAATGTCCATTATTTGAGAACTAACCCACCTGGTGCTGCAGCTCGGCTAAGAAGGAAAATGGCATCCTACGGCCAACAGAATCATCCGCCATTACCATGTAGGTGAGGCCACCTTCCGACACATAATGAAATAGGTACTGCTCCCAAACATCTGAAGTTCGAATTGGAGGAGTCAATCGAGAGTATAAGAACAAATCAACGAACAAGTCAGCTTCGAGTTGTTTGGAGGTATCTTATTAAGGATTGTCTGAACCGCTATAGTGATGAGGGATCTGTAGATGTCCCATAGAAGCTGCGGAGTTGTAAAGGCTGACCATTCGAGAAGTTGTGTGCGCCAGCACTGTGCTCAGCGAGAATAACAGAGCCGCGAGCAGCCAATGCATGTATGAGACTCTAATAAGATGCAATTGTGAGCACCTGGGTGGAATCGGAAGAAGCGTGCAGCTGCTCACCATGTTTGATGGAGTGAAGCAACACCGCCACGAGCCCTGGCAGACCGGCAATTCCCAGCTCAACCGCTGGCACTTTAATAATTCAATATCTGCGTCGCTCCTTCATCACTAAAAGGCCATGGTATGCATGTCCAAGCTCGTGTGGGGGGTAGTAAAGGCTAAACACCATATTTATGCACCTCTTTCTGTGGAAATAATTTACTTAGTCATCTGACGAGTCAAGACCTACTTCCCCGTTGCTGTCTGGGCCTGCACCTCGACCTAGTGCAGCTTCTGCGGCCGTTGCTCGTCCACCCGGTGCCGGACAAGTCAGGTCTGTTAACTACCGCGTCAAAGGAAAGATTAATTTCTTATTGACGAATGCTTTCAACTTCTCCCAGACGCCGCGCTCAGAATACTGTTCAAAAGCCCAACTCAGCACGCGCCGCTGGTGCAGGAGGGTCGAGCGGGACGATGTTGAGACTGTATACGGACGATTCACAAGGGCTCAGAGTGTGAGTCCCTAAATGTGCTTGTTGATACATGCTGGACCTTTGACATGGACATCTTGTTTCCCCCAGCGACCCATTCGTCGTAATGGTCCTTTCAATTGTTTTCATCTTCTCAATATTCTTCCTCCATCTGGCTGCCAAAGTTGTGAAATACTTCACGAAGTGAATTCTGATATATTCACTGTTCTTTATGGTGACAAATGGATGAAAACCTCGCCTCACGACCAAATCCTTTCCATCAGACCCTCTGTCTATGATTCTGACTAAAGATCCACAAAAGCTCCCCACCATCACAGTGACGACTAGGGCCCAACCCTAGTTTTTCCTGTGATTCTGCCCTGATGCTTCAAGAGTCAGCCGTGGCAAGGGTCAATGCCCAGCATAGCTATACGGCAGCGAACGGGAATCGCACCAAACACTGAGCAAATTGATTGAATTATACTGCACAACGAGATCAAAATGTGTCCATCGAGACAGCGCAAGGTGTTGATTGCAAGGAAGACATCATACGAATCGAGAAGGGGGTAAAAAGGAAGGCTCGGCGGCGCTCAGTAGTTTACGCTGATGAGGTAGTCGGCGAGTTTTTCGACGACATTTATGGCCTCTGGGCCTTGGATAGGAGCGAGATAGATAGCGACCAGAATTGCCTGGCTCGTTTGTACAAGCACAATTCCGTCGGGCTAGGGAAGAGAGAATCGGGTAGCCACGTGGAGGGCGAGAGCGTAATAAGGGGTTAACCGACACCACGGTATGAGCCTGTCAGCAAACAGCAAGATCGGATTGTCGTGAAGGAGAGCACTGACCCCCTTTTTCCCATAAATGCTCCGTTCAGTGGCATCCGTGTAGAAGTACTTGACCCCTGCCGCTCGGATGCCCTTTGACTGCACCGACTCCTTGTTAGCTAATGCCTGTATAATCTCGGTTTGCTCTTGCGCCGAGAGCTACATGAGGTCTTCAGCGGGTATTCTGTAAGCATTAAGAAGTGGCTTCGTACATCAAATCCCGCTGAACTGGCCCAGACACCCCCCTGTCTGCCAATAATGGCGGCTCTAGAAACTTTGCCACTCCCGATGAGATGGGTGTCGACGTAAGCTAATTCGATCCAGGCACATCCGTCAGTACGTGCTAAATTTGCCACTCGGGCGGTCAGATATGCAATATCGCCTCACTTTGCCAGGACATCGTGCTTGACTACGGTGTTGAACAGCTGAAGAGGAAACTCCGATCTCGGCTGGATCCGAATCGCAGCCCCTGAAGTTTTTTGGATCATATCGCTGCATTTACACATTCTAGTACTCATTTTCCACGCCATGGCTCGCAAGTTTTTCGTTGGAGGTAATGTTTTGGTGTTTCGCTAGGGGTTGAGTTCTTTGGGATTGAGATCGGCACATCAAGGCAATTTTAAAATGAACGGAACGCTTGCGTCCCTTCAGAAGCTGGTCGCGGATTTAAACAGTGCCCAGCTATCGAGCGACAGTGGTCAGTTTCCCGTCGCCGCCCCTCAGTAATTCCAGACACTCAAAGTGTATAATCTAACGTATCAAGAGGTGGTCATTGCCCCTCCTTCTCTCTACGTCCTTCCACTCAAGGAGCTAGTCCGCAAAGACGTCGCAGTCGGGGCCCAGAATGCACACATCGAAGTTAGCGGAGCATTCACGGGGGAGATATCCCCGAAACAGCTTCACGAAGAGGGCGTCCCATGGGTTATCCTTGGACACTCAGAGCGGCGCTCGCTTTTCCACGAGTCGCACGAAATTGTGGGAAAGAAAACCAAAGCTGCATTGGATGTTGGTCTCAATGTTATTTTGTGCGTTGGAGAGACTTTACAAGAGCGCGAGGCTGGGAGGACTATTCAGGTAGTTGAAAGCCAGCTTGTTGCCGTTGCGAAGGAAATCAAGGATTGGAGGTGGGTGGGGGCTCATATCTGAATCCAATTCACTTATCATTTCATCAGTAAAATTGTCATTGCATATGAACCTGTATGGGCTATTGGTACAGGGAAAGTCGCCACTCCTGAACAGGTACGCATGCGTTGTTTCTAGCTCGGTTTGTGTTTGAAGCTCTGTCTGTGGCGTGCGTCTTAGGCCCAGGAAGTTCACAAGGATATTCGATCTTGGATTGTTCAGAACATCGGGGAAACCGTAGCTGAAAGCATTCGCGTCATCTACGGTGGGAGTGTGACTGCGGCGAACTCCATCGAACTCGGTACGAGGACCCCAAGGATCCTTCATTACCGCCAGCTCACGCCTAAGCCATTTTAGCAAAACAACTCGACATTGATGGATTTCTTGTTGGCGGCGCATCCCTCAAGCCCGAATTCGTCGACATCATCAACTCCAAAAATAAGACAAATAAGCTATGAGTCCTCGGCTGAATGCCATGAGCATTACAGAATTTTAGAGACAAATAAAACACAAATGTAAACTAGGTATTGTAATGTCATAGGTAGTACAGAATGCATACGAACGGAAGAGATTCTAAAGACACCGCCACTGGTTGCCCAAATGCCTCGGTACCCGCGGCCGCTGACAACCTTACCCTGAATCATGAATCATCGGAATGTGGCTGTTTCTGCGGCTCCGCAAGGACACTTTTACTTTGAGCCTCAGCTCGCTTTTCTTCTTTTAATTCACGATACCGCCGTATTACTCTTTCTCGCTCCTCTTCTATGTCTTGCTTATCCTTGAGTGAAAGGACGTCCTTTGCAATATTGTCCCGCTGGGGGGCTTTTCGAGTAGCTGGCTTCAAAGTTGGTGGAGCCAAGACGACATCGTTTAGTCGCGTGAATTTCGGCAGAGTATCAAATTCAGTTTTTCGAGGTGTTTGTGAGGGAAGGGTGATTTGGGGATTTGAAGGTGGGGTCGATGTCGTTGACTCAAGTTTAGAGTTCGAGTTCTTGGATTTTTTGGAAACTTCTTTTTTCGTTTTTATCTCTGTCCTTTTGGCTTTACGCACAGCCTGAAAATCACCGCTCCTAAACGAATCTTCTACCCGTCTGTGGTGCGTTCATATCAGATATCGGTACCCTGAGAAGCAATAAACCTACGAACCGGTCAAACGATTCTAAGGACTCTCCAGGCTGGATTGGAAGTATGATTCCAATATGGGTTAGTACATCACAGGGAAAGTCTATGAACGCACCCGGATTTTGAGCTCATTCGAAGTGTCTTCTTCCTTCCGACGTTTACTCTTCATAGATTCCTCAGCCTCTCGTCCCCTTTTTTGCCTTTCTCGACGCTCTTGCATCATTTTCTCGGCTCCAAAGATCCACGCGGCACGCTTAGGTATGTCGTTCACGTCATTGCGTGGCGGCAAGTCCGTGCCCCTATTGATAGGTTTCATAATAAGCACTGGCGAGTAAGATACTCAATGCTGATGCTACCTTTTCTTTCTTTCCAGCTCCCTTTGAGACCTTTTCGGCCGTTTGTGGGGCATTCTTCAACGCTGAGGAAACTCCAAAAAAATAATTGGGCATAGCCACAGCAGAATTCACACGCCCATGATGACAACCGACTTGAGCATGCTGGCTTGTCAACCCCAATTTTAATTTTAATTTTATCTGGGCTCGGGTTCAAATTCCGAGCCCCGCCTGGGGTATGGCTTGGCGATATACAGAGATGCAAAGAGTGTTAGGATTAAGAACCAGCTAGGAATGTTAGTAAAAAATACCTCAGTTCAAGACTTCAGATAACACGAATTGGGAAAGCGTTTCCGTTTATGAGGCTGCGCTTACAAGTGCGCATAAGGCAAGGGATTTGGAAACGTAGGAGGCGCCACACTTCACGGCGAGACTTGTTTTAGCGTCGCCATCGGGAGCCTGACTTCGAACAAGTCATCCACCTGCTACATGAAGTTGCGAGACTGTCAAGTTGATAGCATTGTGAATTTGGGATGTATATTCCATTATGTAATGTGGGACTTTAGTAAGATTCTACATTAGATAGCGTTCATACGGGGCGAATATGGCGTTTCGTTAGGTGTTTAAAATCTAGGAAGTTTCAGTATTCCACCGTTCGAGCACCAAGCTTCTAACTCCTTCGTAGAGGTGATCTGGCATCCAAGCCTACTCCTCTTGTCGTCGCGAAACAGGGCATATTCAAGCATATCCTCTTCTGTTTCGGACATTGGAGGTATCGGTGCTTCAGGGCCGTTTGCAGGTGGTACAACGTAAAGATGACAGGTGGCGCACTTGACAGATGCAAAAAGATGAATGCTTCCCGGCTTTGCAGGAACTAGTTATAGACTAACCTCAAGGTTCCCTCCGCAAGTCCCTTCGATGCCGTCAACAGAGTTGGCCTTTGCTATTTGCATGATAGACTGCCCCTCCTGCGCCGAAATAGAGAATGTTTTTCCATCGTGGGTTTCAAACGTCAAGTTCAAGGTCACTGGATGGGCTGGTCGATGCCGTCCCATTGTGCCTTCCGTGCTTGTGCCTTCGGAAGAAAGGCGACCCAGAATTCGTGTCCGCTCAGCATGGAAAGCAAGTTGCTCTTCTTCCGTCAGACCTAGCCTTCCCCTCCATTTACTGAGCAAGAAACGCTCCTGATCGAGGCTTCGTCGACCAACACCGAGGGGTTCTACGGATGAAGTAAGTGCATCGAAAAACTTTGAGGCTTCATTGGGAGAGAGAGATCCATAGACATCTCCTGGAGGAAAGTCGAGAACATTTGCAGCGTATTTGTGACCGCCAGCGTGACCAATTTCTCGGACGGTAATTTCGGTGGGCGTTTCATCTGCATCGTATGCCGGTCGTAGAGATGAAGCCAATGAGCGGAGGGTTGTGAATACAGCCTTCCCCGTTGTCCCACAGCGACAATCCCTTGACCCATGGGTACACACATAAATATGCCGTTCCCTTACGGGCGGCTTGGCTCGTGGTATTGATGCGTCCAGCAGTTTGCCCAACGAATTTGCACCCCCAACGACTTGCGGCTGATGACCAGAACGGTACAACGTCGCAAGAAACGTTGAGGAGCCATCCGATCCATCCCTCAGCTCATTCAATGGATCAAAGAAATCCACTTTATTGTTTGGGTCGTGGGATACATTGACCACTACCCCATGAGGCTTGAGCTTTATTGAAAGATCTCGCATGAAACGTGAATGTACCAGAGGGTGTGCTGGCCAAGTGGATGAGGGCGAAGGTGTACGTAGTACTAACAAGTATGGATTGGAAGGTGCTGTCCCTGGCCGAGCTCCAGTTTCGTTACTGGATGTCGTGGGCCTTAATGAAGACTGGCAAAACCTCCGTGCGCACACTGGGGTAAATGAGGTCGGGTGATACACACTCCAAAAACGCCATGATCCAGAGGCACGGATAAATGGCGCCAAATTCTACATTTCCAAAAGATTGGGGACTTCGATTGTAATTTGGTCGAGGCACACACATACCATTGATGTGGGACGCGAATCTTTCGGGGTCAACAAACCGCAACACAGTCTCCGGCGCGACTTTCATGAACTCGCCGCGCTAGATTCCTTTATTCTAGCTGCTGAGGGGTTCAGATCCTTGCGCTCGAAGACATTCTCCTACTTGATTCAGGCTTTTCATCTCATCGATGTCAGCTGCCCGTCTTTCGTCCATATCCGCCCAAACTCTTTCAGCTCTCCTCGAACGAACCCGCCTTCGGGAGCTGGGAAAGACCCCCCCGTCATCACAACTTAGTAATATTAAGAGAAATTTGGAGGTACTTAGACTTGGTATACTTCAGCTCGAACAAAATCAGGAAGGAGAGAACGCCGCAGCCAATGCCCTTAGGGGACAATGGGAGAGAGCAAAAAGAATGCTCGGGGAAGACGCAAGTGGCATACCTGAGTACGTATACTGCATGAAAACCCCATGCTCCCCGGCACCGATGTGATTCCATGCCGTCATTTAGTCTTCCTCCACCCCAGCAACAGCACACCCACCCGTCTCCGACGGTACAATTGCGTGACGCGATGTCTGGTAGCGATCCCGTCGCCACCCCGTACCGGGATGACCCTCTAGAGGCGCCAACGCCCGAGTTGAACTCGGTGGAGGAGGTTCAAGCACAAAGACAGATGATGGACGGTATGGCTTTGCTCCATATACTCATGCCAGTTGTGTATGTGGCCGGTGATGCTGATTTTATTCCCTTACTAGACCAAGATACCCAGCTTGAATCGCTATCGCACTCCATACGGCGTCAACAGGAGCTTTCTGAACAGATAGGAGAGGAGTTGGATGTTCATCATGGTCTTTTAGAGGACCTTGAGGCAGGTATAGATAGGACGACATTGGGTCTAGGAAGCGCAAGAAGGAGACTAGGCCATTTTGCGCGAGGCGCTAGGGAAAATTGTGAGCATGACGTTTACTCTGATTTCGGTTGCGGTCATGAACTGAGCCCACCGGAAGGTTCTGCATTCACCATAGGGACTCTCATAGTTTTGCTACTTATGCTAATAATCATCATCAAGACATAGGCTGGCTCATTGTTGGTCATGTATTTTTGCTGTCCTGTTGGCGGTCTTCCCGACTCTATTTTGCGGATCAAACATGATTCGCCCTGGTCTGCTTTTCAAAGTTATGGCGGTCAACAATTCTATGGCATCACAACTATGCAGCGTTAGCCATATATGCTCTCTATGCTTTAAACGGCAGTCCTCTTCATAGGAATTCGCTTCACGCTGCTATAGCCTTTTATGCTCGTTACCATGGTTCGACTCAGCAGTATTGAGCACCTTGGCGTTAGCACACCCTAGACTCCTCCACGTTCATCTCTTGAGGCGGAACTTCAATAGAAGGTCGGGTATGGGATGTAGATTAAAACAGGAGGTGCGATGCTCGGTGGGAGGGATAGTGACGAGTACACCTGTGAACTCGTACCATGACCTTGGTGTCTCCACTTAAGGAGAATACACCTGAAAGGCGGGGAACCTCACAAATCGCACGGCTCTGGTGACATGGTTCGTCTGATCAGTGCTCTCGCTCAATTGCACTTCCACCCCGCTGACATCTGCATCTCCATGGAGCCGTGCACCCGACGTCCATGCTACGAGTGGATTCCAGCATTTGATCTCTCTTACGCAGTATAAAGAATTGGAGGGCAGGATCCTGAGTTCACACCGGTATGCCCTGATTCTTCTTTTTATTCACGCCTTACCCCTGCAGATGTCTGTTGGGGGGATATCGAGTGCCACACATGGGAGACTGCTGACATCGCACGACAAAACACCCTCCTGTGGCTCATTTCTCTCGAATCCCTTAGATTGGTGCGTTTGGTTTAAGTATCCCGGGCGCAATGCTTCGTAGCATCTCTAATTGGTCTAGAGATGTTGTGGCCTCCAGTGCTCTCTTAGAATATGTGTGCTATACACACGGACATCGTATAGACCTGACACTTCTCGAGCGGGGTTGTTCAGGAGTTTGACACCGGAAATAAAAGACTAGTTCCCAGCGAGGGGACTAGAATACTCTACTTAATGTCACTGACAGAAAGTGAGTGTGAGCTTGATAGTATGCGTCCCGTCGGTTGTTCTCGATCGCTTACATGACCTGCGCAGTCATTGGTGATGTCACTCCGGACATGATCTCCATATTTGGACCCTCTGGTGGGTCTCAGATGCTTCCGCCTCCCGTCTCGCCCCCTTCTTTATTGGTAGGGTATGGCATCCCAACAAGTTATGACCTAGGAGGAGAGGGAGAAAAGAAGAAAAGATTGAAATGTTCCTCGTGTAGGCGTAAGCTGTCAGCTCTCCAGATGAAGTGGAGGGGATCGCAGTGATTATGGTTATCTCCCCAATCACCAACAGAGATGAGCGCTCGTTTCACTCAATAGTTTGACTGTCCACCAGAATCTACCACCCTGCCAAGCAAGCCCGTGGAGGCCAAGCCTACGGCTGAGGCCACCTGCCCCAGAGTTCGACCTTAATATCTAATTCAATGTATTGTTACCTGGGTTGAAAAATGCAGTTTGTATCGAAAATCAGATTGCAGAACTATGAAATTGATACCCTAATGCCACGCATCCTTGCGTACACGCTTAATTTTCCCTCTGACCGCGACCAGCTGCTTCGCCAGCCTTTCGCGGCGTTTAAGGTCGGCTCCGGTTGTCCCCGTAGTAAAGTCCGCCGTGTAGATCTCTCGCCTTTTATGGCTTCCCAGAGTGCCTCCAATTGTGCCCATTCATTTCCCCTCGTGTTCTCCAAGTTTCTCCACCAATCAGTACCGGTTAACATAGGGTGGGTACAATATTTTGTTTGTTTTCCGTGATTTCCTTATCGATCGATCGTTGTCTATCAAGGACATCTCCAACTGTGGCGGGCACTCCATTTTCAGATGCAAGTGTCTCTTATTTTTCACAATAATTGCAGTGTTGAATTGTTCCTGTGTCGCCAATTGTAGGAGTCAAGTAGAAACGTCGCGTCGTTTCCTTTGGGAAGGGCAACGGGATATCTTGTTCACCGAATTTCCCGCATACAGCATTACCAATAGATCAGTCAAGAGGTTTTTGTCCAAGATTCCAAAGGGCGATTATGGTTGGTGTCCTCGTTGCCTCCATGCTCTAACTCTCTGCCGTTCTAACGTGTCTCGCAATTAGTTGGGGTTGCTGGCGCTTACTCTCCTGGAGATCGTAAACTCACGCATCTGGCTTTGTCGTCGTTCGATTTGGTGGTCTGCATTTCACTTAATCCCAAGGATGGGGATTCCTCCCAAAGAGTCCCCGAAGAGACAACTAGAATCCTTTCTGAAGTCTTGAACGACACTTTCGGCGAGCACTCGAAATTCAAATTTCTCGCTTTCGATGGCGAGAGGATAGCCGTGGGACTCTGGAATGACTGGGGCGTCCGCACCAACCTAATGTTACATCTTCAGACACTGGCGGGGGGAGGTGGGAAGAAGACGTTCGTTCGAACTATTTTCCACCTCTTTGAGCCTGGAGGCTACGTAGAAGCCGACCGCGATGATCTAACAGATGCTTTCGAAGACGATAATAGTCTTCCTGATTGGAAGAAGAGATTGAAGTTTCGGGCATCTTCATCGTATTACATGCAGCGATTGCATGCTGAAGCGATTTGTGGTGCGTTTTTAACATGTTAACCGGGTTGAGTTCTTCACTGTTCAATTCAGAAGCGTTCGAGGGAGATATGTACATTCGAACAGCAGGCGTATCCGACGCGGTAAGTGGTGCCATGTATCTGCTTTATTCTGCCGGCTGGAGGAGATTTCCCAGAACTTGAGCAACGTTGCTACTTCCGCCAGAACGACGGAGCGCATCGGCTCTTTGCAGCCTGCTTTTGTCGCTAACGACCACCGTTCTGCCGACATAGACCGTGCGACTGGGGAGGTCAAAATTGAGTTGGATCGCTTCAAGACCCGAACTCACTCCAAGGAGGACGATCAGGTCAGCTATGCGCTTTGATATGTTCGTTGTGTTGGAAATGTGTCTGACACCTCGTCAGCGAGTTGTACTTGGGTACAAAGATGCGTCTGGAAAAGTCAAGCAAGCAGTAGGGAGGATCGTGACTCAGATGGGTCGCAACGCCACATTCAAAGCGTCAAAGGCGACCGACACAGCCAAATTGAAGGATGCGAAGGAGATCACATCAATTGTTACATATGGCAAGGCAGCGCCTACTCATGCTGACCAGCGATTGCAAAACATCGTTTCCAAAGTCTTGCGCGGAATTGACGCGAAAGTGGTCGAATCCAGCGTCATTCTACAAATCATACTGGCCCAGTCTCGACTCGGATCGCAGGTAGATGACTCATCAGCGGACTATGATCCTCTTTCCCATAGCATCATTGACCCGTTGCCTGCTGCCGTCTCTGTCCTGCTTAATCCATCCCAGACTGAAGCAGTACAGTCTTTTTGTGGTGGTGAAGCTACACCTAAGAAACCCGTAATTCGAATTGTGCAGGGACCTCCAGGATCGGGAAAAACGACAATGATCGCCGCCATGGTTCAATGGTTTACCTTCCTCCATTCTGCCCAGGGCCCCAAAAACAGGAGTGGCATATATCTCGTCTGCCAATCAAATGTCGGCGTCAAGAACATCGCAGAGAAGCTGGAGTCGATCGGATTTACTGATTGGCGCCTCATAGTTTCGAATGAGTTCAAATTTGAATGGTAAGTTAGGCTCTAATTCTCCATCCTTCAAGTTCATAACTCTCCCACAGGCATGAGCACTTATATGAGAAGATTAAAGAATACGTCATCGAATCGACTGATCTGCCCAGAAGTATGGTAGCAACGAAGAAGCTTCTGGGCGAAGCGCGAGTCATTCTATGTACTTTGAGCATGTTCACTTCAGAGAAAATGGACAGATGTGGAATTACCCGGGCTCTCGCTGTACCCGAGGTTCTCATTGTTGATGAGGCTTCTCAGGTACTGGTGAATGAGTACATGACGTGCTTCACTAACTTTTGCGCGACGCTGAGACGAGTTTGTTTTGTCGGGGATGATAAACAACGCAAGTGGGCCAAACTACTAAGGCGTGCTTGCTGATGTCAATCTGTAGTTCCACCTTTCGGCGAAAACCAGCTTAAAGATATCGAAAGTATATTTGAGATTCACCATCTTCGCGAGAAGGCAATGTTCCTGAACACCCAATGTAGGTTAAGTCAAATCTCGAAACTTATTTCATCTCTGAACGTGCACAATCGTAGATCGTATGCCAGTACCTATTGGTGACTTCTTGTCTCGCGAAGTTTATAACAATGAGCTACATTCCTGCCACGGGATCACGTCGGTCAACTCTGTCCGCTTTATAGACGTTTCCGATGGCGCAGAGGCAATATCGAGCGATAGCACACAAGTTAGTCCAAATATCCTACCACTGAAGGGATTGTACTAATTGTTGGCAGAATGTCAAAGAAATTGACGCCGTTGTGTATTGCGTTCGCCAGCTGTCTGCTGAGAATAAGGACCTACGTGTCATTACGCCTTATGATGCCCAACGGAATGAGGTTTGTCAATTCACTCAACTTTTCCGAACTGCTCTAACATACAGGCTACCAGATTGAAAAAAGACTCAGGGAAGAGAATCTTAAATGGGAAGAGACGGTTTTCAACGTGGATTCCTTTCAAGGTAAGTGGGCATCTCCGCCGGTTAGCATCACCTTTTGACAGTTTGCAGGCAATGAATGCGATTTCATTATCATCTCCATCGTTAGAACTATTCTTCCCGGCTTTCTGGAAGATCAGAGGCGTATGAACGTCATGTTATCCCGGGCTCGGAAGGGCATGATCATCACCGCCAATAAATCATTTCTGCTGAGGCATCCTGACCTATTGGTTACGAAGCTCGCAGCAAGCTTGGAGACTGAGTGGATCCCGGCTCGTGATTTGCAGACAGGAATCAAGATGTTCAATGATGAGGTACGACCATGAATGAGGTAGGACTAGTTGCGGGCGGCCTAAGCGTGGATTGTCACAGGACCTGATTGCTCGGCAACCGGAACCTGGTTCTCAAGAAGCAAGCGAATCTCAAGGAGCAAACGAATCTCAAGAAGGAAGCGAATCTCAGGAAGGAAGCGAATCTCAGGAAGGGATTTCTCCTGCAACTTCGCTCATTTCTGACCCCGTAACAGCTGGAGGACCTCTTGACCAGGCTCCTGACCTCCCGAACGGTGCATCAACGACAACTAACGAATACTTGGGCGCCTCCGCGGATCCTCCTGGTTCACTTGTAAATGTGGCTAGCTTTTCCGAATTGGACTTATCCAAGATCAGGTTTTTGAATGCGTCGAAGTCAAATGATGTGGAAGAACTTCCAGTCAGTCATTCAGATAAACCGCTTCGCGGAGTTATTGACCCTCCTGCTGTGCGTTGGTACTACAGGGAACCCATGAGCTCCTGAAGGTTTGCGGGATGTTCGAACAAGCCTGGTCAACCTTCCATGTCGCAGTTATGAGTCAGGACAGGAAGAAATCATTGGAAGCATCGCTTCAGCGCACTGGGCGGACGTATGATATCCATGTTATATCGGCCTCCCTCGGTGTGTAATTCAGGTTCATAATTTCACTCATAATTTCTCCCGAACCGTACTCCGTTTAGCACAAGAGGAATATTCAGTCTTGTTCCTTCCCATGGAAGCAGATCTGAATTCCACCTTGGACGAAGGGGTACTTCGAAATGCGCTCAAATCTGGGAGGGATGGTGTGGTTGTGGTCATGGATAAAGACTGCCTAAATGGCAATGCCAACACTCCATCACCGTTGGTGCAGTTAGCTGCCCTTCATGCAGATAGGTGGCTTGTTCTCGATCGCACTATAACCCTAGTTCAGGAATTGTTTTCAACCGACGTACGTTATGTCCAATGATAAGTCAACTGACACCAACCTCTGCCTTCTTCCTCGGACACCTAGGCTTGCTCCTATCCCCCGACTCTCGGAGTGGACGATGTGATGACTATGAATACTCCGTCATCGTGGGGCCAGGAAGTCGCTGGATCTGAGCAACACCGTGACCCAGGTCCTGCCAGCACCCCCGCTCCCAAAAAGCGCAAGACGGTACCGAAGAACGTAAAAAATAAATCTGGTAAAAACGCGCGTTTTGAACGACCTGTTGAAACCAACACACAGCCGAAGGTTGCTTCTGTCCCGTCATCTGTTCCCTTGCCCGAACCACCAGCAAGAACGAGGGTAGCACCTCCTAGACCCACGTCCTCTCCGACTCATTCCCCTAAACCTCCCACTCTTGTTCGTCCCGCTGATGCGTCCACCGTTGTTCGTTATCTCATAGATCCTGAACAATCTGCGGGTGCGCAGCCTAATGCATCTCCCCTTGGACGGGAATTACCTTCTTCGATACGAGTTGCACTTGATCACGACCAGTCTGTTGCTGTTACTAGCATTTGCAATGGTGATGCAACGCCGTCAACTCCCGTTGTTCGCATGGTCGCTGGTCCCGCAGGTTCAGGTAAAAGCAGGGTGATAACCGCAGCAGTGCAATGGCTTTGTTCCGGGAGCAGCTCAGAGCCTTCAACTTGCTACATTGTAACCCGAGACGACTCAGGAATTTTCGGGCTGGCTAGAAACTTTCAATTAAATGGGTTCGAAGATTTCAAGGCTATTATATCTGGAGAAACAGATTTGGTCAAGTTCGTTTTTCAGTGGCGGATCATGACTGTGGTTTTGACTTTCAGTCCGCACCAAATAGATCCACCCCCTAGAGGACAAGTTCCTGAGACGTACCATTTTGGAAGAAGGTCTGCCTAAGCTGCGCTCGACATTCGGCGCTGTTTGTGTGGTTTTATGCACACTCGAAGTCTTCACAAAATTGGGGATGTCCAAGTTGCTGCAGCTCATTCCCCCAGAAATTGTTGTTTGCGAGGACTCGAATCAAATTCCCATTGACGGCCTGTATGAACCATTAGAAGCGTATCGAGATTCGATAACACGTCTGTGCTTCGTTGGGGACGACAGGCAAGGTACGGTCCTGTTTCAATCCAACTTTGATGTGGAGCTGACAAAAAACTTTGACAGGTCTCCCCAGAGGGGAGTATCATACCCCTTTGTACACTGCTTTCGACATCCCACATGTACGGGAAAATGCTGTCAGACTTTCTACACAGCGTATGTTCCCTGTTCGTGACTCGGTATAGGTGTTGATGACCATTGCCCCAGATCGACTACCCCCGGCCGTGTCGGAATTCTTTAGTGCGGCCATCTACGATGATTCCTTAGCCTTCTCAGCTGGCAAGGAGAAGTACTCATCACGTCCGATACGCTTCGTTGATGTTTCGAAAGGAACTCAAGTCGGGACCGGACACAGTTTCCTGGTGCGACAACATTTCCTGTTCGTATTGCACCTGCACTCAGCCACCACACCTAGAACAAGGCGGAAGTTGATACAGCGCTCCAATGCGCCATCTCATTCACGAGAGAGTCCTTGCCATTTAAGATTGTTACTCCGTTTGAAGCCCAGAGATTGGCTATTCAACGGGGTTTGGAAGCCGCAGGATTGGCGTGGAAAGACGTTTGTTACACGGTGAAGACTATACAAGGTAGTCTATTTCAAATCCTGTGAACAAGATACTCAATATCATTGGAACCTCGCCTCTACAGGACTTGACGCACCTTATATCATTTTGAGCGTGGTGCAAACATACTCGCCGGGCTTTTTGAATGACTTCGGTTCCACTGTTACCGCTCTGACACGGTTTAGCAAAGGCATGCTCGTCATTGCGAACAGGTTCTTTCTAACGGAGGACTCAGTGGCCAAGTCTTCTCTGTTGGCGGACATGGCCAAAGTGTTCCGTCAGGGAGGGTGGATTGACCCTAGCGTGCTTACGGGACCCGCTTTCTCAGCCGGAAGCCTTTTTGACGGAGACGACTTGGAGAGTGAAATTACTGACCCCGATTCAGAGTCATCTGTAATTGAACCGACAGTTTGGGGAGAAGAGCCAACCAACACTGGGCAGGACGACTTCGGTTGGGATGATTCGCCTGGTGCCACTTGGGGCTGACCGAACCCCTTTCCTTTCAAGTCCCATTTCACTTCAATATTTCATCCTTACATTGCTACACATCTTGCATCCATTTTGGCACCCCCCGTTGGACATATCCTATACACTATATCGTCCAGAAGGCGATTTTCCTTGGTACCATAATACTATAATTTGATACGCGCATCACATCATTATACCAACTACAGCTGTGATTGGAGCGGCGCTATGCACCAGTGGTCACTAGGCCATCCAATGTTCACGAGCATGATTTTCTTCAGCGTCAGCGGGCGGCTAGCTCAGACATGAAGTTCTAGCTGTGCGGCGCATATTGGCACTTTTGGTTATATTGGCATGGTCATGTCCGCTGAGATCCATGCGCGATTGGGGAACAACCATGAACACTGCTTACAGCGCACAAGTCACCTGCCAATACCCGCGTCCACGCCGTCTCCCGCGCGGGCTTCTATCGGAATATCCGCCCGTCTGTCAAGAACCTGCCATGTTATGCTTTGCGAGCTTCACGGACTTGAATCCAACGCAGCAGGGTCGTAATATCCAATTATTATTCGGATCTAGGAACACGAGGCGTCATGATCAGCGCCCTTCGAAGAAGGGTTTCATGGAGCCCCCAGCAAATCTGCATGAGCGCGCGGGTCGATTAGAGATCAGCGGGTCACGTAACCCGCCAAGCGCCAACTCATCGTGCAACCCGCCGTGGGCGCGGCATTATGGTAATCTCGCCTGCCAGCCAAATGCAAAGCCGGGCCCCTCCCCCTATAATCAATCTTTAGGCGCCCATGTTTGCGAAGATGCGCATGACAGCGCTTCGATACACGCGCATTAAATTGGCGAGAAGCAACATTTGCTGTCAGCCGGGGGATCGGTCCATCAGTTTATGGTTGTCAGCAAGCTAGTAAATGGATAATTACATACACGATAATATTAACATTGTCCTATTAAACAATTAGTCTACAGGATACAAATGATTCCAGAAGATGTGTTCTATAAGCAAATTGTGTTGAGTGTGGCGCGAGCGTTTATATCTGTATCTGAACGTGCGGCATGCGGAAATGTGAAAAAATAACAGTCAAAAAAGTGATGGGGAACGCGCAAGGACCTGCTTCGCGTTCGTCTTCATAATGTCATAATGATCAGCTCTGAGTCTTGGCCATCCTCCTCGTTCTCCTATTTTTCATTGGAGTAATCAGCTTATTTTACTGATAGCGACCAAGGCAGAAAGTACAGCCCACCTTTATACACAATACATGTTCATCATCAATCATGACACCACGACCGAAAAGATCATCGGGCACCTCGAAGCCAAAACTCCTCCTCGAATACGTATACGGCAGTGAAGTTCTAACGTCCGCCGCAAGATGCACGCCTTGCTTCACGATATTATCTCTCTTTTCCCGTATCATTTCCCTTCGTTCCGCCACAAATCCATGGCTACCTGCACTCGCGCATCTCCGGCGCTCCCACTCCGCACGGTAGGGCGTGAAATCTAGCATAATGAAACCGTTCGTTTCAGGGCAAATGCGAGCATAGCGGTTTCCATAGATATGTCTCTGAAAGACGTTCCGTTCGCTCAACGGAAGCTCCACAAATCGGGTATTCTCTGGGCCCCACGCTTCCCACTCATAGGTTTTGTTCAATGTATCTTGAAGTACTATGAGGTTATCGAATGGGTGAACGTCAAATCGTTGGTCAGGCGCGACATCCGGCGTAAGAAGAGAAAATTTGCGCGTAGGACCGTCAAAGTCTCGAAATACGCGCAAGGGAACGAAAAGGTCGAAGGATCGATCGAACGTGTGGAGACTTGGCCCATTCGGCTCGGGACCCACTGCGCGTTCTGGCCGAACTCGAACGGAACGCAGTGTCTGCCAATGAATGCGAATCAGCCGGTCGTCCTTTGAAGCATCGAAGAGCTTCGGACTGGTTAGGTCTGCATCGTCACCCTCCGCCATCGCTGAGTAAGTCCCCGCAGCGGATTCGACATGCCCTGGGTGTCTATACGGTAAAGGCTCGGCAAGGATCTCCATGGAGCCATTTACGGAAGGAGCAGTAGGTGGAAGTAGAAAGGTGGCTCGTGGATGAGCAATGAAATCATCTTCACCACTCGGCGAAAAGTCGTACACTTCAATCTTTCCCGAATCGCGCGGTAGGATAAACGATGTTGGACCGATGAAGGAGAAGGACGAGAAAGTCCCAAAGAAATGACCATATCTTTCTGGGAATTCTCCAGTTCCTGTAGTCAAACGGAGTGAGAACCAGGAATCGGCTCTGATGGAAGTGACGCAATGAATAAACGCTTACAACAATAAGTCTCCCTTCTCTCCAATCCCATATTTCGAGCTGTGAGTTGGCTCCTAGTGTATCATAGTAGGCTATTCCCAATAACTTTCCCATGATTTGGATCTGAAATCGAACCCTGTGCGAGAAATTCTCGATGCCATACAAGATAGGCCCAAGAGCCTCGTCGTGTGGACCATTATCAGACAAGGAACGCAGATGCAGCCTCACTGCATGAATCATTCCAGGTTTGTCATCCGGCTCCGGCCGCCGTTCTTGTCTTGAATTGTCCCAAGGAACAAAACAGGTAAGAAATCGGTCACACCACAAGCGAAAGGTCCGGTTAGATCCCAGCATACACTCACAATTGGACGAGCACCAATAGGTCCTGCTGAGGATCCATAGCGATATCCTTAGGCCGAAAGCCCAGATTATGAGTCCATTTACAGGCGGGTGTACCCTTCACGTGTGATGGTAACCGAACACATGTCAAAAATTCTTCATATACCGAGGCGAAGACGCCCCCGGAAAGCTCGTAGATCTCAGCCGGTGGGACTCGCACACGCGACATTTGCCAATCAAGGTCGTTCCATGAATCAATATGTTTCGTCAGGCGCTTCAAGCGGGTTGCCGTTGTTGAAGAGGTAGCAAGATGACGAGGCGATCGGGTTCCATCCGAATATCCACATAGAGTAAGCTTGATGTGATACTGGAGCACTAAGGAGGAGTCTATAACCCTTTTGAGCTTTTTATTGACCTGAGGGCAGACCGAAGAACGTGTTGCAGAAAGGCACGACGTAGAGCGAAAGCGAAAAGACGAGTTAGGAATAGGCGAGATAGAAGCACAACTCAGAATACGAAATGGGACAAACTGACCACGGTGCATCTGACGAGCTGTCTTGCAGGCAAATTTTGGAGAACGTGAATGATGATTTCTTGCGGAAGACGGAAGAGATTGCTCTGAGACCGGAAGGAGTACATGATGGTCAGTGAAGAGTGAGGGGAAAAGGAGAAGGGAGCTCTGTCTCCTGGCGGGTAGTGCTTGTATATATGGTAAGTCAATTGATTTATCAGAGAACGCCTTATCAGGGTCGTTCGGATGCAACTCAAGAGAAAGGCGAGACTGTGGATGAAAAATAAACATAATTAATCTGTCCTCGTAGCGATGAAACAATCTTGTGCGCGCAACGGCAGCAAGTTGAACAAAGGGAGTCTCGTCGCAAGATATATATATTACTCATTCCGGGCAAAAGCAACTAGTTAGAAGAGGCAAGGGATCACGTTTTTGCTGTGGGAAATCTATAGCAGAAATACACATGGCATCGAGGCCAACTCAAATCGAGCAAAAAGAGAAACTGTAGGCATACAATTTCAATTTGACCAACCCGAATCCATTCAGGTATAAAGGATGTGTGGGTAGGTTTTCATAACGAAAGAAGGGAAAAAATGGAGGGCAATCTCAAGCACTCATAACCGCGAGAAATGTAATCCGATAACGACGTAGAGAAGCGTGAGAGGCGGTGTGAGGACGCAATATGCCCAAAAGATAGTTCGGCTAACAAGCCTTTCAAATGCGTCCCCTGCGGCTGCTTGCGTGATCTGTGCAAGTGTGAGTGCAGGGGGAGCCGATATGAGCAAGACGCTTGATACCACGAATACGGGGCTTGCAGGAAATGAAGTAATGTCAGTGACTGCATAGTCAACCCATTTCGGGACCCAAAACAAAAGGCCTTTACGTACTCTTCGAACAAAGGATATACTTCATACAATGCCAATGCACCCATTGCCGGGAGCACAACCATCGGCGTCACGACCATCCTGGCCAAGCACGACACGATCACAGTCGTCGTCTCACCCGACCGGATTTCGCTTTCCGACGAAATTTCCTTTGTGCTTTGGAACCCCCGTCGCAACGTATCCATCTTGAGCGCACTCTTTACAGAACCCGCCAGAGTAGTAATACTAAGCTGCGATGCGTCAAGCCGGGCGCGCAGCGATCTGGGCGATTCACGCCCCTGTTCGATATCTCGATCTTCCCGCACAAGAATCGATGAGCGCTCGTCTTCACTTTCCGAAGCATCCATGGTGCGCGACACCCTGGTCACGGCGGGAGAGGGGGGCGGCTCGGTTGCTTTCAGCGGGGGTGGAAGTTGGTAAAAGTACGCCCCCAAGACGACCATTGTGATAGGAATTGAACAGGCGCCTGCACTAACTAGGAATCCTTTAACGGGTGCGACATGTTCCATCATCACGTGTTGTAAGGGTGGAATGAGCGCGACGACGAATGAAGCCAATGCCGCGTACAGTGGAACAGTCATAAACCGGTGCACCGCTTTAACCGTCTTCAGCAGGGCATTTTTTGTTCGGCGGGCCCGCGACTGCAGTCTGCTTGAGGAGGGGGGTGTGATAGTGGAGAACGACAAATAAGTAGACTCGTTGCCCCATTCATCATCCTCGCGCTCTTGTACAGATGCGTCATCATTTCTTGTTGGGGTTGCCGCCGGGCTCAATGATCGAACTGGTGTGTTCGGAAATGAGTGATAGGACAAATTTGTGCCTTTGCGAGGACCTATAAAGAATCGGCGGGGAATGCTTTGATTTCGCGGGAGGCTCGGAACATCTCGCGCCGGAAGAATCGTGTTTTCCGCCAGAGTAGCCTGAGAATGTGAACGATGGAATACATCGCTGAACGACCGATCGGACTGTCGGATGCCAAACCCTGGCGGTTCAGTTGCCTCCAGGGATCCCCCTCCAGCCTGGACATCGAGGACGGGGGCCTCATCAGTGGCAGGAAGACTGACTTCTTCGTCGGCCTGCGACAGCAGATGAACTCCGTACGACCACCGAAGCTGGCAGAAAGGCACAGAAGTGATAACGGGAAAATATTAAGTGAGCGGAAGATAAGAAGCTGATGGCACGCGCACCATCATACCGAGCGTTGAATAGAGAACCAGATATCCTAACGCTCTTCCAAGCATAGCATCTTTAGTATCGTCGTCTCCCCATTTCAGGCCTTTGACGGTAACTACCATACTTTGCATGAGGGCAATCGGAAGCGAGTTACTGTTATTGAACATGGCAGCCGCCATGCAAAAGTTGCGCTGGGACCTTTTGAGGTGAAGGAATGTGGCCATAACCCATGCAACTATAGCGGATATGACAGTGACAATCACGAAGAATATTGGGATGATCCACAACTCCTTCAGTTTCTGGGGAGACAGAGAGAATGCAACTTTCGAGAAAAGGAGACAGGGAGTGAATAGGGATACGTTTATTATGTTGAGCTTTCTTTGAGTGGTTTTATCAAGTACTCCTCTACGGGCCAGCACCCTGTGGAGAGCGAGCAGTCAGTTCCACTAAGGGGTAAAAATTTGTCCGCAAAGACGCACCATCCCATAAAGCACATGATGAACACCTCGAAGATAGACTATCGCCGTCGGGAATACTCGGTGAGCATAATTGAGAGATGCGAAGATGCATGACTCACCTCGAGGACGGTGCGCAAGAGTGGGCCATACGCATTGTGAACCATCTTGCGCTGTTGTCGAACAGAGTGAAAGGGGATGGATTTGGTGAGAGTAGACTCAGGCCGGTTTATGAACTGCGGAGGCAAACAAAAAGAAGGGAAGGTTGCTCAGGTGTCGCACTGGGGCTCAGCCTTCGCGCATGAAGTTCAATGGCGTGTTAAGGGTTCGGAAACTGAATTGATGAACACGTGATGACTGGTTCCACAGCTGATCTGCGTGACTTGCACAGTGCCAAGACACAACCAAGACCAACACTCCTTCATTTCAGGTGTCGTCGATTCCGGAGCAAACGTGTGAAGGATATCTAAGCCCATGGGACCTGCGATCACTATCAGAACCGCGGCTTCCGTTCAGAACAAGCCTGACCAGGCTCCACTGCTGCCAAGCCATGTCCATCACACCTACGGACTTAAGTCTCCGCCTGTTCGTCTTCCAGCGATCCCTGCCCGGAGTTATGGATCTGTGTCTGAAGATGAAAGCGGAGAAACGCAAGAGGCCACCCATCACACCTCCAGAACTGGAACTGACTCGCGGCTCCCAAGCCTACCTAAACTGAGCCGTGAATGTCTCATTTCCGAGACCAAATGCTACGGGCGGTATATACTCGCGTGCCTTATAGTATTCGCTCTGGGAGGAGTGCTTCTTGCCTCTTATCTCTCTGCTATCCTCTCCAAGGGGCACTGAGGGATCCATCGCGTCTGTACGCTGAACGGTCCGCAACACCGTGAATGCGAAGCACGCGCCCCTGCTATAGGGGATGTTCGGTCTAGCCGAAAGTGGGTGTCATTCAAGAGAAAATATGATACAGAGTGTTGACGCAGAATGAGATACAGTAGTAGGAGCAGGATAAATGCCGTGCCAAGAGGAACAGCAATCAGATCAAGACAAACGCAAAAGCCGCACGGAGACACGAGGTTGCAGGGCGATTAGAGTTGTGATAGAGTTGGAAAGGTGATACGCTAATAAAGGGTTTTCACGGTCAGATTGTGCCCTCCGCGAATGAGCCTGGAACTTACTGTAATAGCGGCTATTGTCAGAGCGTGTGCTTCACCGGTAACCACGGGACTTGTCTTGGATGTAACCATTCCCTGCAACGACGTCCGTTACCCGGAGGACAGTATGACCAGATGTCCTGAAACGGTTCGATCAGCCGGCTGTATAACACTTCCTGCCGCAAACGTCATGCGGTACTCACCAAGGTGCAGGTCCGAACTTGGCGTCAGCTGGACCTCGAGGATATCCTCCCTGCTGGGGCGCAAACGTGCCCATCTGATGAGAAGACGGAATGGGTTGGTAGCCAGCCTGGTCGGGGCGGCTGAAGACGTTTTTGGTGCCAAATTGAAGCGTCATCGTGTATTTCTTTTATTGGAAAGAGTGCCTCAGGTTAAATTCAAACTGGTCATCCGGGTGCGCAACTTACGACGAAGGAAAGCGACGTTTGAGCTGAAGGCTGAATTGTGGAAAGTAGGCGAGAGCGAAGACGAAGATACGAAGGGAAGATAACTGCACAAAGCAGAAAGGAGTAGAGGAATTTGATGCCCAGAGGGATGGAGAACGGTGGTGGCAGCTTTCGACGCCGACTTTTATAGCTTGCGCATTGCTGCGTGAGCCGCTCATACTCCGGTAGAGTGAATCATACGGTCTCCTTAGCCTAGCACTCTCGCTCCCATCATCCGCGGAACCCCAATCACATTCCGAACGTTTTTGTGCCCAAAAATTCTTGAGGTCCAATTTCGGCGTTAGAGAGCGGGTAAGCAAGGTGACAGCTTGCCAATTGAATTTCACGAATCCCTCAAGAACCAGACCAAAATGGCGATATTAAATAAGTCACTACCTCAAACTGCCGCAAAATTGACAGTGTCGATTACGATTTTGCGCAAGGTTTCTCAGCTGTTCAGCCTAGTAGAGAGCGCGCGGGCGCTAGTCCGGGGCGGAGAGCTCTGGAGTTTGATCGTCTATTTGAACCATTGCGGCTACTACCGAGCATCTCGTTGCCACCGCCCCTTAAACTAGATGGGATTCCCCAACGCCCTCGGCGCTACGATTCTCCCCTGAGGGCCCTCGGACTTTGAGAGGACCAGCGTTATGGGTAGCTACGGTACCGCAGAAAGATTTGATCTCCCAATTCAGTCAGTGCCTACCGGACCTGGCCCCTCCTTGCCGCCCTCACGTTAAGTAATGATGTTTAAGTTCAAACCGAATCAATCGCGCTCCTCTGTCAACGTCGGACTTTGTGAGGTCTTCCCGTTTTACAGGGCCATTCCTGCCCGCTTACTGGTCAGCTTCTTGCTGAGTGTTCAGACGTGATGTTACAACCGTTCAGTTAACAAGGTGACCATTCACTTGGCGTTGCTCCCAGCCAGCACCTGGGCCCTGTAGCAGCTTTCACTCTGTTCCCAATGCCCTTGCATGGGATGTATGGATTCATGCGATTGTGATTCCTGATGAATGGAGACGCGGGAATATGCTCACGCATGTGTGGACCCCCTTTCTTTTCTGTGCACCGCCATAGTTGGCCCCGCGGAGGTAGATGTGATGTCTAGCCTGATTCGTGTTATGCGCTACCAGCGTAGTTGAAGACCATCCTATCACAGATAACGGCAACGCTCGTTGTCCAAATTGGTGGACTCTGAAATGGCAAATGACAGCTCGTTATGTGATACGCTGGATGTGTCCTATCGGTTCCACCCCTAAGTCATGCGCTGTGCCGCATGACCAGAGGATGCGGCTGTTGTTTGTTTCTCGACGTATCCGGACATGCGAGGAGAGTGATCAGGAGAGTCTGGCTACTTTTGATCGTAATGAGCCAAGACCTATCACGTTGCGGAAACATCCCTGACAGCGAAAAACATCGACTTCAGGAGATCATCTCAGGGCCTTAATACCTTCATATGCCATTCCTTGGCGGTTTCAAGTGCATCGTCGCATGCGGTTACGTTCATCCACAATCGCCTGAGTGCTTGGCAGGTGGGACTTCTCCAAGATTCGGGTCTCTCCACAACTCGTCCGAGGATATGACCTTGTTACATAACATGTTAAGTAGGGGTTTCTATGATAGGCTGATGGGGCCCCAATACCTAATCTGAATTGACGCAACTGATTGACTTTATGCGAGTTTTTGGTGGCCTGGGGGCCCCTCAGTATTGTTGCTCATCACGAGACGCGCCCTTCCTCTGTTCATTCGCAGTCTAATGCCTGCCTGTGGTATTGCTGGTCCACAATATTCAGTTGCGCCCACCCCTTCGGAAAGAGCAGTGGCTTGAGAGGTAGATCCGTGCTTCCTTGGCATAAACGAAAACGAAAGGCGTGGCGGCCTCAGTGATTTTGGAAGTGCAAACGCAAGAAACATATGTAATGGGGAACTGGGTATCGAAAAGAGAAATCCAAATTTCGCAACTCTTCTGAAGCTGAAGAGCCAGTACACACGTATTCTCCGAAGATCACAGCTATCTACATCAGCCCCCGCCACTTCTGCCGTGGAAGTTGGAAGGGGGGCATTTATGGTAGTTCGGCCGATCGCTTGTAGGATCCGAGAGGACTCGATTTAGCCATTAGCATGCAATCGCAATTGAATCGGTTTTTTGTTTATGACAAGATGTTATCGGGCCCACGGCGCCTCTCATTATCGCGCTACATCTGTGCATGGCGTTGTAGTCGGAAATCCTCCGCGCAAACAAGCCTACAGCAGTCGAATCGCAAAGTTAACAATGAACAACCTGCGCCCGGTCCGATGGTTCTACTCCAATAGAAGCTGGTAGCCTCAGGCTGCCCGTCCGATGGTTCGCCTTTACAGTCTAGTTCTGTCTTCATATGGCGGTGGACGAACAGCAAAGTCCAACACAGTGTTAACTTCCCGCACACGCAAGCATTAAGCTTTCCACTATTTTTATTTTTTCAACCTAGAATGGACCATGCAATTCATATCTTCCCATCGCTAAGGTTAGAATCTTCTTAGGACCCTTATACCGAATCCTCACGGATTCTGCTGCGGCCCCATACCGAGGTGGTACGATAGGTCGGTGCCAACACTTCCAGGGCTGGTCATAATATTGCTTGTGGAGATGGATGTGCTAAGCTTATGTGTTTCTTCAATTGCATGGATAGCGATGTAACTGGATATCTTGTTCTCCGGAGCACAGCGTGCGTTAACCTCCCTGCAGCTAACCTTGGGCCACAGGGTTGACGGATGCTCCCCTTCCTATTGGCATTCCTGGCCGAGGACTCTGGATGGTCCCCTTTCCGCCGGTGGTCAATGCCAGCTTAGCATGTTATTATCCTCCCTCCCCTGCTAAGTTTACTGTAGTTCTATGGGGACGGAACCTCATGCACAAGATTAAGCATTGTCACGACACCAATGATTGTTTTATCACGTCCAATAAGTACTCCTAGTCCCGAAAAATGTTCGCCCGACATTATTTGAAAGCCGAAATGAGCCGAAAGTTAAAATCGTGGCCTTGAAGCCGCGGAAACTACATTATTACACCAGCATCACAGCCAGACCCAGTAAAATAAGGACTACGATTAAAATAGCGATGCACCACCCAGATCTCGTCTCTGGTCAGAGGGAATAATTATCATTCGATCATCGAAATATTTCAATTGTGGTGCTGACCTTCAGTATCCCGTATAAATTTCTGTATCCTCTTCATTGCTCCTCCTAGCTTAGTATCTGTACGATCGACGTTCTGTCCAAGGTCGTCCAACAATCTGAAATCGAAACATCAACTACGGATACATTGAATGGCGCAGTGAGCTAACTCGTTCTGCTCCTCGGTTTCCTGCCCAATGAGCCCTGCCTGTTGAGCTAGGGTGTTGAGGGATCCTGATATCGATGATAGTGTTTTGTCTTGTTGGTGCAACATCATCTTTGCGCAGCATTGGTAAATTTAGTTGTGATGCAGACTTTTCATACCTGTTGTTCCTCTCTAGACCACGTCGATTCTTCATCTATCGGAGTGCTGGGAGTATCCTGGCTCGGAGGGACCCCATAGTTTGGCGTTCGTTGGGGCCCAGATCTTCTAGCTGTCGCATGTTGCTGCCATGCCGTCAGTTATGTAGAGAAGACAACCAAGTGAACCCACCTGAGGGGGAAGCAGCTCAGACCGAATATTCTGGAAACAATGGACGTTCGATTTAACCCAATCTACCGAAAAAGAAGACTGCATTGACGCACCTCGAGCTCTTGCTTAACTTGATTTACATATCGTCGCCTGGACATCACTTCTTCTTCTTCCAGACCGAACAACCGAGGACCAGTTTCCTCCACCATTCTATATTTCCGGGAAATGTGAGCAAAGACGGATGGGATGGGAGGAAGGGGTGAGTCAGAAGAGACATGTAGGGATAACATGATGACAAACTTGACGGATCCTTCCAAGTCCTCAAGGTCAGCCTCGAGAGCAGCCAAAGTCCCTTTGAGCTAACGACCAGGGAAATATCGTAAATAGGTGTAATCATAGTGGGTTGAGACAAGCGAAATGTCCAGTTGGTAGGAAAGGAGAGCGCTGCGCACCTCGTCTCTCGTCCATATCACTTCTTCAGTTTCCCTTCCGCCAGCAGTGCTGCGAATTCTAATGTAGGAGGCCCTCAAATTGGAAGCAGTTTGCAATGAACTCTGTATTTCTGCCTGCACAGCGTGATATGGGTCCTTTGACATGGTTTCCGAGACAAGAGGGGCTCAAAGTGATGAGATTATAGGTGGCTAATGTAGAGCTTAGGACCCCTTATAGTCCCTTGTGGGCGCAAGTGCGAACCAACCAACCAGGGCGTTCTATATCTTCTACGATGTTGAGAAGCAGAAAGCACAGCCACTGTCGTCGCTTCGCACGAGCCAGACAGTGGGAACATATGTGTCCAATAGCAAGCCCAGACGCATCGTCTAGCCCTCCAGGCACTCTTCAAGGAGTGATGATCTCTCGCCCCGTGACATCCCCTATCCACGGTTCGTTGCCCCATACTATGCGGGTCCCCAGAATGACAGTTTTCCTTCAGCAGAATCAATGGTTCAGAAAGGAAAGCGAAAGCATGACGATGACGATGGTCCTGGCGAGGGACTCAGAGGCATGGGGGATAAACTATTAGTTCAGCGGCAAAGAGGGAAGAGGCGTAGGTCCTCGTTCTATCATCACAGAAATCCGATCTTCCCTCCCCACTTGCCCCGGCCTTCCCTTCTTACTTTACCGGGGCTCCCATTCGAACTTCTTGCTGAGATTTTCTCGTATCTGCACCCTCGAGACATTCTATCTGTTGCGAGGACAAATGCCTGGCTGTGTTACACACTCGTTCATCCTTCTGCTTCCTTCATCTGGCGTTTTGCACGCGCGGAAAATTGCTGGAGAGTTGAGGATGGGTCGGTTACATGGGACGCAGAGCCGGTCCCACCACCAGACCCACTGCCAGACCCTCTGCCCGACCCTCCGCCACAACTCACCGAGCCAGCTTATGCTGCTCTTGTCTTCGACGTTGGCAAATGTGATGTTAGTTAATTGTCTCATCGGCGAGTTTGGATTCTTTAAAAGCGTCCATTTCCACTAGGTCTGCAAGGAGAAGACGCACCGTCCACACGTTTCCTATGCCATCAGGAGGCGTGTTTGTTTCAAGGTGAGAGTGCAATTCCTCACTCCCATTCGGAAGTTCATGCAAGTGGCGTGTTGCTTAGGCTCCCTGCCGATCGTCTGCAGAGGGGTGTGTTGCAATGCGACGGGAAATGACATTGACATTCATTACTCTTTCAATTCAGGTTGCGTACAAAGCCAGAGATAAGGTTCCCTCCTTCGACCCTGCCTTTACAGAAAATTTGGGGAACCGTGCCTCATTATGCCGACTTCCTCGGGAAATTTAGGCCCTTCGGTTAGCGTGTGACTTCGAGCCAAGGGTTTTCATTGCAACTAAGCCTCTATTAAAGGCAGACCATCTTTCGAACATGGGAAATGGGTTACCGATGAGACGTACAGGAGGATCGTGGGGCAGATTTCAGAAGCGGAGGGGAATCCAGAACTCGCCGAATTCTTGCGATCTGTATGGTTCATTCCCTGGATCGTATTGTTCCGATTCACATTGGTCTTCCTCCGCTTCGCAGGATGCTGATGGCCAAGGCCAAATACGTTTTCAGAGAATAATGGCTGTATGCCCTTGCATTTAGATCGAGGCTTATTGTTGACTGACAATTTGTCGTTTTCAGTGGGACGTCATCCTCCAGGATTGGAGGAATAGATACGACGATTACCGAGTAGGTATCAAGTCGTTTAACGACACGTTGTGAGCACGTTATTCTAAACGCATTGCTTTGGTACCTGATATTTCCCATCGCTTGGAATTAGCTGGAAAAACAAAGCGGACGAATTGAATGTGGACCGTCGAGATATTGTTAATTCCCCAACACTCTTAGAACTTCGATCACGCGCATTAAGACTGGGAATCAAGCTCACAAACAAGTGTATGTGTACCTTCATTGAAAATCCGGAACGTGAATTTTATGGTTATTTCTGCAGTGTGGAACGACAATGTAGCAGAAATCCTGATTGAGACTGCAAAATTAAACAAACGTCGGATGAACGAGGCAGCTGAGCACACTCGCCAGACGATGCGGATGGAGCTGGAGAAGTATCACAATTGGCTCATCGCTGAGGCGACAAGCGGACACCGATCGACAGGCGCTGGTGAAGGGAGTACGTCTCTCCCAGAATATTGCTCCGACACCCAAATTGTTCCACCGCTCTCAGAGTTCCTTTCCCTACCGGTGATCTCAGCTTTTCTCTCCAAAAGCTTCTCGATGAGCACAAGCGAGTCGTGTGAGAGGGACTTTGCAAGGATCAAGAGAGACCTTTATGACAAGCTTGGAACCGTGAGGCGATTGGTAGATCAACAAATCGAGTCCTGGGTTACCAAAACAAAAGATCGATTAGCTCTCATCCTCAGCGAAGATAACAAGACTCTGGTCAAGAACCTCAGGAACAATACCGTGAACGCGCTTCATCCAGCTGATAACCCTACTGCTCTCTTTGCTTGCGCGTGTGCGAAGGAAGAGCCAGCAGCAGTCGTGTCGGAAGCAGGCGGCCGCCTTTCACTCGAAGCCTTTGCACCAACGTTCGGCTCCGAATGCGTTGGGATGGATTTGCGTGCAGTTTGCGCACACCGGTGCCGGCATAAATCAAAAACTTGGAGCATTGACAGGTTCTTTCCTGATTCTCAAGCGACCCGAGTAATGCATTTGGCTTTGGATGCTGCAGGGATAGAGGCTTCAAAGCCCTCTGTAAAGAACCAACTGGAAGAACGAAGAAAGAGGTTAATTTTCGAATGTTTAACTTGCAATGCTGGCCAACCAATATATCTCTCTATTCGGGATGTGGTGAGTCAGACCGCTCTGTGGGGTACACGGTACCTTAAGGTGCTTTATATCGTCAGATACAGCATGGTCGTCGTCATCCGGACGATCTCAAATTGGTGCTTGTCACTGACTTGGATGTGCTGAGCCAAGTAATCCCTACTTTCTCCAATGCTAATCGGGGCACAGTTGCACGTCTCATCAAGGGACGTCGTGACGGTGCTCTGAAGAAGCAAGCTGATATGAAGAAGTACGAATGCAAGCACTGTTCACTATTTCTCCGAAGAAAGAACCGGATGCTCCTCTCTTTCAATGGTCTCAGATCTCACTTGAAAGCGAAGTAAGCGAACCAAGTGCTCTTGACCGCTGCGGGCTTACTCATGCATCATTGAACAGGCACAGCATTCAGTACGTCCGTGATGAAGATCTTATCGTTCGGACTTGGGATGCGGACAATGGCAAGGCAGGGAGAAATGCCAAGAAAGGAACCAGTCTTAGAGCGGGAAAACTTAGCTTGGAAACCCCTAGATGATGGGTGTGCACGATTGGCCGTTCAGATGCTATGGAGATTGTTTACGAACCATCCAAAACTTAACCACGACTATTTTGTGATGTACTAAACTTGGAACTTCGTGAAGTGTGAGTACTGCTTGTAGTCTGAGGAGTACCTTGGTCTCGACCGTGATACGCCTGGAAGACCGAGGAGAAAGGCAAAAAGAAAGGGGAGGAAGGGATGAGGCTCTGCATAATGTCACGGAGTCATAGAGGCTGGATCGAGTCCTGCCTAGAATAATGGAGCAGCAGACAAAATATGCCCGCTGGCCTCACACGGGCTCACACTGCCATTCCATCACTTTAAGGCAACACGTATGCTTCTGTGTTTCCAATACTAGTTTAATCATTCACTTCCCAAGTGCCAGTAGAAGGCCAGTTAGCGGATGACTCGCGGATGTCATGGCATTAACCACAAACCATCACGACGGATTTTTCCGGCCCAGTTTTTTTTTTTTGCTTTCCCCCAAATTATTTGCAGCTTCTTTTCGTGATTACCGGCCTCGCCATACTCCCCCCACCACATCTTTTTCCCGTCGTAGTTTTTTCATTCCGTACCTTCTCTCCTGTTTCCTTCCTCCACCCCCTCCCAGGTTCTATACTAATAGAGGCTGGTGACGTGCCTACTCCCGGGTCAGGAGTATTTTGCTCGGTGCTATAAAGCGATACAGCAACGAGCGCTGTATATGTACTGAATAACTGGGGAACCAGCATAGCCTGCTACTCTTTTCGCCTTGCATGCCGCGCAGACCAAAGTGGAGAGCCAGTGGGAGTAGTATTGTTGGCAAGCATCAACTTTAGGCGTTGGGCCAGATTGCGATGCCAGGTGAAGAATGCTGCGACGAATTGTACATCCGCGTCAGATTCAACAAGCAAATTGTACTGTGCTACGGACCTACGAAGACATGCGCTGCGGAGATCGGCGGATGCAACAGCGGAAAGGGATTTGGTTTGATGGACGTTTAGTTGTGCAGCAGATAAGGGAAGCGCGCGACAGCGTGGTCGGGCAGGATCCGGAGAGTCAGCGTCAAGGCCAAAGTCACAGGGAGAATCGGCGACGATGTGAGTGAACAAACGAGCACGTAATTGATCTCAACTTAGGTGTTGTGCGGCGGCAAGAAAGGACAATATGCTGCATCAAACGCAAGTATGTAAGGAAGCAAAGTCCAATCTGTGTAGGTATGCATAATCAAAGAGATTGCGCTGAAGGCCGAAGTGAGAAATGAGTGGATCGGTTAGAAGTTAATTATGCATATCTTTGCGAAGGCAACATAACAGCAATCGTTCGATACGACATAGCAAGTAATATTTATTCTTTAAATCGGACAAAGCGTGTAGTGGAATGTAGGAAAGCATTGGGTAAGGGTCAATGGGCCATACACAATTAACGTAGCGTGTCCATGGCGGCCAAAAGGAAGGGGAAAGAACACCCGCAATGGCTTAATAAAGGTGCGCGACGGTAGAACAAACCTTGGAGTAGAAAGACATTACCAATTTGATGAAACGATCGACGGTTAACCTCACATACAAATCTGGACCTGACACGTGCTCAGACCGCAACTCGGAAGATCTTGACTGGTTTTCCCCAAACCACCCCCAACCCCCTTCGCTCGGGCTCGGCCTAGTGTATGGACTTGTCAATTCCTAGAATCCATTTCATCGTCTGCTGACACGGTTCGCTCCTCTACCAATCCCTCTCATAGACCTCTCGTGATTCTGATTCTGATTCTGGTTCTGGTTCTGGTTCAGCGGCGCCTGCACCCGTATTGAATAATGTCCGACATTCGAAAGCGCCCAAGAGAGAAAGTACGGATGAGAGGGTCTGGCGGACGCTTTATTACGCGTTTGGCTACAATTTTCACCTCAAGCCGGCGAGGGATAATCTACATTGCGGTCCTCCTCGGGCTCGCATATTGGCTCTTCGTAGGAGGAGACGAGACCGAGTCTAACACAACATCTCTCAGCGACAAAACATTTCGTCTAACAACCTCCGTTACTGACGAGGAGGTTTATGGGCCACCTGTTCAAGATTCTCAAGTTACGTTCAAGGCACCTGAGACGTCTGCAATTCAGTCACTGCGCATATGGGGTGAAGATATTCCTCTGACACAGAAAATTGCGCAGGCTGGTGGTATGTTTCTCTCGTTTTTCCTTTGTCAATTGTGCTCATGATACCTTCCACAGGATGGTCGTTGTTAGACAACGTCATAATAAGGAACGGCACACTATATATTGTCACGGAAGACCCGTCTTCCTTCTTAGATCCCTACCATATGTTCTCGACAGGTGCACCAATGTTGAGTGATCCAGCCAGTTGGGCAGCCAAGGATCCTACCTCGAAAGAGATTCGAATCGTCACCCCAGCCGAAGCGCTGAGAATCATTGGCCCTCATGCCAGCCGTCTAGAAGGGGTTACCTTTCTGTGTAATGATAATCCACAATGTTCGTATTTACATTCCGGACGTGTTTGTTATGTTGACCAACAACGGATTGCTAGTCGTTTCGCACTATTATCACTTCGTCGCAGAAATCCTCTTTGGCTTGTGGAGGACATATTCTGTCCTCGACCTCAACATCCAGGCAGACGGCAATACAACTCTGGCCGCACCCCGTCGGTTCTTGTTCCCTAGAGTGAAGAAATTGGAGTTCGATGATTATAGCGGACTCAGTTCTCTCATACCTCAAACCATATTTCCCACTATGAGTTTCGAGTTTTCTGACACTTGGGCTGATCGCAGCCAGACCGACCGACCCTTCATTTTTGATCGGGTCGTGATCGCCGATCGTGTCTCTGCTGAACATGCACCCGAGTGGAATGGACTTTACAAGTACGTTGCTCCCGCGTTCACGCTCCCCGGCAGCCCAGGCCCGCTGTGGTGGTCGCCGGTGCGACGAGCGTTGCTCCAGTTCCTTGGCAAATTTCGCGCTATGGAGTCGCCAACTGCGTCAACCGTCCCCGTGATCACCTATATTTCACGGCAAGATTGGAATCGGCGTATGCTTCATCCCGATGATCACAAGGTTCTGGTCAAAGCACTCGGGGATTTGCATCGAAACCATGGATATGAAGTTAATATTGTGAATGTGGAAGAACTCAGCGAGAGGGAGCAACTTTCGCTTGCCGTTCGAACGACCGTATGCACATCGTCTTTTCTTCGGAGTCCTGAAGTCAATTCGGATTTTCCTAGGTGATGCTCGGTGTTCATGGCAACGGTTTGACCCATGCGGTCTGGATGGACCCCCGACGAAAACCCGTGCTAATGGAGTTCTTTGCTCAAGATGGGTTTTCCACTGATTATGAATATCCGAGTGCGTCCCTTCTTTACATACAATGACACTGATTGCTCAATCCGTCGCCTGCCACGCCACAGTGAGACAACTTGGCATTGAATATTATGGTTGGTGGGGCAACAAGTGAGTTCGTCTAAGCTTGAGCGTTAAGTTGGTTAACATCTGAGTTGCAGATACTTTGGGCATCGTGAATTGCCATCCGTGTATATGGGGGGTGGCTTCCAGGGGAACAATATTCGTATTGATGGCATGGCTGTCGCGGCGAAGATTGTGGAACATATCCAATCTTCCGAGACCTCATGAGTGTTACGTCAAGAGATGTGTGCGGAGATAACGATATCATTGCTCGTCCATCACTTTGGGTCTACTTATTTTGGAGAGAGGGGGCGCGCCAACGTTTATATATTACTTTGGGTTCTGGTTGTTGTAATATATCTTAATATGAAGCACTCGAAAGGTTGTTTCGCAACCCCGACCTTGCTTGTGGATCACATGGGCGCTGCTGACCAGTTGTTTTCTTATGGCGCTCACAGCTGGCAGATATAGACGTGAGTTGAACCAGTAATTAAATGACATAGATAAACATTCTAAGTCGAATCAAAGCATGCAAGAAAATTGTCAAGGATAACATGAACTGAGTGGAATGATGACGTGGAGTTGAATCATGTAAAAAATAGTTATCGTTTGCGCAAAACTATATGGCTGATAGAGAATACTCAGCGGTGAAGGTCATTGGATGGAGTGAACCATATATTCCCACCTTATTTTTGGTGCTTTACAGGCGAAAAAGCTGGACCGGAGAATAGGCACTTCGATGATGAACCACCATCTGTGCAGCTGCTGACAAGAGGGAGTTTATGGTTGTAAGTACTAGCGCGCGTCTGAGAAGTGGTGGGAAAAGCTAGAGGGTACCAGTATACGCCCAGAATGCTTTAGCGCGTGGGGAAGGACTAGGGCATGTTAACACTAGTTTCTAGGCGTGAACATACATGAATACCGCATGAGTATGGCCTAATCAACACAGGCGTGCATTTTGAGAGTTGCACACATGTGGGTTGCATGTGGGAAAGGTACCTAGAGCGTAAAAAACGCATCTGGTTGACTCATCTACCTCCCCACCCCTGACGAATCCGAGCTCTCCGTCATTGCCGAGCTCCAGATCACTAACGAAAACCGCACGCAGTGTGGGAACCCAGAAAGCAAGACCCAATTTACTTGGATCTTTCCAAACCAGAATATCAGCATCTTCCGCACCCCAAGATTTGGCAAAAGAGTCCACATCCCCTCTCCGTTCCTTCTTGTGACAACCCGAATGTTGGGCGCCAAGTCAGATAAATTGTCGAGGATCACGGAAATGTTGCGATAACGGCAGCAGGGGCATCTGGTACAACTTCAACGCACAAAGCAGAAGGCGTCCGAGTAAGATTATTGAATTGCATGCAGCGCGGGCTCCTCCAGAGAGGCTCAGGCTCCATAACTGCTTGAGTAACATGACCGACATCTATGGTTGGAGCGACAGTTGGGCGACTTGTTGACTCATGGCAGATCAGGAAGTCAGGTGGGGAGAAGTCCAGTGAACCGCTGTACGATATTTCTTGCACACAGAGGTTCCACTGCATTAAATTGGTAAGTTAGTTTTACTAACGGATGGTCCTCCAGTTGGAACTTCGATTCCAAGCACTGCGACGCTGTCGAAATACCGCATCGTTCTCGTATGTCTCTCCTCAACGAGGGACCCAAAGTCGAGCAATCGGTTAGCAAGGATGTCCTCCCAGAGGAAAGGGGGAAACTTTAGTCGCTCTTGGCAGCTCCGGATAGCGTGCTTGATATTCGCGTTGCAGGCATTGATGTGTCTTCTGAGCTGTTGAGATTCTGAGTTGGTCCAGGGTAATCCCCTCTAATTCAGTAAGTAGGTTCGTTCGGCACGTGAGCGAGCCGTTCGTGATGCAGACCGATCGTAATATAATGGCAGAATTCCCACGAATTGTGAGCATTGCGAGTAGTGCTAGTGACCTTGGAACAAGGTAATTAGTACTATCATATTATTGCAAGGTGCAAAAAAAAACGGCCCATCCAATTTGGATGAATGGCCAAGGGGTCATGTGACCATGCCTATTTAGGAAAATGGCGGACGAGTCTACTCAACACTCGATACGGACTTTGCCGCAAGTGACAACTCGCTGGCATCTGCTCTTCACCTCCGCTGTGCTTACCGAGTTATGAAAGGGCTTGGTCTGATCCGCTCCGGATGCCTCATTCTCCTGACCGGGAACTAGTCCTCGATTGTGATCTCGTCCACATTCAAATCTCGCCTAAAAGCCCTATGTCTAGTGTCAAAGGTTCAGTAGCTATAAATTAGCAGTGACACTCTACTGCATCTCTTCACGCCTCACAGTGCCTGCGCTTGCACTGTAACGACTTGAAATGTTTAACTCTATCACAACTTCGTTCTTCAAGACGTTGGGCAAGAGAAGTGGAGATGCTTCGGCTGAATCTAGGTCCCCCTCTTCCGCCCCTGGTAAAGGATTGAGTGTCTCCCCTTCCGCGCCAACAGTCGCTATCAGCGACGGCAAGGCATCACCTCACTGGACCGACACAAAGAGCACTGCTCAACTTCTCAGGATGATTCTTGAAGAAGCTTCCTCTTCACCAATCTCTCCCTCATCCTCTGATTTGTGCCCGACGCTTCCTCAATCCACTCCATCTACTCCCCGCGGCTGCAGCACCGTCTACGAAATGGGTCCTCCATCTCCTCCAATTTCATTCATTAAGAAGCATATGCCGGAAGACAGGTTTGAGGAAGCACTGGCGCACCAACAAGGCGTCAAACTTAAACAGTCCCGGGTCCCTTCTATCAAACTCGTCGTTAATCCCATGCTAGTTCCGCATTACGCGATGCCTTTTTTTGGCTTCGACGATGATGACGAGACTGAATTATCCGATTGCTCAGAAGAGGGATGGAGAGAATGCACCATTAACTCGGAGGTGAAGTCGAGAGACAATTCGCCGACATCGCAACCAGTTTCTGGCCTTGATAAGATCTCGCATGCGACCAAACCGAGACGAAAACGCTTTAATGGCAAGCCAAGTAATGGCAGAGGGAAGCGATCAAAATTCGCAAGAAAATGAGAGCCACTCAACTTAACCCTGCGCCTACCTTCCCCACATCCACTCCTACCAACGCTGCAATACGCTGCGCCGTGTTCAGCTTTGCATTTGTTTTGTACTCTGCTTCCTTCGTTTTATTGTTTCTGTTCAATCTGTTCTATTGGCAGGTCTCTACGTCCTCTTGGGTTCCCGGACTACTGTTGTAATTGTACCGGTTTATGTTTATTCTGTTTCGACTCCCAGTGCGCACCCAGTGCTTATCCACGCATATGGCAATATTATTTTGCGTGAGTATTGTTGTACGTTCGCCTACAGCAAGAGACAAAAAAAACGGCCGATCAAAATTTGCTAAACGTCACGGGTGGGTCTCGTGATGATCCAAATCGGGAGCAAAATCAGGGTCAAATTAGAATTAGAATACACCGCTGTTTTAGCACACATGACCTATATGGCAACTGCCTACTGCCCGTCTTCTGCTGGGGTCTCTTCCAGCGTTGAAGGTATTTTTACCCTGTTTCACGTGTGCCACTCAATAGTTTTGTAGCTCATGTGAAGCATGGCTGCTTCATCCGTTACATGACCACAGCGCATCCCATGATTTGTTGTATGTCGGCACTGTCGGCACTGTCGGCACTGTCGACGGCACTTCCGAGTTCAGAGGAATTCCACCCGGACACCGCTGCACCATTTGAGGTTTAGAATAATAATGCCACATAAATATTAGGATACTCACCGATCCTCACACATTTGTACAAGATGGTTGGATTTGTGAATAGGGGCATTGTCCATCACGAGGACCGAGTTTGGTTGAGGGAATGGATTCATTTTTGTAAGTAGTGCTTCGATAAAATGATCAAATGCTTCGCTTGTGTATGCTCCGACCTGAATGTCGCAATGCAGAATACCTTCCAGTGACATTGCTGGAAGGACAGAATATCTAGTATTGTGGTTGTTAATTCATAATATGCCATCTAAACCTTAGGATCACATACTTTATGCCGCGAATAAAGAAGTCGCGACGCCGGGCACGCTCTCCACGGGGTGACCAACCATGAGTCCGGGTTCCTGTCTGACGGCTAACACCTGTTTCATCTACAAATACTAGGTGTTCTGCTTGGTAGTTTCCCCCCATGTACTGTCTGAAGTCCGCGCGTCTTCCTTCATCACGCTCGGCAGCTATTCTCTGAACCTGAAATAGACATCAATGGTATTGCCATAGTTAGAAAGTGACTCAATACCTTCTTGTATGTTAGATCGCGACGCGTCATTTCACGGGAAATTGTGCGCTCACTGATTTCAATATGGAACTCATTGATGAGAGCAGTCCGGAGCTCAGAGAGCATGAGGTCGGGCTTCATTTCAATGAGGCTATCTAGAAACTACAGCAAAGAGTTAGAGGGCAGTGGAATCCAATATGTGGATAGCTACATTGATAGAATGGACATTCAGACAGCGATGTCGGCCGCGAGTTTCAGTGAGGGGGCCACGTTGATGTCTTTCCGGGTGTGCAAGAATCTTCCGGACAGTGCGTGCAGGCACTTGTATAGCTTCTGAAATTTGCGATGTGCTCATAGTCTCAGACATGGTAATCAAGAGCTCTCTGGCTGGGGGTTTAAGGTGTTTGCCCATTGTCGCACAACGGGAAATGCGGGCTAGCCATATTTGGCACGGAGGAGTGTCATTGGGACACAATATGTAATAAGTGCTCAAATTTTCCTAAAATAATCGAACAGCTGACTTGTTCCCGATATGTTTAACAAAATCTGATCGGCCGTTTTTTTTGTCTCTTGCTGTAAGTCACTTGAGCCAATATCTATGTCCAATCGCAACCAAAACATCTCTCAAGCGGTCCAATGAATATCGAATGCGATTCTAGTGTCGACCGGCAACACCATGGCACCAGAAAACTGTGCATGGACTGCTGATTGGTTCCGATTATATCAAGCCAACTTTATCTAGGAGTAAGCCACTGCGTCCTCCTCGGTGATAGTGCTTCAAAGGGAGGCCCACGATGGCTTCATTTTTCGCTTACCTTCCTCACCTCCATCTTGGACTATGCAAGCACCAACCTCCGTAAACGCCTCATTGCGGCAACCTCCAAATTATTCCATCAGTCCCTTCTACCGAGACCTACGAAGAAGACATTGGATTCGCGGCCTTTTCTATGCCTCAAAAGAAGCCGACCCGTTACCTTCAACACACTTCCATTCACGATGACACTAAAGTTGTCGGATTATATTCTAGCTGTGGTTCGCGAGCGCTCTGCCCCCCTACCGATTTCTATGTCCATATCCGAAAATCCGCGAGGCCGTGGACTGATTGACTCTAAAGGATTTGAAGTTACACACAGTTTCTCGGTGATGTGCACTTGGGCCTCTGGTTATGGGAGGAGCCAATGAAAGAAGATGAGAGAATGTCAGGTTCAGATGAATCGGCAGGATCTCAACGGACTCTATGTAGGCAGTTGAATACATGATGTCTATAAGGACACATCAGCAACGCTACAAAAACCATCCTTTCTCTGCAGCAGGCGCGCACATCCTATCGCGAGGTGCCCCGAAACAAATTAGGCTCCTTGACGCGGACGCCTTCACACGACACGCCAAGCAAAGAAGTTTATTGATCCGTAATGTACGTGAGGGTGTTATATCCACTAGACATGCTTCAGGTACATTTTGTTATCAGTGCTTTAGGTTCTCCAGTACACGGGTTCTTGCTAATTGATCAGCAGTGCAATGATAGGAACCTAGCGTAGCTTAAGCCCCCCTGGCCAGCTGAAACTCCGTGTAGTAGGAAACAATGATTAATCACTGGTACCAGCAGCAACTCCTCGTAAAGTTTGAACCAATATCGTCATATCACGCAGGTGCTAACCAGTGGGAAGCACAATCCCACCTAAATTGATAAACGCAATCATCCCTCTTTCTCCACCAATGCTTACATGGTTACCGTGTTGCGCGATGGGAGAGGTGGTCTTGAAGTAGTCGGGTAGCCAACAAATGTGCAGGGAAAGATTCCCCCGCTTGGTGCAGAGAGCGTTGTGATCAAGATAAAGAGCGGAGGACGGAGCTTTGCGGAAGGATGTTGAAATTGGATCAGACATGTCACTTAAGTTGGGGATGCTAAGATATTTCGTCCCGTTCCAACCTTGGATGCGGAGCGTTGGGGCGTTGGTGGAAAATGAAATTTCAAGGGGATGAAATGCCCAACCAAGCTCCTCCTGCCCAATACACCTCCTTTCTGCAGCATCCCAGACACATACAGTGCCATGCCGGGAGGCCGAGGCAAGATGACGTCCATCGGGTGAAAATTCCACCAAGAAGACCGACTCAATATGGCCTCTTGTTGCCTCCAGTCCTCCAAGTGGGACTTCCATTGTCCCATCCCAAACATGCACAGTGCCATCCCAGGATGCCGAGGCCAGGTAACAACTATCTGACGCAAAACTCACAGACTGGACGCCACCAGCATGCCCTCTCAGTTCTCGAAGGAGCCTTCCCGATGCTGCATCCCAGATACACACGGTGTGATCCTGTGAGGCCGAGGCCAGGAAACGGCTGTCTGGTGAGAATCCACGGAGTTGACAAAACTGGTATGTCCCTTCAGCTTTCGAAGAAGCACCCCTGACACTGCATCCCAGACATATATGGTGGGTTCCCATGAGGTGGAGGCCAGATAACGGCCATCAAATGAAAATTTCACAGACAGAACACCTTTAAGATGTCCTTTCAGCCTCCGAAAAGTTGTTCCTGTCCCCACATCCCAGATACGCACGTCGCGATCATCTGCGGCCAGGTAACGGCCATCTGACGAAAAGGAAACAGAGAAGACGCGAGCAGCACGATCCCCCAATACCCGAAGAGGCATGCCTGTTGCCACATCCCAAATACGCACGGTCTGGTCGTTCGAGGCCGACGCCAAGTATAGACCATCAGGGGAAAATGCCACAAACCGGATCGAATCGGTATGTCCCTTCAGTTCTTGAAGGTGTGCTCCTGTCACTGCGTCCCAGACACGCACAGTGTGATCATCCGAGGACGATGCCAAATGAAGGCCATCTGGCGGATATGCAACAGACCAGACCTGTTAGGTATGTCCCTTCAGTTCTGGAAGAGGTGTCCTCGTCGCTACGTCCCATATGCGTACAACACCATCCATCCAAGCCGAGGCCAAATGACGGCCATCTGGCGAAAATGCCGCAGAGCAAGCGCCACCTGGGTTGTGGATTATGCACACTTGCGATGGCCATGATTGGCTGCTATCCATTCCACGAGCAACAATCCGGCATTCGACAGGCCGATCCTTCGGAAATACTTCATTCAGCGCACTACCTGAAGGAATAAATGGATGGGTGCCACCAAGGATGGATAAAGGCGAAGCTGCTAAGGCATCTTGGGATCGCTCGACTAGATGATACAAGTCACGAATTACGTGACTAATATTGTTTACAGCTGCATTATCAGATCCCTTCAAAACACCAAAGTAAGTCACAGGCCAATGTTCGAATTTTTGACATACAAGCCATCGTTCCAGTTCTCTCAGGCGTCGACATGCTTGATTGATTTCACCCATGACGCCCATTGCTGCAACCCAGTGAAGAAGCGCCGGGATAGTATGGGAGACAGCCTTCATTATTTCGTCGTCCTGCGAGTCCGACTCACAAAGGAGAGTGACCCAATGAGTGCACGCAAACTTCAGCTCCGTCGTCATTATCTTTCTGACTTCACTTGGGAGGTCGGGAATGTTCTTATCCGTTTGGTGTTGCCAGATTGTTGGCAGATCATCCAGTACCTTGCACTGTCTCACTAATTCCAGCACTGGCAGCACAACCCCGCGTAATATCTTCGGGAAAGGCTTGGGTGCATCAAGACTGGGCTTGAGTGAATCAAAGGTATCTGAGGAATGACCATGCACCATAGGACCACTCCGTAACTGGTGAGGAGATTAGACAGCTCACGGCTACAAACAACACGATCTACACACCGATGACTCCAAGAATTTAATAAGACTTGATATCCTGGTAATAATATCATCTTCTCGAAGTTGTTCTAATTGTGGGAGCATCCGACCCAATGCACTGGAAAGCATGATATTAAAGATAGTCATGCAAAAGCGCTAGTCATGGTGAATAATGGATTAATTTACTAACTCAGAAAAACTGCTCGAGAACGTCCGTGCCCCTTGAATTTCGTGGCATCCGTGAAGATGTTCATGTAGTGCACGGTGGAGTGCAACGAGGGGTCCTTCGGTAGTTGAGAAAGCTCGAAATGCATCGGATGGAGAAAGACTGTAATAAGCGGACCTCTGGTTTGAACCAGGTTAGTCCCCGTGACGAGCAACGACGCATAGACTGTTCTCTCACATTGCGTCTCTTTATGGGGTCGAGGACGGAGCTGAGCGCTTTCATTAGCGTCACATTCCCAATCAAATCGCCAAGTCTCAGAATTGTCTTCAATTTCCGATCCGTCTCCTTAGCGAAGTGCAAATACGTCAGGTGTTTGACACGGCCTCGGCTCCTAGTGCCAATTGCTGGATGGTTAAGGGACCCTTTCTCAAACCGTGCCCCGAACCTCCACGCTAACAATTCCTGAATGGTGGAGGCGAAAAACCAACAATTGTCCTACATGTTCATGTTGTTAGCGGATCGACTGATGATGATACTGCGGCCGATATTGACGCTTACCCTGGTCAACCTGTAACGGGGAGATTCTGCTTCCATTGCATATAGAATTTGCGCGGCTGCGATCAGAGGAGCGGGAGTTGGCAAGACCATGGTGGCTTCTACGCCGGATTTCGTATCGGTGTAGTCAAGAAGGTGGTCAAGTCTACCAGAAACAGCAGCCTATCGAGTGCTATTTTCTAGCTACGGTACAAACATCAAAGGGTCTCTTACATACCGTATCCATAGCGCTCGACGTTCCCAAATCCCGTACCCCAAACAACCACAACGGAACCGTGTGATCCCGTCTGCGATCCAACCGAAGGAAGAACTCCCTTCTGTCGGCCCGGGTGACATGAAGGATAAGAAATCGATGTGGCACCCCACGAATATCGCCATATCGTTGAACAGACATAATCTTAGCATTCACCGCACGACGACTATCGAACAAGCTTTCGCAAAATGTTCGTACAGAGAAAACTCGGTACGGCCGAGAGTCCAAAAATTCAGCGTAAAAAGCGTCTGCCGATGTGAGGCTTGCGATTCTACTCATAAGAGAAGGGCGAATGGACGGGACAGTTGTGGATGAAGTGGATAATGCTGATAATGAGATGGAAGAACGGGAAAAGGAGTTGCTGAGTCGACTGCGAAGCGATGGTGCTTTTATGGAGAACGCATCATTGTCGGGAGGGGGTTCGAGCGAAGGCTCGATGCCCTCATCAAGCTATCAAAGCTGAAATGAGCAAAATGCTGAGGCGTGTTAAGGCCGATCCTCACTTCGAAGAGGAAATCGTCAATGGAATCCGGTTGTGGAAACGAGGGAGAGGGGATGTCGGCAGGGGTTGAAGAGGTTGAGCTAGAAGCTACAATGGTATCCGGGTCATTAGAAGAGTCTCCAGCATTGGTGTGCGCGGACAGCGATGAAGTGGAGACCATTTCTAGCAAGGGCATCGGAGGATTGGACACGGAATATGGGAGGCTCCGGAGACAGCACTCACCGATGGCATCCACCGCATTTTCACCTGTATTCCTAGTCCCAGGAAAGTTTCGGAAGCCTGGTGTTGTTGCGGCAGGAGTGGCAGGGGTCGGGGTTGGATTTGGAAGACCCATGTCTCTGGATGGTGGCTAGATGACTAGGGAACGCTGAATGATCTTTTGGGACTTCCCCCAAGTTGCGAGGTGTTGCAATATCCAAAAGTCCTCTATATTATCGGCCACAGTAGGGGAGATCGGTGGCGTCTACAGAGGACAGAGAGGCGAGGATGCGAGATGTTGGGGACAGCACATTCAGGAAACGGAAAGATTCCTCATGTGCTAGGGATCGATGCGGCCAACTCCGATGCCCTTGGCGCTCCCACGAGCAGCCTAGACCAGAAAAGCTTTGAAAGCAACACTAAGGAGAAAACATTCAAATTGAACCAAGAACAAATCCTGGGTCCTAGGTTGTTTTGTTACATACATGTATTGCAATTTGTTTTTATATAGTTTTCTCTCTGTGTTTGTTGTTTTTTTTTCCCCGTTTCAATCTCGAACCGAAACGTCATTGAGCGCTGTCCTACCTCGAGGACTTTGGACTGCCTTTGATACCAACGACCCAGGCAGGGGGACTGGGTAGGGAGTACGGATGTGAGGCGGATGATGTTCGGAGGGCTGGCAATGTGGGAGATCATAAATTCTGGTTTGAACGAGAAGCAATGATGCCGTCATCACACCCTCCATGCTCTAACCCCATGGGGTCATCCCCAGCATGCAGACTTCAAGAGTGCATGAAAAACAATACATACGAGCCTCAGAAATGCGATTGGTAGATTGGAAAATGAGAAAACAGTATTTGCTTTACAGAGATATGTATGAGTCAGGTGGCGGAGTCTTGATTCCGAGGGTCGTTGAAAGATGGCTCATCCATCAATGTATCCATTGCAGATAACGAGGAGCTTGTTGACGGTTTGAGCCAGCAACCACTCATGGGCACGAGACCTCAACGTTGTCGGGTGATTGCGACCATACGAGCATAAGGAACTCTCCGTCAAGGGATTTCCATAACGGAGAACAACAGTGAGATAAGCCTCCAGACTCGTTTACATATCGCGGGTTCAATTCCAGTCCCCTCTGGAGATTTGCCCATTTTGCTGACGCTTGTTCCTCACAGGGATTATCAATTCATATCTCGCGTTCTGGTAAGAAAATGCATTAGAGTAACAAAGAACGCGTCGAAAAGTGAAACACTGGTTCCTACGCCTCACTGGGGAGGCGTCACGCTGACATGGAGATGGCTGCGCCTCAAACCAAAGAGTCTCAGTGATCTATCGATCTCGATCACTCAGCATGGTGGTCGGACTTTGCCATGCACGCCTCGGTGTTGGCGTCTCTTTTAATACATAGTAGTTCCCGCTTCGTCCCCACTGCACAACACCTCGTCCCCCCTAGCGGACTGTTACCTTCCTAGACCCATATTTACTTGTCTCATTGTCTAAATTTGTCGTCATGCCTAAACGCGCCGCATCCCCAACAGTCGCCAACGATGTGAGGGTGTTGGCAGTATATCGGTATGCGATCCGCCCCCCCTTCACGTCTTCACAGTTTTCTGTATCCACCTCCCCCAACAGCCCTTATCCGGTTTACGCCGATCTCCGATTCGAAAGTAAGGATGCTCCCGATTTTGTCTCCTGGATTGCCGCCTGCCTTGGCGATATCAAGTACCTGGTTGCGATTGGATGGAAGCCAAATGTAGGTGATCCCATGTTACAACAGCTTCCATCTGAGCCATGTTATATAGTCAGGCAGCATCGCCATCGTCGAAATTAGCAGGCGTTTCCAACAATGGGCGAACATTCTCGGGGAGCACAAATGGAAGGACTTCCTCCTTCACCCCGATGAAGCGGTTACCGGAAGGACTTCCAGGATTTACTTCTCATCACTTGCCGATCACCGAGCGTGCGAAAAGTCTGGCTGGAAGTTCAAGTACTTGGACGAAGCCTTTATCAGGACCAACGTGCAACTTGATCTTTTTCGCTATCCATATCCAAAGAGTACGTGGTGCCCCGAGCCCATTGTAGATCAGACAAATGAGAGTGTTTGTCGTCCCCTTCCGGAGAGTCTCTTCCCTGGCTCGGCACCAAAACCCAAACCTGTGCTTGTCCGTACGTACCCATTCTGCTATCTACTCGTCTGTCGACCTGACGAGTAGTGTATTGCTTTCAGCTGGATCTTTGAGCTGGGTCCAACGCGCTGAAACCGGAGGTACCAGCCGTAGTCACCCCAAGTCTCAGCGTGTCGAACCACCGCTTTCTCCTAATCTTGAGAAAGGCACTCCCACTAAACCCAAACCTCAGGTTACGAGTCCTTCTCGATCTTCTTCGATCTCCTCTATTTCTGGTGTTACGGGGCTTGTTCAAGAGTTCACAATTGCCGACACTCTGTCCGCGTATGATGTGTCTTCTTGGGACGAATTCGATGATACGACGGTTGTCGAATCTGAACCTGGTGATCGCAGAACTTATACATTGCCTCATAACCTCCAACTGATCGAGCTCATGCTCATTAGGTGCATTTTCTTCTCTGACTGATTCTATGTCTCAGTCCACATTGTTCGAGAAGAACCCACGCCCCGATATAATAACGAATGAAACGACGGTAGTTCAGCCACAACCTGAGGAAAATCCGCAGAACCTATGGGAGCAGGATAACCTTACGGAACGCAAGGTATACGATGACCTCGAGGTTTGCCCAACCCACAAGGTCCGATGCAAGCCCAATATCTGTGCCGACTTTTCCGATCACATGAAGAGACACGGGCTCGATCCAAAACACTTTCAACTGATAGGTGGACCCAGCAATGCATATACGTTACAGCGAGGTGAGAGCTTCTCGTCTTTGAAACATACGGGGGGGCATATCAAACCCTTTTCAAATAGAGAAAGAACTGCAAAAGCAGCAGGATGGCAGTCGGGAGCCTGCCAACCGTCGCGGACGCAGCCGTGGACGTGGTCGCGGTCGTGCCATGCCACGCGGTCCATTTGCCAACCCGTGGTAAAGCTCTCACAAAACACACTCCCATCGTTTACCTTGTGGGCTAGTGCTCACATACTTATCATTTTCTTGGTCCAGAATCTCTTTTACACACGCCATGTCTTCCCAGCTTTCCTTTTCTTGGTCCCCTCTATTTAGAGCGGGTACTTCACCCTGCATTCTTACTCCATATTTCATCGTTACCCTTCTTTATCAACGCTGTCATCAAACCGGCAATCGTTCGTGAAAGTTAGCTAAATGTGTGTCCTCCGCAATAACAATGTGCCTTCGAATCGCAAGCAGGAAAAATACGTAGATCGTCAATGAGGTCATCAATTTCAGGGCGGAAATTTGAGCAGGAGTTGATCATAATAAATAATACATGAGAGGGTCTTTGGTAGCCTAATCATCTTCGTCCCAGTTTGCGGATTGCTGAGGAACTTTGGGTCCGCCCGCCGGTTTCGACACGATAATGCTGTCGACCCGTAATACAGTGATAGCTGCCTCAGTGGCGAGCTCCAGCGCCCATGACTTCGCTGCCAGCGAGTCAAATATTTGCAATGGTGTGGTATCAAGGACGCCCTCCGATTCACCCTTTGGATTGTAATAAAAAAATCAATTGGAGGTGTTTGTTTTTTGAAAATCAGAAATCATACCTCTACGTCCACGCCCCATGTGTGGCCCTTCGGCTGCTCATGCCGAGCATACAGTTTGCTGATCACTTCCGTGGTGTTCAATCCCGCATTCTCTGCTAAAGTGGTAGGAACCACCTCAAGGGCACTAGCATATCGCTTTACAGCATGTTGATTCAGTCCACTGAGACTCGCACCATACGACTCTACACGCTTGGCGAGCTCTAGTTCTGTAGCGCCTGCCCCGGCCACCATCCGGTTGTCCTTGACGAGGGACTTGATGACGTTGACACCATCGTCTATAGCACGTTCAAGATCATCGAGAAGGTTGGCCGTAGCGCCACGAAGCACGATCGTTGCCATACGGGACTTTTCGCCGGATCCATCTTGGCTGAAGACGGTGACTCGATCCCCACCGATTTCGATGCATTCCATCAGGTCCACGGTACCCGCCTCTTCGGGTGTGGGAGCACCTAGACGAGCGAGAGGGGTGGCACCGATGACGCGACATAATCTACGGAGTTCAAACTTGGAGAGAACTTTGACGACGGCGATTGAGAAGCGATCAAGATAGTGGAGGGCTAGTTCACCGACACCAGATCCAGCAACGACGATTTTCACACCAGAGTCCGCAATTTCTTTCAGAATCTGTATAAACCGGTTAGCGATTACACAAGTTCCGAAACAAAACCTTTGCACCTTTTCCACGTGTTTCTCCTCTCCCGTCGTGAAGTCGAGCAATTCATCCGAACTCTTTAGCAGCACAGTCCCCTTTGTTTCTGTTTGAGATATATCGATGCCACTTGTGTATACGGCAACCTTAGCCTTTGTGGCCTTCTTGATCATCCCTTTAGACAAGCTCAGCGCGACTTTTGGACGGAAGTCACATTGTATTTCACCTTCAGGCTCTCTCCCAAAGACCATCCCATTCACTACTTTACTTGAACTCAAGCTGCCTCCCATTATCTTCACCACTCGGACGTTATCAACGTTAAAGTTTGCTGGTACAGGTGGCATCACAGCAACTGCAGCTTCTGCAACCAATGAAGACAATATTTCTTCGGATCCATAATGCTTCGAGGCGATCGCAGGTTTAAGGGCGGTCTTTAGGCTACCGACCGCAAGCTTTTGTGGGAGGGTGTAAACGGAGAGTTCTAGAGAAGAACGTTGTTGAGGTAGCAAATACTTCGGTCATAATCGTACGTACTCTCTAACTCTTCAGCTGCTCGAGTACGCGCCAATTCGTAACCCTGAATGACTTCACTTGGGTGAAGACCCATCGTTAACAAGCTTCCTGCCTTCTTCAATAATTCTCCGGCAAAAATCAGAACAAAATTCGTTGCATCACCCATCTAAATGCGATTAGTAATGGTACTTTGAAATCCATAATTCGTACTTACCTCCGCTTCCTGGGCCTGAGAAGCCATCACCAACAACTTTGCTGCGGGATGGACTACCTCGATCTCGCGAATAATGGTGGCTGCATCCGACGTCACGAATAACTTGCCGAGGTGATTGACGACGAGCTTATTCCGGCCTTTCCAATTGCACATCTATCAGCTGAAGAGCCACAGCGCTCAACGAGCAAACACACCATTTGGACCAAAGCTTGTTCGTATTAAATCCGATAATTCAGTCACTGCTTGGATGTTGCGCAGTACCGCGTCCTCCAACCCTGACGATTGCTAATACGCGTTGGTTTGAGAATGCTGCGCGGTCAGTAGTCAGTACCCAGGCTCACCTTGTACCCATCTTTGAATAGTTGCGGACCCGCTGCTGTAGGCACTTTTAATGACATCTTTCAAGCTCGAAAAACCTTTCGTCGATTCAATTCATTGCTCCAGTCATCTGATCAGAAACAGGCGTCGTCGAACCTTCGCACCATTTGTCCAACATTCGATCATTTGCGAGGGATGATTCGTACCAACCCTCCGGCGATTTGTCCTCTTGTTGGCGCGGGCTCAGATTCTGCTTCTGCTTCTCATCCCTGCCCTATTTTCCAGTCATTAGATTGCCCTGCTGTGTTCAGAGCTAGTGCATGTTCATCTTCATGTCACCCTGAGTACTGTCCCCGCTCTATTTTGTGTGTGGTATATGGCTTTTATTTTTGAGTAGTAAACATGATGGGTTCCACATTCATTTCCGTCCGATTTCGGCGTCTCGTTCGCACTTTTTATTTCATTCCTTTTGTTCGTTTTGATGTTGCTTGTGTACGTCTTTCGTTACGGACCAACGAAGAATGGGTTGTCAATCACATCTGACTTAGTGGAATTGTAGCGGACTTGGCCGAATGGCGTGTTATCGTGAACTGAGGAAAGAAAATCCCCAACGAAAAACCAGAATAGGAAAGAGCAGTCGCCACCTCCAGTCATTCAGTGACGGGAGTTGTCACAGCGTTAACTCAATAAATTCGACTCCAACGGGTTGACACTTTACTTATGCCTAAACCCAAGAAGCCTGAAGCAGATGGCTCCGTCCTTCTCACTATCTTCAACCCATATTGCATGCCATCAACTTACGGGTCTATCTTAGCAAGTCGCGAATCCTCAAAACAGAAGACCCATCGTTTGAAGGTGGGACCCCGTAATCTGAGAGACAGCCACGACTAATAGCCGTGGGCAAAGAGTGTGATTCGATGGTTGGGTGCTATGGGGGTTACTATATCCGAGCTGTTTGCAAAGCGTACAGTGTGTGGACTTCCCCCGAGAGCCAAAAGGGGTTCCGTCACAATGTGTGATTTACAATGGATACATAGGAGATTGCAATCGTTGTTAATGCTCAGGACACTGAAGACAAGTCCGTCATAGAAGCCGTCATTGGGATGCATAAATGGGCCGAGTTTCTGCAACCCTGTCCTTCTAATTACAAGGACGAAATATCGCACATTTTTCGATGCACCTCCGATTCCATTGATCATCTTGAATCAACGCTCGGTGAGTGTCGAACGATTAAGTAGCAAAATTTAAACCCGCTAAAGAACTTAAGGGTTTGAGATGGTTGATGTAGACGAGTGGACCGACGGCAAAGATGACCACAAACTCATCGCTAATCCATACCCTCCCCCAGTGCTCCCGACGAGTAATTGGCCACGGCCACAAGGGCCCATTCCCACTTATATTCGACCCAAGATGCAAATCCCTCGTCCAGTGACTGAAGTTGAACTTGATGATTTCCTCGCTGGAATCGCTCCAGCACCAGAAACGCTTCCAAAGCCGGAGATATCAGCAACGAAAGAAGGCACGTCAGGATATCACAATGCCACCCTGGCTCATGCGTGATAAACACATGCCCTTCGATCTAGAACCCAATGACGAGCTGACTTCAGCTGATATCGAGTTCGAGTCGCAAGAGGATAGGTTCTTCGAAGGTAGGTGTTCACTCTTACTGCCTGATTTTTACTGACCTCAGGTTAATTCATAGGATTGAATGCGAATGTTTCCAGATTGCTTCGGGAGAAGAGTATCTCACAATTGCCATTGTCGGACGTGCAGGGGTCAGGTATGACACAAGATCGTCAACTCATAAGTCCTTCATGCCATCTCCCATAGACTCAAACGGAAATCCCTCAAATTCAACTACTCAAACCAACGTGGAACACAATGCTAATCAATCTGGATCGAAGATGAACCACAACATAGACAGGAAACCTCTGAAGAGCGAACTCGAAGACCTGAACGTCAAATATGGGAAGACCTATACTGCGGGGCGTAAGCTTGAGTCTGCTACCGCATGAAGAATGCTGCCGCGCGCGGTGTGCTGAATCCCTATCATATATGGCAGAAGAGGAACAAGAAACCAAGCTTTTCGCCCTGAAGCGAGAGCATGAAGGAGAAGACACGCGTGGTAAGTCCCTGGTGGCGCAGTTTCCACCGTTCCCAGTTTATGGGGGTGAACTTACCTCAAGCAGACAGCAAAAAGCATCGAAGGTCACTAAAATAGAGAGCATTCCAGCTATCATTTTACATTTTCAGCAGTACCTGGCCTCCAAATTCCCACCATCGTTATAATCGTACCATTTGTATACATATCTTTCACTCGCATGCCTCATGAAATGAAGCCTTTTTCACTTGGCTTGTCCGAGCATGTGGCTGTGCCGCCTACTTGTGTGTGCGTCCATGCTCTTCGAGCTTCTTTCCCTCCTTGGTGGTGCTGCCAGTCGCCCGTATGCTGTGCCTTTCATTTTAATTTGTTTCATACTTTATGCTATCCGACTTTGGAGCAACGGACCCAGGAACCCTCGGAATCGTAACATGCACGGCCGTGTCGTCGTGATCACCGTAAGTTTCATCCTCCGTGAGACTCTATCAGATTTACAGTCATGACATTTTAGGGTGGCTTCTCGCCTCTGGGTTTGAGACTGATAACCGAACTGGCCAAGCGTGGAGCACAAGTTATTGGGCTTACACCTTCGCTGGACGACCCTGTGATTGACGAGCTCATCCATGCGATTCGGGCGATGACGAAAAATGAGCTTGTGTATGCAGAGGAGTGTGACCTAGATTCGCCGGCGTCTATCCATTCCTTCTGCAAGCAGCTAGTTCAGCTGAAACCGAGCCTTGACGGTGGTTCGCCGGCTGAGCCTCAGCGCGTAGACGCGCTTATTTTTGCTCATGAATATTCTTACATTGCCCGAAGCGGATCGTCGCCGCTGGCTGATTCAGCTGTGTCAGCTGAAAAAGCGGACGAGAGGCGCCTTCGACCCTCTCTAGCTTCATTCCTGCTAACAGCTTCTATCCTGCCCAGCTTGCTGCGCGCCCCTAAGGACCGTGACATACGTATCATACACGTCGTTAATCCATTTTACGCTGCTGCCGTGCCATTTTTCAACCCGTCATCCCCATCGCCCGCTTTGGAGCTCTCCGTTTTTGCCAAAGAAGGTTATCGCTCACTTCGTACTGTCATCTACGGGCGGCATCTGCAGCGCGTTCTAGATGCAATAGCCAGACCAAAAAAGGACTCGGCCCCGGCCGGTAAAGGTGGGCTTGTTGTTCCGCCAAAAATACCAGGCGCATCAAACATCTTGTCCATAACGGTATCTCCTGGCTTTATTGCCAGAGAAGCTGGTGACCCCCTTTTGTCCAGGTTTTGGAACTCACCCCTATCCCCCTTATGGTTAATGCGAGTCATCTTGTAAGTTTGCATCTCGACCGAGGTCGATCATTCATTGTGTGAACATCCCGTTGTTAGGTACTACGTGTTGGTCTATCCAATTGTAGTCATCCTCACCAAATCAACGTTTTTCGCAGTGGAATCCATTCTCTATATGGTGTTTCTCCCACATCCACGCAAGATGCTACCCGCTGTTGACGACGCCGTTGGGGCTCATTCGAATCGCGAAGGGGATGCTGACCGTACGGTGGAAGGTGGGAAGCTGTACCGAGATTATACGGTTGTGCGGCTTCCCGGAGGGGCAGAAGAATCCATAATGGACAATGAAGGCATCGGACGAGCTGTATGGGAACACCTCGAGGCCGGGGTCCAGAGGTGGGAGACGGAGGAGGCGGAGATCCTTGCTCAGGCCGTAAAGAATGCAACCGCTGGCAGTTCAACTCTCGATCCTAGGGTCAGAAATGATCCCGATCACTGAAGTCACTTCTGACTGCTTCATGGATTGCCCGCCGTCTGATCACCATCGTTTGCAATGTGTAATCCGCCCCGTATGCGTGCTCCTCTGATGCTTGTTTGCTCCTGTCCAGGTATCGAGCCGCTAGCTGAAACCGTTTCTATTTCGTAAATTGTCATCAAGTAGTCCAGCTGACCAAGGGTCGTAGCAGGACCTCCGCATGGCTTATTGGACGACGATAAGGGACTCAGTTTGACGTCACATTGCTTTTTACCCGGTATCGGCGTAATGTAGTTGTAATGTGAGGCGCACAGCCGTATAGCGAGCGCATTCACCATGAGCGCTTCCTATGCAATTTCTTATGTTTGGGAATGATCAGCGGCTGGGGCTGATCTGAATTTCATACTACTGGGCGCTAAGCTGGAAAAGCGCCATGATCTTAAGAGGGAATGCCCGGTGGACAAACGTTCTTGTGCGATGACTTGACTTCATTGTTCCGCAATGCCCCATCATACTTCGGAGTATTTCAACCGGCGCTCGTGGATTAAACAGTCAGCCTGAACATCAGTAGAATATCTGAAGGCCATAGTTGCAATGGATTCGCAGAAGTTTGAGGGGTTTAGTGGGCTATTTCCTTATCCGTACATTCCCACAGCCACTAGCCACTGGATCCGTAAGAGCTGCATCTGTTTGTTGAACTTTGTTGAAGGGCCGCGGGCTGCTACCATACACGATACAACATCGCATAAAAGCACCCTAGTTCCCAACAAGACAAGTCCCTCCCCCCAAAAAGTTGCACATAGAGGCTTGAATCCAACCTGAGTCGTTGGCCTGGCCATTTTAACATCGCAATAGCGTGCATTCACACCGTGAATTTACCGCATCAATGCGTCTGTCAACGTCCATGCCCCCTTCGAGCCGCTCTTCTGGTTCTACTAGCAGAAGCAGCCGGAGCGATTCTCCCTCCCCTATTCGGGCTGTTCATGAATATCTGCACCAGCCTCGTGGTTTGCACGAACATACCGAGAGGCCAACTGCACAGTCATCAGCCTCGGCTGACGACACTCTCGATCTCTTCGACATCCGACAACTACTCTTATCTATCCAATCGCAGGTAACGTCCATCAAGGAGGATCAACGAGTGCTCCGTAAGCAAATACTCGAAGAAGTCGTCGCTGTCCGCGAGGACGTTCAACTTGTTCACTGCCTGGTGGACTCCCTTGCGTCCAAAGTGGAAGAGGCCCCAAGAGGGAGATCGCCCCACGTCAGACGATCGGTATCAATCGGGACCAGCTCGTCGGACATTCCTTCTTTGCACGACTCCCCCGCCTTACGATTCCATTCTCCGAGGTTGGTCGTGTTGTGTGCAAAAGTAGAGCCAAGCTGATTCACTTCAGGTCTGTTAACACTTCAATTAGTTTGGACTCGCCTCAGCAGCCCGCACACATCTCCGAGGCGAGCCTCAGGTACGTTTCTTGATCTGGTTATGATGGTCCTCAACCACGTTCTCAAATCCTCCCGTCTGCTTATTGCATCATTGCCATGCTGTCCACACCCTGCCGTTCTTATCTACCTGATGACCAACCGCCAGCCCTCGACCTCAAATTTCTTCGCCAATTCGCTTCTGTGGTGTTCCGTCACCCACACCGTCGCATCCCGACTCTTCCGGAAGGTATTTGAACGCTCACCTTGACTCGACGCATATCTGATCTTTTCTGCTGTCTTTTATATCCGGGTCAGTTCTCCAACTTTTACACACAGGCCATCCACGCCTTTCCTGCGATTCGTCACTCGGTCAGCGTCGCCACGTCCTCGCTTGTCTATTGATTTGGCCAAGACGCCCTCGCCTCTAAGTACTCCTTGCAAACACCCTCTCTTCCTTCCTCAAACTCCCCCCACGCCGTTTGGTGTCGCACTGAGAAATCCGGTCGTGATGCTAGCCTACGCACCCGATTACACGCCTCCAGTCAAGCCCGCATCAGAACCAGTTAGGGTTTATGACATGTCCCCTGATGTAAGCGTGGGACACAAGTCTCCCGCATTCCCCCCTTCGCCAGAATTGCGGGAAACCCCACCTCCAGCGCTGTTAACAGAACGCCCAAGGCGTGGGGTGGTCACTCCCTATGCATCGTCTCCGTATTTGTCCCATGCTTCAACGACGTCTACAGAACCATCCAGTTCGTGCAATCGATGACATTGCTTGTGCGGCTACTGAATCTATCTTAGGCCCGCAGACCATCAGTGATCCTGGATCAGTCGTGCTTGCGTCTCCTGATCCCCCACGACTTGTGATATCTCCAGTAAATTCTTTGGGCTTAGAAGATTACCCCCTTGCACCGAGTTCGTATGCCCCAGTTCATCTCTCAATTTCAACACTAATATGAATTCCCAGGGCCAGATTCCAAAATTGATACGGGGGAGCTGTTGCAAGAAATGAAAGCAATGTTCAATGCGTTCAAAGTGGATGTCGAGAAAGATTCAGAAGCATTGCGTGACAGAATCAAGGATCTCGAAGAGCAGCTATCCCGCGACAAGACGAAATCTAAAGGAGAAACAGACAACTCACAACCGGCTCCGGCTGCAGCGGATATCATTATACCTTCCATCCCACCCTCGATAAGGCTTGATCCACACCGTGGTCCTAACGCAGTCACACCGCGTCCAACGATAACCGTTGGTTCCACAGGGCCTAATCCCTGGATGCCTAATTCACAGTCCTCGCCTAGTGCACTAGGCCCAGGTGCCTTTACGCCTTGGGTTTCCACGCATCCTGTGGACACTGCCGTCCACACTGTCCACCCTTCTGCTCCGCCCTTTCCGCCTTCCCCTTCCTCTAAGATACCTCCGTTTGCCCCCGGAGCAGTTCCTGGTGGGTGGAAGGCTGTGAAGCCCCAAGGTTTGTCAAGGTCTCGCACCACGGGGAACTTGGGGGGCGCTTCATATCCACCCCTATCGCCAGCGCTATATTCCAATATCTATGCGGGCTGCCCGCCTTCAAATTCCACTCCAGAATATTTCGAGCGGATGAATGATCCGATGACAAACCTAGGTTATACCACTCCAGTGTTCGCTTCACCACCATACGGGTACCCCAACCAGGGCCCGCTGAGAAGGAGTCATACAGAGGCAACTATGCTTCCCCCAATGCCGCACTATTCTGCACCGCCCACCACTCAACCATACCCTTCTCAACCGGCGTGGCGCACTTATCTCCCAGCGCCTACCACGGTGCAACCTGCCCCGGCGCATCGCTTTTCCATTAATCACAGCATCCCGGTCACTGGTGCGCAGGAGCCCTCATATCCAATAACCTATGGTGGTGCACACCTTGGCGTCTAAGGTCATGTGGGTTTATATATCGGGCTTATGCCAGCCTTTGCGAACACCGCTTTGTGTTCGCATGGCATCATTCACCCCATGTCGGCATCCTTTTTCGTCAGATCGCATACCATCCTCAAGGACTGTCCTGTTACGTGAAGGTCCACTGCGTGCTGCATCTTGCCGCCTTGATTCGCAATGGATGCCGACAGATCTTAATTTTCTCGGACTGCCTATTGTTTCGATTATCTGATACGGTTCTTCATCCCCGAATGCTTTTCACCCCCAATGGTGAATTTTAGCATATCCGACTGGTTTTTCTGTTACTTTCGACAAAAAATTTGAACTGAAAAATAAAACCTACTTGATTCTATGATTTGGGAGCTTGAAATGAGTGAGTGAGCTTGCGTTGGAAGTTGGCAAAAAGCGAAGCCATCCAACTTACCAAATTCAGGTTATGTCTGTGTCCCGAAATGGTTAGGATGAAATCACAGATGCAGGGACTTCCTGCACTGCAAGACGTGACACACATAATGGGACATAGTAGCCATTGAGACACTGAATTCGCGTCCCTCTTTCCTCCTTCATCCTTGTGCTCCTCAACCAACTAGCTGGGGTAGCAGCTGGACCCTCGAGCAAATAAGCGCTCAGGAGTTTCCAAATAAATACAGCATATCTGACCACGAGCCAATCGAGCATTTGGAATCGTTCGTGGGTATATTCAACCGGGCTCGATTGCTTTCTTGCCAGGTGATTCTTTTTTTTTTTGGTAACAACATGTCCATTCACATGTCCCTTCTGGGAGGTACTGTAGGAACACTCGCACTAATAAGGGGGGCGTTGTGGGTTTGCCACTACTTATGGCCTCACTCGGACACGGGAGGATTTCGGTAGGTCCTAAGCTTGCAGCCTTTTCCAAAAAACGTCCTACAAACCGTACTGGGTGGTGTTGTGATTTAAGCTCCGAAGGGCCCTGTTGGCAGCTGGCGTCGTGTTTTTGGCTTTTTATGTCCGTCGCTTGCCCGATGTCGATTCGGTGGCGGCTGGGAAGATCCAAGCACCTGGGCTTACACTCCCACCTGATGCTGCTGCGAATGCTGCTAGCGTAAAGGCGGCGTTCAAGTCTGCCTTTAGAGATTATGCGAGTGAGTGTTTTTTGGTCGCCACCTCATGGGTGAGCGCCTAGGTCTTGCGGGTTCCAGTGGGTGTTCAGCTGGAGACGTCTTTGTTCTCTTTTTTGGTCAGCGTACGCATATGGACACGATGATCTTGCTCCCCTGTCCAAGTCGTATGTAGACTCAAGAAATGGTTGGGGAGCCACAATTGTGGATGCTTTGGGCACTATGAAAATTATGGGTTTAGATGTGGGTTCTATGAACCATGCAATGGCTTGACATGTGTTGAAAATTATCGTATTGGCTGTTTTTGGACACCATATAGGAGGAATTTGCGTACTCTGTGAATTACACTTCGCATATCGACTTCAGTAGGTCGAAAACCTACGACTTTGTCTCTCTATTCGAAACAAACATCAGGTATGAAGTCGACTTTGCCGCTTTTACATGACCGATTAAGCCGATGATCTGGATAGATACCTTGGAGGAATGCTCTCGGCGTATGAGCTCAATGGCAAGCAAGACGCAGCTTTATTGGAGCAGGCCATCACTCTTGGTGATAAGCTTTCCTATGGCTGGGTGAGTGGCCGTCTCGTTCGGGTTACCGGTTCTGATCAACGTACTAAGTGAGCTTGATTTTCAGGTTGGGAATAACACCATTCCCTTCAACAGGTTGGATTTCACTTCAAATACACCGCTTCCTGACATCGTGCGTTGGGAGTCTTGAGTCTGTTCACCGTTATGCCTCCGACATTTTTGCTACAGAATAATATCGCTCAAGCTGGGACTCTCGTTCTTGAATTTGGCAAACTTTCGCAGCATTCTGGAAACCCTAAATATAAGAACCTTGCAGAGCAGGCCATGCGGCAGATCGCGACATTGGTATGCGGCGATCCACTTAGCTTTGCTAGTGACTCGGTCTTAGTTGCTGTAGACCCCTCCTTTGCCCGGCTTGGCCTCTCAAGGCATCGACCCCAGCACCAATCGATTCGTTGGCGATTACATTGTATGTGCTGACCTTGGGCGCCCTCGCCACTACTAGGTTGAATGTTGACACTGACATTGATTGACGCGACGCAGTCGTGGGGAGGAGGCTCTGATTCGTACTTTGAATACCTTATCAAGTACAGCCGTTTGACAAACTTTGCCGACCCGCTTTGGGTCGAAACCTGGAAGACCGCGGTCGATTCGTCGATCAAATACCTCCTAACCACTTCCAGTGTCGGCAACTGGACTTACCTTACCGATCATACTGGAGGGAGGAACAGGTTTATTGGATCTCACCTAGGATGCTTCGTTGGTGTGTTTTAATTGCCTATCTCCATCCAACTACCCCGTGTATCAATGGGGTGCTGACTTGCGGCAATTGGATTTTTTCATTAGGTGGTAATTGGATCATGGGCGGAAAACTTCTGAATAATAAAACGATTCTTGATTACGGACTAAGTCTTACCGATGCTTGCATCAATACCTACACCAGTGATGTGACAGGCATTGGTCCCGAAGTGTTTGCTTACACCGGAGTCGGCACGGTTTCTGGGAATTGGACTGGCGGAGGTGAACCGTCTGCATTCGACCAGGCATTTTATAATGAGCATGGTTTCTACGTGTACAACAACTACAGTTTTTACGATCTTCGGCCTGAGGTCTTAGAGGTGTGTTTCATTCCGTTCGTAGGCAAAGAAAGAAGCTCCTCATCCGATGATTTCCGCAGAGCAACTTCTATGCCTGGCGTGCGACTGGTGACGTCAAGTATCAGAAAAACGCAGCGGCTGCGTTGCAGTCTATCCTGAAGAACTGCAAGGCACCCCTTGCTTTTGCTCCCATCATCAACGTCCAGAAGCTAGATTCTGTGCGTGATGGTTGTCCTGGGGTGAAATCGGGTCTAACTCGCGTTCCTTAGGGTTTCATCGACGACACTGAAAGCTTCTTCTTTGCCGAAGTGATGAAATACCTGTTAGTACTAAAAATGGAGATACCTTCCTCAATAAAAGATACTCAGAAGGCAGCGGTCGGATAGATATCTCACTTTCGATGACCCGAACCACATCTCCCTAGACAAATGGGTTTTCAACACAGAAGGTCCCTCAGGTTTCCGTCTCGCATCGTATTTTGATGCTGATGTCAAGTGGCTTTCTTTCTCACAGCTCACCCCTTACTTGCTCCGGCTGGACTCCCAGCCTACAAAGTTTCCCAAGGAGCTAAGCAATCTCCACTCTTGACACGTGCAGCAGATGAGGGCAATCTTCCTCAAATTAGCGAAAACCCTCGTCTGCCCAAGCCGCTGCGAGATGTCATCGAGGAAGCCGCCACCTAGTTGTAGAGGCTTACCGATTGGCTGATCGCTGTCATCCATCAAGTGGGGCATGACTCTATCTGGTTTACAAGGGATTAAGTACAGTGTATCTATAGTTTTGCAATTCTCGTGTAGAAACATATACCGCTTGGATTTCCTACCCTTGGTGGTCCCTGTACGTGAAAGTGACAGTTACTCAGCCATGGATCCACACGCGAGACTTAAAAGATTGGAACCCCGAGGTAATCACACGAACATGCTGATGCATCCGAGGCCCGTTCAAAAACCACTTTCCATCTTCTTCAGTAGTGAATGCACAAGAGCAGAGGTCTTGGCTTTCTCAGTCCTGATGGGATCAAAGTGCCGAGTGTCTGAACGTGCAAGCGTTTTCGGTTTGCGAGGAGGGATCTGGGATGCCGGCGTACCATCAATCGTCCTAGAGGGCTGAGACTGGGGCTGAGTTCTGGGAAAGGGGAGGGAGGAGGGAGAGGAGGGAAATGAGGAGGGCGATGATGATGAAATGATAGGGAATTTTTGTGCGGTTTGCTTTCGTACAGGAAGCTTTTCGGCTCTGAGTATCATGCCGCCCATTTTTTGTACCCACTGGTGGTCTTCTTCATTGAATTCCCATTCGCCTTCTGTTAAGGGGTTGGCAGGAATGGTAACATCAGGGAATTTGATATGTGACGCTCCATATCGCGAGGGATCGATAACCGTATGGCTGGCTCGTCTAAGCGACGAGAGTTTCTTCAGCGAAGCGCCCTTGGAAACAGCATAACCTCCCTAAAGGCGGGATTCACGGCTTTCATCTGGGGGTCCATAGATGGATTTGTAACAGCACTGGAAGCGCGAATTAGAGCTGGTTCCGATGAAGGGATTGATGAAGCACGAGGGAGAGGACGAGAAGGGCGCATGCGAAGGGGATAAATGAGAGTACCATCTTTGGTTATACGCCACCCCTGCCGAGGACAAGCAAAGATCAGGCAAGGAGGATAACATACTAGCGAGGAAAGATTACCTTCTTACTCTTGGCACTCCTTTCGGTAACGAGGGCCATATCCGCGGCCTCTCTCGATGCAAAGCGTAACCACTTCCTCTCTCTCTTTGCTTTCAACAGTTCCTTTCGCTCGATCGCACTTCCACGTCGCTTAACAGAAAGCCGTCCTGAGTCTTTTCCAGACCCATCGAGGGGGTGTCCCATTCCTATGGCTTGGTTCTCTGACAGAATGCTGGGCACAAAAATGGTGGGCGTGTTGGCACCCAGATGATGAATTATCTCACCTGTGTTTATAGTCTGGTCGAGCTTCGCCAACACGCAACTTAGCTCCTTTCCAGTACGCGCTAGCCAAAACAGTCGCGCCTAGCCTATAATTTCAGCTCAAAATATGCGAAAGACACTGAAAGTTGCTTACACCTCGCAATTTTCGGCTTCGGGGCTTCCAATGTCACAAAGGCAAACTTCCTCACATCACCTGTTTTTGTCGAACGACCCAGTAGTAATCGCACGTACGGATGAGAATCACGCCGCTCCAAGTATTTGTCGAACTTCGACCGGATTCGCACTCACCGTTTCCATCAAGAGCTCCGACTCCATCCAAACTGTGGACGGTTCCGAAACTTGAAAACCGAGACTTCAACATATCGGAAGTAATTTCAGGCGTTAGACCCGAAATTATAAGCCTTTTTGTCACCACCTCCATTGCACCCAAAGTTCAGCTGTCATTCAATCGGGGTACTCCGGAGTCAGTGAACGCATCGTTTGCCTTATTTATATGCTGCTCTCGGTGGCCTGTATATTTCGGGAGTCTGACATAAACTCGATTGAGCAGCACGATTATTGGTGAACGATCGCAAGCAAATAGGTGGTTTGGGCGTTCATCTGATGTAACGAAGCATGAACAAATCACAATCTGTGTTAGCCAAGCCTCCCTTTTGATCCGCTTGATCATCTCGGAGACGCCTGAGCCCATCGCAAGACTATGGTCCGTCTCCGCGTTCTCGCCAGCCCCCTACCGAATGAAATGACGCCTAAACATGCAAATACTGGTCAATTCGTTGACATCAAAACGATGCAGTTCGAAGGCAAGATTGCAATGTTCGAGGACTTTTCATGAGACAATCCCCCCCCGACGGATCATCCGGAGAGAGAAGAAAAGACATGGATGATTCAAGTGCGGGGGGGTGTCACAGCGAGAATGACAGAACGACGATTCGAGAAAAGTGCGGAGTGTTCATGACGTCGCATGCTATAGCAAGGAGATTTCTGAAGCCAATTTTACCCAACGATATCATGTTTGGGAACGTGTTTAGTCATCCCGTGAAGCTGCAAGTGGGCTCCAGGTAAGGAAATGTCACTTGCACTATGTTGCTGATTCAGTCCAACTATTATTGACTGGGTTCAACTGGATTTGGCTATGTAGCGCTGCGCCAAGTTCATAAAGTCTATAGATCCTCCTTCGGAGTATGACTTAATTGATATAGATAAACCTTGGATGCTATGAATATCCTTTCTGAATCATCTTAGGACGACCTTCCTTTCCACGATGCCCTTCTTGTCTCGTGAGTCATGCTCATGGGAAGTCTGCGCACCCGCGAAAACAGTGCCAGTGAAAGGAAACCACCAGGGACTTGTCCACGAGGAGCAAGCGCCGTAAGCCACACTTCGCCATTATAGGAGGGCTCCCTAAGCTTATTAATCTCGAGACTCGGATAGAATACACAGGATCTTACTTGGCATCTGTAGAACATCGTAAAGCCAAGTTCTGAAGACTGGATCAGCGCGATTGGAATCACGGCTTTCTAACATTCCATGGTGGTCGTTACCGTTTGACGGTCACTTTGACTTGATGAAGTGTTATAATAACAGCATCGCAATCCGACATCCTAAGCACGATCTGAACACGGTATCGTATTATCATTGGGTATCGTGCTCAGCCCACGCATCATACTTATATACCTTTCTGTGCAGTACAAAGGAACAAAGGCTAAAGCGTTAGACAACATAATAACCGCGACAACAAAGGGCATCGGAATGCCACTTTAACATGAAGTATTGGAATGACGAATGGGGCAAGGATGGGGGTTCTGGCAAGCCGGTCAAGAGAGGCTGAATATGATACGGAGGAGCGGTCCTGGTCCTGGCCCGATAGACGACAAATGTGCACCTGGGCATTCTTCCACCAGATCCAGGATATCGCATAAGATTGACGCGGACTTCAAGACTACATAATACCGTATTTTTCATTCAGAGAACTGACGCGGTTTCAGCCAGGCACGAGGATGATGAGTCATTTTTACCTTCGTGACAGTGACAGTCGGGAAAATCGGGAGTGACGTAGTGACAGAGCGGATGTTTTGCTCACCTCGTCCAACTGAACCCACTTATGAACTAGAATGCCTCGCCTTCGTGTCCTCGCTGGGTCATCATTAGACTCTCTTGAAACTCTCTATGCGAACACTGGGCAATTGTTTGAGGTCAATTCCGATGCGTTCGAAGGGAGGATTGCTGTTTTCTTGAAGGATTTCGTAAATGAGAATGGGCAGAAGGTGCACACCGACTATTTTGAATACCCCGATAGACAAGATCGCACTGGTCCATTCAAGTTCGAGGCATGTCCGATATTTACTTGATATGCACTGGGGAGAACACTAATATGGTTTATAATGAGTAGGTAGATTCTTAAAGCCCGTCTCAGCGAACGATGTCTTGTTGGAAACGTGTTTGATCGCAAGCTTCCTCTACCTTACGGCTCAGGGTAAGTCAGTGACTTGCTTGCGAGTGAGACTCAGAGATAAAGTTTCTGAGTGTAGCGTGGCATTGAAATTCATCCAGTATATAGACCCGAGTTTAGATCATGACCTCTATTCAGACAAGCCGTGGGCACTGTGAGTCCTCTCATTTTTCGTCTTGGAGAATTGACCTAACATCCAGTGAGAAAAAGATCGCCCTTAGTGACGACGATGCCCTTTATGGCTCATTCAGAGTGGCCGAAAGCTAGTAACAAACCATCGAGGGCAAGCCCGATCAATGAAGATGTAGCGGACTGGATTCCTGAGGGTGAAAAGCGCCGTGAGCATGCTGCAATTAAGAAACACGAAGGTCGCCCACTCACTCAGAAAGCAGAGTCGTATTTCGCAAACCCAGAGCATAGGAAAGCTCTCACGTTCGGTCCAGACGATTTGATTGAAGCGGACTTCTGTCAAGGATACTTATCCTTTGAGAGCGGATTGGCTTTGAGCTTCCCCGGAGGCATTCACTTTGACTTAATGAGTCACTGGGATGGGAGGCCGTGCAATATGTTTGCGTTGAGCGAGGCAAAGACGGCAGAGGTCCCGGAAAGGTATTCTGGTGTGTATCATTTGAGATAGCCGAGGAGTATAAAGGGGAAGAGACAAAGGATGAAAAAAGCGCTGGCGACTTAGGAGACATCTCCGGGGACGTAGATTAGGGCAGACGCATAAACTCAGTCCTCGTTAAATGATTTCACGACAGTATCCCGGCTCCCCGTCGTTTCTCCTCTGCTTTCCGTTCTAGCCGCTTCCTCCGATCAAGAATAGCGCGTCTATTGAAATGAAAAGTAAGAATTTTACGGATAGGCCAGCCGGCAACGCGCCGCACCTCTTCTGATCATGTTCGACCTTAAAATCATGCAGAGCTTGTTCGCGTGCAGGCAGTTCTCTCTCCCACTTGTGGCCCTTAAACATAAATCTTCTCCCTTCGTACAACCCGTTTGGCTTATCAGGGATAGGCTTCACTTCCCCGACCCACTCGATAGGACATGCTGCGAATACACGCTGAAGGGGTGTTTTCGGAGATGGTGGGGACATCGGAGTGGATTTGGGTCCTGGAGGAAGGTATGCTTCAACCCCTGCAAGGCGGGCTGCCTTTATGAGTTCGGCTTGTCGGCGTCCTGAATAACGCGGGGGATGCCATCGTCCCGTCTCTTCTACGAATCGAGGGAGGAACGGATTGTGGATTTTGGGATACTGGCACCTCTATTTATCTTTATCTCCCTGTTCAAAAAATCAGATAGAAGTTTGGTAAACCTGACGCGCGAAGCGGTCGCCGACATGGAGTTTGATTCCGAGTTGTGGGAACGTGATCTCTCCTCTCGACACGTCGACCCTTTGCGAAGAACTCGAATTTCTCAGTTCGTTTGAATATTGCGACCATGAGCTTTGAGGATGTTGAGGAGCGCGATGGTGAGTTAATTATAGTTTGTAGGATGTCGGTGTGTAGCCTGGGTCTCAGATTACCCGTGATTAGGCGTTCGATTGTCTTGGAATGTATGGCCTTCGTCGCGCATAGAAGCAACTCGGACTGTGGTTCCCATCTCCGCACTGTACACTCCACTGAAAGTCAGAGAGGATCTTCCGCCTGTCCTTTACGAGCCTGTTTCATGCAAAAGCTCGTGCAGAGCAATTCTTAACCCTTATTGGTACTACATCCAACTTTTTCCTAAACCCCCGTATCCTGCTTCTGATGACAATCACTGGTAGTCAAATTGATGTCCGCGGGAAATTATGGATATGTCCGTTCTGCTTGCAACGAAATGCTTTCCCAGCGCACTACAAAGACATTTCCAATACCAACCTGCCAGCGGAGCTCCTCCCCAAGTACACCACTATAGAATACACTCTATCCAGACCCGCACCCGCACCCCCGATCTTCCTCTTTGTTGTTGATACTTGCCTTGATGAAGCTGATCTCAAAGCTCTTCGTGACACCATTGTTGTTAGCCTGAGCTTACTTCCTCCACACGCATTGGTCGGGCTGATCACTTATGGAACAATGGTCTGTCTCCGCATTTCAGTGACCCGATTCACATTCCGGTGTTGATTATCATCCTGTTAGACTCAAGTGCATGAGCTAGGTTACGCGGAATGCTCCAAGTCATACGTTTTCCGTGGAGGAAAAGACTACACGTCAAAACAAATTCAGGATATGCTTAGCTTGGGTGCCCAGAACAGAGCAGCACCTCGATCTGGGCAGCCCGTGCCTCCTCCGAGCTTTGGAGCCTCGCGCTTCTTGTTACCAGTTTCGCAAATTGAGTTCCAATTGACGGGACTTCTCGAGGCACTCCCTCGCGATCCCTGGCCTGTTGCAAACGATAAGCGTCCGCTGCGATCCACAGGGAATGCACTGAATGTTGCTGTTAGCTTGTTAGAGGTACGATGGGAACTCTTTGCTCCGAACTCGGAAACCCGAGCTCACACGGTCCGCAGGGGACTTTCGCGAATTCTGGTGCCCGCATACTACTGTTCACTGGAGGTGCATGTACGGAGGGGCCTGGGATGATTGTTGGGCAGCAATTGAAAGAAGCTATCCGTTCGCATCACGATATTGACCGCGAGACCGTCAAACACTTCAAGAGAGCATCTAAGGTCAGATATATGCGTTTCTCTTCGCGTGTTTAGCGGGGATTCACCAGTTCTTTAGTTCTATGAAGGTCTTGCAAAACGTGCTTCTGATAATGGCCATGCAGTTGACCTCTTCGCTGGCTGCTTGGACCAAGTTGGTCTTCTGGAGATGAAATCACTTGCAAACTCGACGAACGGTGTTATGGTCATTTCTGACTCATTTACTACTTCCATCTTCAAGCAAAGCCTCCTCCGCATGTTCTCAAAGGATGCGGAGGGGCATTTGCAAATGGGCTTCAATGCGACGTTTGACGTCCAGGTGAGCACCAATGCCTTGCTATTATTAAATTGTCCAACCTGACATCGCGTCCAGACAACGAAGGAACTAAAGGTTTCGGGCTTGATTGGTCATGCTGTCTCTGCGCAGAAAAAATCTGCCTGTGTAGGCGAAACTGAAATTGGCATTGCTCAAACCTCTGCTTGGAAGATTGCCACGCTCTCCCCGAAAACGTCTACTGCGGTATACTTCGAAGTAGTGACTCCCGCTGGACAACCTCTTCAAACTGGCTCCCGGGGTTTGATTCAGTTCGTGACTCATTATCAACACTCCAGCGGACAGATGCGTTTGCGTGTTACAACCATCGCTAGGAACTTTGCTGAGGCTGGCGCCCCGAGCATACCTGCTGCATTTGATCAAGAAGCCGCCGCAGTTCTGATGGCTCGAATCTCCGTTTTCAAGGCGGAGATTGATGACTCGCCCGATGTCCTTCGCTGGCTTGATCGCATGCTTATCCGATTATGCCAGAAATTCGCTGATTATAGGAAAGAGGATCCATCGAGCTTTAGACTCACAGATAACTTTAGCATATATCCGCAATTCATGTTCCACCTTCGACGGAGTCAGTTCTTACAAGTATTCAACAACAGTCCCGATGAGACAGCTTTCTATCGGTACGTAGCTCCAACTGATGCCAAGAAGCAGCCTCATTCATTTTCTTGCAGACATGTGCTCAATGAAGAGGACGTCAATGATTCGCTAATCATGATGCAACCCACCCTTATGTCTTACGCAATCGATACCCCTCCGCAACCCGTGCTCCTAGACAGTGTGTCGATCAAACCGGATGTTATCCTATTATTGGACACCTTCTTTCACATCCTCATCTTCCATGGCGCAACAATCGCCGAATGGCGTAAAGCTGGATACCAAGACCAGGAGGGGTACGAAAATTTTAATGAACTTCTGCAGGCGCCCGTAACGGATGCTCAGGTACGTGCACTAGTACCTGCTCCTGGGCCTAATCTTAAGCTCCAAGCTCATTTTTTTAGGAACTTCTTGCCGACCGGGCCCCAATTCCCCGCTATATCGTTTGTGACCAAGGAGGGAGTCAAGCACGGTTCCTGTTATCGAAGCTGAATCCATCTACAACACACATGTCAGGTGGAGTGTATGGGTCGAATGCTGGGTCAGGGCAGGCCATCTTTACCGATGATGTCAGTCTGCAAGTGTTCATGGAGCACCTGAAGAGACTGGTCCGTGACCTCTATCATTCTCATAACCTGAACCGCACTAATCACTCGTCGGATCTAGGCCGTTGGCGCATCGACAACTTAATTAAAGGTTCAATTAGACGTTAATACATGTATATATCATCAACTTTCCTTGGGTGCTTGTGCCGATATCTGAAGCAACATGATTAATGCCTTGCTACTGCCAAATTTGGAAAGTGCTCATGCCAGGCCGTCCCGAGGGGTTTGCCTGATGAGTATACTCCGCACCAGGTGCCTGATTCCCTTTCGCGATGCCGAGCTATACTGAGCAAAGGGGACCCCAATCTCCATCTAGACCTAGCGGTCCACGTCCCAAACCTCCTGTGCGAAACAATCCTACGATCACATTCTCCTTGCCCTATTACTAGTGCAGTTACTGAGGCGCCTCACGACTTGCCCTCAGAGCCATCCGGCGAGACATTCCCGAGAGGGAATCTCTTGCACAAAGGGTTTTATGATTTGTTAAATCTCATACCATCCGTCCTGCAACGTGCCGCTTGGCTCGGAGGCGGTGACAATGGACGCAATGAAATCGAAGAAGATATTGGGGGCCCCAAATACGATGACATACCTATAACAGCCGCTCCCCAACGAGACGACTGTTCGTGGCGCCCATTCCAATGCGTCGAGCCACTTACTTTAAAAGCCTCTTCCCACAGTTGCTCAAGAACTTCATACAGTTGGACTAGTGGGTGCTACGATATCCTCCTTCTCCTCTCCCACTCCGCCGCCTAAACTGTCGCGTCCCATCACGAAAGATATGCCATCCTTGCCAACTGACTTTGTGTGCGCGGTTCGTGAGTCTTAACGACCAATCATGCTGGACCCTATTGTTTGACTAGCTACGCTGTACTGGGCTGAGTCTGTTAAAAACATTCTGCGAAAGCAAGCCGCCATCCGAGATGTGATAATGAACCGACATTTCACTGCTGAGAGCAATGTTGACTTGCAAGTTGGACCAAGCAATCTGCGTGTTGTGAACGGTGGAAGTGCCTTATAATAACGTCCTCCACAGCGGCTTCTAAGCCTTCGAACTATGGAGGCACGAGATTAAATGAGACTTGTGTGGCCCCGGGTCTTGGCACTCGTATCTTTCTCTCGCGTCCGCCGTACACCTGCGATTCTGTCTAACCTCGCGCACGCCATACATGCTTATGGTTCCTCATATACTGATCATTCGTGTACGTTCAGTTTGTACCTTCTTATGATCTCACACGCTCCTTTCTCTAGTTTTTTGTCCTCTTTTTGTCGGTACGTTATCTTCCTCCTTTACTCGCGTTCCGCTGAACGCTTCGGCCTCCGTGCATTCTTTGCGCCCGCTGTTGCGTGTCGGCCCCTGTCCCTTCTTCGCGCCCGCTGTTGCGCAGTGCACGTCCCCTTTTCTGACATCCGCCATTCTTAGCCTCATGCTTTTTCTTCATTTTTTTAATTTTCGATTTTTCTTGCTAGTTCAACCGTGCGACCTTCGAGTACGGTTCCGATTGTAAGTATTTTGGTTTTACCAAGGGTGAAGGTGTTGTGACCTTCGGTTACCGTTGGTGGGTAGGATTTGTACCTTCTGTTACCCTTCACCATCCCCTTCGCCTAAGTGTACTCATTTTGTACTTAACCAGGTCGCTCGATATTTCAGAGGCTTCAACGTTTGTTGGGGTCGTCGCCACGCTACTTCGCTGCTCACCTGCCGCACACAAGACATTCATCATGTCCAAGAGCCCACGAAGATATCCACGGGCGCCGTTCGGATCAGGGATTCATCGAGATTCTGAAAATTTCCCGCTGAGTGTCAACACTTGTGCGCAACGAGTTGTAGTACACTTAGGTGGAGATGGGGATGGTGGGTAACACTGAAAAAACAGGTAGCAGCAACAGATGAGCAGAGAACAAAGCGAAGTTGCAAAGGCCAGAAGGATCCGAAGGATCTTAAGGGAGACCAAAGGGCTAGCGCCAAAGGTAATTGAAGGTCACAACATCTTCACCCTTAGCAAGACCGAATATTTACAACCGGAACCGCGCTCGAAGGTAGCTGGCAACAAAAAACCGAAAATCAGAACATGTCATAAAAAAGTAGACAGAATACAAGACCGAGTATGAAGGCATACGGCGGAGGCCAGGCAAAGAATTGATAGAGAAGGCACAAAAGGCTGATGCGAAGCGTGCAGCAGACCCAAGAAGAGAAAAGATGTGTAGGATCATAAGAGCTGCAAACTGAACATATGTGGATGATCAGCATGCGAAAAGCCATCAGTGGGCATGGCGCACGAGAGGTCAGGCAGATTTCATAGGCGTGCAGCGGACGCGAGGGAAAGGGTATGAGTGCTATGACTCGAGGGTACACAAGTTCTCGTGAACAAGGCAGAAGTCTGGACGCTCTCGAGGCTGACTTGATACGGCTGGTGGACTTCGGCTTCTTAGCGGTTGCAGGCCTACTTTTCGGGTCTTACGGATTCTGCATCAAGGGCCCCTTCGCCTGCACCCTCTGCACTTGCTAGCAGGGGGCTTAAGAACACCGTCAAGCTTCACGACATTCCGGAAGACTCGGACTACACCCCGGGCCAGACTAACTTTGACTTCTCCATCTTAACTCTTGATCGCGCGGTGTCTTGCAAAATCCATTTTGAGAAACCATTCTTCGAAAACCCCTACCTCGTGGCCGAGGGTGTCTCGCCCTGGAGCGCGATCTTGCTACAATGCTATCCCTGCTAAAGAGAAAAATGGAGAAGAAACGAATCGGATTATTTGAGAGACAAGAGGCAGAGGGTAAGTGAGTGCTGAAGCATTCGTTCACTTAAAAATCATTCGCGAGCCTAAAAGACATCCGGCTCTACATCATGAAACAGGTCTGTTCCCACTCCACAAAGTCAATATGTTACGGAAGGGGCAGGAGGGTCACACAACAACTCCATCGCTTCGCGAGGAGCGTCTGCTCCTTGGTCATCGAAGGCTTGCAGGCCGATGTGATGCTTGAACTTTTTCTGGACGGAAGGCGACGTCAAAAATGGTGCTCAGGGTCCCAGTCCGGGTGCGAGGACCACCTGAGCGACTTGTCTATGATCCAATTGCAGTCGGACGACACGAACGTCGCAAAGGCGCGGGGACACGAGGTGGGACCATCCTCGGAGAATGTCTAAACGCGCTGTAACTTATTCCCTAAAACACGGAAGGCACAGCCCCTTCTTCTGTCACACTATTGCCCTCTTCACTTTGGGTGGAGCCGTTGGGGGCATGCCCACCTGAATTTGATACTTAACTCTGGTGCGCTGCCGGACATTGTAAGTGATGAATCGAAGAATGCAAGAGGGGAAAGAGGACAAACTCCTTGCTCGTGCCATGCATTAAGAGGCGCGGCACGCTGATTACCGTAAGGACCAACGTCGGCCATGGTGGTCACTCCCAAAAGTCGTATTTGGCCGGTGCGTTGCGATCATTGTGTGTTGTCCAAGTACCACATATAGACTGACCATTTGACATCGCTGCACTGCAGTAAGCCACCGACCCAGGGTGAACAGCACCCAAGAAGTTAGCAGAGTCAATATGAGCGAGAACACAAGCAACGATGCAGACAGTTAGTTTTCAGTGTCCTCACGCTCTTTATTAGCGATCTTGACTTGGGCATGAAAAGCAGAATCCCCTACCCGACCTGGTGGGGTTTGGGGTTTGGAAGCAAACAGAAGCAAATGGAATCGAGGGCGATATAAATAGATGAAGGTGACACTAGAACTTGGTTAGGAACAGAATGTAGGGACGCGAAAGTGGAGGCAAATTCAGCCGCAAATAAGGAGGATCCTACAGTGTAGGTAGATTATTTTTGACATCTCACTTTGCTTCTGAAGAACTTTCCTTTCTCAGCTTGCAACACATGCCTAAACTGCATGTAAACTAGCGGAAAAGCAGTGTTTTTGGATACTTCATTGATGTATCAGAGCAGTTTTATGTACTTTTGAGTAACGAAAAAATTTGCTCAAAAAAATTGGCAGTGAATTAGAATGTGATCACGTGCCACCCAAACGCCGTCCCTCCGAAATGCCTGCCCTAAATGTTCGCAAGCACCAAGCCTATGAACAGAGAACAGGAAGCTCAAGGACATTTGGGAAGCATCTAAGACTTTGAGGCCGACTCCATATCTGAATGTTCCACCACAAATTGGGATCTCTCAACTGATGTGGGCTCTGAGGAATCTGAAGAGGAAGACTATGTAAGGAGCTTGGAGACATTTTATGATGTTTTTGAGAAGCCAAGCTGCTGAGGAAAAGGAGTTCAGAAGTACAAATCTCATACACGAGTGAAACAACTCTGTTTGACAAGTAATCTTCCTTACCTCCACCTTCCAAAAAAGGAAATCGATTTCCGAAAAAAAATTGGCAGTCTTGCCAAATTTCAAAAACTTGTAGAATAATGCGTTATATGCTTTCTTTATAGTACAATTTTCATTTGAGACAAAGTTGACTAGTAGGATTTTTTGCTGTGGAGTTGTCATGGATAATCTACCTACACTGTAGTAACCTAGCGGTGAGTATTGAGCTTACATAACCCGATCTCTGTGTTTACACCCCCTCTGTGTAAATCGAGTTTGATCTTTGGTCCAGCGACTTTCTGATTGTTTTAAGATTTCGTGAGTCTCTTAACCATCTGAACTCAATCGCCAGCCCAGGAGAGGGTCGACTGGTGAAACCCAGCTCCACAAACCCAGGATGTTTTCATTCCATACCCGGTACAACGTGAATCTGGGTTTCACCTTCGCGGTAAATCCTCTCCTAGGTGGAATGATAGTGTGTGAATGGGGAGTGAACATTGTAGCATGTGTGGTTAGGGTTGATATGAGGGGTTTGGTCGAGCTGGGAGCAAGACCTATCGATATTGGATGTCCTTTTATACGCCCAGGTTACGTCTGACATTGGGGTATTTTCGTAAACCTAGGACATTAGCAATGATAGAGGGCCTCTTGCACGGCCATAGGTTTTTCGCGTTTGCAGGACCCGCTACGGAGTAGTGGGAATAACTGATGAAATCCTCGGATAATCAAACCTTCAGAATGAAACGCTATTCAGTCCATGAGGTACCAACAGATGATACCAGACAATTTGATGATAACATTCCAGCCGAGGTAGGTATTGTCCTCTTGTCGATCCAATCTTTATTTTGTCATGTGTGGTAAGACACTCCTGCCGGCGAACTCCCAGCAAGCTCCAATCCTCAGTGGCCAACTCTATGGAAATGAGGTTCTCGAAGGGCGTAAAAAGCTTGCGTTCATGGGTTTAACACACAAAGCAATCGCTTACCCAGTGTACCAAAACGGTTTGCGTGTAATCGAAAGACCCCTTTACCGCGATGCATCGACCAGGTTAACCTACAGTCAAAACCGTGCGCCGTCATTATAACTTACGTCCTCTCATTGATGCACTCAGTACGATCTGTTAGCCTCACGATTTCTTATGATCGCTCTCATGTGTATCTTTATTACCTCCCAATGTATCATGCTGTTCTAATCTATAGCCAACCACTGCCTTCGATAAGCTTCCGACCTCGTTCTCTCTCGACAACCTCTTTTGGCCGTATCCCTTCCTTTGCCTCGAGGCGCGTAATTTTGCCGCCTACACCGTCGCCAAAGCCTAACGGTGCACTACCCCCTTGTAGCATCATCATCGTTGTCTTCACAACTTGCATTGGATTCCTACTTCCAATGACCTTCGCACTGAGATCGCGAATTCCCGCTGCCTTGCATATCCGGTGGATATAGGGATTGACTGCAAGACCAAACCCGGCAGGACGTGGCCACATAGTTACCTGAGTAGCTCCTAGCTTGTGATGGATCTCAGTGAATATGGTTCGATTTTCGAATCGTTCGACAGTGTCTAGCGATTTGAACGCATCCGCATATGCTTTCGTTTGCGCGGCACCGATATTTTCCGAGTCTTTCCCTTGCCCAACTCCCATTACACCATCACCGTTGCCGACAACAACGAGTGCAAAGAATGAAGCTTGTCGACCTTTGGGTGTTTGCTGTACGACCCTTTTAACGATCAATGGGTATCGATGAAGCTTCTGGAGGAATTGTTTGGGGTAGAGCATACGCGCATTAGCTATTTCCTGTCTTTGCGCGTCGATTTTATGGTCTCCATCTTGCTTTGACCGCCGCTTGCGGCCTCGAATGTTTTCTTTCTCCCAACCCTCCTCAATGGATTTCGAGCTGTCACCGTCTTCAGATTTAGTTATGGATTGTTCTACAGATGTGGAAGGAAAGGGCTCTATGGACGATCCAAATCGGGGCGTGTGATGAATGATTGTAGCTGAGTATGGGTGTTTGACAGTGGGAGAGACGTGTGACACGACTTTGGTGTCAAGAATAGGGTCAGGTTTCGTAAGATCAGGAAAACGCGTCATTTCCTCAGCTGCAGGAAGCAGCTTCGGTTTCGAGTGTTTTGGGGCTATGGTGCGCCATCGGGTGGGGGTGCGAGGGGGGAGGTAGATGAACTGGTGGATGTTGCAGAAGAGGAAGAGGACCGCACCCCATTACCCAAACCTATAACACCTTTCGAGGAGAATAGATTTGCATCGGTAATTAAACGCTGGGGTTTACTGTTAAAGGCGAGGAGCTGTCCCCAAGATGCTCTGTACATTTTGGAAACAGGGCGGAAACTGCCGGTGCCGAATCTATTTCCCACGCATCTTCGATTCAATCTTAATGGCTGACGTTGCCCAAACTGACCAAGAGACGGAAGAGTATGACCTTGGGCTTGATACTTCAACCCTATACACCGTGATTGATAGGGACAAAGTGTTCGGGCTCAACTTAACTGTGCCCGAGGATGCGAAGGAAGTTATTAAAACCTGGAACGATCGAGACTCCGTAGACAAATGGGTAGACAGTGGAGTGGACGATCAAGTGCGTGTGCGCCTTGGATGTGACCGTTTTATTTAGTTCTGTGAGTCCTAACTCCTGGTATATTCTTCGGTCTAGCTTATAATACACGTTCCATTCATCGAGAGCGTCAAGGTACGGAGTGTGCTCCTCAAACCCGGTACGTGTTGGTTCTGTGCACCTGATTGTATTCACTGCCTCGGAATATACATGGCATACTCAGACACTCTTTCGAAACAGCTCGAGGCGAGACGTGTCCGCAAAGACTTCGGATCTATGCGAACCAGCCCTCAGGCGTGGACTTTGCGGACGCTGAAAACATCAAACCTCATCTTGACATGTCAATTCTAGAAGGTGATACAGGCGTCACGGAGTACCCTCTCAAGGTGGCAGCATTCACAAACGTTAGCTCGCTAACGCTCTTCTTTGCAAGTCATGTGCACTTCGTTATTCCCATGTGATAGCTCACCCATTTCCCATATGGCAGTCGGAGTCAGCGTCTGAAGAATGCACAAGGATTTACTTCATCGGGTTCAAAGGCGATACTCGCAGAACAAAGAAAGACACTCGAACGAAACTCGATCTCGCTGCTGCGAATGCGGCTGATGCAACAGTCACCAAGCTCGCAGAGAAAGCCGGACCTTCACAGACAACCATTCGTTGACGGCTTACCATTTGGACTACTATCCTGGACTTTCCCCAAATACTTTTGACAGCGATCGAAATAGAAATTGTTTGTGACATGTGCAGCAGCCAAATCCTGAAACCCCGAGCAGTGTCGCGCGTTCGATGTCATAATATGGTTGATTTTACTCGAGGGGTGAATAGAATGATTGAGATACGAAAGTCTGTAGAAATGACTTTAATGGAAGAGAAGCCGTAGTGAAGAGAAACAGCGAGGATAAGCGAGAAAACCTAAGAGACAAGCACTATATGTCCACCGTTGCAGCTTTGATAACGGAGTACCGGGTCGACGATGGGGGGATGCGAAATTGCGATGGGGCACGACAGAAGTCGATATGACCGAGTGGAGTGGGCGTTTGCTAAGTGGTGCAATGAATCAGAGGAGGTCGTGAAGCAATCCGCATGGAAGACGGGCTGTGAGAGACAGATAAGGGAGCAAACAAGGGGCGTGTGCGGAGTGTTGAACATCCGGAATTGGCATGCAGTTTGTTGGAACGAGGGTAGTATTGGTGTCGGAATGGTCCAGTGCATGACTCTGCATGTCCATTGGAAACATGCATGGCCGGGCGCAACGATCCACGAGGAGCCCAGCGTAAACGCAGAGAGATGGAAGCGACCAGAGGATACCGAGCTAACCCATTGATAATTATAACGAGGGTACGGGTCTTTATTAAGGGAAATGGTAAAGGGGATAGGCTTGGGACCAGATACGTCCAAACCTCGAACTCCGCACCACGGGCAAGCATTCCACTCCACCACGGTCACGCAAACATCAATCAGGCCGACGACCATCCGCAATCTCATGACCGTTGGCAAGGATACACATTCAACACACCCACATCACGAACGTTCGCTGCATCCAGGGTGCCATCGATCCATCCCTTGGCACTGGCCCAACTACGCGCCGATATCAATCCTGAGATTTAAATGTTTCAGCGCGGCAATCCCCTAATTTCCAGAGGTGGCGGATATACCTTGCCGTCCTTCTTCTTTTGTTTACGAGGTGGTGTCATTTGTCGTCCAGCGCCCATTCCACCGTAAGGGTACTTTGCTTTCTTCTCTGCAGGTTTCAGAATCTTCGGGAAAAAAGCGTGAGCGTGTCAGGGGGATTCAAGGGCACCCAGGATGCAACATACCTGGAACGAGCACAACAAAGTCTCATCGACACTCATCATCGCCCCTGCATTATCAAATTCGCCACAATAATTTGGAGCTGAGAAGAGCGTGACCAGCTGCCGCTTTGCGAAGAACTCGTATCCATCCTCAACAACCTGGTGTGCTCTGCAGATGAGATCCATGTCGTGCTTCTGTAAGAATCTCGACACAACGTCGGGTCCGAAAGTGAAAGAAACACCACGATCGTTTTCGCTCCACCCAGTAATGTCTTTGTCCGGATCTGACCACAGAAGATCACAAAGGAGACCTATGTGTCAGTTAGCAGAATGATGCATGTGGAGACGTCGAGATAAATTAGATCTTCGATGAAGTACGCTCAAACAAAGAACTTACCAGTGTCAGGCACGTCCGTCGGTCGCATGACTCGACGTATCTGCTCCATGCTCTGCAAATCAGGACTCAGGCCTCCGTGCATGGTGAATATTTTCTCGTCTATGATAGCAGCAATTGGCAAACAGTTAAAACAATCTGTGAAAGTTTTCCACAGCTTGATATTGTACCGCCGTTTACCTAGTAGAGCGCATAAACTGGAACATCAATGCATACTGAACGACGCTGGCTCACATTCATCATAGAATCCGTATATACGGTTGATGCTTGCACACTCATGATTCCCGCGAAGGATAAAAAAGTTCTCCGGATATTTGATCTTGTACGCAAGAAGCAGACATATTGTCTCCAAGCTCTGCTTCCCTCTATCGACATAATCACCTAGGAACAAGTAGTTGGCCTCCGGAGGGAAACCGCCATATTCAAACAAGCGAAGGAGATCGTAATACTGTCCGTGTATATCGCCTGCACATGGGTTTGTGATAGTCAGAGGTCGTTGGAGTGTGAGGCGTAAAGGAGCCCTGGGAACTTGCCGCAAATCTTTATGGGGGCCTCCAATTCCAACAGGATGGGCTGATTAATGAAAATTTCCCGTGCTTTAGTGCAGAGATACTTGATCTCAAACTCCTGTAGCTGGACGGCTTTCCCAGGCCGATTGCCGCGTACTGCAAAATGATAAGGGTGGAAGATCGGCGATACGAACCGACAGAGTAACAAGATCAGCGAACGAAAGCAACCAAGGACAAAACGCTGCAAAGAGATGGGACAATAATAATGATCTCACCTTCCAGTAACCGATCTATAACGGAGTCAAGGTCGATTTCGCCCGTAGGGTCCGCCATGTGTTATCGTGCTATTGAGATGCGGGCGAGGAATTAAGCGATGAGGATCGGAATGAGCGTTCACGCCTAAGAAGGAGCATCAACCATACCAGATGTATAAATGGGTCAATGAATGCGAGATGGTATCACTTTGCTTCGTTGAAGAGCGGTAAGATGTGCGATGAAGATGCTGGGCCGGGGGGCCGCTGTCGTATCCACTCGTCAAAGTAGTTTCCTATCAGTTAGTAGGGTGAAAAATGTAAGAGGTGTCAGCATGGCGCAATACAATTCCAGGGGTGCCAAAACGAGAAAGTTGGAGGAAGGGTTGCGTGATGACATGGGTTTTCAGTCGGGATCTGGGCTCAAAGATCCATGGAAAAAACGGAGGTCTGCCATGACAGGAACGTAGCGCCCGTTCGTCCTAGAGGCTACCATAGTAGAGGGGAAAAAAAAAATAGGACTGACCAGGAAGCGGAGATGGAAGAAACTTGGAAGATTGTCCCACAAATACGTGCAAGACAAACGCGGGCAGATGTGAAAATATGACGCGTGACTTGCAATGTGGTCGGTCCCGTGACCCCTCTCAGGAAACTCAGTCTTCACGTCCGGATCAGATAACGCCCCCGCGCCCCTGAGGATTATCGCCCCACGATGGTTGATACCTTCCAGCGATCTCCCGGTGCTCATTAGGAGTGAGGTGTTAATGGGAAAGTTCCCTTACCCGTTGAGGCTCACTTATCGACTGATGCGATTAATTCACCGGAGACCCTACAGCTACATTGCCAACATAGCATTTACCCGTTAAAGAAATATGCTCAAGTGCCGGGCACAGGCAACCATTGGTTAAGCTACTATTGTAACTCTATTGGGACCAAACTTTTAGCATCTCAGCGCACCCAACTCCTGGCTCCTGCTGTGGCTTGGCGTTCATGGTTATCTGGCCCAAGCTTAGGTGTCCGAAGATAATACTAGTATATTACACAGGTGGAAAATCATGAAACAAATAGGGGGAGCTGAGCTCACGGGCCGCACCAATGCCCTTTACACGTTCCCTCACCACCGTGTTTAACAACGTGACTTCTAAACCCGCTAAATCGACATTTGCCGCCATATCCGTGGCATAGTAGCAATGTCTCGAGTACTATACTGTGACTTCTGATTCGTTGGCTTTAGAATCTGGAAACGAACGGTCATCTCCTCCGTTCAGGGCGATCGAAAAACATAGATTACTCACTTGGAAAGAACATACCAGCAGCTCATCGACATTCATGATCGCCCCCGCATTATCGAATTCGCCACAGTAATTTGGCGCGGAAAAGATAGTCACAAGCCGCTTTCTCGCAAAGAATTCGTATCCATCTTCGACTACTTGATGGGCACGACAAATGAGATCTAGGCTGTGCCGTTGGAGAAACCCCGAAACAATGTCGGCTCCGAACGTGAAGGAAACGCCACGATCATTCCTGCACCATCCCAATGTGCCCTTTTCGGGATCAGCCCACAGCAGGTCGCAGCACAATCCTGCAGTGTTTCCAGATTAACAGTATGCCTCAATAATTGGACTTTACTGTGAGCTGCTGACCTGCATCCGGGATATCCATCGGGCGCGTCATCCGCCGTATTTGCTCCATGTTATAAAGGTCCGGGCTTAGTCCTCCATGCATGCAGAATATCTTGTCATCGACAACTGCCGCGAGTGGAAGGCAGTTGAAACAATCGGTGAACATCTTCCACAACTTGATGCTGTATCGCCTCTTGCCTATATCATAACGCAGGAAGCACAAAGTGGGGGGTTTCGTCGACCAAGTCCAACCGCCTTTCTATACCAATCACTCTCACATTCATCGTAGAACCCGTATATGCGGTTGGTATTAGCACATTCATGATTGCCCCGGAGAATAAAGAAGTTTTCGGGATACTTTATTTTATAAGCAAGCAAGAGACAAATCGTCTCAAGACTCTGCTTCCCCCTGTCCACGTAATCCCCCAAGAATAGATAATTCGACTCTGGTGGGAACCCACCTTTTTCGAATAATCGGAGAAGGTCGTGGTACTGACCATGAATATCGCCTGAACGGAGAACATCCCGGACGTTGGCATGCGCGAGTTACCCATACACATACGCATACGAAATAAGAGGTCTTATCCAAACAGATCCTATTCCTTACTTACCACATATTTTGATAGGTGCCTCCAGTTCAAGAAGGGTGGGCTGACTGATGAGAATCTCCCGCCCCTTCTGTATCAAATTCTGTATTTCCCATTCCCGCAGGTGGACAGCTTTTCCTGGTCGAAGGCCTCGGACTTTACGACGAGAAAAAGGAGGTGCAACGCGCGGTCGAGGGTTGGAAACTGAGGACCGGAATTGAAGGGGGGAGAACAATATGACGATTCGTACCTTCCAGCAATCGACCAATGATAGAGTCTACGTCGAACTTCAGGGGATCGATGATACGTTGTGCATTCATACGGGTACGAACTGACGCGGGGGAACGAGCTGTACGTCCGGTGTTTGATTCGAAAAAAAAAAAAAAGGGAAACGACGTGAAAGTTGGAGACACAGAGTGATCGTCAACTTGGAAAGACCCCTTCAACGCGGGGGGAATGCAATGGAGGAAGGAAGATATATTGCAGTGAGGATTCGCCGGGTGTAAAGAACCATATATTCATATCACGATCGCACAACGTTTTTGCTCGCGCGCCGCTAGCAATGAAAAATGGCCATATCAGGAACAACTGCTCGATTTTCACCCTATCCCTCAGTTCAATGATCTTGATCTGTGACTTCCACGCGTCAATAGTATAAACATCATTAGGTGCCAAGCATGCATGCCGTGAAGTCGGTGGCCATGTTAGATAACACAGGCTCCCCCTCCCCCCTTCCCTTCCCCCCACCGGATCCGCACACGCACACCTCACGACATCTAGTACAAACGGGTCCCTCTTCGCCTTGCAACATCGTGCAAACCTCACGGCTCTCGCGCTTAAGTAATCCGGAGTTCAACGATGAATTGACGAACCTATATATATCCGCCTTGTCGAATTGCGCCACATACTTACACGCGTCATTCTCATACTCCAAATAACCATGAACCGGCGAAAAAAATAATTTCGATTCGTCCGCTGCAATCGATCCCAAGTTGAATTGAACAAAGAATATTGACAGGTTCTGGAGGGACTTCCTCCGCATTACGGATACTTGATAGCACGCCCCCTGGACGAGGGGACAACATTAAGTTGGAATTGGACCAGGTTCCGGATTACCAAAAAATCGACTTCATGAACATGTGAGGGCTCCCAGCTCACGGTCGACCACCTGATGGAACGGTCACCAAAGTACCAAAGCGGCGGCACTTAAAACGCCCTAGTCGTTGAGTTCCAACAAGCCAAGTTGAAGTATCAATTTACTCCAGAATTTCAGTGAGTAATAGTTCAAGGCAGATATGAGATGTGCATGTAGAGTCTCCAGTGGCGAGATGAAGCGGGGACTGCAACAGAGCTAGCAGTGAGTAAAGCATGCGCACCCATTCTAACTATCGTACGGGCTTACAATTCGGACGTATCCTATCTCCTATCGCCCGGCCCTGCCTGTGCTAAATATAGGGGTGTCACGGTTCGCTTCGGGAGCGATTATTTGGTCCTGGAACGATTCGAACCAACTTTGTAAAAAAATCCACTAATCCAGCAGCACAAAGCTCAGGCTCAGAATAATATTTAAATTACCCAGCGATATGTCACTTGTATGCATCATGAGTCAGATTCGAGGTATCAGGATACAAGACGGGGGTGGGGATTGTCGTATTTCCTCTACTTTTTTGTATGTTGTGGCTCATGCCTTGCAGTTTGTTTTTGTTTGATCTCTTCTGACGTTTGGATTGCTGAACTGTTGTTTTTGTTTGTCCAATGCGACTTGTTCCTTCCTTGCAATCCATGGCCCGGGTTCCGGCCGTTCCCACTAGATGCTTACACCATCTGATTAGACAAACAAATTAGCAAACAAATAATATTGCCATGTATCCAGACATTGCTAGACACTAAACATGGCAAGAAGACTACTAGATATTGCAGATCACGCAACACCAGTGAATGATGAAGAGTAGCGAAGGAGAAAGGGAAAAGGGATGAGGGGGAAAGGGGTGTGGTAGTGCTGAGTGCGCAGATACCGAAATGTTTGATTGTGCACGTATACGATACAGTCAGTTAGTTCAGTTCAGTTCAATGAAGAGGATCGTTAATCGTCGGGGACATTAATCGTACGAAGTGGGGTATCGGTAGGAACTTTGCCGAGGCACAGCGAAACACAAAGGCAAAAAAAAAACCAAGCCAAGAATTCACGAATGACGTGAAAACGGTTAGCAGACCATCTGGAGTCCGTTATTTTTTGTTCCAATAAATAAAATCCATGGGGGTGATAATACGTAGATGATGCAGCCAAGCAAGGAAGAAAGCGATCAAGCTCCGGACGCCTGTTCAGTGACCTCGCCATCCGCAGGTCTTCTTCTTCGCCTACGTCGCCTCGGTAATGGAGGCAATTTCGGCATAGGCCTCTCATCCAAATCGAGAGCCACATTTGTCGCAGCTTGGAACGCCTGATGCAAGCACATGCCAAAAAAAAAAAAGTAATCAGCCAAATGACCCAGAGAGTGGAGAGACACAAAAGAAAAGGAACTCACCTCAACCCAATTCACGACCTCCATCATACTGCTCGCCTGTAAAAGGAACTGTTCCCCGCCAGCCCTAACTCGCATTACATTCCTCCTCTTCAAGTAATCACTTCCCAATCCACTCTCAGCATTTTGAAGCGAATAGACTTTCAACAGCATATTGCTTGGTTTAAAATGACTTGAGAATCCACCTCCACTGCATTGGCGGACCTGTCGTGATCCACTCGAGGATGAGAACGATGACACACGAGTGTGGGGTGTTCGGGTTGATGATGCAGATGATGATGATGAAGGTTGGGGCAGAGGGACGGAGGAAGTAAATGGTGATGCGATAGCATTTGCTACAGAGAGCAACTCGCTCGTGTTTGGTTTATCAAAATTCGGACCCAAGCTATATCCGAATCCCGCCGAAGGAGCCAGCTCCAGCGAAGTAGGCAACGAGGCGGGTGAGGAAGCGGAAGCGATAGCGCTGGATCCCGACGATCGAGACGACGCCTCATCACCGTCCAGCCTGAGTCGACCAGACCCAGACCCTGTAGTAGACGACATCTGACTACTGCTACCAGTCGCAGACCCGGTCCTCCTCCTCGCAGCCGCCCGTTCCCTCTCCTGCATCGCCAACCGCCGCTGATGCTCCTCCTCGATGTGCCTCTGAATCAAAACTTGTTGATTCTGAGTCCGAGCAATAGAGCGGCTCAACTCTATCTCTCTCAACATCTGCTGCGCCTCCGGCGACGTAGCTTCCGCAGGAAAGTGAACATGACGGGCCGTTAACTCAACGTCATATTCTGTCTCTATCCGCCCTTGCTCGATCGTCAAATCATAAGCACCAGCACCAGCACCTTTCATCCCTTGTCGAATCGGGCACTTGAACAGGACCTTCCTCGGATCATGCTTATACACCCTTAGGCTCGTTCCATTCAGCACAAAGAACAATTTCTTCCATCCTCTATCCCTCGCCTGGATACCAGGCGCTGAGAATTCCATCTTCCGGTTGAGCCACCCTTCGACATGGACTTCACAGGAATAAGCCGGCAATTTCTCCTTCCCTTCATCATCTCGTGGCCGTGCCGGGAAAAGTGTCCGATACATTGGAGGCGCAAGGGGGAGGTCAGGCATCGAACGTCGTCGCTTAACCGTAGCCGCAGTGGCAGGTACGTTTTTGCGAGCCGACGCCGAATCGGCAGTGCCTATTGTGGCTGTAGCAGCAGTAGCGGCAACATTCTTATGGGGCGCCCTGTGTAATTCCTCTTTAAGATCCGCTTCCGCCACGGTGTCGGGTCGAACATCAGGGATTCGGTGGGAACCAAGTGTAACCATGCTCTTTGATGCATGACGAGAAAGACCGGGCATTAACCGGGCGCGCGCCCCGTGGCCGAGCGGAGGGGAGATGCCCGCAGCATATTTTTCTGCCGCAGCACCAGCACTGCTATCGCGATCGTTCATCCTGGATGTATGGTTAACAAAGTCGCTGGGCCGAGGTGTGTTTGACGCCACACTACTCCCGGCGCCACTATGATTGTGGAAGGGTGAAGATGAGAAAGAGCAGGACGAAAAATAATCATGCTGTCCCCTATCCACATCACCCGCTCTAGGAGTTCGCGCCCCTATGGAATTGACGCCCTTAATTGCAACTCCAAAGCCACCCACATCCAAACCCCCGATCAGGAACTCTTCCGGTATGGAAAGCCGTGAAGGTACCCAGGCTGCTGGTTCACGGGTTCGAGATTGATCACCAGCTACATCTCGCAACGTTGAAGACGATGGGGGAAAGCACATTGACACAGAGTCAATTCCCCCTGAGGGATGGTGTTCAGAAGAGGTATTATCGCTATCAATATCGTTATCCTCATCCTCGGCGGGGCTGGAAGCTCGGGGAGAAGCAAACCCCTCTTCGTCTTCTCCATCATCATCTGAGCCGGCGACTTCTTCACCCTCGACGCTCCCGACCGACGGACGACCGGTGGTACGATACAGGGGAGGCACCGAACGCCGAACCGACTGTAAGTCTGGTGGTTGCTGTTGAGGATTAACCTGTGAAAGTCACGTGTGAGAAAAATTTGATTGGTCAACGCAATAATTTGAATGCAAGAAGGCAAACTGTGCCATCCACGGTTGGAAGTTTTGGATTAAGAGAGAAGAGGGGCGAAGAGGAGCAAATAGAAACATACCTGTGTTGAGGAAGATGCAACAGGGGGTAGTGTTGGAAATAAGAATGGGTGAGGCCGGCGGAGAGTGAGAGATGGGGAAAGTCGCATGTCAGACTCGGTTCGATTGATAAGGCGCCTAGGTGTAGGTGGGCAAAGAATATCATTGTTAAACAACAAGTCAGATGGGCTATCTGCATGTCGTTTGTGGTCAGCCATAAGATCAGCTATAAGAATCGTCGGTGGGAGGGGCGCCATGGTTGGTGATGGGGTGGGGCCGGAACTATACCCCAAATGCTCATGTGATGACGCGGATGTAGGTCTAGGCGAACTTTGAAGTTGAACCTCCATGGAAGATCGAGAAAGAGATGAACAAGTTACACTCCGAGCGTGGCTCGGTGGTATGTTTTGAGGCAAGCAGGTGGGACCGTTTTCCGGCGATTCACCGTCGTCGTCGTTCAAGGAAGGAGATGTTGATAAAGAAGCAGCCCCGAGATTGGAATAGAGGATACGCTTGATCAGAGAAGAGGGAATGAGGGACTTGCGCTTTTTGGTGGTGGTAGCGGTGAAGGTATCGTCCTGAGAGGCGGTGGGGCCACGAATGATATTTCGGAGTGAAATGACGGACATAGCCAAAGTCGACCACACTTGCGAAACTGCGTGGATAAGTCTGAGCGTGCGTCAACCGGCGAGGGTGATGAAAGAAAGCAAGATCAGATTGATGCCCAATACGAGGATAGAAGGTGGCCGGGGAATTTTCATCTCAGTGGAAACTCTAATAAGGCTTGGGTGAACTTACGAAATGAGGAAATGTAGATTACGCTCTAGTCATTGGTAGAACGTCAAGTAGCACCGTCGTTGTCTGGTTCCACGGGAGGAACGTGTTTGATGGACACCTGTTGTAACAGGGCGAGGACCCTGGTATATATACTCATTTCTCAAGTGTAACATGGAGCGAGCAACGCACCAATGACACACGATTAATTTAGTTGGACCATTTCAAATTGACATCCGGACTGCTTATGAGACCCCAACTCTCAGTCCAAAACCGATCCTCACACTTCGGTCCACGATTGCGGACATAATCGCTGGGGACTAACTGCTGAATCACCTTCGTCTTCCAATCCAATATTGTAGTATTGACCGAAAAGTGTATTCAGGAGCAGCGACAAAACATGGATCTATGGCTGCTGACTTGTGTCCTACTCTAGGCCGGGCCAGATGACCGGGATTCTCGCCTTCATAAACAAAAAACACCATCTAAAAGTCCAAATGTAGCCGATGTCCGCGCCCGGCTCGCAATCTCAGGCAAGTGATATTAAAATAACTAGACGAACGCGTACTCAGACCCGCAAACAAGAACTAAGGAAGCGCAAAGCAAACAAGCGCTTTTATCTAGCGCAAGCGCTACTACTGGCTAAGCCTTGGCCGGTAATAAACATTATGTAGAGTGGAGGTGTAGTAATCGCATCAAGGAAACATATCAACGATCATATCAACAATATTTGACCAACTTCCAACAAGTGAAACTCTGTTTATGTGAACGTGGGGCGAATCTGCCTCAATTAGCCCGCAGCACTTCAACCCCATCTAAAATAATGTCTTCTTCCTGGCGCCATCCTATGTCATCGTCCAATTGTCAGCAACGTTTGGTCATCACACCCGGCATTGGCAGTGGCAATATCTCCACCCTCCAGGATCGAACAGACCCGATCGGAGCACCCTCTAGTGTCTACACCGTGATATTCTACAGGCAGGATCCTTCAAATATTGCCGCTGTTACTTGACACGCCCCTCAACAACTCCTCTTCCCACCACTCTTTAAAACCCTGGGTATCCAAGCTCATTCCCAACCCTCCCTCTTCCACGGGATCCTCAATACTCCGCACACTCAATTGACAATCCCTTGGTCGGCCCACCCTTCCGGGCATAATTATCGGTTCGGTCTCATCCGGGGTGATATGAGCGTGCGATAGAGGTGGGTTGGAAAGTGCAGCCAGAATGAGGCACATCTCGTATTTAGTATACGGCTCAGGTGCTGAATAGTGGAGTATGGGAGGTAGCCGGCGTTGGCTGCTGCCCCCATTTGGGAAGGTATCTGTTCGAGGCACGCCCGCCACGAGTCGGGAGCGAGGCGATGCGTTGTTGAGGACACAATCATGTTGTTTCGTTTTTCAAGAAACCGGGTCATAAGAAAGATGGTTAGTAAGCGCAGGTGCCATGCCAACTACAATCATGCATGGGATGTGCGTATCCCGATTGGAAGAAGCAAATTCATGCATGGCAAAGATTCCAAATGTAACGCACCTGCAAGCCGCACGAGAAAGTCTGCAATGTCGAGAACCTACATTGAAATAATCGTCGAAAATCCGCGGCCCATACGTTTAATAACCAATTGCCGGCAGAAGCAATCAGAATGGAAAACTCACATTCGTTGGATACCTTGTTTGATAGTGATCCATCGTGTACTGCTTTCCGGACTGATCCCTTACCACATCTAATAGAATGTTGATGGCCGAGTCTGAGTTTACTTTCACAGGTCCATAAAGTACGGGAACCCGCAAGACAACTCGTCTTCCGTATTCCGACGTCACGCCAAGGGTAGCCTGTTCACCACCATATTTCGTCTCTCCGTAAAACTGAAGTGGTTTGGGCTTTGCGTCGACTTCGTAGGGCGGTGAAGTTCCGTCGAAGACATAATCCGTGCTGATATAAATGAGCGTGAATGGGTGAGAAGGGGAAGCAGAGAAGGTTGAGAGGGTTAGGGGAACTAGGCCATTTATCTGGAACAACGTGCGAAACGTGGGTTTTTGTGTGCAATGTGACTATGGTGACGTTGAGTTACCGTTCTAGTTGCCTCGGGATTCTAGATTGGAGAGAGTTAATAAAAGGAGTTGCCCCTGAAGCTTGAGAAGAGGACTTTACTTTTGCTGCTACATCTGGCCGGCGTTCCGCCGCACAGTGTACCACCCAATCAGGCTCAAAGGATGAAATCAACTCCTTGACTTTAGCTTCATCCGTAAGATCGAGAGGAATTAGCTCATCGGTAGGACGGGAATGCGCGAGTCCTTTCACTGCGTCACCAACACGAACGGTAACACCACAATCCGGTCAATGCACATCAGGATGGCGCGGATTAAACGGACCTTCATAGTTCGTCGACGATTTCTTGAATGCATTATACACAGCATTGCCCAAAACCCCACTAGCACCTACCGATAATGAAGCTCAGTGTCCACCGCATCTTTCCGGGCCATCCATAAAGCTCACCAGTGACGAGTACCTTTGCCTTCATCGGGTCTGAACACGATCCTGTTTATCCCTATGTACGCCGGGATACGCCGTGATATAAACAAATCAATACAGCCTTCGGGAAGTGTCAGCCTTCAATCGCCAAAGGGCAAGGTTGATTACAACACCGTGTGGGCCTTTCTTCTTCTCTGACAACCATCAGGAGTGATCTTTTCGCGTTCTCTACTCGACCAAGCGTTCACCTACACGTATATTTATACTTTTTGAAAGCATAAATTTTCACATCTCTCTCCTCTGCACAACCATTGCACTTCCCTTGATCTTTGCTGAAACCACTTTTTTTTTCAAAACAAACAATCTTCGCACACACTACAGAAACAATGCCAACGAAAATTCACGTCTTCCGTGACGATGATATCACTTCTACCATCTCTTCTTCACGGGCACCCAGTTCATCTCGTGCATCAAGCAGAGCGCCAAGCATGACACCCGGTCCAACCTCTTCTTCAAGTCGCCGACCGTCCATATCATCGCGTCGCCTTTCTCTATCCAATGGTGGTGGCATCTCTCAAGTCCAAGTAGTCGGTAAAAGTCTCATCTCTACCAACGTTTCCACTGTCACGATGGCTCTCAACAAGGAAAATCGTGACCCCGTCACGGGTGTCTTACTTTCCGAACTTCTCAACTCTCTCGGATGTAGTGGCAAAACTGGCAAACAAACCAGTGGCGGAGGTGGTGGTACCTCATTGGAACCTGCATCAGTGACCACTACTCCATTAACAAAGCAAAAGTTCCTCGCAACCACGATCACGACCACGGTTCTTTCGCCCGTGTTGGACTCCTCGCCTCCGTCCTCAACCCGTGCCACGCCCGAACCCCATTCGGCCACACGCAAAGGAGAAGATGATGATGAGGGAAGTACTAATGATGCACTGGCAACGCCTCGTCCACCTCAACGTAAATCGCGGGTCGTTGTCTCAAGCATTGACTCTCCCGCTTCACGCACCCGTGCTAAAACTGGCTCTTCATCATCTGAACTCGTCATACGCAAAGGTCGTGTTCCCCTTGCTCAAAAAAGCACCATTTCGGGCCGTGGATTGAAGGGTTCTCCATTGAAGTCGAAATCTTCCATGCCTTTGTATTCAGATGACGCTGCCACTACCATGGCTGCGTCTAAACGGACCCGCTCATCACGTTCCGCGAAGAAGACAGCACTAAAAACCGATGTCGATCCATCGGACCTCTTATCCCTCCCACTCCCCTCGTCCGAGAAATCTTCATCCTCTAAGTCCGGAACGAAGTCTAATAAGAAATCGTCCTCATCCGCTTCAAACAAACGCGTAAAAAATACCGTCATGTCACAACACGCCTCCTTCGTTCGATCGACCATACCTTCATTCGCCGTTTTTCAGGATAATATCCCTGCTCCTGCTTCTGCTTCCGCTTTTCTTCCTTCATCTGCTCCTCATCTAGAGATGGATTACCTCCTTCAAGGATCATCCCCTTCAACAGACAATGAGGATGTGGAGATGCACGATGCGAATGAGGTATCAGCCATCGTACAACGGTTGGTTGATCAGAAGTGTCGAGAGTTGACCGTTCGACCTCTGGCGAACGTTAGTGAGGCGTATGGAGCGTCTTCCAGTGCATTTGGATCGTCGGTGGATGGGGAGGGGATATTTTAAGCTGTTTGTAAAGATTAGGGACTGGTTGTGGAGCGCATGCGTAATGGGTGAGTTGACTCGTTGGCTTATCTGCATATCAATTCTTATTGATGCGTGAGTTCGTGTTCGGGTTGTAGATCTCATTGGTTTTTGGGCGACTTGGATGCGAACTGGGGCTCGGATTGAATCAGCAATTGCAAACGACAAATCACAAAAAAAAATCATCGAGATAATGGACCAAGCCGGTACATAACGTACCCCTTACGACCTCATGATGTCTTTCACTTCACATATGCCTTCGATTTGTGTCTTCCGAAAATCTTCTCTCCTCGCCCATGGCGCGTCTACGGAAACACGAGATTGCGTTCGCCCTTTAACCTTATTCTTCTTATCTCTTACCCGCCTACGATATTCTATCCAAATCCGTATCTTTTGTTTATTCTTCATTGCATTTCAACTGATTAGTTCATTCTACTTTAACACACCCACACATCCACACAAAGATATAACCATCAACTTGTTTTCGTGCATTCTCCGCCTTGTCTGATACCTGGCTTAGATGGTTCCTGCATAGTTGGACTTGCATCGTCACCCACCCTCCTCTCAAACACGATATTGACTCGATCACATCCACATTCACATTAACTATTTCATTTACTTGTGGTTGTTGTCCTTTTTTTTATCCTTCAAATTGGTCGAATATTTTGGTTTTGCTATGGCTGGGTGAACGAATGTCTGAGGTCTCATACCTAAAAGGAAGAATGTCTTGTGCTGTGACACATCCTCATATGGCAAGTAGCATGACGTCAGGAAAGCCTCATCCGCACTTCCGCTTTACACCATGACACGTGGTACCGTTACGACTCCATCCGCGATGCCATTGGCAAGGCCATTCGATGAGACCCTCGCACGAATGCCCCGTGCAGAAGACATCAATGGGCCCTTTAAAGTCGAAGACTTTGTGGATCAGCATCTCTTCCAGATAGAGATTCAGAATCTGCCTAACTTTAATGCAATCTGCACCGCGATCCAAGGACTGAGTGGCAACGTTGGAGCCGATCGGTTGACCGAAGTCTTAAATAGCATTAGTGCCAATGTAGGGGGTATGTTAAGTTCCATATAGTTCATCAACTTTTACTGAGGGTCTACTCAGCCTATCTTCAGGTTCCGCCGGGAAACCACATCTGCTTCTTCGTTCACGAGCATGGGGCGGCTTTGAATGTCTCGGAGAGACCAGACATCCTTGGAACACTCCAGTCCATATTCGATGACTATTGCCTACAGGATTCTAACAGGTCCAGAACAGGGAATTTTATTCGTTTTTCTTATTCACAAGTAGAGACCTGCGTCGCAGTTGTTTCCGAAGGTATGACTCAAGAGGATGGCTTGAAGCAGGCGGCTCTCTACGCCACTAGTATACACCACGTTAGATTGGACAAGCCGTGTGTATACGGGCTTTACGCTGGGCGAACGCATTATTTTGTCATCTGGAGCGACCCAGTTGCCGCTTACCGATCAACGCAACAGTCGTACTCGGAGCCCCAAGCTCTCATAAAATACGTCGCGTCCTTATATAATCCACCCTCATTTCACCTCACGTCATCTCCTAACGCTACCCGCGATGGCTTTCTCTTGTTATCACATAACACCATTGACGCTGAACACTTGACGCCACGCAGTGATGACTCCGCCCCTTTATGGAGAATCGAAGGCTTAGAGGGACTTTATCGCTGCATATTCTCCGGAATTCCTCACACTCGCTGTACTCGCGTGTACAGGCAAGTGGATCCTCCCGGAGTCCAGGGAGCCCCCTTCATTTACAAACAGGTTATGGGTCGACTGGATGGAACAGATCCGGTCCACCACGAAATGAAGATGCTCCACCATATCCACGAGGATGGCTATGTCGCAGGGATTGTTCGAGGGGTCGAGTTCGATGGGGAACCCATCGACATTAGCATCTGGGACTCGGATGAATTGAACCAATGGAATGCCGATAAATCACATGGACAAGTGACCTCCCGAAGAAGTTCTGCAATGGTCTACTTAGACACCGGTGCGCCAATCTCGAAAGGAAAAACCGTTTTGGATCTGGTCGCGGGATTCTTCGATTTTGTGGAAGGTACAAAGGCGTCTGATTATCAGGATCTGATGCTGAAATTGATTTCGTTAGAGTTACGTTATATCGTTGAACGCCGTGAAGTTGTTCACCGTGACATCAGCCCCTCAAACATATATACATATGTAAAGAGTGTGACACCCCAGAACCCGACTGCTCTTGGGATTCCTGGGAACATGCTGAATCCTTCGGCCAACCAACCGACCTTCATAAACAAATACCTTCTGCCAGATAACAGGTGAGTGCCTTTGACTAAATAGAGGCGGATATTCAAATCTCGTGATTGCCTCAGAAATCTGCCTAGGGGGCTGGTTGGTGGTCTGCACATGGCCGCTAGCTACCAGCCCGATAATGATCAAGCAGCGGAGATTTTGAGACAGTTTACTGTACGTGATGTTGGTCTATGTCTGTATTTCACTGACGATGGATGTAGGGCACCCCACTTTACTCCCCTCGAGCAATTCTGTCAAGGACATGGATTCCCGCGCCCTACAGGTTCCCGTCCATGCCCGAGCTTCAAGGCGAGGCGCTCCAAGTGTACCATATGCTATTTGGACCTGTTGCATATGAAGCCGGTCATGAGGTTTATGACCGCAACAACACTCATACATCACGTCTTTCGTTACAAGACCCACCACTATATCGCCCGCGACACGATGTCGAGTCTCTCTATTGGGTCATTATCGACATTCTACTCCATGCAAAGCCTGAACGGAGTGAAGATTCCCCATCAAGGAAGCTAACCGAATTCGAAGACACACTCAATGGGAGGACGTACCGTGGTAGCGACCGAACGACATATTTATTCTATCAAGATTTGGATTGGTGGAGACAAACGCTTCATCCCGCATTGGGGCCAGTTCTTGGTGAACTGCTTCATAAAATGACCCAGCAGGTCGGTCCAGAATATGAATACCTAATCGACCCACCGCGCTCCACTCATCTACACGAGGCGTTCCGAAGATTGCTCCTTCAAGCAATAGTGGCCTTGAGGCAGCAACCTCCCATTGCTTTAGACTCGAGTCGGCGAGTCGGTCGGCGTTCCCCTTATGAACCCTTGTATTAAGGATCCGTGAGCCCGTGCCGTGGTGGCACCTATTACTCATCACAGGATCAATGCGACTAGGTGTCATAGTCGGAGGAGTTCTTTATTTGTCTTTATTCCTTGTTGTTATACAACTGTATTTACATATGTATGGCCCGGGGTCGGGTAAAGGGTCCTTTACTCTTCCAGCACCCCAACTGGCCTTACAGATACCTCCTTAGATACCTTTCCTGAGCATGCTCCAAATGCTCTCAGAGTCCCAGTTACATATAAAGATACTTCAATATGAAATCACCCATGCTCCGAATGTCCGCAACGGCTTCAGGTGAATAAATTGATTTCCTAAGTTGGTTACATCTCATTCGATTGTTGGAGCCTCAAGTGTTGTCACTGACACTATCCTTCAAATCGCGAAGCGATCCGCTCAAGCATAAGAGACCTAACAAGTAACGACATCCATGGGCGTAATCCTAGTAGGATATATATAATCATGCGAAGTCTCGAGGGACGTTGGTGGCGTCGACGATGTTGTACATGTATACATACTGAATGGGGCCTCATCAAGTGCTCGCAGCCCAGCCCACGCGCAACTAGATGGATGACCAAGCTTTAGTAAGCCAAGCCTACTCCGAATCCAAGTCGTTCGATTGAGTGTAGTAGAGCCAGCAAGCATATCGTGCGCGGGAGGCTGACGTGGTCTGTAGACGAGCGAGGAGCCTTCACTTCAAGGGTCCACCTGCTAGTCCCATCCATATCAAGCCAGGACATTCGACGCTTCCGCCTGCTAAAAATGTTTGCGTAACACCCAGCCTAAAACGCTAATAACAATAACTCATGAGAACAAAAGCTTTCTGATCTCCATCTTATAACACGCCCGTGTCGCGGGATAGTTCCAGTTGTTGTCGGAGCGTGTGATTGCGAGCTCGGTAGCAGAAGCAGGAAAAGGAAGGATCCATGTTAATGCCAAACTTGGCAATGCATGGCGGAACTGGCCTTCCCAGCAATGCCAGACCTTTACTTCGTTCGTTTTCTGTAATCGCAATATTGCAATGCGGATCCCAGCGTTTCCGGTCTTGATAGATGCAGCATTGCCCTGAATAGTTCTACGAAGATGCTGTTCCTTGTTGAAAGATACCTGTCGATGGCACAGGAGCATAATCTGAATCCTCCAGTGATCGGTTCTCGTCAATTTGTCAAGTCCAATATCAAATTCTGCTTCTAGACAAACCAAAAACCACGGACTCAAGTGGTCAACGATTCGAAGTTTTTTCAACAACGCGAACGGGAGGACAGCGATCCACTTGGGAGGCCCCGGTACGTACAAAAAAGACGAGTATGGGGGTGTCCCACTCGTAATAAAATGCGTTTTCGGGTTGGTGCACGAACCAAAGAAACGCAATTCCCTCACCCCCTTCATTTCCCCACTCCTTCTGATCTTACCGCCCTCTTCAACAAAACATCCGTACAAACAGCCAAAGCCTGGATTTCTTCCGGATTAGCATGACTGCACCCGGCCCACCTAATCTTCCCGTCTTGGTCCACAAGATACACATACCCAACATGTCTGTTCTCCATCCCCATCGGTTCTCGAAAGAGCTCCATGTTTTGATGGGAAAGAATGTAGGTCGATTGAAGATGCTCGGGAATTTGCTTACGGAGGGAACGGGCTGCTAAGGCGATGATGAATGATTTAAGGGGATTTTCTTGAAGGTTGATCTACGGAGTGCAGAATTTGTTAGAATGTTTGAAATGGAACATAGATTATCAGATAGGGAAATTTATCTCACACACCTGAACATATTGGAAGTGAGGATTGTCCTTGTTCTCGCTGATTGTCCGTATTGCGAACGACTCGACATGTTCCTTAATCATTCCCGGACCACAAGTCAGCAACGATATCACGAAAAAAGAAAAAGAAACCGGAAGTCACTCATGCATACCTGGGAAGCTTGTGTAGATAACATCGCAACGAGAGAAACCTTCCCTTCGAGTACCGACGTAGTATGAACAGGCTCTTTGGGTGTTAGCCTAGTCCCCTCCATGTTAGGGAAATATAAGGCTTGCTAATCGAGCGAAACATGATGCTATAACAAAGTCTTTATAATAGCTGGTGATCGTTACAAACCTCCGATTTAATGAGCGTCTTAGGTCCAATCCACGACTTCCCTTGTCGATCTCCTAACCGATGATAATCATTAAAATAACCCTGAGTTGCTTGCTGAATTCTAAAAGAAATAACATCATAAATAACAATAATAATAATAAAGACACTCCACCCAAAACGCCTGTCAGCTCCAAGCTAATGTCACTCATACAAAGCCCAGGCACGAAGAAATAGCAAAAAGCAAATTTTTACAAAGGGGACAGCAATAACGCAACTATAAAGTTTAAAGTTATAAACTACTCACAGAACTCGTCGCTGGTCCATCCTCTTGGACTGATCCATCATATCTTCCCTCAATTCCTCCCACGTGTTTGTATGTGCACTCGGCCTCTGCTTCACGCCCAATGGACGAGAAAGTGATGGTAAAGGCGTTCTGGCTCTAGTTCCTGTTGTTGTTGTTGTTGCTGCTGCCTCTATGCTGTTGGTGGGCTCCGCGCCAGAAAAAGTCCCACGCCTGCTGGAGGGGTCATTTGTTCTTGTTGCTGTCGTTGACACTATTGAAGAAGAGGAGGAAGAGGAACTTGATGCAAGGGCTGGGGTCGCAGCTAATCGTGAAGGACCAGCAGCAGCAGTGGCAGCAGCCTTCTTGGCACTCCGTGAGTTCGATATTCCTCTCGAGACAACAAGAGGCCCCAGAGATATATCATCCCCGTACCATGCACATGCCCTCCCTGTTGATGTTGAAGTCCTCGTTGCCGGCAGACATGATCGTCGAGCAGCAGCTGCAATGCGCACCGTACTCATTTTTTGGCGCTTTTTCCGAAATCCAATTCACTCGGGATCTGCCCTGATTTACTTCCCCCGGTGCAGTCACATCCCGATAGACCATCCCCCTGGATGGATTCTTCTCGGCCCCTGGCTTCCTCGCCTCCGGCTTTTGGAGCAGTGCTTGTTATGTACTTGCTGTGGGTGAAGGCGTTGCGGTGACTCCCCCATACCCGACGGTCAAAGCATTGGAAATTTTGCCGAGGCTTAAGAAAAGTGCTCATCTCATGTGTCAGGAATATTTATCGGTATAGGTTGCACACTGTCGCTCTCTCTCTGAAGTGACCCGTGGTGTGCTCGGTCCGTGGTGGTGTGCTGTAGTGGTATGACCAACAACCCCGTTGTCCGTATGGAGTGGGACGTTTGGTTGGTTTAGTTTGGAAGAGGGTAAGCTTTGCCCATACCACCCGTGTGACCAACTTACCTCGAAATTTGTTGGTGTGCGCTCGAGTTGTGGTGACGTTTTTGGGAGGGGAGAGTAGGGTCAAAAGCACTTCCCCTGACATGACCGTCTACAAGTCGCAACTGCCACGAGGGAGGGCCGTGCGTGGCCCGTTACTCTTGATGATACGGTCCATAACTGATGTCCCCACCCATCCCCTTCTTCTTTCCTTTTTTATTTACAGACACCCGCCCCGTCCGATTAATTATATGGTTTATAACCAGAGCACGTCACCCGCGAGCTGATCCCCTGTAAGATGACATTAACACTGCGTTTAAGCCCGAAATTTCCGTAGACCTTCCTGTATCGAAATCATAAGTTCGGTGTGTTATCCAACAGCTGGAACTAATAATAAGGACGGGGGAAGCTAGCACGAGTCCACAGCAATCGAATATCGTGCTTTCCCTCAGTTAGCTATATGTCGATCGACATGTAGCTTTATTGATACTTTGTTCTTCTAGCCATGACTAATACCGGAGTCTTCCTTTCTCTGCCAACGAATTATCGTCCGCGATCGCAGAATCCATGAATTAACAAGAAAAAAGCTGAACGGGAAAAAAGATGTATGTAGTTGCATGTAATGCTACAAAAACAACAGCTTCTATACACGAGAGATACGTCCAAAGTACCATGCGTACATCGTACAAGAATGATGATCGACAGTACCTTGGTTCTTCCTTTTCTTTTCTTTTTTTCATGGATGAGGGAAGCGATCGATCGATCGATCTGAGGGTATCGGAATGCGTAAAATTGGGGTGTGAATGATGACCCCACGATGAAAAGTTGGGCGCACGTCGGACGTATACACCACGATCGATCACCGTGAGAAGGGGGGAGGAAGTGACAACAATGATGGATTGGATGGTGAAAACAGGGTCCGTATGCGCACACGATCGATAGAAAAGTTATGAAAAAAAAAAAGTGGAGAACAAGTGACAGCGGGAACGGTGACAGGGGTAAGGAGAGAGCGCCCTTTACCCCGAACCTCCCGCAAGCTCTAATATCAGTCGGCAGGCACACTCTAAGAATATCAACGGATTTTGGAAATCGCCATTTTTCTCGTCTCGAGGGATGTCCGGACGGTCCGCAGGCTCGTACCCATCTGGACCATCCGGATCTGTGGATCGTGCACGGTAGTATCCAAGATCTCTGAAATCGACCTAACACACGAGGATTTCCAAGTCAATCCGGCCAATGTAAACACAAAAGGAAACAGTCCCAACTCACCAGATAGTTCATTGAATCCACCTGGTATAGTTGGAGGTCAAATATCAGCTGAAAAGATTGAACGATCCGTTTGTCAATACAACCACAATGGTCACCATGGAAAAAATGAAAATGAAAAAACTCACCACGACATTCCTAACCCTCCACCGACACTCAATAAAATAAATATCCATATCATCTTTCGTCTGTTGATCGTAGCTGTCGCTCGCATTCGAATCATCTGGCAGAGACTTTGACCTCCCCGCACCAGCACCACCCCGACCTCCATCATCCTCACCACCCAGACTCGCGCTCAACGACTCACAGGGACACTTACCGTCCACCAGCTCCTGACTGACAACCGGAATACCTTCCTCATCCCCAAACGAACACCAAACCCCTTGCTTCTCCCTCCATTCCAATCCAAGCACTTCCAACGTCCTATAAAGCTCCAACATGACTTCCATAGGCGGACTACTGGACCTAATACCAAAATGCCACTTGGAAGCTTTATGGTGCGAAGTCGCCGAATGATGACGACCCCCACCAGCAGCATGGTGATGAGAAGAAGAGGCATGGGCATGACGCCGATGGTGAGAACGTGGTTTGGATGAAGGAGTGTTAGAACGTGCTGGTGAACCCCGACCTTTTGAGGCATTCCGCATATTGGCATACGATGCCAGATGATGATCGGCTGGTAAGAAGACCGGAAGCGGAGCAACATTGTCATCACCTGTTGCTACCGTTGTCCCGCCGTTACCAAGAGCCGCCCCTACCATGCTTGTGTCCAACAGCCGAATGTCATGTGCCGAATTCCAATTGATAGTTTCGTCGAATCCGTCATCGTCTTCATCGTCTTCTGTTTCGTCTTCGGCTGGATGTGGTGGTGACCCATAGTCCCCAGGTCCCCGATTCTGAGTGATAAAGATCGTGAATTCGGCGGACACGCAAGTACTGACAGACGAGAGGAAGAAACAACACTCACCCGCGACGGCGGTATAGCGATCGGCCTTGCTGATGACGATGCCGAAGGATTCGAATCATCTTGTTCTTGAATAGGATCCACTGACGAAAAAAGAGCGAAAAAAAAAGCCAGAAACAACCCATCGTAAGTTCCCATCTGCACCCCAGAACGAAGAAAACAAAGAGGAATAACCAGAACAGAACAGAACACCATACCCCCAGCACAACCGAACGCCCCCCAACCAGTGCAGAATAGGGAACCGAAGAAAAAGAAGAACGAAAGAAATAATCGAAGTAAAGACCACCTACACGTCCTCCCCACCTTCCGATCCGCAAAAAGCTGATACGCAACCTTGACACAATTATCCTCGAACGCAGCCAACGCCGAGCTAATAATAGCAGGCTCGACACCCAACGCTGCTTGCAACTCTCCAAACACTCTCATATCCAGTTTCTTCCCTATCCCCGGGTAGAAATCCGCAGGCGGATCGTCGTCCCCCGCATCTTGTCCATCCAAGAAGGGCGCCTTTCCCCCTCCAATACCACCACCGAGGGTCGAACTCGGTGGTGTCAGCAACGACGTGAGCGAGTCTATAGTGGAATGTGCCAGTGGTTGTTGCGCATAGATTTCCCGAAGGTAAAGGGGCGTATCCTTCGCAACCCACGGATGGGATAAAACGTCCGGGATTGTGAACCGCTTGAGTGGATTCGTTTGCAGCATCTTTTCGATCAAGTGGGCCACTTCGGGTGAAAGATGTGATGGCTTGTGAAAGAGCTATATTCGTACAACGGATGTGGGTTTGTAAATAGATTATAATGCGCCAAGAGAAAACCTAGACTTACGCCAGCAGAGATCTTCTGGAAGAGCGTAGGAACGTGCTCATCCTCGAACGGTAACCTCCCACACACCATGACGTACAATATGACTCCTGAACGGCCAAAACGCATCCACCCCCAAATCAACGATCATGAGAATGAATGAAAGATCACCGTGGCAGAGAATCAACCCCAAAAAGTAGGTGAAATCAGTTCAGGACCAAACTGGGTGGATTCAGAAAAGGAAAGGATTTGCAACAAAAGCGCACAAGTAGAAAGAGCCCCGCTGAGCCCTCCTATTTCCCGCGCTGCTCTTCTTGGAAAAGAAAGACCACTCACCTAATGACCAAACATCAATCTCAGGACCAGCATACAATTGCCCCTAACACGATGAATAATCACCAATGCAAAAGTTATAAGAATACCATTTAGCCAGGAGTGCAAACGGAAAAAGGGGGGACGGCGAGCGGGCAGGCGAACGTCTGTGTGGATATGTGCGCGTGGACAAAACTCACCGATATAACTTCCGGAGCAGCATAATTCGGACTCCCACAACTCGTCGATAACCAGTTCCCATCTGTTATCTCATTTGACAACCTAAATTGATGAAAAGTCAGAAGGTCAGGCAATCAATCAAAAAGAAGGTTGTGACCACAAGGAACAAAGAAAGAAGAAGGGCAAGGGGATAGGGAAAAAAAAACGAGAAAACGTGTAGGACACCAAGATGAACTCAGTAAAAAAAAACCTCGATAACAAATACCAACGAGACCCAAAAAAAGGAGAGGGAATCAAAGGTCACGAGCAACCGTCAATAAGATCAGCCAATGGGAATGAAATAAAACGTAAAAACGTAACAATGACCCAACCAACCAACACAAGAAAAAGGACAGAGCACAGAGCAGATAAAATCAGGAAAGAAAAAGGAAAGAAGAAAAACACACCCAAAATCTGCAAGCTTCACATTGAGATTCTCATCCAAAAGGACGTTCTCCGGCTTAATATCCCGATGGACGATCCGATGTGCATGTGAGTACGCAAGGCAGTACCTGTGTGCAATATTCAGGAGGAGCACAAACGTGTTGGGGGGATAGATTTTGTAGACTTACGCGATTTGCTGGAAGAACTTGCGCGCCGCCGACTCGGACAAACGTCCATTATCAACAATATAATTGAACAATTCTCCTCCAGCATACTAAAAAAAAATAAAAGGAAAGGAAAGGCGCGTCAACAAGGAAGGAGAGAAGGAAACAGTGGATGGATACGATGGCTAAGCTTACCTCCATAACCTACATGAACGCGTATTACCACCAACGTCAGGTATTAAGATAATCTCATCAGCACAACGAACAATTGGACGCGAACTCGAGTAACCCTCCGGCATTCGGAAGAAAAAACACCCGCTTACCATTATGACTTCCCTAGGCGTATCTATAACTTCATATCTGGAAATCAAAACGAACAGATCATCACAGTATCAGTCAGTAAACGTTTCAACACCCCATATCAGAAACACCCAAACGTCCCAAAATTCAATGAGAAAGAAGGAAGGTAGGATTTGGGCCGGAACTAGGGTCCTCCAGAGTGGGAGATTACCCCTCCGCACCACTCGCACCACCCCAGCACAATACGACACGACACGACACGACACGATGCCCGAAGGTCATAACGCCATCAGCAACAACGGCGTCCGGGGGAACAAGATGAAATGCGTGCGCGTGCAGGTGCTAGCCAGTGGAAACGAGCGAGGCACGAGGGGAAATAATAAAAATGGATGGGTGCAATTGGAATCGAACGAGCGACGAAAGCAGCAAAGAATACGAGAAGGCAGGTGAATATATGTGGAAACAAAAAAAGTGAATGAGAGAGTGAATGGATGACGATGACGATGACGACGACGATGACGTCGATGTAAGACAAGGCACCACCCTAAAAACGTCAAAAAAGCAAGATGGAGAGGGAAAACGGGGGGAGTTGGATCGAGAAAAAGAAGAAAGGAAGGATAATTCCCCACATACAGTTTAATTATATGTGGATGTTTTAGGAGCTTAAGGTATTCGATTTCACGCTTCACTCGAGTTCGAACCTGGAAAAGGAACATATCAGATCGGCAAGGGTAAGGGGAGGAAGAAGATGAAAAGGAATGCAACACCAACACGACAGCGTCACCCCCCTTGGCAAGGAGAAGAAGAACCCCACCTTGTACGCATTAATGCTCCCTTTATTAATATGTTTCAAGGCGACCTTCTGTCCTGAGAGCGTATGGACGGCAACTAGAAATCAAGGGGGAGGTGAGGTGAAGTAAGCGACAAGAAGAGGAGAGAACGAAAGCGCCGGGATCGGGTTTGAGGCATAGGGGGCGGGAAGAGAGAGAAGTAAAAAGGAGTGACGGTATGGGAGAATAAGACAGAAACGCTCCGTCGTGGTGAATAATGAACGAAAGGAAAGGACAGAAACGAGGTAGCCAACACTACACTCTCCTGTCTTCTCCCCATGGAAAGAAAAGTTGGAAAACAAACATACGTTTAACTTTTCCAAACGTCCCTTCACCAAGACTCCTAATGACGATGTATTCCCCCAACTTTGAAAGACCCGATCTCGGCTTCTTCGCTGTCGCCGTCGCTATCGAGTTCGAGTTTGAAGTAACGTTGGAGGCCAAAGTGGAGGTTGAGGGAAGGGCGGTAGTAGTAGCAGTAGCAGTAGAAGTAGAAGTAGACGTCAAGGAAGCGTTGACCATTTTTGCTTGTCGCGATCCAAGTCAAGTTTGAAGTCGATGGGGGATGAGAATGGTGATGCGTGAAATACGAGACGAGATGGTGCTGGGATGTGTAGGACTAGGTTGTGTTGCAGCGATCACTGTTATTGTTATGGTTGTTCGATCCAGTTCTAGGGTACTTAGACGCGCGCGCGCTAAGATGAGTGTTTTCGTGGGTTGGGATAGTTGGGTGAGGGAGTGATCAAAGCAAGAGGTTGCGATTAAGAGAAGAGTCTCAGAGTGTAGCAAGTTATCCCCCCTTTTCTTCAAGAGTAGTCCCCCCCACCAGGTTCAAAAAGTTGGTAAAGTACTTTCGAAAGAAGAGGACCCTAAAAAAAACTAGTACGAAGGACCCCTCGCGTTATTGTCAGATGCTGTCGGCTCGTGTTCCTTCGAACAATAGTAGCAGCTTTTGTCCCTTTCTCCTTCGGTGTTCTTGTGTAAGGAAGGAGGGGGAGTGATCAAGTTTGCGGTTGCAGTCAGAACTTGATCGTGGGTTCCAATTGCAAATTACAAGCAGGAGGGAAGGACTGATTATCTCGAATGAATTGAACTTGAAAGTTTCCGTCGAAGGAGAGTCAATATTTTTTAAGTGGTAACCCCATACCACGTGGTCTTTTTCTTTTGGACTCTCGTAACACCAACTGGGTCGGACTTGGAAGCAAAAAAAAAGTTGAGCATGGGCCAATCTCAGGGCCCCACGGAACAACCCAAATGAGCAAACACTATAGTGCTATGGGAGAGTGTAACGCGCGTGTTGGATAGATTCCCCCCCCCCTCCCTTTCACGTGAATTCCATAAACTCCGATTCAATCAAGATCAATCCCAAAAAATGAAATTCAAATTATGGATTGAATAGTGGCGAGTCGTCATGAGGGCAGCAGACACGTGACATAGGCAAGTCCCTTCATTCATTCCATACAATTAATCGATTATGTAATCAGCGATCGTTTCCTTTTTTTTTTGGGCGAGGCCAGCGAAAGAGCTGCCAAGACATGATGCTAGTGCGAGACCAGTCGAGCAGTCACAACAATCCATGGACCTTCTAGCTTGTTCGCTTCGATGAACCGTCGACCTAGTAACGGTGTGAGCGGCGTGGAGTTGCCATGGGGCGAAAATAACCGACGACTCCAGCTAGTACAGTACTAGTGGTCCGTGATTGGTTCACCGGTAACTCACCCCACACGAGCAGTAGTACAGCCTCCACCCACATGCACATCTCTGTATATGCATGCATCTATCCATGCCGATATCATCGATCCAAGTACCGACACCCAGCCAGTAGTCGTCCGTCTCGCCTCTCAGCTTAGCTGCCAGAACTACTACGTACTATGTAGTAGCCTTAGCAACTGCTAACAATCCGGATATACGATAGACGATCAGTGGCTTTTGGAAAATCGATGAGGTTCTTGTTCTTGGACACGCGGGATCGTCTCACTCGCAAGCCATCCTTCCAGACATGGGGATCCTCATGCACTCATGACTTTCCACGATCCGTACAACCCCCCGTACCTGAGCTCTCGAAAATGAACTCATTTCCCACCTCTTCTTCTTCAACTTCTCATTTCCTGATCTCTTTTCCAGGCCGCTTCCTTCCTACCTTTCAACTCTTCATCGATCCCTGAATCCCCCAGCCACATCGATGGGGACCGCATGACTTCAATTTACTGTGCGTTTTCCGGATCTAGACCTCCCCCCCTCCCTTTAGACTCTGACAGACCTGCAGTTGTACGGGGCATGTGTGCACAACGACACGTTGCGTGCGCGCGCATATTAATGATGTTAAGAAGTCATTATTGGGTGCGCTACTTACTACTCGTGCGCACATGATCACGATCGATGACATTAATCTACTATGTACTCAAGGTCATGATATGATATCGATGATGGGAAAGGAACAATATCTGCGTCGAGTGAGCCCGGCGTCTCTAGGCATGTTTACGACCATCTAGTAATATTCACATCTCGCACGAGAACTTGCGATTAGATTTATACGCGAAACCTGCAACGAATCTCTATCATTAACTACACGAGTTCGCTTACACTAAGCTATAGCTATACATAGCTGGCGATCGATACTTCATCTCGTATATTACCAATCCAGTTTTACGTCGACACGCGGACTCGCGACTTTTCACAACAGGATATCCAGACTTCCAAGCTCAACGCCAATCCACCTCGCACTTTCCGGGCATGTGCACATTTCCCCGTACGGTAGTTAACTCACCGATCGATCGATCAGTTGTGCTACCACGACCCCAACCCATGCCATAACCCCGTCGCTTTTCAGCCAGTTCTCTGGGAGACTTCGTTCGTTATGAAGAGTGCTTTACTACCATATTTTTTTTTTGGAAAGAAGGCATTGGGTTGGAGAAAATGAACATCTGAATACGTTTTCAACGCTTTCTATTGTATCAAGCACTACCTCCCACCTCGACTTTCGTCCGTAACTGATTCTTCGAATCTCTAGTGATCAGAACTATGGCCAGGCGCAAGCACCGAACAACCGTGCTGACGCACAAGACCCCTCAGGCTGCGCCTCAGAACACAGCCGTCAACGAATCACGTCCTCCCCCCAGCAATGCTTACCTCTTCGATCAACTCGATAGCATTGTCATGGAATAATACGGTACATAACTCCTCCACCGGTTTACACGCTACCTACCAACAATTTCGCTCACTCCTCAATAATGCCTCCGAGCTTACCAACAAACAGTGGGACGAGCTTTCCGGTCGATACATTCGATCGGTCGACTCAATTCAGGGAAGAAGCGATCGCTCGAGGCTCCCGAGCCCGAGAAAACGCCGAACAAAGGCTACCTAACGCTCAGCCACACCCCCGATGATCGAGCCGCCGAAACCGCTGACCGAACCGGGGGCCTCTTCGCAGCCTTCGGAGTGCACCGACGGTGAGACGATGACGACAATGAAGCGTGAGGAGCCAAGCGCTTGCGAGAGGTTGAGGATGATCACGACCCTCGTTACGCCCGAAACTGGGACTACCCAGGAGACAACCGACCGTGGGACACTTACGGTGCACCCACCATACCACAGAACACTCAGCGCCTCCGCAACATCTGCAACCTCGACGCGAAAGCTACCTCCTCGCTCGAGGCCAACCGCCAGCGTTCCCCTACAATCAATGGCGTGACTTCGTTTGCGATAGACATATTGATCTTGCCGCTATCGTTCGAGGGCTATAATACCATCGCACCCCAATACCACGAGGCCATCGACCTCGGAAGTGGCACTGAACTCACACTTAACAAAACAAATGCCAAGGGGAAAACGAAGATCAGGACGCAGGGGGAATGGATGCTGGGTTTCGAGAAATATAAGTGTGCGTTTCTCTATGCCTACCCACACCGACGGCCCCGAGCCCGACATCCATTCCATACATCCTCGACCAAATTTTCGACCTGCGTCGATCACTCCTGTGTCATCAGCGACGACTCCACCGCGCAAGTTTGTCCAAGAACAATATCACCTTTGCTTTACCGACACGCTTTCAAGTATCTCCACAGTGGTGGCGCAGCCCGCAGCGCATATAAGACAAACCGAAGAGCAGAGGTAAACAAGGAAAAGGAGCAGTTCCCATCTGCGGAGAGTTCGACACAGGCGTGCAAGTTGAGTCATGAGTAGCCGTAAATCCGGAATTCGGCAGCGGTCCTGGATGGCGTTGTTAGGGCCCTTTTATAGGCAGGGCCTAAACAACGTGGGCACCTCCGCTTAAATGGTCCGCCCTGCGCATCCGCGCCGAAACATCCAGCCTGCGGGTGAGGCAAGCGTGCCTTGATGCATGCAAAAGCTAGGTTGTGCGAAAACCCACGAAGCGTCCGAGGGCGACAAGAGAAGGCATGTGAGAGCGGCGAGCGAAGGCCCGCGGTGAAATGAGAACATTATATTACAGCAAGGTCGCCTAAAGAGAGGTGTTGAAGCGGCCGGATAGAATGCAAGGTGGAGGGTTGCTCAGATAACTCAAGTGAAGCCTGGTGTGGGTGAAGGGGAGAGAGTGAGGCCCAACGGTGACACGTCGAGGTAACGTATGGCTGCCGGGAGTCAGTTTCCCCCCTCCCTCCGCCTTGGTCAGAATGTTCTAATTTGAAGCGTTTGACAAGCCCTAGACAGGTGAGGCACAAGCGATTCTATCGAGCTCTTGTGTTGGCTCGCGGGAGACTTTTAGTTTGACGCCGAGCCGCTCGTTCTACGCAAAGCCAGTAGGTGACTGGCAGCCTCTATAGTATAGGGTGCGCTTCACCGCGCCCGCAATATACCACTCACAATCACTGGTTACCATCTTCAAGCAATAGAAAGCCACCAGGGGGTTTTGGTGGTTGTCCTGTTCTTCGTTTCTTGAAGAGTTGGCTTACCAAAGGTCCATAGTTTGCCCAAAAACACTATTGATTCGCTCCTATCTGTGAATTTTGAATACGTAGTCCCTTTGTTCTTTATTCAGAGACAGGAAACGGGGGCCGCTACTGTTAGCGTTCTAACAAGCAGCCCTGCCACTTGCAGGCTGAATCTCATGAACATTTGATGACCTTCGCCTGCGACGATCATAATGAGCGGTTGATCACACCTGATGGAGTGACCCGTTCTCCCCCTGGTAAATCTTGTTCATGGCGTTGTTTATGTATTTGTGTACAGGACTTGGATACTCGATCTTGTGTGTCGCGCGTGTGTGCATGTGGGCAAGGTTGCCATGCCGCCTGATCTGTGGCACGCGTGAATAGCTAAAGTATCTTGCTACGATCTTGCTACTGGGAGTCAGCGCATCTCGTAGCTAGATATAAACCGCGTTTTGGGCAATTGGTTCAAGTTGTTGAGCTCTCAAATAGCGAGCTCTTTCATGTGCGCTCTGTCCCTTATGTGCACCCCCCCCGAGCGGGAATTAGGAAACTCGTGCTCGACACACAATTCCCACCAGGCCGAAAGCATGGACGATAGCAGATTCCTTTCAAATATAGTTTATCATGTTCAAGTCATGCTCCTTGACGACTGGGTTGTGCATTTGAGGGCACACCTGGAACGAGTCCGAAGTTTGCACGACCTAATGCATATGACTGCTCGCACCAGCGAGGCGTCGTGCGGCCTCATTGCGGTGGGCCGAATTCAAGTTTGGAGGTCGTTCTCCGAGCGCCTGTAATCAGTGTAAACGGACGAATAACAGCGGGCCGGGGTTGAGCGGCCAATTTCCAACATGCCGGCGGTGGGTGCGCATGACCGGTTCATCGGCCGTACATACATCACTCATTAGGAGGGGCCACACAGGAATGCATGGTGGCTGCATAGGTATCGAGGGAGATATCACAGGGTTATTTTCATGGATGAACCAGCGGGTTATCTTTACTCCTTCCTGTGTGGCTTCATACTGCGGTGTGTGTCACAGCCATCGGCATCGCCGCGCATCCGCAGTACAAGCGCTACATACGCATCAGGCCCAATGACCTCAGAAACGTATGTGGAGCTGTGCAGTTCGTAAGCTTGATGACGATGATCATGATCATTAATTCAAAGTACGTGTACGGTATCACGTGGATGCTTGGCGACCAATTAATTGGCTCCCATCACCATTATATATCACCAGCAATATTTAACCTCGAGCATTCAAGTTGAAAGCCCACACTCGCCATTAAGAGGTCACCTTTCTCTTTCACGATCAGTAACTATGCGTGTAACTCGATTCCTTTCCCTGTCTCTCTTGCCTCTCGCTGCTCTCTCCGCTCCCAACCCGGCTCCACGACCCCACCCTGGACTTGGAGTCGGCCAACCTGGACCTATTGGTGATGAACTCGACAGGCGTTTCGGTGCGTTTCCCCCTTTTTTTCGGTTGTTGAAAAGAAATGGAAAGTTAACTTCTTGGTTGTGCTTTGGCTGTCGTTGGGTTTTCAGATTTTTCGTCTATCTTTGGAGACATCACTTCTGTCTGTACGTTGAGAAAAACCCTCCCAATTTGATGAGAAAGGGCCTCATGGATTCGCTTTTAAATATTGGACATCGATCCCGCACGCCGAAAACACATGCCAACCTTGTTCTTTTGTCTTGATGTGACTGCGTGACTGCTTGTCATCCCTTCCTTGTTGGTCTGGTTGTCACTGTCAGATGGTGCCGTGACAAGCATTGGAGGGGAAGCGTTCACTGTGATCACCGTTGCCGGGGGAGGGGTTTACACTCTAGCTCAAAGTGAGTTTCTGGCGGCTCGTTTGTTAACGCAAGCGCTTCTAATCCACTTGCCTGTCATCGATTGATTGATTTAGGTGCTGGTGGATACGTGACGAGCTTTGGAGGGTCTGTTTTTACCCTTGCAACTGGAGCTGCCGGTGGTCTTTTCACCGATGTCACCAGTACGTAGATATCCATTTTATTCCTTTTATACTACAGCACATTCTATTTCCCATCGGAACTTAGGTATCGGTGGGAAAGCATACACAATCATCACCTCCAAGGGAGGTAAAGCAGTCACGATCGCCGAATCCGGTGTTGGTCTCGTCACGAGCTTTGGGGGATCAGTTTTTACTATTGCGACCAGTTTGGGAGGAGAGGTCTTTTCGGACGTGACAAGTAAGTGGATCAAGCCGTTTCCCCCTTCTTTCGCACTCATTTCCGCAAACCTCTCATTCTTTTTGCGCTTTTTTTTGCGTCTGAATGAAAGGTTTCGGAGGACAAGCGTATACGATCATAACCCAAGATGGAGGAAAAGCGATCACGCTTGCGAAAACCGGTGGTGGCATAGCTACTTCCTTTGCTGGGAGCGTTTATACGGCTGCAACGTCCGTACCGTAAGTCTTCCCCGCTTCTCTTGCTTCTCTTCCGAATTGCACTTAATACCGTGGCGGCTTCTCCCTCTTCAAAAAATCATAGCGGTGCGGGAACGTCGGTGTTCTATTCTGCGAATCCGTTGCTTTCGAGTCAGAACTTCCTTAGTTATTTGGCTGCTTTTTCAGCGATGCTTGTGGGCGCTTGTGCCGTGCTTTGAAGCACGAAGTGGACCATGATCGCAGGCACTGGGTCCAATATGTCTCTTCTCTCGCTTGATGCGGCTAGTGTTGTTGAGCACTGTTTTCCGCTGCTGTGGAAATTTTGTTTCTTTCCAACCTTCAAGCTTTCCTTCCATTTGTTTTTTTCGGTTCACTAGTATATTCCCAAGCCTCTGTTCACTTCGTTTCGTCATTCTTTTGTTTTTGCCATGGACGCTCGACATGCAGCGATGTTTGGCGTTAATTTATGCGGCTTGAGCAATATTATTGGCGTTAAACGATCGATACCTCTCCGCTATAAATTTTCCGGTCTCCAACTGAATGCGTTTGATGACAAGGTCCCGTACATCCTTATGCCGCCGCGGTTCTTGTTGCCGCGCCTGCGTAAGCACGATGTTTTGACAACACGCTCCCTCGAAAAAATCACCAACGGCCGCACAGGCAGTCTCAGGGAATGGTGGACACCGTAATGGTGCCAGCGCCATTAGAAATGCCTTGAACATGCCAACTCGAATTTTTACGAGCACCCCCAAACCACGTTCTAAGAAAGATGAACTTTATCGCAGCCACGATCTTCCTTGCCGTTACACTTGTTGTAGCCCTAATCCTTGTGGCGATCAGCCTGAAAAGAGCTACACAAGAATCAAGGGAGAAACAGGATGTGGTAAGGACATCAGACTTGAACGTAAAGATAAGCTCATAATCTAGCCACGAGAAGACCCTATGTCTCTTCGAACAGTCAAACGAACTATTCCAAGCGAAGTACCCTTATCAGTGAAGGAGTATGTAGAGGAGTTGTACAAGGAAATGGGGGATCTGTCTCTGGGTTCAAGCACGAAGTCAGGTTCCCCCTGGGTTCCAGCCATTGCAGGCTGGTGGACACCGGGACAGGGTGACCTTCTGCTTGACCCAGTCCACTTCTGGGTTGTGGTGTAGGAGCCATGAATGGCCAATTATCACTGTCTGGCGGCCCAATGAATTGCATCAGCATTTGCTCCGACTCTCTATAGTAGCCCAGGTTATGAGCCATTAACCACTTTAGCAGAACGCACCTCGAATTGGCTAACTACTTCAAGGAAACCGCCGATTGTGCCTTTGAGGCCAGGAACAGGGACACCATCCAGGCTTACATGCGCAATACGAAGCACACGTTCTGAACAGTCCCAGCACCTGCACCACCGGGTTCTACCGCGTCAGGTGCCTGCGATTATGCTGGGCGGCAGTCTCCGGCACTGCCACAAGATCACTGAAAAAGCAAACCCGTCGTGTGCGGATCACGACGCTGCCTGAAGCAGCTCCTCATGCACGAATCCCTGGCAGGACCAAGGATGGAGTACTGTATGCAGTGCAGATCAAGCATGCCCAGGTTGTAGGGCTGCAGGCATATACATATAAATCGGTGACTTGCGATTGTCTGACATGGGGGTGTGGGGCGCTTCAATGTCTGCTGCTGTGTATGCGCGTGAACGTTCTGGTCGAGCCCTCACGCTCAGGATGCGAATTCTCGGTCCTCAATGCCACTGCTTCTTGTGAGACACTCTGGAATCTCCTAGGCGAGCCATAATCGCGGGTTCAACCATACTCTGTTTAGTTTGAGTAGTTTTGGCCTACACAGTCCCCATGACGCCCTTTCTGTGTGCTCCATCTATGGGCCCTTGTATATTGATAAAGACTATGTAGTCGCCCGGGTTAGGCGGGGAGTACCTAGCACGCAATGCGCGGTGCTGATGACGCCTTTAATTTCGCGTCACGCGCTGTTGCTCGTACATAGTCATGTTTGGACAGGAGAAGTATCACTTATACATATCTTATCAGAGGAAAAAAGAAGCCCGGGGCTGGGGACGTACTGCTCTTACTCTTATGACAATAGTGGACCGTTTTCTATTGACTGTTGGGCTGGTGTTTCTTGGTATGTTGATCGATGTCTGGGAGGTTTGTCTTCCCGAGATGGGCTTGTGCTCTTTCGCTCTCCTAAATATGGTGGTACTAAGGGTCCACACGGCGGCGCTGCAGTTTGCCGCCGAACACACATCTTATGAATCGCCGTCGAATCCGCCGTTTGGGTCTTAACACCAATCCTCAAAGCAGATTGCCAAGGCTATAGCGTGAGCTCGCCCTTCATGGTACTGATAGTTGGCGAATTCGGAATATCGGTCTGGAGCGTTGCTGACATGTGTGGGGTGAGAAGATCTTGTCGCATGTTGTGATAAGGCCTCTCAGTCCTCACGTAGGGACGGCGGAATGATGGGATAGTAAGGTATGCCCATCAAAACTCGTCCCTGGCGAGCTTTGACTTTGTTCACCTCGATCGTCTCAATTGCGGAGCCTCCATGTCTTGGTGCCTGGACAAATACTTGTGAATAACATTATTACGGCACCAACTTTTTTGGCACATTTTTCATTGCTTCTCAGGTTGGGGATAGTGATCGCACCACCCCCCACTTACCAAAGGGGTTCCAATTTCACACGATGCGGGGGGTTGGCCTCCGTGTCAGCGGTGGCATTGTGACTGAGGAGCGAGTATGTCGCGTTGAATCCCCCTTTTCCAGCTTGTTGTGTCTTAGCCTGGATTATTTCGTTTGGAATGGATATGGACTCTGCGACGTCATGTCATCAATATCTGTGCGTCATGGTAATGTGGTGAGATCCTAGTACTATCATGGTGCCCACTAAACGTCTTTGGCTGATTCCTTCCTTTTTCACAAACATGTATGTAGCGCATCTACGCCGCGATTTCGAAAATAGGAATAACAACACGATCATTGAAATTGGTAGCATATCTTGTCATCTGGTATGATAAGGTTTGTTCGCATAGGCGAGTTATTATGGACGAAGTTCATGGGATTCAGGTTGAAATTCGAATCATGTTGATTATATCTATGAAGCAGTTGTACTTGAGGACAAATCATGTTGCAACTGGGTCGTTCACATGATGCACACATGGGCGCCATATCACACTCATGGAAGAAACTAAACCGAACAACGCGGCGGCGGGGTAGAGTTCATTATCATCCGAATAGCATCCGTGCATAGAGATACACATTCGCACCCAGTTCTATATTGGTGCCCTGCTACAGATCTAGAGTACGTGCAACACCAAGTACCGGTTGAGCTTGCTCGTAAGTGAATACGATTTACATGATTTGCAAATTTGGGAGTGATCAGCTACATCGGCCGATAAAGGCAACTCCCAATACAGGTTTGCTTAGATAAAACTAATCCACACCACGATAGTGCAAGCTCGTACCCTATCCTCCAACCCCTCCAACAACCCTAGCGCCAAGCAGTTGTTCGAATAACTACAAAATAGATGCCTGCTGTTGTGACTGCCCGCATCAAAACGGTCATGGGAGCACCGATCCCATCTCACTTGCCACATGGAATTTCAGTATCGTTGCCAACTTGGAAAGACAATATAGGGTACGAGGAGAGCGATCCTCGAGTTGTCAACCAAATGCAATCCGGCTATCCAAGATTTTTTATCAATCTTCACATTCGGCGTGTAAGTTGTTTCCCAGTGGTTCGATCCAGTGCTAAACACCTCGTCACGCTGTTACAGCTAGAAAGACTTTGCGAGAAAAAGTTTGGCCTTCCGGGAGAGCGCTGCCATCTCTTCCCCAGCTCGAGAATCGCCCAATCATGCAGGGCATTTATGCATGCCCATTCCCCTGGCCCAACCGCACCAATTCCTGTCAGAATTGCACAATTTATGTTACAACCGCCCCCCACTGCCCGGACCGCCCGAACTACTTCGTCTAATCAACCCTCCGTTGAGCTCCACATCGTTCTTTTTCCGCTTGAGCATGCTGCCCTGGCAAAGTCATACTGGCAGCATACAGGAAATGGTATCTCCAGCCGCCTTGCCGAATACTGTCTCTCTCTCCTTCCGGTCCCAGATTTGATCGACCAGTGTGAGGCTTTATCAGGAATACCGATTTCCCCCACTCCGCCAACTAGAAACAGGTTCGGAAAGCATTATGGGAATAAACGAGATTCGCTGCGAGGATCTGGAGCCAGCACTCCCGTCGGATCCGGCACGGTGACACCGAAAACGATAGACGATGGATTAACACCCGAATTCAACACGTACCTCGAAGAGAGATATGGGCGAAATTTAGCACTTTCAAATGCCGACTTGGCCAAGCGGGCTCTCAGGCGGCGAATTGCTGGCATCATTGCCCCCGATGAAAAGACCATGCTTCTGGCACCCGCGGAGGACTTACATGGTCCTCAGAGAAGCGTTAAAGTGACCGAACATGATGTCTTCCTCTTCCCCGCTGGAATGAGTGCAATATGGCATGCCCATCAACTTGCTCTTGCAGCACTTCCTCCTGCCAAAAGTGTCTGTTTCGGGTAAGACATATGCTCTCAGTGAAACGAAAATCTTAGTTGTACTTATAATCCGCGCGAACGGATTCAGGTTCCCTTACACAGACACCTACAAGATTCTCCAAAAGTGGGGACGTGGGTGCCACTTTTTTGGACATGGATTGGATTCGGACATCGATAGCTTAGCCGAGCTCCTCAAAACGGAGAGAGGCAATGGGAAGGAACCTCCTGTTTTGGCGTTGTTTTGCGAGTTCCCATCGAACCCTCTCCTCAGGTCACCAAACCTGCTGAGACTGCGAGAGCTTGCGGACGAATATGGCTTCCTCATTGTTGTCGACGAAACTCTTGGAAACTTTGCAAACGTCGAGGTCCTGCCATTGGCTGACATAGTCGTGAGCAGTTTGTCCAAAATTTTTTCAGGCGAGGTCAACGTGATGGGTGGAAGGTAAGACAACCATCACTTCTTAAAGTAGTCGCAATAATGCCCCCACTTTCACCTCATAGTCTCGTTCTAAACCCTTCTGGGAATCACTACCCAACTTTGAAAGAGACCCTTGCGTCTACGTACGAGGACAATTACTGGATCGAAGACGCCATATATATGGAACGCAACTCTCGCGACTTGCAGCCAAGAGTGGATAAGATTAATCTTAACACTGAGTATGTATGTGAACTGTTACGATCTAGGTCTCAGAAAGAAGCCGGTGAAGTGACCACGGGAATCAATGGGCAACCGATTGCGCCGGTCATAAAAGAAGTGTTTTATCCCAAGTGGGTGACACCGGAGAATTTCGAGGCATGTCGAATCGGCTCCAAGATGCAGGTGAAGAGGGCGGAGAAGCTTTGTTCAGGGCAGTTGCAGAAGGGCGGATGGGGTGGTCTGTTCTCGGTAACGTTTACATCAGATACAGCATCCGAAGCGTTTTTCGACGCTCTTTCGTGCGACAAAGGGCCGAGTCTCGGCACGAACTTCACACTGGCTTGCCCGTACACGATACTCGCTCACTACAATGAGTTGGATTGGGCTGCAGAATATGGGGTTGAAAGGGGCTTAGTCAGGGTCAGTATTGGATTGGAAGATGAGGAAGAGCTCGAATCCATGTTTATGGGGGCATTGGGAGCCGCAGAGAGGGCTGTTCGCGTTTTGGCGTAGACAGGGGTGTTCTGAATGAATTGAGGCCTTTGTGAACAGTGTCCTCAACGTTCGGGAACACGAAAGTTTTCGTTTCCTCTAGAGGTATAGGCCTATCGTATGTCTAGAGAATGTACAATGTAAAGGACCAGTGGAAGAGCGCTCTTTGTCGAAGTCGTCCGGCATGTTTTGGATGCATTACTAAATTTGGGAAGAACAAGGAACTTCCCGGGCAACCTCAATCTCAACCTCCCATCTTCTACATTCCTGGGTAGGCTTTCGCTTAACACCACGAGGACTATTGTCCTTTATAATTCTGAGCAGCCGGAGCTTGGTATATTATCGGAATAGCTACTGAGCGCTCTTAATCATTTAAAAAGCATCTTCACACTTGGAATAAGTTCAATGGGCGATTACTCCCGGGAATTGCGCTATAGCGATCACGACCGTGACCGCTCTGGTATTGACTCCTCCATGCGGAGAGCTTCTTATGCTACTCCTTATTCTCAGGTTCGTCCTAGGGAATACGATCATCTTGGGAGCATATTTTAACTTGGTCAACAACCACAATCATTGTATTGCATTATTCCCAATTCTCCTGTTAAACCTTTCAGCGCGCTTCATCTTACCATGGAGATGATAGATATAATTTGGACAGGAAGCCCCATGCTGCATATGCTATTGATCATAGGGATAGGTTGGCCGATAGTAAATGGGGTCAGCCATCTCATCATGACAGGGATTATCCTCCCACTACACATTCTGCGTCTTCTTGGGACAACACTAGGGTTTCAAACTACTCGCGATCCCCAAGCCCACCGTATTCTCGACGTGTAGGCCAGGCATCATGGTATCCGGATGACCATATGCGGCCGAGCACATACGAACGAGAACGAGCCCCACCTTTATCCCGTGTAGCATGGGATGATGATCGCTCATTCCAGCCACCGCCTACATATCCTCCGGATCGTATTCGGAATTGGAAAAGCGATGCGTACGTAATCGTGATCTTCCACGATTCGAACAACTGAGTTCAGTTTCCTGTCCCAGATATTCTCCACCACAAGATTATTACCGTTCTGGAACATCCAATAGAACGATGGATATTGTACCAACGGATTCTTCAATACACTCTGGGGGATACAATCGCTCTAGGGCTTCCTCTTTTTCTGAAAGACCGGATGGTCGTACGGTTTCCAGACAGCCCATGGACACTGACGTTTATGGGCCTCCGCATGCCTACGGTTGGTCACCTTCAGGCTCTCACACGCGACAGTATTCCATGGAGCCCCCAAGTGGTCACCATCGAAGACTATCGCCCCCCCCTGAGCCCATGTATGCTCGTTCAGATTATTCGGGGCTGCCCAGAACTATGCATCCAGCTATCCCAAGCCCTGTATCCCCCGTGCTATCGAGTGATTTGCATAAGCGCAATAGAGCATCCTCGGGAGCTTCGACGTCGCGGAACTCCTCTCGGTCAAATTCCTTGAGCTTTTTCGATGGCCCTCGCCAGAGACCAGTGGAACCAGTGTCAATGGTCCCACCTTCTCCTGTTATATCTCCAGATTACGTATCACCACGAGGAGACATTGATCAGCGAATGAATCCTCCCGATTCGGCACGTTCATGGCCACTGCCACCCAAAGCTCGAAGCGATTCCAGATCCTTTTCCCAGTCTGGAAATCGTCCACCATTTCCCAGCCCCCCAACCCCTCGTGCAGGTTCATACGAAAAACCAGAAGGTGTTCCGTCCACAGGATTTGTTGAGCCTTCCAACAGCAATCTCGGTGGATCCCGCAGCCGCGCTGGCTCAATACCGTCGTACGATTCAGGTGGACTGGGCAGAAATATCCCTCAAGCAATGTCGCTGGTCGGCGGCTCGAAAGCACCAGAAGTCAATCAAATGTCAATTAAGCCGTCACCAGGGAGTACTGTCGTCAAGCTCGAAGACGTTCCAATGAGTATATCATCTCGTGAGACCTCAACGGCAGTTCATGGTATTCAGAACCGTCATAAGTCGGCGTCGCTGTCGTCAATGGAACGGAGCGACAGTAGTCCGCCTGCCGAGAAATCGTCGCCTCATTCTTCTCAGGCCTACGCTATTCCCCTCAGGATTAGCATGACTGAAGCCAAGAAACGGTCTGCACCAGGTGACAAAGCAATAACTTCATTACCTGCTCCTTTACCTACAATTAACCGAGACTGGCCATCAGAAATGCCCAGGCTATTCCCATCAGATCTAAAAAGCCCTCCGAAGCCGGTTGCCTCGACAGCATCTGCAAAGTCCACTCCAAATTTGGGCTCGAAGCGGGCCGAGACCCCACAGACGCCTCTACACAGCTCGGTTACAAAAGTAAACTCTTCGGATGATGGTACTCCGATGTCGATTACACCTTCAGCAACTCTCTCAGATAATGTACGGCGGATAGTGCAAACCGATGGCGGAGGAGCTGAACACGCAGAGTCGATCTTGGCGTGGAATCAACAGATACCTCAGCCGCGCGAGATTGGAGGGAGGTCGTCAGATACCCAAGGTCACTATGATTCACGCCCTTTAATGAGCGTTTGTTCACATCTGATTGTTTTTTTCCCAGCCCCAGTTAGTGAGCATGATATGCAACTAGATGTGGCACCCCCTTTTTGTTCGGAAGTCGTCGCAGTTGAGCTCTTCCGTGGGGGAGCTATTCCCGAGTCACAAGATGACGACGTAGATCAGATTCTATCTCAGAACCGCAGATTACGCAATAGTCCCGAGCCTGGGCGCCTCCCGGCTCCTAAGTCCGCTGCACCAACAATTCGTAAGATTCCGTGCAGCACTCAACATACAGTTGCTAAAATGTCTCGCAATAGCAAAACAACCAAAACAACAGAAACAAGAAACTCCTACCCCAGCGCCACAGCAAGACCCTCAGACCGTGAACGTTGCGGCTCTCTTTCATCAATATGCAATAGATCTTTTCAGAAGCTGCTTTGAAAATCCACCCCCGCTACAGGAAAACCCCGTTGATCGTCAACCCCAGCCTCAACCCCAGCCTCAGCCTCAGCCTCAGCCCCAGTCTCAGCCTCGGCCCCAGCCCCAGCCCCAGCCCCAGCCCCAGCCTCAGCCTCAGTCTCAGTCTCAGCCTCAGCCTCAGCCTCGGCCCCAGTCTCAGCCTCGGCTCCAGCCCCAGCCCCAGCCTCATCCCCATCCCCAGCCTCAGCCTCAGCCTCAGCCCCTGTCGTCTGTTCCTTCGCTACCCGTTGTGCCTCCGCAAGTGCAACCGGAGTCTGCCCCGAAGCTTGTTTCTGCTGGTGCTGCGTTAACGCCACCTGTCCGCTCCCCCCCCCCTCCGTATGTTTTCTCGTCACCCGTACCAACAAGCGCGTTTCAAGATGCTCTTTGGAAATCGACTCATGAGCTGAACACTGTGGAGCCTGAGCCGCATGCGATTCGTAACATCATGAACCGCAATTGGTCACTACACGACCAAGAGTTCCGCCGAACAAAAGCCTCAATTTCGAGCAGCTTCGAGAATAATGAAGCTACACTGGCTAGCACGGAACTGGGGAGGGAACTTCTAGCCGACATGAACGCTTCGCAAAGAGCGCTTGAGTCAAAACTGGATGCGCTCCGTGATGAGTATAAGGCATTTCATGAGAGCTGGAACACCATCGACAACGGCTCGATCGATTGGCCGAAGTACGAAGTAGAAAGCAGAACCTCCTCAACGGTGATGACGGCCAAGGAAGGTCAAGTCGTCGTGGCGCCATCACCATGGGGGACATGGCGAGGTCCGATCTCGAGTTAGATCAAATAATGGCTTCGCTAGTCAACGAAGACATGACTAATCCGGATATTCTTGCCCGAAAGAATTTGGCTAATGTTCCTGACATGGTATCAGTCACTGATCCCAAGGCTCTGCGGTGTCAATATATCGACAATAATGGGTTGGTTCTAGACCCGGTTGCATTCGCGGACAGTACTCAAGATGTTGGAGATTGGTCCTTTGCTGAACGGGAGATTTTTATACGAGCGTACCTTGCTACCCCCAAGCAATTTGGAAGGATAGCTGAACAACTGCCTCATAAAACTAGGGAACAATGTGTCTTGTTTTATTACCTCAACAAACACTCCATAAACTTCAAGGGCCTTATCGCAAAGCAGAATGGAGGCAGAGGGAGGCGAGGCGGGCGGAGACCGGGTAGGCAGAAAACTAGCGCACTTCTCAAGGATCTCCGACGCCCCCAGGATGATTATGATGATGCCTCCCCCGCTGATTCATCTCCTGCCCCTCCATCTGAGAGCGATGCAGGACCCTCTCGACTTCGAAGAGAAACGGAACCTCGAAAAGCCGCGCTCATTTCCTACCAACAGATATCCACGGACTCTGACATTGATTCCGATGATAGCCAGTTAGCTCGCAAACCAGGAAGGGGACGCACAAAGGCCACCGAAACTGACCTCGATCCTACTTTCACCGGGAAGTCACGGCCGAAGCCCAAGTCTGGCAAAGGATCTTCGACCCAATGGACAGCTGTTGAAAAGAATATATTCATGACTCTGTTACCGAAATATGGGAAAAATTGGGCGTTGATCGCAGACTCACTACCCGACAAAACGCCGATGCAAGTTCGCAATTACTTCCAGAACCATTCTGTGGAGCTTGGGCTTCCTGCGATTGCGGCCCGGGCTGAGAAACCGCCTCGTGGTGCTGGTAACCCTAATAAGGTAGCCTCTCCTCGCGGTGATAAAGATTGCGTCGCGACTAATGTCACATCTCATAATGTGAAGATAATCAAGCCAGACGAATCTGCGCCCAATACTTCGCCCCTCCCCAACGCGTACGACCCACCAGTGTATCCTGTTGTGTCAGTTCAACCCCAACGATCCTTCACGGGCAATCCTAATCCAACCGACTCCAGGCGCGACGCAGTTAATGGCTCGTTCCAATCGCACTACGTTCAACCAGAAAAACCGGCAAAAGACATATTCATTCAACAACGTATTCCCTCCCAACCGTCGTCGTGATTTATTTCGATCAATCAACATTCACAATCGTTCCGGTGTCGACGCCCCACGTCTATCGTTATTCCATAACTACATGAATTTTAACCAGGTACTGATACCCCTCGCCATGTGTATTCTCTCCTCGATGGTGCATATATTCCTACAATAGAAAGGCATCGGATTTATTTTTAGGATTCCAGGAAGAAGTAGTTTCCAGTAGCTGACGCAAGGTAGACGAATCAGCAACAGTGAGGGACACAAACACATCATAGATCTCACTCTTCTGTTCCTTATCCTTCACACTATTGAGTTTATTGACACGGGGGCGATAATTTGTTGGATCACGGCGGAAGGTGATTTCCAAAGATGCCAAGAACTTGTTCATACCTGTCAAAAGTGATTGAGGGCTGTGGGAATTTGCTAAGTCAGCGGCGGTGCCGCCCTGAGGGCAACTGGACTGACGGAGTGGCGGTGGCGGCCACAGCAGGTTTTCCCCCAAAGACAATCACGCGATCAGCAAGGTAAGTTGCCATGATGAAGTCGTGCTCGATGACGAAAGCAGTTTTTTTGGCGTGAAGGATGTACCTGTGCCCAAAGTGTAAGTTCTAGGAGATATAACTGACGTGACGCACGATACGTACCGCTTGATGACCTTACTAGCTTGAATACGCTGTTCAACGTCGAGGAAACTGCCTGGGAGTCAGAGGGAACCCGGCTATGCATACAATAAGCAAGTACCTAGATGGCTCATCCAGAAGATACACATCCGCCTGCGTACTATTTATGAATGCCGATTTGCACCACTCGCAGTAAAGTTCCTTACCGGCTTGCCTAGAGCCAACACAATGGCAACTCGTTGGAGCTCACCACCAGACAAGGTTTGCACATCGTTGTCAAGGATAGGTTCGATGCTCATTGGTTTGACGACATCAGTTTGGAACTGAGGGTGCATGAAGGCCGTCTTGATCTGTTTCAATAACAATGCGCGCACGCTACCAGGGAACTTCGGAGCAATCTTCTGGGGCTTAAGCGATACAAGAAAAGTCTGCTTGTCGGTCTCAATATCAGGCGCATCACCAGCCAGGAGCTTGACAAAGGTGGTTTTCCCAGTCCCGTTCTCTCCCAGCATGACAATTATTTCAGAGTCGGTGAAGCTTCCGGGTTCGACGGTGAGTTTGAAGGTACCAATGGTCTTGGTCATTGCCGGGTAGCTGTATCGGCGCGACTTGTCCAAAATGAGCTCCTCAGCGTTTTCGCTCAGCTTGAATGATAGTGCGTCATCTCGAAATCGCAGATTTTCAGTAGGAATGAACCCGTCGAGGAAGATGTTAATACCTGGAAATCTTCAGTAAGTCTAACGTCACTAAAAGAGGTCAACACACCCTCCCGAACGGACGAAGGCATCGTCACAACGCCGTATGCCGAAGATTTCCCGTAGAGGCAACATATGAAGTCGGATAGATAATCAAGCACAGATAAGTCGTGTTCGACAGCAATGACATAGCGATCAGGACCCAACAAGTTGCGAATGACACGAGCAGCCTGTAGACGCTGCCTGATGTCGAGGTAACTTGACGGTTCATCAAACATGTACCTAAAGCTTGGCTTAAGATTCCCGTATCAGGATCAAGTTGTTAGCCCCCCTTACACGTCAGCTTCCTGGATACATGCAATCGCAATAGCAAAGCGCTGTAGTTCCCCACCAGAGAGTTGGGCAGGCTGCCGCTGGAGAACTTCATTCAGCTCGAGAAGGCCACAAATCTCGGCCTTGTTATCTCTCTGCTGCTTCCCATCCAACATCTGGTCGACGGTTTGGTCGCCTTTAATCGCGCGCGGTATTTGATCCACATACTGGGGCTTGATGAGCGCTTTCAAATTATCTTCCAAAATTTTTGTGAAGTAGTTCTGGAGCTCCGACCCACGAAAATACTTCAAAATTTCAGTCCAATCTGGAGGATCCTAGAGGATTCATAAGCAGAGACCTAATTACCCTGAAATGAAAGACATGCTTCGTATCGCCCCAAGTTTGGTTTCACTTTGCCTGCCAGGATATTGAGAGCCGTGCTTTTCCCGATACCATTGGTACCGACCAGCCCAAGCACCTGTCCGGGGCGAGGAGTAGGCAAACGATGCAATTTGAATGAGTTCGCTCGATAGCGATGCGTGACCTCATTCTGGAGGTTGGTTGGGAGGTTGATGATGGTGATGGCTTCGAAAGGGCACCTGAGGCAGATGTTGGCATAACAGAACAGAAATAGAGCTGATCAAGCTGCTAGCCTCTTGACGCAAATACCGCATCCTATGCACAATACTTCTGAAATGAAAGCGATCTTGTCCGATGGCTTGACCTCGATACACAGACGACCTGCACATCCACTTTAACGATATACCTCCAAAAATTACAAGAGACACACCCATCCTCACGACTGGACACGACTGAGAACACCGATGATGAGTGTTTATGACTCAGTCGACTGTCCATTGTCACTCACCTTTTTGCACTCCTGGGAGCATCGCTTGGGACGGCATTTATTAGAGTCAACGATGGCAATACGTGTGTTAGATTCAGCCATAAAGTTTAACACCTATTCTGGCTTTATCTCAAGCCCACAATGGCCCTCTTCAAAGAAGATGGACCGATCCCGGCAGTTCCCGTCCCCTGGGCCTCCACACTGATCCATGCCCAAGAAAGCTGACAACAAGAAAGGAGGCGAAAAGAAGCCTGCCGATAAGAAGGGCGCAGCGGCTTCTAAGAATAAGAATCTTGAAGATGGGTCAGGAAACAAGGACAAAGTAATGTCGCTTATCCCGCACCCGGGCTTACTGCAGTCGTTCATGGTCGAAATTTACAGCTAAAGGCAGCTACGGTATAACTACATGTTTTCTGAGCGTTAAGTTGGACGGGGAAATCCTCAATCATCATTGACAGGCGGTGAATGTGCGGCACATCTTGTGCGAAAAACATTCAAAGGCTACAGAAGCCCTGCAGAAGATCCAGGTAAGGGAATACTGGTATTCTACTCGTCAGCACTGAAATTACGTGAAAATTTGCGTTGTTTTAGGAGGGTGTGCGATTTGATAAAGTCGCTCAGGTCAGCAGCTGGTCACTGAAGGAGTTGTCATGAGGCTTCATATCGCGTGTAAATCCATTCCAGGAATACTCGGAAGACAAAGCAAAAGCTGGGGGCAGCTTGGGATGGATGGTTAGAGGCTCCATGGTTGTGAGTCCCAAGTTTACTCTGTCATCTTTTGTTGACCGAATTCGTCTGCGCCGCAAAGGGCGAGTTTCAAGACGCTGCCTTTTCCCTGACACCATCCACCACTGACAAGCCCATAACGACCGGGTTAGTCAAAACCAAGTTTGGCTACCATATCATAATGGTGGAAGGACGGCGGTAAAAGGGTAAGAATTACTCTCCATGCCAAATTGCCGCATGCTGCAGGCATTGTTGTTCCCCGGAACCGGCTATAAATGAAATCGAATTCCGTCGCCTTGTCGCTATGTCGGTGGGCCAATAGCAAGTTATGAAACCCCCTTGCAGTCTGTACGGATTCTTTATGCAATCGATCTTATCCATCTATCAGACAGGGCACGGACGAGAAATGGCTACATAGGTTATGCCATCACTGCGTTCCACAGCTCTACATCCCAACTAGGCCAACCCTGTTGTGAGGGTTTCCTTCAAGCGCAACGCTTATGGTGGGTTAAATCGGTGGGTTAAATGTCAGTTCGTTTTAGTCAAGCTGAAATGCAGCAGGGGTGCTGCCCCTTAACCCAAGGACCTCTTGCCGACGGCTAAAGTCTTTTCGCATTCTGGGGCACCATCTCAACGATAATACCTCCCCAGGCACGGCAACAAAGCGTCAATTGAGGCCACTGGCACCCAACTACTGCCAGAGTTTTATCGTAATGTGTGAAATTTGAGGTGGCTACGCCAGCAATCACACGAGCTGTACGCAAATAGACGGTAAATAGAACGGCCTCCCAAATTCGGCTAATTATTCCACCGGTGGCTACGGTTTGGTCATGACAACATCCTCTGTGGCCTTCTATCCTTAACTGTTGCCTGCAATTGGGAAGTCCGTGACGCCCAGCTCTAAATTACAGTTCGGTCAGTGGATATCCGAAACGGGCGTGCCACTCCTAATTACAGGCTTAACTGTACATCACCAAGTTACGTGAACAACCGGGATGCTGGGAATGGGCATCAATCCCGAATATATGGAGATCATATTTATATTTAATCACCCATGCTAAAATGGCCAGGAACAGTCCTCTATCAGTCAAGTGGGTTGAGTATTGAAAGGAACCCCGGTAGGAAATCTAAGGTGGCTAGCAGCGATTCCAGTAAAGAAGGGACTGAGGAGACAACGAATGATGGGAAAAGAAATGCAACCGGCGCGACGGCGCGACGTGGTATTAACGCCCCAAGAAATAGAAAGATAATGTCACCCGTATCAAGACGAAAAAGTTCGTAACAAAGACGTTGAATACAAACGCATCACGGAGTAATATCTCATCAGTTGGGGAAACCGAAGAGTCCCTGGGCATTGGTCGTAAACAGCTCGTTCTTAGCGGCGTCGTCAATCAAAGTGCTGGAAATAACTGCGTTTAGGTTGGCGCCCTGGGCACTGGCGGGTTGTGAGTAGGGAAAATCCTGACGACAAAATTCGAAATAAGTTAAGGCCAGTTCCACTAAGTCAGGGGTAATAGGTACTCACAGAACCAAAGCAGAGCTGCGTGGCTGGGATATCATAGCCTAATAAACCGCTGACTTGATGGAAGAAGGTCGGGCCAGCGGAGTCAAAGTAGAACCTGATTTACGCAATGCGTTCAGGATGTATTAGAGACAATCGCAAGATTCATGACATGCCTTGACTGGAATATCTCCATCGTTGCATCGTAAATTGTGGGGAATCGCTTCAACATGCGATCGATGATGGAGGGGAAAGCACCGCCCTCTACTCACAACGATTAGATGTATCCCAGAATAATGGAAATGCCCAAACCATGAGCCACCATGAATTTTATATTCGTAAAATTGTGAATCGTCTGGGTGATCGTCAGATCTGAATATGCGCGTGCGGTTTCGTAGCTATTTGAAGTCTTAATGCATTGCCTTCCGGACGTTCGTATTTCACTCACTAGAATTCGAAAAAGCCACAAGGAGTCAACGTGGGGTTAGCAGAAAACCATTGGCCATTGATCTCGATCCTGGGGTCGTGGGGATGGACCGAGACTATGTTTTTGTCTGCACGGTTATCCATATAGTTAAAGAAGTCCTTTAACGTGGGGTTACCCAGGTACAGGCCTTCGTGGTTCGTGAGGAGCATAACCCCAACTCCTCCTAACACATCCAAGCAGTAATCGGCCTCGGCTTTAGCAGCTGCCACGTACGGAAGAGGCATTGAGCAAAAGAACGAGAATTTATCAGAGTGGAGGTCGCGATATGCCGCTAGCTGGAGGTTCAGCAATCGAGCAAGAGCTGCGGTAAAAATTCTATTCCCATAAAAAACGTTCGATCCAGGAGTGGATATCGAGATGATGCTGTGGCCGATTCCTTCACCCGTCATGAAGTCCAAGTGTACAGGTAAGCTCCAGCCTATGGAAGTATGACTAGGAACGTTGATTGGCAGGGGAAACGGGAAAATCCGCACCAGTGGGAGTGGGGTTTTGCCCAGTGATGGGTACAAGGCTCAGATACCAGGGCGGAATGACATGACCTATGGTAAAGAATGCGCTGTGTATTTTGGGCGTGCATGTGCCCACTTACTATGGACATCAATGATGCCTGCTCGGCCGGCGCGCTTGTCGAAAACGGAACGTCGCTGCGAGAGAGAAGTGATGTTCGCTGCCAGGAGATCGGATACAATGGAGGACAGGGCAGCATTCGCAAAGCCAACAGCTGTTAGGTCAATACCATCTGTGAAGAGAGTATAGCTTAAACAATGCATGAAACACGCTGACTAAATGCCCCATGCCTCGTTTTGCCTCATCAATGAGCTGCGACGTTAAGTCGCCTTGAACAAGCACTAGGCGCAACAATGTGAGCACCAAAATGAGGAAGGAGGACCTCATGACAGAACAGATGACGCCGTTCCAAGGGAATTGAGGGAAAGCGTGGTTGATATGGGCTCAAGGACATTTCTCTAGGAATTTTAAGGTCGAGAGAGATAATCATATTTATTGCTTCCGGCAGGGACCCTTGCCGAGCAAAAATCTATCGCGGTGCCGAGGCAAGGTGAAGGCGCTTGCTTTGTTGTCAGCCTGAAATCCCCAGCTGATAAAAACCGCTCGTTGCTGGATCAATGAAAATCTTCCTATACTCCTCGGGGGCCGAACTCTGTGTTGGGTTATTGTCTAGGACCAGCCTATATTCGAACAAAGGATGGTCTCGCACCGCAAGAGCCAAAATGATTGGACAGTACCCTACCAGTGGATTACATAGACCGAGGATAGAAATTTGGAATAATTGCCAATAAATGCCGGCTGGTTGGTTATGGAATGTTGGTATACGCCAATGCTCGCTAACCCCATTTACGCATTGCATCTTTTTTCCGTACGCAATACACAGAGACCGCATATGTATGCAGGATTAAAGTATCCTTATTGCAAATTCTCACGAAGACATCCGAGATTGATCCCAGTTCTTTCAGTCTGGCGACCCAATTTTCAGGATACGTAGGGGTTGCTCTGTCTCAGTGGTAGCGTAGTTCTGGGCCGCGGTCTTAAAGGCCCTGTTACTTATAGTGTGCAACCATGTCAAGTGGCCGACACCAGTCCATTCCTTTTCGGCTTCTCCTCACTCCCCTCAGCCATGACCAATTGGGAGTCGCCGGCCGAGGTTCAAAAGGACACCAGTATGTGTGCCAAGCTTGAATGGGTCACATATTTCAGCCCTTGATATTCCTCTCCCACAAGAGGTCTGGGCTTGCTTCGTTGTCGCACTCTGCGGAGTCGCCACATGGGATGTTCTTGTCACATTCTGGTTCGACTGGCAAATTTTATCGGGAAAGCGAAACTGGAAATGGCCCATGGTATGCGCTCGTGGCTAGCCTTGAGCAGTAGCTTATTCGTGTGTTGTCCACTGGTTCGTTTTTAGGCCCTCTATTTCACCGCACGCCTATGTTTGCTATTTCATTTGTGGTTTCTTTCCATCAATCTCAACGCTGTCAGTGAGATCCCATGCCAGGCTTTCTTATACATTCTTAAGGGTATGTGCGCCCATCGCACATATATACATTAGCCACTTTGACCGATTCTGACACCTCACCCATGTAGTAGCCGACATGATTGGGACCACTTCTTCAAGTTCAATCTTGGCGCTTCGTACATATGCGATTTGGCATCAAGACAAACGTGTAGGGATACCCCTCGCTTTGGGGACGCTTGGTCAGCTTGTAGCTTGGTGCCAAAGTCAGTTATTCCAGGAGAGTTGTTTACATGGTGTCTGAAACAAGATACTCCACTATCTAGCCCTTCGCTTCTCCATCTCAAGGTGGGATCCTGTTCGGAAATTTTGTGCTCGCCTACAGACCGCTCCTCCTGCTGTCATGATCACTACCTTCTCATACAGTAAGTTTTAGGTGCCACCCGCTCCGAAACTTTGATTCACTGGTTCATACATAGCAATTGGTCTGGACCTTTGTATTGTGATCCTCGCTGCTTGGAAACTGGCACCTAGAGCTCATGGAGGGGGTATCGGCGTTGTTCTATTACGGGACGGAATTGTGGGTAGCCATGCTTTCCTTTTCGTTTACTGCCCTTTGATAACTGGCTCTCGCCAAACTCAAGATCTACTTCATTGCGGTTTTCTTGGGGAATACACTGGAGACTGTCATGGTAGCTTTGGACCTTAGCCCCGTCATGAACCTTATGGCCGTTCCCTTTGCGCTGACAGTTTCTGTGATTGCCAGCACAACCGTTTTTCGCCATGTATTCATGCACTGCGAATCTTCCTCCCACTTTGGCCCAAGCAATGGCGAGGGCAGAAAGGCATCCTCATTGCAGGTTAAAACCCCCGGTGGCAGCGGTCCTTACGGGCTCAAACGCTCTCAGCGATCTACGACAGACACATTCGCGCTCACCGATTTCAAAACTGCCCCCAACGGGATGGTCGAAATGCCTGTCATAGTCACTCAAACTATCGACATCGAGAGGGATCCGCACAAACCCACCGTAAGTACCTGTCGTTCCGGGCGCCTCCAAGCGACGAGCGACGATCTGAAATCCACTCGATTTATGAAGGACACCTTGGATTATGACCGGCGTGCAACCCGAGCGCAAGCCGTAGTAACACTGGGGGATAACGATATGGACGATGATTCCTTGGCCAGTAGAAATATTCTGTGATCTTACATGCGATGACACTGGGGATTTGGGAGGACTGCGTGCGCTGCTCAACTGCGTATCAGAGTCTGCAGACACCCAGGACCTTGTTACTACTAAGCATTTGCTGGTAACTGGTTTCCAGCTGTCGGCTTCAAGAAGTACTTGATTAGCCCAGATTGATTTGCACAATCATCTATTGTCTACTTATTATCTGCTTCTCTTCCAACACTTGTAGGCGAATCTTTTCTTATTTTGTATAGGATTACGATGTTGGTGTCCGTGTTATAATCGCGGCATTGCAGCCCGATCCTCTGAGTACAGTATCATTAGATATCGCACTCAGCTATACATTTCTGTGTGGCGCAAAGGAACAAAGGCAAAACCGTTAGAACAAGGAAACTTCCCATGAAAGGGAACAATAACCGCAACACAAGGGCATCGGAATGCCACTTCAACAGTCCGGACGAATTTCCAGCCTGCAGACACTTGTAAGTTGTATGTCATCGGGAGGGCCTAAAATTCTGTGAGGTGAAACCTCGTTCAAGTTGCACTGGAAATATGATGGCAGACTGTTCTCGAGACCTTTTCAAAATCCTCATTCCCACAAAAAAATTCGAGTTCCAAAAAGATTTTCAGAAGTGAGACAAAATTAGCATCTTCCTTTTGGAAGCACGACAAATATATTCGGCCAATTCAAAGTACCTAACTTGAGATCAAGTCACGGGATGGGTGCAAGCGCCAGTTACTGGCTTACGGACCGTTGGTACAATGCCCACACAGCAGACACGTACACTGCTGAGTTATGCGCCAAAAATCCCAGCATTTGACGGCAGAGCGGTGTCCGAGCATGAGGCCAAGCTTTATGGCGTCTGGATGAAGTTGAATGGGTCATCAGCAGACAATGTGCCAACTGTTGATGTTCTCCTCGATGCGTTGGAGATATTGGAAAGGTCACCTCCTTCTGTAGTGACCAGTTCTCAACCTTACGATGAGTCTTCGGAGCTGAGAGATGCTATTCTCACCAAGCTTGTATTTGGTGTATATACGCATTTCTCTGAGACATTGCTTAACGAATCAATTGAGGCTGAGGCTGAGGCTTATTGGTGGACGAATATTGAGCGCAATTCTTGGGGCTGCTGGTGCTATTTTGTCCAAAGTTAGTGATCATAATTTATGATATCCTACTTAATGAGTCTGAGAACGCTCGCATTCGTTTGATGATATTTAGCTCTTCCGTTGCGCCTTGTTCGTCTCGGACGCAAAGTCGCAGCAATTGCTAATGAGCAAAATATCCATACTTTCGGCGATACATTCAATCGGCTTGCTGTTCCACACGTTGAAATCTTTAATGCTCTCTTTCCTTCTCTCAAAAAACGATTCATCTTTCCTCGCTCGCCCCTCGCACTCATACGAGAGGAGTGTTCTGAACATCACAGAAAGCTCCAGCGGATAAGAGACAAGCGCGCTGAGCAGCTGGGCTGCCTAACGTTTCTTGGGGCCAATGTCCGTTCCCGATTCGAGACAAGAGCAACGCAGCCCTCAAATATACTGTGGAAAGATCCCAAATTTCTCCATGATCTCCAATTGATAATGGCAGGAGATACGTCGCAAGCGATTGAAACTTCCGACCTATCGGATACCCTGACCGTTCTCCACCAATTTCTTACCCAACTCCTGCCACGACATGTGGAAGCGCATCACACTTCTATACGGTCATACCAGCGCCCCCCAAGGTGGACACGGGCATGGCCGAAGGTCTTTTTCGGACCTCCTCTCTTTCTCCTCATATTCCGCTCGATATACAACAATCGGAGTTCAATTCGTGTGAGTCTCATTGATGCAAAGGAGACGATAAGAGGGTTTTGGGTTCAATGGGTGGTAGAACCTGTAAGGGAAATCCTGAACACCGTCCGAACAGGTGGCGAGAGTGGTCCAAGGGTGACATCGAAGGAAGGGCTTAAATCCGACATGGAGGTGGGTAGTGAAGATTTTCTCATGACAGTACCTGAGCCAGGTGGTAACCGGAATTTCATAGTCGCTAGAACGCATGGTGATCTCACTGGCTACAGAAAAGCAAAATTGGTCGAATGAAGAGCTCAAGGACCTCTCCCAGAAGATCCGGCAAGGGGACTTGACGCCTGTCCTGGAAATGTATGAAGACGACATCAAGAAGCCCCTGCGCTCTGCCGTGAGCGGAACACTGATACGTTCCCTTCTAATTCAGATACAAAAGGCAAAGGCAAGTGAATAGTCAACGCATAAGGCTTCCCTTACATAAATGGGACGTCAACAAGGTGGACATTGACTTCGCTTTGGAGGGCATCGATAAGCTCTTGCGTTCGCAAGAACTCACGTTCGGTTTCGTGGGTGTAGCCCCATCACTAACTGTGCTTTACGTCGTTGGTGGTTGGATTCGGAGTCTATTGGGAAACGGATCTCGATGGAGGCCCGGTGACAAGCGCAGACGAGAGGTGTCACTCCACCTCATTCGGTAAGTATTTGGTTTTAAGGCGAGCTTTTGACCAAACCAACGACGTTCCACAGCCGAATAGAGCGTCTCTTATTGAATGCGGGCATGCCCATACCCCCATCTGAATCGCCCTCTTCCGATGAACCATCAAGCAAACAGCTCCCAGCACTCACACAGGGCTTGCTCATCGTCTCCCTTACTCATCTAAGAAGGTATGCTGAATCCTCGCTCCCTAGGCGCTCAAGACTCCGTGAGGGTTTCCTTGAAGACCTGTCGGACTTAGAAGAATCTTCTTTCGACAAAGAGGAGAAATTTCTAATTGTGCAGCGAATGTGGAGGTCGTGGGGTCAAGACCTTGGTTGGGGATGCTCGGTGCACAGGTGATCCTGTCAGGTAGGTCTCGTCTTAACCGGCATCGCTTATGTAATTACTTCGGATTCAAGATAATCGACAAACTATGTTAGAGAATCACAACGCCAGTCCGTTGGAAAGCAGATACAAATGGAAGCTTGCCTATACGGTAATAATTTAATTTTTGCTCTCCCGATAAATACGAATATTGCACATCTACCACCTTCCCAAGAACCGACCTGCAGCCCAGGTCGTGGTAATGATTCCGAAAGGTAGCAGAACGAGCCAAACGCCAATGTCCCATAGGATTCTCCGCCCAAGTCGTCTTCGCTGCAGACTGCGTTCTTTCCGTCGTAGTAACGAGTCAGCGGAGTTAGGATCACTCGGGGAGACTACCTCGGCGCCATTCAGGTTTTGACGCTCACGATCGCTAGGATCCGCTGCTTCATCAGATATAAGGATGGATAATGGTGGATAAAAATTATGTTCGAAGATATGTAGCGTGGCGGGTAAAGGATACGTGAGGAATAGAATGGCTAGGATGAGAAGGCGAAGAAGAGGCTGGGAGAGTGTTGGTGGCATGCACGCGGCGACGACGATGAACCCCCATAGGCTGTATCGTAACGTGGAGGCACGAGGCGTCGTGCGGGCTGTTGGAAGGCGAGGTGATAGTGAGATGACCCATACGGGGGGTATACTGAAGAGGAAGCAAAGGGTGAATGGTAGCGGGTGCAAATTTCCTCCGGACGAAGGAACAAGGTACCAGGGAAGTAAAAAAAGGAAAGAGATGAATGCGGTCACAAGCATGTGTATCGAGTAGGGGTACACCCGGCGTTTTGGGATGAACGGTTGTGCGCTGGTGACTCGACCGGCGAGATGAGATGCATATAACGGGTATGTGAACAGCGGCGATGCCGAGGTGAAGGCAGTGGTCGCTAGTTGAAAATGTGGTCAGGGTCTGTCCCTTGATTCGGTCCAAACTACATACCAAAAGCACCCCAGTTGATTGTTGCGGAACTCGCGAAGGTAACAGCAGTTCTGCTTTCCGCCGCGCCTGTCCCGGAGTCAGGGCGATGTACCACCATGAGCACAATCAGGACGATGTACGCAGCCTCAGATAGCAGCACTGAGGCTGAGAGCCACTTGGATGTTATGGCGGTCGGGATGATGAAAGGGGTAACCAGTATCGAGCAAATGACTGTGACGACAACTCGGGAGAGAAGGGTGGCAGATTCAGAACTTCGCAGCAGCGCATCAACGGCACCTTCGTGCTGACATTTCAGTGCTGTTACGCCATGATATAACATGTCAGCATCCTCACCTTGAAGGTACATGACACAGATCAACGCGCATATAGACGCAACTGCCACACCAGACACTCTGGATATGCGCTTTCTCCACCGCTCCCTAAATCCGTGCCTCCTTCCATCCCCGCCAGTGAGAGCATGAGCGATAACGTCCTCAATACTATTGAAATGAATAAAAATAACCCATAAATGGCTTTGTAGGACCAGCGCACCTCCACTTGCGTACATAACGGCCAAGAAGTATCCAGATCTGGTTGGACGCTTGTGCAAGTACACACAACAATAGAATCCAAACGGCGCCAAGTGCTTTCGGCTCAAATCCGGAACCTTCCCCCTGTAAGCTTTCAGGCATGAGCATCGCTCCTAGCAGAGGGACAGGGGCAAGGAGGAACAATAGGACAGTTGGAGGAGAAAGAGGCGTCGACAGTCCTGGAGGAAGAGAACCAGATAGATGATACGTCCTTAAAAATGGTGTTGTAGTGCTTATGATATCTTCGGCTTCAGCATCAAAGAGAGACACATTGTCTGTGTCGTCCGGGACAAGTATCAATGCTGCGGACGGCTCGAATGCGGACTCATCACCAAAGTCGCTGGAGAAAGAAGGGCTATGAGACCTCTGGTGTATATTTATTCGACCCGGCTGGAGGCTCGAGGGAGCATCCTCGTGTGGTTGTGGCGTGTCGTTCAAGTTGGAAGACATGTTGATGGTCCCAAACGCAAGAACGTTGTGGCCGTTCAATTTGCTTCCGCCGAGCCCTTCCGCAGAAACAGAGAGAACTCGGATCGCTCATCGTCATCGTACATAGCTGCAGACTAGCAGTGAGATTGAGGGCTCGAAGAATGCATAGCCTCTGCGGGGTTAATGAAAAACAACATCATACCGTCCGGTGCCTTGGTCCGTTCATCGCAACTGTTATTCCAAATTGGCATATTTGAGCTACATGCAAAGCTGAAAATGGTCGAAAAGGATGAATCGTCAATCTAGAGTAGTGTTCCCCATATTCTTTGCAACGTAGGATCGTCGTTTTGTGCTTCTTATATCAGGCAATAGTTCCGCGCGGCATGTTGATCCCGTGCCTGGACTGTGTTGTTCGAGCTATTGGGGAGGCGCAGGGAATTCCGAGTGAATTTAAGTAAGCCTGCGAGGAGGGTTTGTTGCTGTCGGCGGTGAAAAGTGGCGTCATACTGTGGCCATCATCTTGGTGCTTTCACGGTGCCATGGATAAAAGTAAGCCTTTGAGCAATCAATGAACTGATATGAATGCCCCTTGTTCGTGATATCAGCACTAATATTATTGGCTTGGAGCGTGGATATCATACAGAACTATAGGTATATCGCTGGCACATCAACCAATAAGCACTGTGAGCATGGCAAACGCGTAGCAAGGGAAATTTGAAACAAGGCACCTGTCTTGATGTTAACGACGGGAGCGCAAATGGTGCGATCATGAATAAGCCCCGGAGCCGATCAGCAGATTACTGCTGTGCAAAGGAATCGTGTTCAATCGGGTCGGAATTTGTCCAGATGCAGCTGTTTGGTGTATGAAAATAAGCGCCGAGGGGGATGCCGAATTAGGCTAATTTCATTTTCTCGAGAACATTGTTGTTGTGCGTCACATTTGTTGTCAGCCTCGTTTTCTCATTCGCTGGGGCTGCGGGACTCCGCGTTACGTTCTTTCTCGAGTACATGAACGTGCATACTAGCACGGGTCTGCCCAAACTCAAGAATCAATCCATTCACTTTTCTGCCTCTCCTTTGAACCGTCCATCTCGTTTTAGGACACTAAGTTCTCAGTCCAAACCTGGAATAAGAGCACGCCTTTCATCTCTCCACTCCTTACGCCCAAGCCTTAACGTTCGGGTCTGTCTTCATCGTGGTGAAACGCCATCATTACAACTGCTTTCATCGCGTGTTGCCCGTCTTGTCAAACTTACTCGTGCTGAGCTCAAATTGGACAAGAAGTCTCCTGCTAGATTCCTGTACGTAGTCGAGCCAATCCCTCTGGCTCTTTTCAACTCACCCTTCCATCTTCGAATTTAGAGAATTAGCTCGTGCTCAACGTAGGCTGAAAAATCGAGTTGCAATGATCACACGGTACGTGCACCGTCGCCTAACTCCCTTCACGTTTAAAAGGGTATCTGCTCATTTTTCTGCAGCCAACTAGCGCATGTTATGGAAGAGACAAAAGAATCCTTTGCCAGGATTCGACTTGAGTCTGTCTGTAGGAGTAAACTGAATGCGGAAAACTCCCTACGAAGGCGAGTCCTCGCGGCTCGTTCATGTCTTCATGACGCATCTGATCAATCCCTCCGCTCAGGCTTGCAAAATTAAAAGCTGTTGCGGAGGCTGAGCATGAACGCACTCGCGTGTGAGTCGTATCCTTCCCCTTCCTTGTAAAATTGGTCCTGACGATCGTGTTTTCATTGAGTGAATTGCAAGAGACTCAGAGAGAGCTTACCTTATTGCGTTCAGCGAACGCCGTGTTGATCGCGGAAAACGAAAGATTGACGGAAGAACTCGAGAAAACGCGATCATCTTTCTCTCACAAACCGCTTTTCCATGTCCCAGAATTGGCATATGGCCAGTCCGTCCTGCCAGAATTTTGTGCAAGGTGTGTATGGGTTTTGGAACATGTTGCCTCTGTATTTGATCCTAGTTGGGTCCAAGTCACTCCAGACATCCTTCAACAAGCGAATCGGAGCACTCGCTGACTCTCACGCCGCGAAAGGTATGTTTTGCGCTTGTTGCGAACCATTTTGTCCTCATTATCCTTCCAGGCTAGATCCTACAAAAGCTTCGAAGCGTTGGTTCGCCCAACCCCGTGCGGAGTACATTTACCTGCTTTACCTGGTAGTTCACTTGAACCCATCCCCCAATCCCCCGCAGCCCGTGGCCCATATACTGCGCTTACTGTGCCCGCTAACCCAAATCTGGCCAGAAAGGGGTCGTTCCTTAGTGACCTCGAGGGTCATCCAGTCAAAGACATGAATCCACGACGTAACATGAAGGCACTGTATAGCGTTGAGAGCAACAATTCACTGGGAGACAGCTATCGGGCCCCACCTCGGAGGGCGACTTCGGTATCATTTTCGTCTGTAACAACTGAGGGATCTGCTCTATATGAGCCATTCGTTCCTCCACCGCCTCCGCTCCCCATAAACGGATTGTTATTTGACGGTCCTCCGCGTCAGAGGAAGAGGAGCAATGACACGTGGGTAAATTTGATGCCTTCGTCGACGTCTCCAAAGCCTTGTGCTGTTCCTGCCCGGAGATCCAACTCTGCACCTCCATCCAGCCCGCCCTTAGTGCAAGTTCATGAAATTAAGCCAATTCCTCGCCGTCTGCCCCCTCCAATTCCTATTCCTCCCAGAAACCCTAATCGTCCGCTGTCCGCGATTATTTCTGTGGATTCACGTCAAGATGTTTCTGCGAATTCTACCCAAGATGCCACCGTCACAACATCCGACACGTACCATTCCGCGTCCTCAAACTCTACCCCTAATGATTCTCCTGTTGTCCGACCCCTCACCCCACTGAGCCCCGCTCGCAGCGCTGGCAAGCTAGACGAGATGCCATCTACTGCATCATAGGGGCTTTGTGTAGCACAGCTTATTTGCAATTCTCATTTGTGGTTTATTCATTTACGCTCCTGCTTTTCACCCTATCTATTCTGAACCCCCCTTACTTATTTCCTGTTGCATTACCTACTCGACTTGGATCTCTCGCTTCTGAGTGATATCCTTCTTCTAACATTATCTCTCGGTGACCGCCATCTCGGCGATCCTATGTAAATACCCGTCGTACCATATATACCGAGCCTCTGGACTTTTGCTGCTTTCATTTTTCCAACGTGGCTTGGATTGTTTGCACTTATCTTTGCACAATCCGAACGGAAATCGTGTTTAGACGCCGGCCCGGAAACAAGTCGAACGTGTCTAACCAACTGTCCAATAGGAATGTGTTCAGGTTGACACGCTCCCGACACAAACACAAATAACACCCTATTCTTTCGACTCAGTCTCTCGCCCCTTGCAGAAGATAGCTCATATAGGGTGAGACGATCGCGATGGACAACATTCTCCCGTTCCCCCGACTTCTCTGTACTCATCACTGGCCCCATCAATAGCCCTTTGACGCCTCGCGATGTCCCCAGCCACTGTCTCCAATGTCGAGCGAAGTGTCTTGATAGTGGCTTTTGCTACATTTGTAGCTCTATTCGCTCGCATCTCTCCCAGATACCCCTCGACGAAACAGCGATCCTGGATCCTGACGGCATTAGCTAGCTCGGTCATGTCATTGGCCAGCTTGCCCTTTCTCCTTGACTTTGTGAAGGGTGGCAAAGTGTCTTCCCTTGTAGAACGGCGATGGTTGTCTGAGAGTGCTTGTCGATTTTTCCAGGTTTATCTATTCTCGTAAGTCTTATTACTCTTTGATATCCCCCACACCCCCAGCCCCTCACCTCGTGCTACAGCGACCTATCTATCGGATCCTTATACTACCGTGACCGCATCAATCTCCTGACCGGCTGGGTACATCACATAGTTTATATCATCCTAATGCAAGTTCTACTCTCGTGGCAATGGACGCACTTGTTCCTCTTAGCTGCCATAATGGAGCTCCCTACGTTCATTCTATCTATTTCCTACCTCTTCCCACAGACGCGGAATGACATCTTCTTCGCTGCCGTCTTCTTTATAACTCGAATCGCATTCCACATCGTTGTTATCATACAATTACTCAACCCAGGAATTAGAAGGGCCACAGTTAATGGCTCGTTCTGGGCTCCCGCATTGTATATCGTCGCTTTGCCGATGCATGTCCATTGGTTCATTGGATGTGTTCGTGGAATTCTCAAGCGATCCAAGGCTGATAATTCCCCCTCCCCCGTCCATTCGGCCCTTCCACCAGCGGGCGTTGAGATCAACACGAGCATTAGCGCCAGTCAGGCATCATGGGAAAACACTTCAGTGTGGACCAAACCCTATCCACCATCGACCCAATCCCTCCCCACCCGTACCAGTAACGGTCACCGATTCCGTAAGGCACTTGTCGAAATTCGCTTCGAGCCGGTATTCAATCGTCCCATTCAACCTCAACGCCCTCAGTCCTTTGTGGATGCCGATGACGAGGAAGCAATCGGACGGTTGGTCCAACTGGTACATACCGCTCTTGAGTCACGTCCCGCGCGGGTTTCAATTATCGTTGTAAGGAAGGCTGTGGAGATGGGTAAAGGTGTTCGAAACCTGTATCGAGAATTACGAGGATACGGGGCTGATGCCGGAGATGGATTGATGAAAGCCTCTCAGGAGGTCTGGGCATTTTGACTAGACTGAGATTTAGTTTTGTAGAGTTATGCAGAGTCAGATAGGCTCATGCAGTTGCTTTTTCTCGGGCTTCTATAGTTTCTCGGAGTGCTGGTTTGACTGCTTCTCGGATGACTACGACTATCCCTTGGTTTGCTGTTGCTTGTGTTACGAATTTCAAGGCACATACCCAACCCATGTAACATATAACTACCACATGAATCTACCTACCCCGGGACGGTACTTATACAGGAAAACGTACATCGTTCCCCAATTGATCACCGCATTCCACACACCCTCGCCTAGGAGACTCCAGTGGAGACTTTCGAATGACCTGATTTGTGGAGGGTCAATTTGCAGCCGTAGGAGAAGCCATGGTATCAGGAAGTAGCGAGGTTCCAAAAGAGGAGTAGGTAGAAGGGTCGGCAAGAGACATATCGGAAGGAGCAGAGCTTCTAGCAATGATTTCTCACTACGATGAACAATTTGTTTGCTGTGTACCGGTTGCTCGTCGTTGAGGGTCATGGAAGGGGGATAATAGAGGCGGATGAACCATGCGTAATAGCATGTAACATAGACCGGTGATAATATGTACGGGACCAGTGAATGTCTGCGGTAGAGCCGATTCCAAACGTAAAATGTGTAATGTCTATTATCAGACAGAAGGAACGGATGGTGAATTCTAGAGGAAAAAAGAGGTCAGTTCTCTTTCAAGCATATGCTGTTGAATGCATGGCTTACGTGAAGAAGTGAATAATTGTCCCAGTGAGAACGCAGAAGGTGACGTATAACAATAATCGCCTGTAGAGGGTGTCATCACTGGTATCGTAACTCGTAGTTGGAAGTTGAATACCTCCAAGTTCCAGCAATCAAGGACACAATGGCCTTCACAAGATGAATTAAACCCCCAGGCCCCCCAATAAGGACTGGGAACCCCAGGGCCGTACAAAATCCAACAAAGTAGAATAATTGAGGGATATGCATTTGGGGGATATGGTTGGATTTGTCGCCTAATACAATGCCGCCGTTCCAGACCACGAATACAGTAAAAACAAGAGCGAGCAGGGCGTAAGGAATAATGAACGGAAGTAAAGGTAGTATCGCCCTTGGCAGCGACATCACGCTCTTAGCGAAGTCCTCTAAAAAAGATGGCATCGTTCAGGAGTGCCTCTGAAGTGATGCAGTGCGAAATTTACCGATTTTCGCGTCCACCACTACGGGATCGTGTAAATGTTTCGAATGTCCCACCCTTCTCAAGTGTAGCGTCTTGAGCAAGCTCAGCCCAAGCGCATAGAATACCCAAACTATATTGGTCTGCCGGAAAGTACAACTTATCAATCCTAGCTTGAAGAGGACATGAGCTCGACATTCGCATCTAGCACATAATCCAGACTCACAAGTGCAGCCAACCAATGCTTCTGATGGAGCGCAGCAAGCAGGCATGCAAGTACGAAGAAGACACTCCCTGTCTCTGTATAGTACAGAAACGCGAAAAACCAAGTGATGGGAAATGCTGATATGACAATCGATTCCAAGGTCGGTTCCAGCCATGATTGAGGTGCGTCGATACGTCGCAACTTTGCTTGCAGCGATGAAATTAGCGGAGGAAAGAAGGACAATAACAGGATGTTCGTGAGCCTAAGCGTTCCAATGGTGCATTTGAAGAGGAAGATCTTCTTTAGGATCACGGACAGCAAGTACCTAGCTACCACGTAGGAAGTGAGCGGAGTGAAGCAGAAAGTATTGAAGAAGTTCGGAGGCTTACAGGCCTGGTGGTGTTGTTATCTTGGGGTCCCAGGAGTCCCACTCCCCCCTACAGTAAGCCTGGGCTTGAGGGATGTGGAAAGGTTCATCCTGTGATGGGTGATTGTGAAATCGTCCAATGACGTCTTGGAACCGTCTTACCATGTATGGCTCATTAACCACAGTATTCACCTCTTTGGCAACCAAAATGTTGAATGCAGCGAACGCCGCGTAACGAATAGTCTCTTGAGCAATGTCACTCATCGAAGTGGCTAAGCGCCGTGCGCAAATACCTGTCAATAGAAACAGGAAACTCATTTGGCGTCTAAACTGTTGCCTCTTCGTAATAATGAGCGATCTTGCTTTCTTTGACATCGTAGACCGATTTTCGGCACTTTCTCAAACTCTTCTGTCGAAGGCGTCACATCCTTCCCAGACTCAGACAAACTACACACGCGCTGTTCTGACAGACCCACTTATCAAGTCGGTTCGCGATGTGGACGACATCGAAGCGGCTCTATTTGTTGTCCAAGCTCCATCTCCTGGTGTTGAACCGTCTGGGCCGGCATTAGATCTGAAACGAAGAGAGTCGGTCAATGCCACCCCTCTCAGAAAAGCGCGCGAGGCACCACTTCAACTTTGGGACGCTGAGGAGTGCCTTGAATCGGTCCTCAAACTGGGGGAGAAATAGTTAGTTGCCTTAGGCTTATGCTGTTTACCGGTAGTCGTGTGACGCGTCCTCCTGACAGTCAAATCATGCCCAGAGCCCAAGGGCATGCGAAAGAACTGATGAAATATGTTGGAACATTGAGCCAATCTATCTCAATTTTGGAACATGAAGTACGTCACTAACACGCTCTGGAGCACAATATTTACGAAATGAAGCTGGAAAAAGCTAATGCTAGCAAAAAAACCTCTTAAACCAGTAAATCCGATCAGCTCAGCCAAGCAAGAGGAGAAACTTACTAGGGAAATGGAGGCGCGTGTCGCGGCTGCCCGTAGGAAGGTGAAGTCGTCCTCGAACTTCTCCAATATCCTCGTTTAAACTCGATGGATCATTTAGCGCGATGAGCTACTGGGTAAAATCCGTAAACCGAGTGCTCGGGAGACTGGTCACACGACCGAGTCTGATGCATCAATATTCACGTCGCCTTCTACAATTCGAACACTTTTGAATTCAAGCCAGACCGGCGATCCACCACCCGCCCCTCCACCACAGAGGAAGCTCACCACCGCCGAAGCAATCGCCCAACGAAGGGCGGCCCGTCAGGCTACGAGAGATGCCAAGCGTCCTCAGAAGTCCTCGCAGCCCCCGAGCGAAGATGAAGTTGCCTTCTGGAGCGCCACCCCCCGCCCAGTATCGTCGCAATCTAAAGGCCCTAAGGGTGAAAGTGGGGGCGAGGAAACAGAAGAAACATCATCCGCGGGTGGTTCCCCCGTAATGAGCGTCCCAAATCCCTCCCTACGATGGTCACTTGCAGGCCGTAAAGTGGCCCAACCAGAGGAAACAGAGACAGAGCTGGAAAGTAAAGATGAAGAAGAGACTGAAGGGGACGGCGATGCGACCGTGATTCTGGGGGCTGAACCGAAGACGACGCAGCAAGAAGTTGCCCTTCCCCAACGGCGGGCTTTCTCGCTACTCCGCAATCCACGAAACCCACATTCCCGACTCACAGTTGAAGTGCAAGCAAGGATACCTTCGGAAGTGGCCTCAAAAGTCCAGAGCAAACTGCCCACTCAGCAACAAGTCGAATCATCAGAACCCTCAAGTCAAAAGGACCAGGTTGAAACGTTCATCAAGGTGCTGCCCGAGCCGGGGATTCCCTCGCAGCCGTCGACTGGCGTCTCTCCCGAAGGAACGAGTGACAGTCTTCCTCTCCCTGTTACCCCCGAGGTCGAGTCGCAGATAGTATGTATTCCTAGCCTATCTTCTTAGCATCAAAAGCCGACACGCCAGTAGTCTCGAGTTTGGAAAACGGCAGGAGACATTTTAATACCTGACCACAAATACGGTGTTGGACAGCAACGAGTTGGACCGCCGCCACCGGGAAGTCGGGAGACAATGTCAGGAGTACTTTACCAGTCAATTAGGTTGCATGCTGACTCCCCTCCCCCCTCGCAGTAAACTCCTCGTTGCACTGGAAGAAACACCGATATCCTCGAGTAAGAGCACAGACCTGGCGTTGCGATCCGTTTTGTCAGAACACACGGCTACGCCTTCACCAAGTGTCACCACCGTCCAAGTTTTCACAGCGAAGATAATACTTCTGCTGCTCGCTGCTCTCCCGAACAAGGTAGATCAAGTGCGACTCAAAGAAGCGCTGAAGGCCCACCCATGGGCCGCAGTGGGCATCGAGGGAACTGCAGACGCAAGTACCAAAGTGCTTTATACGTGTATGGGAAAAAAGCTGATTGTTATTGAGCGGAGAGAAGGAACGGTGCGTTTCGCATCATGAATAAGTAAACATGTTGTATCCTCAGTCTGTGTCGTCCTCGATATTTTTATGTCCTGTAACTGTCCTTGAACATGGCAAAACATGCCCCCTTTTTGAGTCGCCAGGAAAATTCGTTCATTTACTTGTAATCGCCCGCAATCATCTCGGACGCGAGCTCCGCAATTGCGTAGACTGGAATCTGAAGGTGAGCCGCTGGTATGATTGGCTAACAAAAACCACAACTGGCTAAGCGACGTGACCCAGCAAAGGACGAAAAAGTGTACGGACGAAAACACTAGCATCGACGACGCGAAGCTTCTTAATACCCTTCACGGTTAGATCAGGATTGACAACACCTTTGGTGCTGTTCTTGGCCGAGATGGCAAGACTGCCTGATGGAGGGCAAACCAATCAAATTGACCATCCGCTACCTTGATAATCAGCACGTACAAGAGGGATGGAAAATGGATACTGGAAGGTGAAAGCAAGATATCAGCATCTCCCATATCAATCCGCTGTTCGCACACGTACCCGTATTGTTGCGAATATACTGGATGATCTCTTCGTCAGTTTGCGCTGGAGTTAATGGACCCCACTCCCCCAAAACGTAGCCGTTGAAGATGGGTGCAGTCGCGAATTCTCGCGCGTGCTTGAGGGCTATGGAATCAATAGACGTTCAACCCCAGGCACGCCCTCTGTTGAGGTTGATGTTTGTAAGTGAAACTCACCAGCCACAGAGATGTGGAGGTCGGGCTCCTCTGTGAGGAGTCCAAGATCGATCAGGGGCGTGTCAAAGGGATTGCTTGATCGTAGTTTCACGCTTCCCCTGGAACTAGGAGACAAATTTACTGTCGCGATGCTCATAAAATTCCCCTTCGAGGGTCGAGGATAGAGTGTATTCGTGAATCCATCATCCATGATAAATTCAAAATGGGGTGAGTTTGGACCTGGGGAATTGTCAACGACGCCAGGTTGCGACCAGATGGAGTCATCAGGAGGCAAACGAAAGAATCCAATTGATTGAGCGATCGTGTTGGACAAGCGGCCTAGATGGAATTTAGTGTGCAAGTGCTTGGGACAACCTGGGAGGGAATGACCCACCAGTTCTGTTTGTGTCATACAACCCTTGTTGTTGTTGAGCGAAGGCGGGGTTATTGTAGAGCTCGTCCCTTGTACCATTGTCGTTTATATACCACTGTCATTCCGAAGATTAGAAGTGCGATCTTCCACCCTGCAGAACCCCCAAACACTCCCGTAACTCACATTATTCAGAAGTAATGTGTGATCTTGTAAGTTCTTGCCTACTTCGGGGTGATCTTTAACCACTTTAATCCCCAATGCCTCGAGTTCCGATTTTGGACCAACGCCCGAGAGCATCAAGATCTGGGGAGAGTTGATGGAACCAGCAGAAAGAATGACTTCTTTGGAGGCCTTGACAACGGTCCTTGGGCCTAGAATCCAAAATCACATCATCAGGCGATCAACTCAAACATCTCCTGATGTGGCAATCCAAAGGATCACCTACCATCGGGGCTTCGGGTAAACTCAACGCCGGTGACAACTGGTATTTTGTCGTTAGAGAACAATATTCTTGTAACCTGGGCGTTCCGTATCAAATCCAAGTTCCGTCGAGCTCCAGCTGCTTTGAAGTAGTTGTTTGCACCATTTCTAACACCTGTTCCTATGGTTCCAAATAGTTTGCCAACGCCGAGAGGTTTCCCAGAGTTAGTGTCCGAATTCCAGCTAAAGTCCGGGAGCTCGTGCGCGGCTGTTGGAGGTATAAACATCCATCGACGCTGACTTTCGCATGGCATACCTTGTTTAACCCTTTCGTGGAAAGGACTTCCATCATTAGCGAGGGAGATGAGTATAGGGCCTTTGTTTCCATATATGCTGGGATCATAATCCCCAGGGAAGTCGTGACCACTGGTAGGAAGCTTGCGCGTTTCAGACTGGGGAGAGACCGGTCAGTTCAAATAACGGGTTAAGGCGGATGCAACTCGAACTTTTTTGGAAAACGGGAGGATATTATTCCACGACCAACGTTGATCGCCTGTGATATTAGCTATCCGGTCATACTCTTCAAACGATCCACGAGTGTAGAACATGAAGTTGAACTATGGACATATTGAAAGTGCTCAGCGTAAATCGAGTCTAATTGGGCAAACTCGTAAACTCACAAGTGATGACCCGCCGACTACTTTTCCACGTGGGACTGGGACTGTTCTGTTGTTGAGCCCAATTTGAGGCTCGCTCTGATATTGCCACAAGGCCTCTGTACCAAATGCTGGTTGCGTGGCATATACAGGGACAGAGAATGCTGGAGTTCTCGGCACGCTTTTTACAAGGATGCTGAGAGTGCAGCTTTCCACATAAAACTAGCCAACCCACTCTGTACCAGCTTCAAGTACGAGGACTTTGAAATTGGGATTCTCCGATAGACGGGTTCCAACGACAGAGCCAGCGGTGCCAGCTGCACGGATCATAAACGCGGAGTCTGACAGTGGTAGTGCTGAAGCATACCTCCGATGATAATGAAATCGTAGAAGGTTTTCAGAACACTATATGTTGGGGACATGTTGGCTCGAACCACAGAGCGACGGTTTGTCTCTTGGGGACCTTAAGTATGAAAGAACGAGGTGCTGACCCTGTACATTTTCGGCTGCTACACGCGGCTGATTTGTACAGGAGTAAACGGCATTGAGAGTGATCGCGGACCCACGCGCGTCTGCCAGCCAACAGTGGCACGTATGACAAATCGTTTCAGAAAGGTCAATAGGGCGTCTAAACATATCCCTCGGGCCAGCACTCCGCACCGCCCTCCACAAACAGGAGGGTGGGAAGGTAGATATGTATCATTTGTCATGATATTCCGGCCAATTCCACACACCGCTAGATTTCATGTCATTTTAGAACCCATGCGAATGGTATACAATGAAGGTGAGGAGGGGGGAGGAAGGAGCCCGCCGCCTCGCGCCGTCGAGATTTATCCGACTTCCATGGCCCCTTCTTCCAAAACTGCACCATCGGATTCACGTCAGACATCCCATGGGAAGTAATGCGCGAAGTAATGCCAGATCGCGTAACACAAGAATGAAGAGGACCAATGTCGCATTGCATCACAATGTTCCGAGTGAGGCTTCATAACCACGACAATCAATGACATCTGGCGAGCTCCATAATGGGGGTGCTGTCAAAGTCGTGAACAAATATGCAGACCAGCCACACTTAGTCACAGCGGGGCGGTCTTTTCCGCAGTCCCCTCATCGACACCGAGCTACAGCCACAAGTCACCGATATGCGTTAATAACGCTAAGTATAAATGGCTCTCTAGCTGAGTTTGCAAAGGTACAGATGATATGCTGAGAAACCAATTAGACGCCGGCGGGCGGCGGCCTTGAGCTGCAGATGCAAGAAGCCGAGAATGCCGGGATAATTGTTTGTCGTCAAAGCGATGTGTCTCCGCAGTGATACCGTGAACAAATGATGGGTAGGAGTCTGCGGTTTTATTGCAGTTACCTTGCTCTTCAATTCGTGGGGATCTTAACTTTCCCACCCTGTTGACATTGCTTTAGGGTACAAGCAAGGTCGAGGCAATGCAGCAGCCTTTCTAGTGGAAGCGGCCGGCCAGAAACGCAAGTTCGGCGGGATCGACCTTTGATTGACCCAGGAGATGAGACACGATAAATTCGGCCGACTCCGCTACAATACGACTAAGGTGCTCAAGCCATGCTCGTTCGGAGGTTCAAACACAATATTCAAAAGAAAAACAAAGCTACCCCAGGAACACTAGCAACTGGGGGAGCCAGACATACCAGCATGTAAATCCGAAGGCAATCAGGGGCTAATATAATGACCATATGGCATGCCTTGTATGTAAGCCGGCTGCAATAACAAAAGTTGTTTCGCATCGGCCAGAACTCCGCACCAGTTTCGGCACCCCTATGGTACACTTGGACCGCTTGTGCTCGCGCTCGCCAACCATTCTTCAATCATCCGTGCGTTTAATTTTACAGCTTCGGAATAATTGTACGGAAACATAAAAGGAACGGAGTCCGATTTGGGAATGGTCATCCACTTTCGTCCAAGTAATGGCCAGATTATACCCCGCTGACAAGTGCTACGTCCGACTCAACTTCGGTCTTCGGACTTCGCGAACGATGAGGACTTCGTGCAGATGGAGGCGGTCGGCACAGTGTTCAGGCAGGGCGGAGTGCGCTACAAGCACCCTCTCAAGTATCTCGCCTTCGAGAAGTCGGTTCGTGACTGTTGCAATGTACCGGAAATTTCTTTGTACCACAAGTTTCCTATCATTCAATGTATTCTTGAGGTTTGTCATATCCTTACACAGAAACGTTGCAAGGAACACCAATTCGCGCTCCAAGTGCAGGCAACAATGCGGATGCGGGGCGATGGTGTGCAGGTGACCAACATCAAGTAGACACTCAGAGACGGGATGTGAAAAGAGGACATCACCGACTGAGCTCGCTCCGTGAAGAGACCTAGACAACCGATCACAAAAATGTCCCTTTTCTGCGGTTCGCAGTGTGGGCACTCCTTCGGTTTTCCAACAGCGAGAGTCATCTCAGGGGATGCTGGATCATGGCAAGGAAAATGCCGACGCACAGTGTTCAACAAACAACTTCCCATAGTTCAACCGTTCCCTGTGTTGCACTGGGATCACGCAACCGCCGCTCGTTGCGTCAGAGCCTAACAACATCATATAATCGCTGAGAGGAAAGGGATGCCAAAGAATCGCTGCAAGATTTGTCGAGGTGCTGTTTGCTCGTTTCGAGATGAGGTGGGTAACTCGAGGGATGCAATCACTTGGCACCACTCCCAACACAGCTGACGTATATTGGCTCCAGACACACTCTCCTTCAGGCTCTCAGCCACAAGAGGCTGATTCCGCATTTGTTGTATCATACCAAAGGCAAAGACTTCAGGACCGGGGAATCATCCGAGCCATCCTCACTGGAAGGCCTCAGCCAGTTGGCCAACACGAACCATGTGGCCGACTTCAGCATCATGGAATCCTACCGGTGGGATCCTCGGCGCCTCGCCCCATAGCGCACAATGGGTACCCAACTGGCCCAATGGCCGTGGCTATTTCGGGAGAGCCTGCACCATCCTACCCTCAATTTTCTATGGGACTTGCCTCCGAACCTCATTCATCCTCCGCTGCCATCTTCCCTCATGCTCAGCCGGAGCCATCGGCTCCCGCAACACAGGATGGTGGATGGTTGCATACTCCTACCGAAACCTCGGCGGCTCGAAACTCTGTGGGGAACTCTTTGTTTGTGTACGGTTTCGATTGAACTAACGAGCCATTGCATTGATCAGGTTATTGAGCTAGCTCCGACCATCAGTGGTCGGCGGCCCAACCACAATGGTGCCACAGGCACGCATTTCCCCAGAGGGTAAGCGCCGGCACGTTGGGGCTAGGCCATCAGCCATTGAGCAAGGAGCGCTCTCCCTCCTGGCCAATGATGCGCTTATGCCAGCCATCACACACATGCTGCCGTTACATTCTCTAGCATATCCCGCTTCTCCCTTCAGCGACTGGTATTCTATGAGGATGCATCACTTGCGCACCTATTTGGGACGTTCTTGTCATTGTACTGTATGTTTTCATGCTTGTATGCACCAAAAAACTTACCTCTTCGTCTAATACCATTTTCGTTTGCCCGTCATCTGTGTGTTGAGGACCCGCACCAACGCTGAGGCGTTGCTCGTGGTCGTTGCAAGAGAGTAAGAGATCCTTCCGATTATATTCTGGCGAAATTGCCGCCGACGCCCCCCGATGGATCGTTGCTTCTCGGGCCATTTCGTTCCGGAGGTATATATTCGTCAACGGGTGATTATTGTCACAGACCACTGGTCCTGAGGCTTCCGCAACTGCGATATACATCAAGATCGCTTTGATTAGGTTCATGCATAAGGTGACACACGTAGTTACCATGCGCGCTCTCGACTTTTGTTCGTTCCTGCGATGACCGATTCAGCCACTTACGCATACAACACCCACATATGATTATTGAAGTGGGACCATCACCAACTAGCCAACCTTCCTGAGGAGAACTCTGCGGACTTCAATGCTTCCTTCCACCATTCACGAGAATGTACATACATCATCCGTCTCGACTTCTGGATATCTGTCACGACTCGAATTGTATCATCAATCAACAAGTGGCGAGGTATTCATCCTAACCAATTCCAATGCCATGGGTAACGCTGGCGCTGATTTGTACGGCAGCGAAAGTCACTGGAATCAGTGACCCATGATGCACCGCTATAGTGTAGAATCATTGATCTGGACACTCTCCTTTGCAGTCTAACAAACAAAATGTGCGAGACACACTGCGAGAATGGTACAAGTTGTTCAGCGGGAATCAAACGAATCAAGACTTTCGTTCCCGTGCCGAGGCTTATTGCGTTCACCATAGTAACGGTGTCAAATGTAAGGTGTAAATCTGACCTCTAGGGCCCTCGACTGAGTCCCAATTTTTTCAGGCTCCAGTATACACCCACAACTGAGTTCAGAATCAGATGTTCAGCTCCAACCCCACAATTACGCGGCAAATTTTCAAAAGATGTTGCGCCCGCTGTGTCCCCGTTACTGCATCTTGGAGGCTGGCGAATGCCAAGTATCCTACGACATCAAACCGTAGCTGAAAAAAGTGTGCGAATTCCTATCCTGAGTGTATGTTTGTCCACATGCCATGCAGAGGACCTGACACAATGACAGTTTCCCAACTGGATGCGACGGAACTTCGAATTATATCAAAGGCATGACTTGCGCAAATGAAGAAGGCTTTCATTTCGACGTTGAGATGCGCGGAACGCTTCATTAGGACGGATCTTGACCTTCGAATTCTCAGGCGGAACACAGGCAGTGAAATTTCTCAGGGGGTCATGTCCATGCATGAAGGGCGGCGGCGGGCGAACCATCTCCATGGCTTCTCAAGAAATTTTACATGGAGGCGACTAACCATCGGTAAACCAACGCTTCACCAAATTTGAGGAATAGGGTTCTCGCTCGACGAACCGGTGCGCTCACTTGGACAACGATCGCGTCAATAATATCTTTGAAAGGTTCATTCAGGTCAGTTGCTTGTCATCCCAGCACTTGTAGTTTTTAGGATTCAAATTGCGGACCCCTCCGTAGTCGCTAAGTAATTGCCCAAACGAACGTGCGGCCCATCAAGCGGCAATTCAAGCTTTCACAGGACCTCAATATATGAACATGAAGCTTAGGACTCGTGAGTCAGGGGAGCAACGTTGAAATAGTCACCGAGCTAGGCCGCTGCCGAACCGGGTGTTTCTTCGCGACCGTCAACTAACGCCGAATATTGTCTCCTAGGGGAAAGATCTGTTACTGCTGAGACAGAGTCGTGGATACCAGCATCGCCAGCAATCTTTTTTTGGAACGTGATAGGCGACGTCCGCGCTTCACTAGAGCAGTGTAGGACAGTGGTGAAGGTGGATACCGGTAAGCCGAGAGACAGCGTCAAATATCCCTTCGCATGCCCTTCCCGTGCACCTATCTTCATTTTACAATTCCCATTTCTAACAGATAGATAATATTCTCAAAACCGAAATCTGCTTTGAGCCCAACAGGGATAGATACAGGTACCAAGAAAAAGACTGTTATTGATGATGCGTTTCGCACCATGAATTAGATACACACTCCATACTTCCCACTATATTGTGATCAATATTTTTCCTCGAACCCCCCTAACTGTCCTTGGATACATGACACGTATCCCTCCCATTTAACCCAAGCAAATCGAAGTTTCATCTATTGGTAATCACTGGTGATAATCTCTGAAGCGAGCTCCGCCATTGCGTAGATTGGAACTTGAAGGTGAGCCGCAGGTACGAATGGCTAAATAAGACCATAGCTGGTGAGCCCACGGGGACGAGAAGATAAAAAAAGAGCACGCACGAAAATACTAGCGTCGACAACGCGGAGTTTCTTGATACCCTTCATAGTTAGATCGGGGTTGACAACGCCATGGGGGCTGTTCCAGGCTGACATGGCGAGGGTGCCTGGTGAACAATAAAACAAAATTAACATAACCGTTCGCTACCCTTGATTTTGATGAATGACACGTACTAGTAGGATGGAAAATGGACACTGTGAAAGGTGAAAACGAGCGTCAGTTTCTCAGATCACAACCCCTGTGTCGTGTACGCACCCGTAGTGTTCCGAATATACTGTATGATCTCTTCATCAGTGTGCGCTTGAGATAGTGGGCCCCACTCTCCCAAGATGTAGTCCTTGAAGGCGGGTGCAGTCACGAACTCTCGTGCGCGTTTGAGAGCTATGGAAATAAATAAGCGTTTAGCCCCAGGGCACGCTGACGTTGAAAGCAAACTTACCGGTTACACCAATGTGAAGATCGAGCTCCTTTGTGAGGATTCCAAGATCGATCACGGGTGCGTCAAAAGGGTTGCTTGATCTGAGCGTCAAGGTTCCCCTGGAACTAGGAGCCAAGTTGACTGTCGCAATGCTCATGAAATTCCCCGTCGAAGGGTGGGGATAGATTGTACTCGTGAATTCGTCATCCAAGAGAAATTCGAATTGAGGCGAGTTGGGACCTGCGGAAGTGTCGACGACGCCGGGTTGCGACCAGATGGGATCATCGGAAGGCAAACGGAAGAATCCAATGGTTTGGCTGATCGTGTTGGACATACGACCTGAATGGATGAGTCAGTTTCACAGTGTTTGGGACAGCTCGAGGGGAGGAAGGGTGGGTGATTTACCAGTTTTGTTAGTGTTGTACAATACGCGCTGTTGTTGAGCAAAGACAGGATTGGTGTAGAACGCGTCCACTGAGGTGTTATCATTTATATACCACTGTTATCCCAAATGTTAGGAATGTGCTCCTGCGGACGCCAAAGCTCGGGGATCCCGGAACTCACACTGTTCACAAGCACTGTGTGGTCCTGCAAGTTCTTGCCTACTTGGGGGTGATCTTTAACCACTTTGATCCCCAATGCCTGCAGTTCCGTTTTTGGACCGACGCCCGAGAGCATAAGGATCTGGGGAGAGTTGATGGTACCAGCGGAAAGAATGACTTCCTTGGAAGCCTTGACGACGGTCTTTGTGCCTGGAATACAAAATCAAGCGGTTAATCCGATCATCCCCTGATGCGATCCAAGGATCATTTACCATTTGTGCCTTGTACAAACTCCACGCCAGTAACAACCGGTATTTTGTCGTTAGAGAACAATATTCTCGTAACGTGAGCGTTCCGTATCAAGTCCAAGTTCCGTCGACGTCCAGCCGTGTTGAAGTAGTTGTTCGCACCATTTCTAACTCCAGTCCCTATGGTTCCCCACATTCTGCTCATGCCGAGAGGTGTCCCAGAGTTAGTGTCCGGGTTCCAGCTGAAGTCAGAGAGCTCGTGCGCGGCTATTGGGTACTGGTATAAACATCCATACAACATAGATTTGACCTTCGCATTAGCGTACCTTGTTTGACTCTTTCGTGGAAAGGACTTCCGTCATTAGGAAGGGAGATGCGTATAGGTCCACTGGTTCCGTATCCCTCGGGATTGTAATCCCCGGGGAAGTCGTGACCACTGGTAGGGAGTTCGCGCGTTTCGGACTGGGAAAAGTCAAAATGAGATCAAAAACAGAGGTTTCGATGATATGAGTCCAAAACCTTTTTGGAAAGTGAGAGGATATTGTCCCACGACCAACGCTGATCGCCTGTGACGTTCGCAATTCGGTCATACTCTTCGATCGACCCACGAGTATAGACCATGAAGTTGACCTATAGAGATCAAAGTGTTGAGCCAAAATGGAGATTGGAAGCCGTAAAATAATAGTGCACTCACAAGTGATGAACCGCCAACCACTTTTCCACGCGGGACAGGAACTGTCCTGTTGTTAAGCCCAATTTGAGGCTCGCTTATATATCGCCACAGCCCCTCTGTACCGGATACTGGTCCCGTAGCGAACAAGGGCACAGACCACGTCTGAGTCTTTGGTACACTGTTTGGAAGATTGAGACTGGAATTCAACACGCATCACCTGCCAACCTACTCGGTACCGGCTTCAAGTACGAGAACATTAAAGTTGGGATTCTCCGATAGACGGGCCCCAACAACAGAGCCAGCGGTGCCGGCTACACGCAAGATAAGTAAGCGTTGGCTCCCCCTCCCCCCCTAATTCCGGCATCATTAAGACATACCTCCGATGATAATGAAATCGTAAAAAGTCTTCAGAACACTGTACGTGGGGGACATGCTGGCTTGGACTGTAGAACGACGGTTCGTTTCTTGAGCACCTTTAAATATGCAAAACGAAAAAAGAAACAAGGCACTGACCCCGCACATCTTGGAGGCTTTGGAGTCAGAGTCAATGGTGTGGCGCGGCCCAATAGTCTGAGAGATGGAAGCTCCGTTGGAATTTGCTCGATGTAATCGTCAACTGCCCGTTTCGATGAGGTTAGACAAACTCGGGTTCGCACACCGCCCTTTGATATGGCCGAGGATCAGGGGCATAGAAACACATATAGTTTGTCATGACAAGTCTGCTCAATTAATTAATTGATGTTGTATGGCCCCAAGTCGGCCCGCAAGCAGAGCGGTGCGCCCACCAGAGCCGGGTCCATGACATCGCCCCCGCACGGAACTTGGGTCTTTTGATAAAGTCATAACCAGCAAGGCCGCGTGATCACAGCCGGTTGAACCCGAGTTCATGGTTTCGTCTGATTTTGACGCTGCGTAACTACTCGCCTCGCTTCAGTAGGCATTTGCTGTGTTGTGACCGTCTGCCGTACGGTATCTATCCCCATCAGGTACCCAGGTGAACTGGTTGTTGCACACACACCCAACCTTGGGCTCCCTTGCGTTGTCTCTACCTCTGGCAGGTTACTGCTTGACGTCGCGCCACTTGGCTAGCCTCACTCCGCGGTCTTTGGACTTCTTTATCTCTTTTCACGCTGATGGACGACCATCACTCTGCGATCAATATCACAGGGTCTGACCTTGGTAGCAACAATCAACAGACTCCTGTTCTCCATCTTCGCCACCTACTTTTACTTTAGTCACGGCTTCGGACGCCCGCCTTGTTGAGGCACTGTAACAGTGTCGTAAGGGGCTACTGACCCGAGCCCATTCATATGAGGCAGGCGCCCCATCTCCTGCTCCTGAAAAACTGATTCGCCTTCGACTCAGAGTTTAACCCCCATCCCCGCCCCACAGTGATCCGACATCGGAGGATGAAGCTAGATCTTTCAGGCACCGAGGGATGCACGGACGGGTCAACAATATGATTTTCAGGTCCTTTGAAATCCGTTCATATTTTGAAATGATCGGATCCCCTACCACCCATCCTGAGCTCCATGTTCCGCCAGAAAGACATATGGGAGTGTATGAGGTCAGATGGAGGAATTAAGCACAGTCATGACCAATATATGGGACACAGTGCTGAGTTCCTCCGCGTTAAAAAAGTTGATGCCGCAGGTTCGGCATCGGGGATTTCGCCTTTTTGATGTATTCATATCCTGCTGACGCAAGATTTGTTGCCCCCTTTGAGAAGGGCACCCTAGCAGCCACATCGCGAACGGCGTGGTGTCGTGATGTACGATCCCCAGGGTTTGGGCGCAGTTTGAAGCCAAGGGAAGGTTGAGAGTGGTCAGTAATTCAGTGGCGCAGGCACATACATTAGCATTATCTTCGTCTACGTCATTTCATACATACAAGGTAATCAACAGTGAAATAAGAATGCTCGTATTACGACCTTTGAAACCAGTTGTCGCTCTGAGAGCTGGGGAGGGAACGGTTGGTGCTTGAAAGTAGTGATGGAACAGACGCTAGCGCTGAAGTTTGTAGAATGTATCCTGAAACAGGCGAACGTCCAGATGATAATTGTTTCTTGGAGACGGAATCAAGAAACCTGACACACTGATGCGATAGCTCCGGGTCTCACTGAATCGAAGTGCCCCCTCGTACCTATCTTCAACCTATCTTCCTAGTCTACACCATCAGGCTCACGCCACAAGTATCGCCGAACAACGATGGGGAAGGGGGGCTTTACCCGCGCTCGGCTAGGCCTCATAATAGCACCAATCACTGGCACAGTACTGTTTCAAAAGCCATTCATGCGAATGAGTCAGAGTCATAGCCAGAGTCAACAGTTTCAAGTTTGCAATCTCCGCGTCCCGTGATTACGAGAATTTCTGACGCCGAAATCACATGTCGTGCCTTTCTTTTTTGTCACGTTACTCCGTTCAACTTTCATGACGTCCAGACAGTTTCTGCGGCATCGGCGGCCAGTAGCATTTTATAGGTGCCATTTTCCTTACACAGGTGCCTTTCCCAACTCGCCATGGCTTCTACCTTTCCCATCGTTTTTGCGGTCTTTCTCTCAGCCGCAATCATCCAGTTCGTCAACCAGTTTAGGGGGCTCTGGAGCTCTCGAACCAACGCAGAAGTCTTCTCCCACAAAACCTGCCTCCCCCAGAATCATTGACGCAAACACTGTCGAATTAAGCTCATCTGTTCGTCGTGCGAGCACTCATAAGGCCCTGTTCCTCGTCAAGTGGTCGCTCACCAGGATGCGATGAAACGTTTGTTCCCCGATGGCTGGTCACCTCCACGCAAAATTTCTCGAGAGGCCATGGATGGTTTACGGACCTTTCACCGACACGACCCTGAGACGTTTACCACACCTGTTCTAGCTGAAAAGTTCAAGATCAGTCCCGAAGCCGTTCGGCGTATCCTCAAATCTAAATGGCAGCCTGATGAAAAGCGGAAGGCGCGGATGATTGAAAAGGAAGTGGAATCGAAGAACAATTGGCGAGCGTGGAAGCGGCAGGAAGGGGCCTCTAAGCGTGCGGTGAAGGGGCCGAAATTGGTGGAGATGTACGCGGACGAAGAGAGTGATAAGGAGTTCCTGGCCGATGCTGAGAAATTGAATGGTTCATAATATAAAGTATGGGATGCTGTCATTCTATAACTTGGTAACTCGGGTACTGAAAATGCCTCTTTCCCAGTCCACAGCGAAGCCCTAGACACATCATGGCCTGTATTTATGCCTAAGTTATCACTGCATCGGTGCAAGTATCGCTCTATTAAGTGGCAAATGCAGCTGGGTCTTTGTCTTGGGCTCGGGCCGCTATGATTGTCCGCTTGCACCTAGATTCTACAGTGGACACACATACGCCCTCGACATGTTACACGCGCCTTTACCAGACAGCTTAGTTTGGAGATATCTGTAACTTGGGACTTGGGCTTTGTTCGAGTTGAAGAAATAGGTTTCTTATACCTCTTTCTTCCTGTTTCTTTCTTGAGAAAGGAACAGACGAGTTTTGGATTCAGCAACCGGTGGAAGCCTTAGAGCAGCAGTTCGATTCCGATCAAGAGAGCGTAGTTGCGACACCCTCCTCCACTGGAGCTCGAACAGTGCATCAGTATGCGGTTCAATCCCACGACTTCAGCCCGATCTCAATGATCAGGTGTGGGCGTTTATACGGGCTTTGTCATCTTGGTATTGCTGGGGGTGGAAGGGACGAAACATCGATCCTAAAGTTACCTGCACTGCAGGTCACTCTGCCTCCCCCATAATTATGTAAAACGTGCCACTTTTGCTTACGTGTTGTATTCCGCATTGTATTACCGGCACAGCCGTCCGGGTGAAATTACGCCATTTCTGCCACTTGTGCTGACGTGTTCATTTTCCATTTAGGTTTCATGAACTTGTGACTTTTATATTTATAACGTACAATTGGTAGACAAATCAAGAGAGTCACGCTGAAAATCCAGTGAGATTGGCAAAACCCAATGTGAGCGTCACCTACGAATCTCTGAGGCTTGATTTTGGGCTCTTCTGGTAGAGGAGAATTAGATCTATCCACGTACCGAATTTAGGGGTGAATGCCCAACTACTTCAGGAGTTAATATGAAGAACTCTGCGCTTCGCAATGTCAGCGCTTAGTCCAAGCACACCTGAATGCGCGCCCAGCACTTACCTGGCCAAAATTCCCCTTGTATCTGCACCCCTACCTGCCTTACTCGTCCTGCTGGGCTGCGTCCGATGATACAGCCACAGCCTGCATCTGCTAAAATACTGTGTCGTACTCATGAATTGGCATGTCAGCCTGCGATGCGGCCCCTTCTTGAAGTGATGCAGCAGACACATGCCCAACTGCGCAGCTCTTGGTCCGACCCCCCCACTGCTGCTGCACCCCCGCTTGCCCTGCCGCATGGGCGCTTTGGGCAAGGGAAGGAGATTTATTAGTCGATACTATTGACCAATTTTCAGTGCGCTTGTCTTATCCTCATTTGTACACTTGTCCCCCCCCCCAAGTCGCTGTCCTGATGTCCTCTTTCTGCTCCCCATTTTCCTATTTGTTTCCTATTATCCGGAACACTTCCGCTATTGTCTCCACACACTTGACATAGCCCGATGCCATGATTCGGGATCTCTCCTGAGCATATGCACTCTTTTTGTGTGGAATAATGATTTAATCATGGTTCACTTTTTTCTGTACAACTGACTAGGGTGTTGAAAAGCAGTGCAGGTCAGCGCGTGCGAAGGCACGCACTCTAGTCTCAAATGATCACATGCATTCGTGACAATGCATGGATTTCAGGTGCTAAGCAGGCCATCGGAAATGGACTGCCGATTTGAAATTCGTCTTTGTCCTGGCACGTCGTCCGACGGACAGTATAGTCCGCCGGATGATTTGCCAGAATTGGACTACTTGGGTCTGATGACCATAATTGAAGGAAACCCTTTTGAATAAAGGCATCCCGGAGCCGCCGCGCCGACATTATCACAAGCTAGGAGCCAGGAACTAATGACATTATATTAATGTCGCCATCTCGCGTGCGAACACCCCCACAACGCTGAATTGCGGGGGTGAATACCTCAAGTGTCTAAGAAACAGATTGTTATCCTGTCGTGTGAACTCCGTAGCATGTCCCTTCAGCCTGCACATACATTCTATCACTGGGTTCGTGCAGTCGGGCCTGAGACATTCTAGCTGCGCTAGATCGCTTTCGTACAGGCTAATTGTGAACACTGAAATAAATTGCGATTAGACACTTGCACAATATAGGGATGAGTTGCAAAGCCTAATCATATGATAAACAACGTGTTCGATGACAACTAGTACAGGACCCTGCGGGCTCACAGCGAATGGAATGTCATCGATTTTGGCCCGAAATCTAGGAAATCATTCGTGAAGTTCTGAAGAAGGTAATAGCTATTCTCATCTGCAAATTACTTAAAAAATACCATTCAAGTATGATATTGCATAGCAAGAAATTGTTAGTTGTCTTCCTCAATCTTTGGAGTGACTTTTGGCTTAGGCTTCGCAAGTGCTTCGATAGCACCTTGGATTGCATGGACATCATTAATGCTACTCCCAAGATAGTAACAATAGTAACAATTGAATTCAACACAAAGCGATGAGCACAAATAAAACGGTGGTGGTGGTGACACATCTGATTTATTACCCCGCAGTCCCGAAATGATCTGGCAGTTGCAGCTCTGCCATCGAGTTGCACTGCAGCGTCCATGGGGGGAGGGGTGAATAAGGTATGCTGGTGTGCGATTCTGGTAAATGATCAATCCCCAAAGCGCCCACATGCCAATCATGTGAGGTGGAGGCTTTTCATCCAATTCCGAATTTGATTGCACGGGTTCTGGCTGATTCTAGGGCAGGATTATTCCTTATGTAAAGCCGGGGGGGCAAGTGAACGGTCAAGGTCAAGTCACATGCCAGACGCGGAAACTATGTCAGCTTTGTCATTCCCACGTCGATCACTTACGGGAATGGCCTAGGAAGCGTTGCGGGATCGCAACTGCCAGGCATATGGAGGCCGTCCCTTTTGGTCTAACTCCGCCGCAACACCAGGCGGGATCCGAGCCTCTACTACAACACCGCTAAGCCATGATTCCAAGTTCGGCCAGCATTGTTTGGGCATTTATGTGCAAGCAAATGTAATAGAGGCTGGATTATGCCATGTCGTCAAACAAAGGCCAACCGCCTGCTTACGTTATTCCCTGAGGCTGTCATCAAATAGACGAATAGACGAATAAATCCGGCCAACTCCCTCAGCCTGTCATGGGGGTGTCTGTTACATAACCGCGTGACCAGGCGATCTGATATCGTGGGTGCCAGGGTCCATGCAGCCTCTCGGAACAGCTGCGCCGAGGTTGTAGGGAGGGACCTCACGGGGTCATCGCCCCCGCTCCCCCATATTTAAAGTGCCCAACAAGCAAAGCCCTCATTCTCCAGTATCAACCAGTATGTCCCCGACATACAGTGTCCTGAAGACCTTTTACGATTTCATTATCATCGGAGGTATGTCTCAATGCTCCCGGAGACAGGCTCAGTTATTCATGATGCGCCACAGCTGGCAACGCTGGCGCCGCTGTTGGGGCGCGTCTAGCGGAGAACCCTAAATACAGCGTTCTCGTACTTGAAGCTGGTCCCCCGTAGGTTACATAGCTTTAGCGAGAATCGCACTCTTAGTGTTTTCTAGCCTTCCCACCCAGCCAGCGCCAGGCAGTCAATATTGGAGCACTCCCATATATGCTTCAGGGCCGTCAAAGCTGCCACAGTATATATGGAACTATACGAGCATACCTCAAGTTGAGCTTGCCAACAACAGGGTTGTCTCAATGCTGAGTGGAAAAGTAGTCGGTGGGACGTCAAACGTGAGTGGCGATTTATCGGCCATTCGATTAGGCTCGATTGTGCTGAACTGAACGCTTTCGTGCAGGTCAACTTCATGCTCTATACTCGTGGAACTAAGGAAGAATATGATCGAATCGCGAGGATCGCGGGTGATCAACGTTGGTCATGGGATAATATCATCCCATTTGCCAAGAAGGTTCGACCCCCCCCCCCCCCCCGGGATTGTTATTTTTGAGCTAATATCACTTTGACTTTGCCCAGTCCGAAACGCGTAAGAATACCACCAGCGGTCGCAACTTTGACGGGGATTTTAATCCTGACGCGTACGGAGACAGTGGTCCCATACTCATCTCCCTTCCTAATGATGGAAGTCCTTTCCATGACAAGGTTAAGCAAGGTATGCCATGCGGACGCCGGTTTTTTTTTGTTGTGTGTTTCGTGGACACTTATACCAGTGCCCAACAGCTTCGCACGAGCTCGGAGGTGATTTCGAGTGGTCGTCTGACACTAACTCTGGCAGATCTCTTGGTCTGGCTAGATTGGTCGGAACCATAGGGACAGGAGTTCGAAGTGGATCAAGTAACTACCTTAAAAAACCTCGGCGGAACTTGGAGGTGGTGACGGGTGCCCGTGTTACCAAGATATTGTTCTCCGATGGCCCAAACCCCGCTGTCACTGGCGTCGAGTTCACTAAAGGCACAGATCGTAATGGTAAGTGATTCCTTGGTGGTCGACGTAATCGCTTGATGCTGACAATGTGGTTGTTTCCCTTGGGTTCCAGCCCCAAGGACTATCGTACGGCCTTTCAAGGAAGTGATTCTTTCTGCTGGTGCCATTGGCTCCCCGAAGATCCTTCTACAGTCAGGCGTTGGTCCAAAATCGGAACTGGAGAAATTGGGAATTAAAGTGGTTAAAGATCACCCTGATGTCGGCAGGAACTTGCAAGATCATGCACTGATTACGAATAGCGTAAGCTTTGGTGTCTGCAGGCGAAGGGTCATCTTTCTGATATTTGAGAGAGACAGTGGTATATAAATTCCAACATTTCCAGGGACGAGCTCTTCCCACCTCCTGGCCGTCCTCTCAGTGCCTGGGCACAAGGACAATGGGATCTGTATGATAAAAACAAGACTGGTAGATCACACCCTGTCGGATCACTCAAGTACTGTATACTGAACCATCCATCTAGGGCGTCCATCGAACACGATCGGCCAAACCATTGCCTTCTTCCGTTTGCCTTCCGATGATCCCATTTATAAGAAACCTGGCGTCGTTGATGATTCCCCAGGTCCAAATTCACCTCAATTCGAATTCTTCATAGATGATGGATGGTCGAACTTGCTTACCAATCGGCCCGACGTTGGGAGATTTATAACTATAGCAACGATTGTCTTGTCTCCTAGTTCTAGGGGAAGCGTGACATTGAAGTCAAGCGATCCCTTCGATGATCCTTTGATCGATCCTGCGCTTCTCACAAAGGAGATCGATTTTCACATCCTGAAGACCGGTGAGTCCGCCTACATCATTCCTCTCATCAGAAGGCATGCCCAAGGCTGAACATCTGCCCATTCCATAGCCATCAAGCGGGCACGAGAGCTAGTTCGGGCACCTGTTTTCGAGGGCTACATTCAGGGGGAGTGGGAAAAGTTGGCTGAAGCAAAAACCGATGAACAACTTGACAAATATATCCGCGAAAACACCGGTACGTGTGCGACATTGCATGGTTGTGATCCAGGATGCTGACGTTTTCTTTGCCTTTCAGTTGCTCATTTGCATCCTTCTTGTGTGTGCTGATCATTTAGACACTGAATTTTTTTGATTGGTTTTTCACTTAATTAGCTACTCTGGCTATTGGACCCAAGGGTAGCGACAAAGGCGTTGTCAACCCTGATCTCACCGTGAAGGGTATCAGGAGGCTCCGTGTCGTCGATGCTAGCATTTTCGTGAGTGTTCTCTTTGTACCTTGCCGGGTTTCGTTGCTTAACCAGCTCCGGTCTTGTTAGCCAAATGTCGTCGCGGCTCATCCTCAGATTCCAGTCTATGCGATCGCGGAGCGTGCTTCGGATATCATTAAGAAGCATTATCAGTGGCCTTACTATTTCGACAGTGTGTGGGAAGGCAGTGCATCTGTGACCGATTTTGTTGGGAAGATCATTTTGTCACTTTTCGAATGATGCTTGGACACTAGGATCTCTCTCTCTTATCTGAACATTTTGATGTTCATTCTCTTCCTTGTCCCTGCTTTTCTCTCTTCAGTTCTCTAAGCATGTATGCACGAGACTGAGATCAGTGCTTAAGTTTACAGCTACTCTTGTGTACGCTGCCCAAACCGTGGTGGCCTCAATAGTATTTGGAAGCCCTGTTAACCGCGTGACCAGGTGATCTGACACCGTGGGAGTCAGGGTTCATGCGGGCTCCCGGAATGGCTGCGCCGAGGTTGCAGGAAGCAAAGCTGACAATTGCAGGGGCCCTTACACCTTCGTCACCATTCAATTCCGTTCGAACGGTCCCACAGAGAACCCGAAATGCAGGAGTCATCACCCCCTTCCCCCCATATTTAAGCTGCCCAAGAGACAGAGCCCTCGTTCTCCAGCGTCGACCAGTATGTCCCCGACATACAGTGTCCTGAAGACCTTTTACGATTTCATCATCATTGGAGGTATGTCTCAATGCTCTCGGGAATACGCTTAGTTATTCATGGTGCGCAACAGCCGGCAATGCTGGCGCCGTTGTTGGGGCGCGCCTATCGGAGAACCCTAAATACAGCGTTCTCGTACTTGAGGCTGGTCCCGCGTAGGTTACATAGGTTTAGCGAGAATCGCCACTATAGTCATCCCAATAGGCTGCCAGACGATTCAATTTGGAGCATCCCCGTACTTGCTGCGGGGCCATCCCAGACGCAGAATATATGGAACTATACGAGCGTACCTCAAGCGCAGCTTGCCAACAACAGGGTTGTCTCAATGCTGAGTGGGAAAGTAGTCGGTGGGACGTCAAACGTGAGTGGATGATTTATCCGCCATTCCATCAGGTTCGATTGTGCTGAACACTTTCATGCAGGTCAACTTCATGCTTTATACTCGTGGAACTAGAGAAGAATATGACCGAGTCGCAAGGATCGCGGCCGATACACGTTGGTCATGGGATAGCATTATCCCATTTGCCAAGAAGGTTCGACCCTTCCTCCCTTCATATCTAATCGAGGATTTTTGAGCTAATATGACTTTACCCAGTCCGAAACGCGTAAGAATACCACCAGTGGTCGTAACTTTGACGGGGATTTTAATCCCGACGCGTACGGAGACAGCGGCCCTGTACTCATCTCCCTTCCTAATGATGGAAGTCCTTTCCACGACAAGGTTAAGCAAGGTATGCCACGCGAATGTCGGGTTTTGTGTTGTATGGATGCTGATACCAATGCTCAACAGCTTCGTACGAGCTCGGGGGTGATTTCGAGTGGTCCTCTGACACTAACTCTGGCAGGTCTCTTGGTCTGGCTAGATTGGTCGGAACCATAGGGACAGGAGTTAGAAGTGGATCAAGTAACTACTTTAAAGGGACTGGACGTCGACGGAACTTGGAGGTGGTGGCGAATGCCCGTGTTACCAAGATATTGTTCTCTGATGGCCCAAACCCCGCTGTCACTGGCGTCGAGTTCATTCGAGGCGCAGATCGTAATGGTAAGTGATTCCTGGGCGATCGATGCAATCGCTTGATGATGATGATGATGATGTGATTTTTTTGGGTTCCAGCCCCAAAGGTCGTCGTACAGCCTTACAAGGAAGTCATTCTTTCTGCTGGTGCCATTGGTTCCCCGAAGATCCTTCTGCAGTCAGGTGTTGGTCCAAAATCGGAACTGGAGGAATTGGGAATTAAAGTGGTTAAGGATCACCCTGATGTCGGCAAGCACTTGCAAGACCATGCACTGATTACGAATAACGTAAGCTTTAGTCTATGCAAGCGAAAGGTCATATTTTCTAACATTTGAGAGACAGTGGCATATAAATTCCAACATTTCCAGGGACGAGCTCTTCCGTCAACCTTACGATGCCTGGGCTCAAGGACAATGGAACCTGTATAGCATAAATAAGACTGGTAGATCGCACCCTATTAGACTATCTCAAGTATTGCAAACTGAACCATCCATTTAGGGCGCCCATCGAACACGATCGGCCAGACCATTGCCTTCTTCCGTTTGCCTTCCGATGATCCCATTTATAAGAAACCCGGCGTCGTTGATGATTCCCCAGGCCCAAATTCACCTCAATACGAATTCTTTATAGATGATGGATTCTCGAACTTGCTCTACCCGGCGCCCGGGGGTGACTATGCAACTATTGCGACGATTGTCTTGTCTCCTAGTTCTAGGGGAAGTGTGACATTGAAGTCAAGCGATCCCTTTGATGATCCTTTGATCGATCCTGCGCTTCTCACAAAGGAGATCGATTTCCACATCATGAAGACTGGTGAGTTCGCCTCCCAATACTCATGTCAAGGCGTGTCCGAGGCTGAGCATCTGCTCATTTCGTAGCCATTAAGAAGGCACGAGAGTTAGTTAAGGCACCCGTTTGGAAGGACTACATCTTGGGTGAATGGGGTCCGTTGGCTAAAGCACAAACCGACGCAGAAATCGATCAGTATATCCGTGAAAACACCAGTGCGTGTTGGACAGCCTATATTTGTAGTACGAGATGCTAACACTTTTTTCACCTTTTTCAGTTGCTCATTTGCATCCTTCTTGTGCGTGTTAATCATTTGAACACAGAATGGTTGGTTTTATGATTCGTGTTTCACTTAATTAGCTACTCTGGCTATTGGACCCAAGGATAGCGAAAAGGGTGTTGTCAACCCTGATCTTACCGTGAAGGGTATCGGGAAGCTCCGTGTCGTCGATGCTAGCGTTTTCGTGAGTGTTCCCTTTGTACCTTGCCGGGTTTCGTTGCTTAACCAGCTCCGGTCTTGTTAGCCGCATGTCGTTGCGGCTCATCCTCAGATTCCAGTCTATGCGATCGCGGAGCGTGCTTCGGACATCATTAAGAAGCATTACGAGCCATCCAACTATTTCTACAGTGTGTGGGAAGGCAGTGCATCCGTGACCGATTTTGTTGGAAAGATCATTTTGTCTCTTTTCAAGTGATGCTTGGACGGAGAATCTCTCTCTCATCTGATTCATTCTTTTTTCTTCAGTTCTCTAAGCATATATGCACGAGACTGAGGCAAGTGCCTGAGCGGTATTCCGATTGCAATTACTTTTGTGTATGCCACATAAACTTTGGTGGCCTCAAAAATACAGTTTTTGACATGTGTACCGAGTTGCAGTTGGAAATTTGATGGTGCTTAGCGTAACTTGGGCCGCTTACCATTCTATATCTACAAGGTGGCACTTTTCCTGCTCAGTATGTACTAATAAAACAACCCCAAACCTGCTGTTAATGTCTGTGGTTACGACGTCTGTAAAACTGTATGAACCACGCGTTGTCCCACGCCTCTCCCCTTTTCCTGCACCAAGAACGAGAATGGTAGAATGGTCTATATCTATAACATCGTGGGCTCAGTGACCTTGAATAGGTTTTAGCGCCCCCCACGCTGTGAATAGATCCGAGTGCGGCTATCTCGTTTTCCAAGCTTTTGAGTAACTTCTTCTGGCGTTTACCTGCGAAAACTTGGTAATTTACCAGGGTTTACTTCCTACAGTGCATCTCCATGTGAAACGATACGACACACACACCTTAAGACGCATGAGTAATTAATATAATTGGTTAGACGCGCCAAAACAATCATGATGTTGTTTGTTGCAAATTGAATTGAATCGAACCCCGTCAATGATTAAAGCCACCAGCAAACCCGCATACTACGCTGATGATACAAACATGTGCGTGCGCCCCAATTCTTTCCCAACATATATCCATCAAACAAAAATGAGCGTGGCGGGGCAAAAAAGGCGAGCTGCATGGGGGAATTATTCTGCGTGATTCTAGCTAGCTGGTCACTCCCACGTCCTCGGGCCACGTCCGCGGTATTAAGAAAACGTACCCCCAGAAGCTAACCAGTTGGTCTAGGTAGCAGCTGAGAATCCGAATTAAATCTCTTCGGAGCCATGTGTATGGGAATCGACGAGCTTTCTCGGTGGTGTTAAATTGGATGGGAAAAGCGCTAGTCTCGAGCGAGAGGTGGTTCGGGTCCCTAATTGGATCCTGGATGCGGTTGTACCTGTCGTGATGCCGGAATCGCGATGGCCGAAATGTGAACTAAACTTGCTCTCAATGGGTTGCGCAACATTGCGAATTAACCATGATTGGTCAAGGGACAATCTGTTTGTAGGGCCATTGTGGCATGCAGGGCTAGCACTTGAGAAAGTTCAATCCCCACTCTATTGCCTTGCAAATGCTCTTCTGAGAAGTCCGTTGTGCACGGACGCTCGATTCGATTGATCGAAGATCGGGGTATTTATGGATCCACTTCTGATCGTGACTCCAACCTATCATGAGCCAACAACGCATCCTCCGACGAACCACGCCTGCTTTATTTTCTTTCTGGGGATCGCAGTTCTCCAGGCACTTGTTGTTGACGGCCACAAGAATACAACCCCCATGAGTCGATCGAGCAAAACCCGGTCCGCTAGCTTAACGATTCATTCATCGCTCCAAGCATCGATCCAGGAGAGCTAGGAATCACGGCTCTCGACATATTCTTCATTGGCCCCCCAAGGAATCACAGCGGTACAGGGAATTCGCTATTTGTGAAGAAGCTTTGGCCTACAGCCCGGAGTGGACAGCACGCCTAGCCGAGCCGCAGAGGGGTCGAATGATTCAGAGCGGGTGTATTGGCGATCGTCTTGTTCACCTCCAAAGTGAGTTCACCGACAAATCGGACTGGCGAGGTGGAGGATCAACACGGCGTAGTCAGGGTGGCGGATAATGAGTAGCCGCCGCCGTGGACCGCAATATTTTCGTCTACTTGAAGCGGAGAATTCAGAAGATTGTCGGTAGCGAGGCGAGCATTAAAAACATATATTCCAGTGGGGAAAAGGCTATTACTATTGTCGGTGAGGCCTACTAAGTTGTTGTTGTTGTTGTTGTACTCTGATTTGTTACCCCGCGGTCGCGTGACGACGCAACAGTGCGGCTACCTCTACTGTAATCTACATCGAGTTTACATGTGAGGTCATCGGGACGGGAAAATAGGAAGGGCGGGTGGGTGATGTCAGGTTAAAGCATAATCCTCTGGTTTGTGGCGTCAGGGGGTGGGTGTCATATAAGGAAGGAAAAGAAAGAAGGGGCAGAGGTCCAATCATGGGCTGTCTCTCATTGAGACTTCGACAGCAGGGGGTCCGGAGGTCTTTCCCATGTTTGTTACCAATAGTTTAGGCGTGATCTGTGCCTTCTTGCAATATACCGGGCAGATGCGACTGGTTGACGGGTGGTCCTCCTTACAGTTGATGCATTTCGGTGGACGGTCTTCAGGGTGGTCATTTGTCATATGGTCCTCATCACCGCATACGTGGCAGAGGTCGGCGGACTTGCACTGATGTGACATGTGGTGAAGAGACGCACATTTTTCAGTGAACTGGGTGGGGCCGGTCTTTGTAGTCAGAGACTGTAGCCAATGTACCTGATATATAGAAAGATTTGGCGCTCTGGAATTGCTGCGCCTTTTCGAAGCTGTCAAACGTAAATACAAGTGACGCTCTTTGACTTGTTCATAGTTTCACATTGCTGGCCAACCAAGATGGTGGTGCTGTGGGGCTGAATTGGTCCCAGAGCGGGCTGTACCCATCTCGAAGTTGAGTAAGAATTTGTTCGGGGTTGTATGGGTCGCTTCCTGGCGTCTCCCTGGTGGGGACACCATCAAGCTTTTTCCGATATAGGGCTTTGTCTTGCCAGGCAGTTGTTCGGTAGGGCTGGCCATCATCGATAATGCTGACTATTTCCTCTTTGAGGGGTGTTAAGTCTACTGCGTGTGTTCCAACTGCTCCAACAACAACGATGTTGCCTCGCGCAGAGGAGTATGCAGCCAAGATTTGCTTGTTCGCCATGGGTTGCTTCTCCTTCAGTAGCATATTAATACGTCGGACTGTGTCGGGCTGTATGTTACGCTTGTGAATAGGAAGCGGCAGGTCGGTGGCAATGATCAGGCGGCTAGGGTGGTTCTTTTGGGAGGGTAGTGTTGGCTGGGGCGGTTTATTATTTGGTTTCTTGGTTGGTTTGATTGGGATGGGGTTTGCTGAGTGTATGATGGTGTGGTGGTTGTTGTTCTGGGATGTGGGGGATTGTACTGAGGGCGCTGGCGCAGAATGCGTGGTGTTCACTGTTTTCGGCATGTTAGCTGCAGGTTCCTGTGTCTGCATTATTTTCTCATTCACCTTCGCTAGCTCCGCTGTAAGGGTAGCGTTCATTTGAGCCAAGCTCTTACATGTGGCAGTAGCGTGTTCAAGGGCAATGGACAGGGGAGTTATGTCTGGGAACTTTGGGAGGGGTGCACCGAACATGACATAGATATCCTCGATTTTCTTTTTGACCGATTCATCTAGCGCTGGTGGCGAGAGTTCCGTTTTTAATCTAGTGGCGGCTTCCCAAGCAGAGTTGATCAATGTTACAAAATTTTCGACAGTCGCACTTTGCAATACGCGGTTGGGTTTCTGGGGTGGTGTCTTCGGCACTGAGGGTGCTGCGTGATTCGGTGGGGGCGAAGAGTCCGACGCCCTCTTTTTTGAGCCGTTAATACTAGTTGCTTCTGAATTTTGGGTGTTGCGCATAAAATTAGCCCATGCTTCATTGGTCACGTTCTCGAGCCCCCCAGGTTCACGAGAGGACCTGTGGGGGGTCTTGTGGCCCTTCATTTTGGGGCATAAGACGGTTATGGCGTCGGTATGGCACTTTGAGATACTCAAGCGAGATTTCGACAGTTTTTTGTTGTGGCGGTGAGGCCTACTAAGCACAGGCGAGAGGGTGATCACAGCAATATGAGAAGGACTTTCATTGGTGTTTAGGAGATTATGTGACGATAGGGGGACGTTAAGCAACGATTCACAAATCTCCCTTTCCTCCAGCATCTAGGATTAAAACCCCAGAATGAGCTTTAGGCCCGGCCCAGACTCCTTCCCAGTCGCTCACATGATTTCTCCGAGGTTTAGCTGCAACTTACGTTGCCCTCCGAAATCTGTCGAGCAACTGGTACAACTTGCAACACGTGATGTTCCCACGCTAAGTTGTAATGAGTTGTACATAGGTTACGGAATATAATTTTTAGTATTTACGCATGCAGTCATTGCACCCAACCCAACCCGTGGAGGCTAAGGGAGCACATCCAAGGTTGTGGAGTCAACATCCGGGGGTGCGCGAAGTTTAACAGTTTATATATTACTTAGTTACGAGTCACTTGTTTGTGCCCAGTGGCATAAGTGGTATGGCGTTAGCTGAGGCTATGCAGTCTTTTTAAGTGGCACATGTTCAATTCTCACTTAGGCAAACTTTTTTTGGGCCCTCCCATGGAATAATTGTTTGAAATGGTTGTTTTCTGTACACTAAGGAATGGAGGGTATGAAAAAAAAAAGTTTCCTAAGTGAGAATTGAACATGTGCCACTTAAAAAGACTGCATAGCCTCAGCTAATGCCATACCACTTATGCCACTGGGCACAAACAAGTGACTCGTAACTAAGTAATATATAAACTGTTAAACTTCGTGCACCCCCGGATGTTGACTCCACAACCTTGGATGTGCTCCCTTAGCCTCCACGGGTTGGGTTGGGTGCAATGACCACATGCATAAATACTAAAAATTATATTCCATAACCTATGTACAACTCATTACAACTTAGCGTGGGAACATCACGTGTTGCAAGTTGTACCAATCGCTCGACAGATTTCGGAGGGCAACGTAAGTTGCAGCTAAACCTCGGAGAAATCATGTGAGCGACTGGGAAGGAGTCTGGGCCCGGCCCTGCTTCCGCCACTTCTCCACAACGAAGACCGTGGGGAGAATATATTCGATCCCCGGCAATTCGAAACGTTAGCTATCGATTCATCGTCATCAGAAATTAATGGACCCACATCACTACAAGCAATTGGGAGCTGGCGGTCGATATCTGACAGCTCGGTTGCGACAGGCAAAACCGAAAAGCTCATCTGGTCTCTAAATATGAGGGATGAGATGCTAACTGAGGGATTCAGTGCAGAGACACACACATGTAAATAATATGAGCGAATGCAATTGGGGGACGACGGTGGTGCGTGAAGAACATAACAGGAGTGGAGAAAGGGTTTGAGTACGTAGTCATACGGCTTACCCAATTAGAATTCGACTTGTTCAACTCCCGAATCAGTTTGTTTTCCCACGAATGTCGCCTGGGTTACATATAAGCACTAGCTACGTCATTCACCACCCAATGTATATAATCGAAAAGGCCCAGAAGGCCATAGTAAGTGTCGATCCCTTACAACTTACCCTACGATTTCAAGCCTGATTTCCAGCACATTCAATGCGCCTGTGAATGGGGGGGTTGGACATGCACCTGAGTGAGCTCTAGCTATCGCATTGCGCATGGGGGATGCAAATGGTATGATCCAATGTGAAATATGAGACCCTCTTTCCGCAGACTTGAATGCATCCATGATCCATGGGGTCTAGGACGAGAACAACTACATGCAGGGAAAAGAGCAACAAGTGTGGGTAATTCACTTGATAGAGACAATCAAGACAATCGTCACTCGGAGCGGAGCCAAAAGCTTATGCATGCAGTCTCAGCACTAACTAGCTGTCTTATGAAATTTCCCATGTCAAGTGATTAGATGTTGAACCACTTGTTTTAGCTCCACTCTTGGCTCGCGTCATATGTGTAATTCACGCTACTCCGTAGTGGGTCCTATGTTTTTTTCTCCCAAAGTCCTATGCACAGGGTCCATTCTTTGCCCCACACAGTTCTATTCCGCTTGCTGCATGGCTGCAGTGTAAACTACGTGGAAATCAGAGTACGCAGTGGGTTTACAGAGCGAGAGCGAATCTCGGACTTCGTCTCAGCCAATAGCAACGTTGAGAGTGAACATGCATGCGAGGTAAGAGTAGCGGGATCTGCCGCTTCAGGCGGACCATTTTGTTAAAATGTTTAGGTACCACAAAGGAAATTAAGCGGAAAGTGAGCCTTCATCGCTAGCTGGAAATACTACATATCATGGCATGGCCTCATTGACCGCAGAAGTTACATGATGACCCAAGTTGTATGAAAACAAGCGAGGAGAAGAGTCATCGTGCAAATCTCTTGGTGCGACGTCAGTATCTCTTCACTCAAAGTAACAAAGTAAAGATCCCGGAGCTCTGGGGGAATCGTACCGAAAAAACAAATCATTTGTCACCGCTGCACCCGTCATCAGGCAAACAATGGTGTTTTAGGCATACTTTGCAGATTCAGAATCATGAGGGCAGATCGAGTTGGTGAGGGAGAAGAACGCCAATCGAGGACATGAAGAGCAGGTGAATGCGATAATGTCCTTGACATTGTAACGTTGAGATCCAACCGGTTGTGACCGTATCGCATAGCACAGTTTCTGCTTCGGCATAGACGACACAGAGGGGCGATCCAGTGGCAAAGATTGAGTTAGACTTTTCTGTCAGGGCCCAGCCCTTGTTCCGTGATGGGCCCAAGGGGATCCTCCGAGTTGCTGGGGTATCTAGTCCCAGTCCAAGGTCTTCAAACTCACTGAGGGGGCTGGCCCCAGCCTTCACAGGAAATGAGTTGCTACGCATTTAGGGAGTAGCTTAGTTACACTTGCCTTCACAGGAAATGAGTTGAGAAGAAGGGTAACCTTCTCAACCTCCTGTGAAGCCGCTACAAATGGGAGCCGGGAACTATACAGTTTTCGGCTCTTTGCCGACTTTCCATAATTGGCACCCCCCCGTGGGAAGATTCTGGGCGAGCAGCTCGCCCAGAAAGTTCCCACGGTCTGCATGCACGCGGGATTGTGGAACAGTGAAGGGAAAAATAGGAGAAAATGGGGGAAGGGTACCTGAGGGTGTGTGGGGTCAGGGGCTGTGCCCTGACATCACCCCCCCTCTATGCCGCTTCGCCTCGAAGCGGCTGTGGTTCTTGGTTGGCAGGGTTCTTTTGTCCTTGCTGGTTTGGGGGCTTCCGGGTGGGTCTGGTGGAATTCCTTTATGAGGTCTGGGGAGTTCTCCAGGTTTTCCCTGGGGAGCCATTCGTTTTCCGAGTTTGGCCAGCCCAAAAATTTGACAAAGTACCAGAGCCGTCCATATCGGTACCTGGAGTCCATGATTTTCTCCACCTCATACTCCTCTTCCCCATTTACAATGTCCGGGCCTGGGGGTGGGTCTGTCTGGCGTTCAGCAATCCTGTCGGGGGCATAGGGGCGGATGTTCGTGACCGAGACCACCGGGTGGATTCCCCTCTGCTGGGCTGTGAGCTGTAACTTTACCGCTGCCGGGGATACTACCTTAACAATCTGGAAGGGGCCAATCCACTTGTGGTCAAGTTTCTTGGTTGGCCGGTCTGTTGTGTAGTTCTGGGTGTTGAGCCAGACCTTGTCCCCAACTTGGTATGCTGGTGCTGCTCTCCGGTTCCTATCGTAATACCGTGCCATTTCATCCGCTGCGTGCTCCAGTGCCGCTTTTGCCTCCTCCTGCATTTTCATCATCCGAGAGGCAAAGTCGTTAGCCCCTTCAACTTCGGATGTGCGGGTCGGCTCGGTTCCCATGCGTGGATGTTGCCCGGAGTCAAGCTCAAAAGGGGTGCGACGGGTGGAGGAATGGATGCGATTGTTGTAGGCGAACTCAGCAAGTGGCAGCCAGTCAGCCCAGTCATCCTGTCTGTGGTTGACGAAGACCCGGAGGTAGGTTTCTATCTCCTGGTTGACTCACTCGGTCTGGCCATCAGTTTGCAGGTGGTAGGCTGTTGAGGGGGCGAGTTTGATTCCTAGGAGGGCTGCCAGCTCCCTGGAGAAGTGGGAGACGAATGCACTGCCTCGGTCGCTGAGCACCTCTTCTGGAAGGCCGTGGTGTCTCCAGACGTGCTCGAGGAAGAGCCGGGCTATGCCTGCTGAATCTGCTGTGGTAACGGTAGGGATTGCGTGGATGCGCTTGGAGAGCCGGTCCACCACCACCAGGATTGCATTGTACCCCTTGGAGTCTGGGAGCTCGCCAATCGTGTCTACTGAGATCACTTGCCACCTGCGGGATGGGACTTTGTTTGGGATGAGCTTCCCAACCTTTCGGGAGGGGAACGTCTTCACCCAGTTACAGGTGTTGCATCCTGAGACGTACTGGGCTATGTATCAGGGCATCTTGGGCCACCAGTAGTTGCGGGAGACGAGCTCTAGGGTCTTCCAGCGCCCTGGGTGTCCCGTTGTTGCCGAGTCATGGTGGAGTCGGACCAGGTCATGGCGGAGTTTCAGGTCCCTTGGGATGTACACCCATCCTCGGTAGAGGATCAACTCTCCCTCCTTTCCCCACTCGTCTGAGCGTAGGGTCCCCTTCTCTAGCTCCCTCAGTGCCTTCACCACCCCCTCGTCATGGTCCCTCCCTCTGCGTATTCTGTCGAGGATGTCTGCTTCCTCTCCCTCCACCGTAACCCCTTCTGTAGCTCTTACCTCGAACCAGTCCGGGCGCAGGAGGGTCATGTCCATATTGTCCTCCTTTCCATTTGGGTGGTCCGGGCGGCAGGACAGTGCATCTGGCTTCCCCATGAGCCTTCCCGGTCTATGAACCAACAAGAAGTGGAAGCAGGAGAGGTAGAGGGACCACCGGGCCTGGCGTCGATTCAACCTCTGGGCTGAGCGGAAGTAGGAGAGGTTCCTATGGTCAGTGAATATGTCAAAGGTCTCTGGGGTGCCTTCGAGGAAGTGGCGCCACTCCTCTAGGGCCCGGACTATGGCCAGCATCTCTTTGTCGTAAATCTCATAGTTTCTCTCTGCATCCGAGAAGCCTTTGGACATGAAGGCCACTGGGTGGAACTCTCCATCCTCTTGGAGCTGAGAGAGTACCGCTCCTGTGGCGAAGTTTGAGGCATCACATTCTAGCCTGAAGCGGCCGGAGTCGGAGGGGAA